ATTTATAAAATGCTGATAAAATTCCTTTAAATATAATTTTAAAATAATAAGCAATTTTATCATCTCTACTACTACTACTTTTTAGTACAATTTAACAAAAAGTCTATTAGTTCGATGGAGTCCTCTTATTCGTCTAATTGAATAGTATGACGGCTGGAAAATAGACAACTACATTTCTAGGATAATCGATCTGTGACAGCACTGTGACGATGGTGTGAGGTGGCGACGCAACGTCGGGCTATTCATTTAGAATCTAAAGCTAAGGAGAGAAGAAAGGAGAGGAGGAGAGATCTATATACATATATATGTTAGAAGTAAGGGGATGTCATGTGAGGAGCTAAGCCCTAGTAGGCTTAAAGCTCGGGAACGCCACCATTCCCGGCCTGGCCTCTGTCGCAGGCGATTGGCTCAGGCGATTGGTAACAGCTGGCGCTGTGACACGATCAACGTTATGCCGAGTTCAGAAACCACGACATTTCGTCCCATGCTAGCCGCTCAGTTCTGGACCTCGCACTAGAGGATCATGTGGGCGAGCGAAAAGATAAAACCGAAAAGAACATCGATCCCAGGTTCAAGAAATGGCTCATCATCCAGCTCCGATTGTTCTTTTTCGTCGGTCACGACTCTACATCTCCAACTATTTGCTACTGCTATTACATGCTGTCCAAAAATGACGCTGCTCTCGAGAAAATCCGTCAAGAGCATGACATAGGGCGCGGCACGGGTGGTTTTTGGCTGGTTAGAGGGGTCTCCTACCCAACCACTGGGTGGGTAAGGTAAGGTTAAGCTTCTCGAGCTTTTACTCTATCCTCCCACTAGAGTACCCTGTCTCACCCAGCATGTGATACATAAATCACGTGGAAAGAAAAGTTTATACTATTATAGTTAAGTTTTTATATGTAATCACACGTGATGTAAGGGGCTACGCCAAGAGGGAACACTTAAGACGTAGGCAGTGGGTAAAACTGTCGTTGAATTCGATAAAGAACTAAGAGCTAGCTAGCTATGGCTTTATATACACAGAATAGGGGCTTCGAAGAAGCCTCGACACACGCTAAGTGTTCTAAGATTAAAGTCTTAGATCGGAGATTACACTCGTAAAGAAAATAAGGAGGCTGGTGCTTAAGCGAGGCGTAGCCGAAGCATTATGGGGTTCAACCCCTGACACGTGATATATTATTTTTCTATATTTTTATTTTAATTATATAACTTTATTTATAATATTATTTATTTCGTGTTTATATAATTTTTTTAATAGTAATTATATATAAAATTATGAAAAGTTTTAAATATATTAAAATAAATAATATAATGTATGCATTAAATTGTCACGTTACTCTTTGTCACGTTACTCTTTGTCACGTGATAGTTAACCAGGGTTAACTGCCTCGGGCAGGTACTCACTCTACCCAACCATGGTTTAGGCATCTAAACGCTTACCCACCCTAAGGGAACCCATGGGTCAGGGTATTTTTAGGGTAGATACTAACCGTGCCGCGCCCTAGCATGACATAGTGTTTGGTACTGAGCTCTCCCAAGTCTCCAGAGCCTTGGTCGAGCAGCCACAGCTTCTCAACCAACTTCCTTACACAATTGCCGTTATCAAAGAGACTCTACGACTTTTCCCGCCAGCCTCTGGCTTTCGTGCCGGGAATCCAGGCGTTTATCTCGAGGGTGACAGTGGGAAGAGGTATCCAACGGCAGACACCAGAGTGTGGGTGTTGCACAGCGGTCTGCACCGTAATCCAAAGTATTGGAAGGCACCCAACACCTTCCTACCTGAGCGATGGCTAGTCGGCCCAGAAGATCCCCTGTATCCGATGAAGGGCGCGTGGAGAGCTTTCGAGCACGGTCCACGCAATTGTCTGGGGCAGGCAATGGCGATGTTGGATCTCAAAATCACGCTTGTGATGACGGTAAGATTATTTGACTTTAGAGATGCTTATAAAGAATGGGACAAGTTGCATCCGACAACGAGAGTCAACAAATTTCGTGGCGAGCGCGCTTACCAGGTTGGCAGCGGAGGAGCCCATCCGGCAGATGCATTTCCCTGTTTCGTATCATTGCACAGATGATATCGTGGATTTATCGATTGATCAATTAGATCAATGACTTATTATTGGCTTAGGAAATGAAACTGTATACCAGTAATGCACGACGAGTGAAACGGGAACTAACATTGCATGGGTGTATTGAAGATCAAATGTGGTTGAGTGGCCGAGGTGGCATGTGTTTACATATCAATATACTTCTTCCTCCAAAGTGTCTCCATTCCGTTCGGTGTCCACCCGCTATGTTCTCAAGAATCTCGAGTCATTTTTCCTGTCACAGCGATTTCCTATCCAACCGTCGATCCATAGTTCACTCTTCACACTTGGTTCAGCGTCTCAATTGCATCGATTGTCCCAGTAGCTCTGGGTTCAGAATCATGTCGCGTTGAAGCAAGTTCCAATTGGTCTCGCGAAAAGTCCACGCTTGACTTATGAGAAGGCGGCATAGGTAAAACGCCGATCGAATCATCATCTCCGCGCTCTGTGCTCCTCAGGGTGTCCAAAAGACTATTATGAAAACGGCCAGCGCGCCTCATGAAGGCTGCTCCTGTACCTATAGCTGTTGTTGAGCTTTGAGCCTCCCTATGCCTGTGCTCTCTGTCCTCGAGATCTTTGGCCTCGGCATGCTTCCGTTTTTGAGCGACTAGAGCACGAAACGAGACGATACAAGCGATTATGAAGGCTGGAAGAAGAGTCAGTCATGTCGTGGCCAGCAGCTGGTGTCTTTCAAGCACTTACAGACGGTAAATTCAATCGAAAACCAGAACCATATCCATGTGATATTCATCTCTTTCTTGTCGCTGTAATTGAGAGGCTTATACACCCCGCCAAATAGGCTGCCGCGAACAAGAGTCACAGCTATTGTGAATATTACAAGAGAGAACAGCGCTGCGAGAGCAATTTTCTTCCGCGTACTGACGCGAATTCTCCAAAGAATAGAGATGGGAAAGCAAATGACTGTTATGTGTTATCTTAAGTTTCTTGAGCATAAGATCATATCAACAGGAAACTTACTCAAGACGTCTGTGACGACATCGACAATGCAGGATATTTTGAAAAAGTTATATGTTTGCTCCATTGTCGATGGCATGACACAACTGGTCACCATCTCTTCGATGGGACCAAAAAGACATTGGAATTGCACCACAACAATGCTTACTGCTCCACATGCAATTGTGACACCCAATACAATCCACCAAAATACGAGATAAGCAGTCAGTTGAGTGCTAAGTCTCTTGAAGAAAAAGATGAAGTTCAACTTGATGAGCCAGATGCCAATGAAGCTGAGGAGACTGGCGATCCCAAACCCTTTCACCCCCTTTTGGATGTCGGTCAAGAAGTCGGGTCCTGGTGTTACCAAGCCATTGGATACGCTCTCGAGAAAGTAGATGTATTTCAGATACAATTGGTCTTGGATGTTGTTTCCCAAGAGGAGGGCCAGAGCTACGATCATGAGGTAATCGTCCACCAAGAGACGGTGGAAACAAGCATGTCGAATATATAGCCGCACGCTAAATGCGAGTACGCAAATGCTGAAGCCAACCCAGATAACTGCCTTTTCGATGTCAGTTCAAGACCCAAAGATCGAAAGATTAAAAACCTGATACTTACATAAAAGGCAGGTAAAGACACTAACTCGTTCGTGGTAGATACTACTTTGAAACTACCCTCAGATGCCATGGCAGTGGTGAGCTGTGTCTGTCGCTGTATTTAAGTTGAATAGATGAAGAATTGTTGTATACTGCTTGCTATGGGACTGTCTTCTTAGAGAATGGAATGTCCACGACTCAAAAGCTTGGCTTACTTTCAGATCTGCAATTGAAGACTTTGTTGGACTTGTGCTGCATCTACACCGAAGCACATAGGTCGCCAATTATTAGGACTCGGTACGTTTACTGTATCTCGCATTATGAAGAAAATATTTCTACACACCAATGCATTACCTCCTAGCAACGAGACATGGCAATTAAAAAAACCAACAATCATTTTTCAGCAGCGATTCCCTGTGCCCTCAAGGTTCTGCAGTGTACAGGAAAGAGTGTGCCAGCACCAATCAGACCTACACTACCTATCCAATATATATTGCAATATTAACCAGTAAAGGTGAATACCCGACACGGTGGTATAGCCTAAGTTCTTGCTGTCCCGCGGGGTAAATGCGATATATTAGTATGCATGCAGCAAGAGTGCATAGCTCGTGCATTTGCTAACGCACTCAATATGTGAGGTGACATTCTGTGGGGAAAATGGTCTTGCTGTGTGTCTGCAATCTTCTAGTGCATTCGAAGGGGCTTTGTGCGACCCCAAACCTGATGGTGAGGATTTTCAGGATGGGAATGAGATGCATGGAAGTTGTCTTTAAGCCTTTCGCCCCATTTTTCACGTGGAAGGGTCGGACGTATTGTCTCAATCACTTGGGTTTTGTATTCATCCTCTCCAAACATTCCGGCGCTCGTTTCCTTTTCAGACGGATCGGCGCTTACTGTTATCTCGACCCGTTCCTGCACTGGCTTTTCTTCCTTTCCGGCCAAATCTTTTCAAGTATTCCTGATAGGCTGTTCTGGCTGTCCGCGCCTTTTCGAGGCTACCCCGCGCCAACCAACCAACACTTTGTGCGACATCACAACACAACAGCAGTTCAGATTCGCTGTCTTCCTCCTGTCCTCACACAAATCACGGCAGGATGACATCTCCTCTTGCCTTCGCCATCGGAGGCCTGGTATCAACTTATGTCTTTCTTCGCTTGCTTCTTCATTACACCCAAGATGGGAAGGAACCGCCTGTCGTAGCAACGACAATTCCATTCATTAGTCCTATCCTTGGTATGGCGAAAAAGAAAACTCATTTCTATGCACACATCAGGTGAGACTGTTTTCTTTTGATTTCAGCTGTGTGGTTGATTGTTCTAGAAACAGTTAAACGTACTGGTTGAGATTCACTGCTGACATGAACCACAGAGACAAGTTTGGCCTGCCCATCTATACGTTGAGGATGCCAGGCACACGGATATACGTTGTAAACTCTACTACGCTCATCACAGCCGTCCAACGCCAGCCGACGATACTCGCATTTCCTCCTATCGAAACAAAGGCCGCAATCAACGTCATGGGCGCCAGCGAGGCAGGAAAAGAAATGTTGTTGCAGAACACGGATCCAAATGAAGGCAATTTGGATAAGTCATACGAAGCGGCGTACAGCAAAGCCATCCATCCCGTTATGTCCTTGGGTGCCGACCTCGATTCTATGAGTCGAGCAGCAATTAAGAGTATTGCGGATTCGTTGAACGGTCTGGCTAGGAACACACCTCAAGTTCTCGAGCTATTTGATTGGGTTCGTCATGAGGTTTCAAGTTCTACTGCAGAATCTGTTTACGGTCCTATGAACCCGTTCAGAGATTCAGCGATTGAGGCAGCTTTCTGGTAATATACTTTCCATCGAAGTGGCCTTAGAGACACTAATAGTAATAGGAGATTTGGACCTGGTGTCATCACCCTAATGATCAACATATTCCCATCTGTGTTGGCCAGGGAAAGTCTGAAAGCTCGCGAGCTTATGGTGGAGGCCTTCGACCAGTACTTCAGAAACGGAGGACACAAACAAGGCTCAGCCCTTATCAGAGCTCGTTACGATTACAGCATGAAGTATAATGTCTCAATGAGCGACTTGGTCAGATTTGAAATCGGAGGAGCCGTTGCGATTTTCGCCAATACTGGACCTGCCGCTTTCTGGCTTATCTATCACATCTTCTCGGACCCGATCATACTCGACGAGATCCGGAGCGAGGTTTCAAAGATAGTTGTGCATGAAAACAATGGCGCCACCATTGATATATCAGACGTCAAAACATCTTGCCCCATCTTACTGTCCACGTTTCAAGAAGTCCTCCGCTTCCAAAGCATTGGAACTTCGGCTCGAGTCGTCATGGAGGATCACATGCTCGACGGAAAATACCTGTTAAAGAAGGGCGGTACAGTGATGATTCCCGGAACAGTTCAGCATACGATTCCCTCTGTCTGGGGCGATAATGTGTCCAGCTTCGACCATAAAAGGTTCGTTCGGTCAGGGAGCAAGAAACGTCCTAACCCCGTCGCTTTCCGTGGATTCGGTGGTGGAACTACTCTCTGTCCAGGTCGCCATTTTGCCAGTACCGAAATCCTGGCATTTGCTACCTTGATGGTTCTCCGCTTCGAAATTATTCCTGTTGGTGGGAAATGGAGTTGTCCAACCACAGAGAAGGCTGAGATGTGGGCTACAGTACCTCAACCCGACATGGACATTGTGGTAGAGGTGAAACCCAGAAAGGAGAATGATATGGCAGAGAAGTGGAATGTCATTTACTCGGGATCTGACAAGGCCATGGAACTCTCAGCAGAGGATATTGCAGACAAGTGATGCTTGAAGAGGCAGAGAGAAAGGGAGTGAGGAGGCCGTCTGCTCTGACTAGCTCGACCCCAATCTTCTGGCGGATCCAATTGCGCAACTCCACGCCAGCCAGCGAGTCGAGTCCGTATGCCATCAGCGGTTTGCCCGTTTCTATCTCATCCCCAAGCCGCAAGATCTTGGAGAATTGCGCCGATAATACATTGGCAGCTGCCTTTACCAATGTCGCCGAGTCGCCTTCTGATTTGATCATCATCTGCAAAGCACGGAGTGCTTGATCACCTTTGTCGCTACCCTCAACGATATCTGGGCCTCCGTGACTACCACCACCAGGACTGGCATAGAGGTAGCCGAAACGAGGGTCTTGAGCTATGTCCGAGCCGTCTTTTGGGAGAGGATATGCAATGCCGGTGATGAGTTGAGTGCTACTTTCAGCATTGATCAACGTGTTGGGATCCTGCTGCATAATGGAGTACGTCAAGACCCTGCGCAGCATGCTTTCATTGACTGGAATCCAGCGAGTCTTGTCGAATCGAGCTTCCAGGCCATTTTCATCTTCGGCTATGTACCCGACGTCCACAATCATTCCAAGGTCAAGAGAGTTAGCCCGCAGGCCTTGAGCCTGTCGGTATCTTGCGAATGCATCAAGGAATGTGTTCGCTGCTGCGTAATTGGCTTGGCCTTTTCTGCCTACAATACCTGAAATGCTGGAGAGCATGGTGAAAAAGTCAAGTGGCTGCTTCAAAAGCTCCACAGAAGCGTGGTGAAGGTTCCAGGTTCCTTGCACTTTGACCTGGAGAGATGTACGGAAATCATCAAGTGTCATTGTCTCATAAGGTTTATCCTAATTCTCTATCAGCATATATGGAATCAATATCTCGAGAACTAGAAGAACTTACCTTGATCACCATGGCTCCTTGGACGACACCTGCAATTCTAGGAGAAGTTGACTTAAAGATTCGTCGAACAGATTTGAGATCAGCGACGTCCCCTTTCGCCTCGATTACCTCACATCCGTAAGTAAGGCAGTCTCGTACGACCTTAGCAGATGCGTCGTCGCTAATCCCACTACGGTTGCTAACGAAGATGTGTCGAGCTCCATGCTTCGCCATGTGGATGACAAGGGTTCCACATGCACCCTTGAGGCCACCCACGATCAGGTAGGAGACGTCTGGCGATAGGTGGAGCTTGCGAACAGCTGGTCGGACAGGCTTTTGTATGTCATCTCCATGTGGATTGCATATCACGATTTTGCCCATATGCTTTCCAGCCCGGATATGAGCCAGAGCAGCTGAACTTCATCAAATCCGAAGGTGGTAATAGGGCGAATTGGCGGCAGATGCCCTCCATCAATAAGGATGAAAAGCTCATCAAACAATCTATCTATGGTCAATAAAATTACCGAAGAAAGGTTGTACAATCAACAAACCTTGCTACTAAGGGCCCGTTGATATGCTTGGTGTACGAAAAGTTCACTGCTCGGAATGAACAATTTCTATCAAATGGTTCCATGGCCAAGGTGTTGCGGTCCACAATATCTCTCTTGCCAATTTCAACCATGGTCCCGCCGTCTGCCATGATTCTCCAAGACGCATCAAGCAACTCTCCTATCAATGAGTTGACGATGACATCCACGCCTCGACCATCAGTTGCTTGCAATATCTCTGCTGCAAACTTGATGCTGCGTGAAGAAAATATGTGGGTTCTCTGGATGCCGTAGGTGGTCTCAAGGAATTGACGCTTTTCTTCAGTGCCGACAGTAACATAGATCTGCACAATCCTTACGGTTAGTATTTACGTTCATTCAAGACAATAGTCCAGCAAAACAAGGTTGACCTACCTCTGCTTTCTTGTACCTAGCTAACTCTATGCAGGCAAAGCCAACTCCACCAGTTGCGGAATGAATGAGCACAGACTACAGTATTATCAGCCTTGAGTTGATTCAACTGCCATTATTGGAGCAGCTGATGCTGCCCGGCAAATTTGAAAGACGAAATTGTTCTCACCTGCCCTTCTTGGAGGTTCGCTAAGTGATATTAGGCGTAGAGGGAGCATAAGTATACTGAGGGAATAGTCGCAGCCTCCTCATAACTCATTGATGCTGGAATTATATGGCAATGATCAACATCAACCAGAACTCGGTTCGCATATGTGCCTTGCTTCAACATGCAGACACGATCGCCGATCTTGAACTTATTGACGCCCAATCCGAGCCTGGTAACAACGCCGGCACATTCGAATCCGATGTTGTACTCGTTGTCGGGCACAATTCCCATGGTTATTGCAACGTCCTTGAAATTAACACCTACCGCCATCACCTCGACCTCAATGTTATTTGGCTCAATCATTGGAAGTTCTCCAACGTCTGTCTCGCACCATGTCAGACTCTGCAGAGTGCCTAAACGCTCAGCTCTCAGCTGTGCCTGCGCCTCGGTGCCGTGGAACGATTTCTTGACGGGCTCATATCCTGTGACTTCAGCGCGTTTGAAGTCATTCACTGCAGCGTCTGGAATTATCCTCTGGATATGCAGGATCCCATCACGCTCCATATACTGGGATTCTGCTGGCGTATCTCGTCCTAGCAAGTGGAGTACCTGATCGACCGCCCACTCCGTTGCGCGACTCGTGCTGGACTGGACGTCCAGAGTGGACAAACTAATGCCATTGTCTTCACGGCGCGCAACTCTGAATAGGCCCTGTGCCAGTGCGTTGTCTGGATCTGTGACAACTCCTTGTGCACCTTTGGTGACCCAGAGGATAGGGTTACCGGACGTGATAAGTGTCTTGATGGCGTCCCATTGATTCTCGTTGGCCCATCTGAGGATCGGCTTTGATAGTTCGTCGATGAATGAAACGACAGTTCCAGCTGCGAGTTTTGAGAATGGATACGTTTCCTGCCTAATGGACCACCCTGAGGCTTCTAGTGTTGCTTTGAGGGAGGGACCAATAGCTTGTCTGGCAGTCTCGTCGAGGCAAGCAATGACGAGGTTTCGTCGACTGTCTCTGTCTATCTCTCCAGCGCTATTGTTGGTCAAGAGGTATGCTGAGCTGCCTTGACCATTTGCAGCAATCTCGATAATTGAATTCGAATCACCCGCCTTTGTAAGCCTTCGTTGAAAAGGTCCATCCTTGCTTGATTGCAGTAATTCCACTGCTAAATCCTGGTCCCATGCGAGTGAGTCAACGGAACTAGAGGAACCTGCTCGTCCTGAGTCCGGAGATGTGGGCGAGGTGTTTTCGGCTGACTCGGATGGTGGAGTTTGATTGAGATGCCCATTGATCTCGGCATCCCCTTCAGAATCCTGCCCGCTTGTCGTCAACCCCTCGCTTTCCAGTTGAACCACAAGCATGAAAGCGTTTGCGGCAAGAAGTGGCTTCAGCTTCTGTATGCTTCCTTTGATGCATTCTGTGCCTTTCTTGGCGTTTTGACAATAACCAGATCATAATGTACATCAGAAGAAAGGCCGAGGTTCTCCTTGTCAGTACTGATGAAAAGGAAAGAGGAGTTGTATTTCCCCTCGTACTCCGTCTGGACATTGACCAAGGCTTTGCCGTCTGTCGCAGCGAAATCATAGCTAGTGTATGAAGCTCTGGCTGGGATATCACCGGCCCCAAACCATAGACACGAAGTATCTGATTCGTCGAGACTGATCTCAAGCACATTCAGGGTGGGCTTTTTGTGTGCAATGAGATCGATTACTCGGTCAAGCCTCGACGATGACTTTCCAAGTGGAAGATACATCATCTGGTCTTGAGTGAGCAATGCAACATCAGGTTTCCAGGACACAAGATCGAAAGTGTGCGGATCTGGCCGTGGAGGAACGTCAAGCTTAACGTAATGAAGTCCAGTTATTCGCATTGCTAAAATCCCGGTTTTAGAGTCGTACACTGAAGTATTTGCAAACCAGCTTTTGTCCTGATCAGGGCAACCACGACCAGAATAGACTGAGGTTGCCTGAGACAATCCTTCATTCAAATCAGCCGGGACCTTGTTGATGATAACGTCGTCAACAATAGCTGGAATCATTGCATCTCTCACATTGACACGTTCACCGGCCATGTTAGCCGGAATTGGTGTCTGGAAGCAACCATCGAGAGCTGCAGGGTGAATTGGATAGTATGATTGAGGTGAGAATTTGGACTGAGGCGCTGAAAGCGATACGAGAGTACGACAGGCACGCACACCACTTGTCGCTTCGATGCTAAGCAGTTTCTGGAAAGCAGGTCCAAAGTCCATACCAATGTCTCGCTCTACTTTATACCATAGTCGAGCCGATTGAGGCGATTTCAAGGGCGTAATCTTCTCCAGCACTTCCTCAACAGGATCTTGGATTCGAACGAGTCCAAAGCAATGTTCCGCAACCACGTCTGCGTCGGATGTTGTCGATATGCGGAACTCGTGCCAGTCTTTACCACCAGGAACTTGCACCAATGTGAGAACGAGTATTGTGTCTTTGTTCTCTTCGAGCACCAGAGCTCTTGGGAAACGCACATTTCGGAAACGGTAGCAGAGCTCATTCGCGGCGGCAGGAGCATCGTTGGGATTAAGAGCGGCATGTTCTTGATACAACGCTTCCAAGCCGAGGGTGAGGAATCCAGCCGCGGGCCAAAGGCCATGGGAGATTGGCAACATTGATTCGATTACGCCATATCGGGGCCTGCCATGGCGTACCCGAAATCTTGCTCCCCAGCAAGTCTCCTCGCCCTAGAAAGTCCCAGAGCTTTTACGGATTATAATTACCCCCTGGCCGTCGACAATCGAAGCCAATAATAGCAATTGGCTCTGGTACGTGCTGTTTTGAGTTGGCCATAGTCGTGGGAGAGAGTGTCCAAGTTTTTGTTGAAAGCAGTGAGGGCCAAACTTTGCTCAGTCAAAACTTTGTGCGGGTTAGGCGTTGACAGTGTTCCCTCACTTGGCCATATTCTTATAAAGTATACAGTTAAGCCCAGTCACGATGTGGCAAGGACTGTAGTTTGTTAAGGCTCATCTCTACAACACATATATTTTTCGTTACGGTAGTGTGTGACAGAAGGCGCACTGTCATTGATGATTACTATACACCTATTCCAATGCTCTGCAGTGTCATTGATGAATTTCGGGTCATTATCGTCTGTCGTTTTTCTGCACTTTGCTTACTTGATTACAGAGCGTCATGTCAGGTTAATCATCGACTTGGCACTGTACTGGACTACTCACCAAATATTCTATTGGCCAATAAATCGATCTGTTAGCCAATTTTTAAGGTTTCATGAATAGATCAGCTGTTTGGCCAAATATTTGTCTAAGTAAAACTAAGTTTTGATTTTTTTTACAAAGTGTTAGCGATGCTAATATTAAAGACAAGGATTAATAAATCAATGAAAAGGACTCCCAAAATAAGAAAAAAACTATTTAAGGACTCTGCCAAGCTTTCTTAGTCTTTTGCTTACTTAGGCAAGTGTGGCGGAAAGCTCTTAGTAGTAATAACTTCTATATCACGTGCAAACTACTTATTCAACTTATCTTATATCGCGATAGCTTTAGATTTATACTTTTAAATAGCTTATATAGTGTTTTAAGTCTAATAATAAATGTGGCTCGCTTAAAACTAGTGCAAAAAAAGGGGGGCAAATCAAACATTAGGTCTAAAACATTAGCTTATTTTGGGTAGATCAACCCATTGGTAAAACGCTTGATCTATTCGTCAATGCCGTTCCATTAGTCAAAAGGCCCTAAATTTGGTCAAAAAGGCTATTCTATTGGCCAATAGATTATTTGGTAAGTAGTCCAGTACAGCACTGATCAGGATATCGTCCCTGATGTGTAATAATGGTATATCGGAACGGCAGACTGAAGAGAGAGTAGCGTATTCCTTTATGCCACCGCAACGGTCGTTCTCGAGCTTGTCGAACATTGAGATAGCGGCGGCTATATCCTTCCTTACACTAGAGAGCACCATTCTCCTATTTGATTTATGATTCACAACATGGCACCTCTCAAGCCGCATCGAACTGTGAAATGTGACGGATTAACGCTCGAAGCATGGCTATGGGAAGTAGAAGGACCAGCACCCGCGATTGTCATGACGCACGGCGTGAGTGAAGATGAGCCCTACCGCGTCAGATTGATGCTCACCTAGAGCTAATATACGTACTTGCAGAGAGCTCAAAAGTTCAAGTCCAGGAGTCTAGATCCAGGGAAAATTCCAGTGCCAGGAGAGAGCTTAAATCCAGGAGGGAGTCCAAATCCAGGATCTAGAGAAGTGTAGTTAGTAGGTAGTGATGGATGCAGTGCAGCTGATGATGCTGATGCAGTACACAGATGGTGAGGATGAAAAAACTTCTAAGGTAAAAGGCCACGTAACAGAAGTGAAGTGGGACATGAAGGAGAATCGCGCCAAGAGAGCACAGAGCATGTAAATAACCTCGATTCAGCCAATGGGAGACGCGTCTGTCTGACTCACTGTCCGAGCTCTTGAGGTCTCCACTCCACTGCAAAATCTGCACTGCACATGTAGTCAGTCCCTTCACGATTCTCACTCTTTCACCTCCAGGAGCCCAAGACCTTGAGTAAGAAAATAGCATGAAGTGCGGTGCAATACAGTATTAAAAGTGCAAGAGTATCACTTACTACTACTTAAAATGAGGATATACTTTGAGATCATGACAGTAGTGACAGTAGTGACAGCAGTGAGAGCAGTGACAGTGAAAAATTTAAATTAATAAGCATATATTGAAGGGTTCCAGTGTTTTTGCAGTCTTTCTAGACATTAATTAACGATAGTACTCATTAATTAATTGGAGTTACACTCTTTCTTAGCGTACTGGGTCGTTGTTTAACGAGCCGTTGCTCCCGTAGGGAGTGAAAACCAGCGCTCTCAATGGGTAGGTCGGACATTTTTTGGCCCTGAACCATCACTACCCGTACTAGTATGGATTCGGACAACCTAATGTCCGTCACTATTAGGATTCTAGACAGTTATAACTACCAAGACAAAAAACACCCTATAAATAGTACATTTCCAACTTTAGGCTTCAAATTTTGAGCCCGACTTCAGACTTTAACTTTAAATTTTAACTTTAGATTTACGGCTTTTATATTCGAGGGTTTTAAGCTTTTAAACTTTATTTTAAGCACTCTAATTTCTACCAATTTCTTTAATTTTCAGGCTTAATTTCCTAGACGAGTAGTCGGATATTAGCAGTTTTATTAATTTAATGTCCGTGTCTGCTAATAAGATGACGGATATTTAAAGAACTATGTTCATAAGTAGCTTAGACGGACAGTTCTTGTCGGACACGCTAAAACTGCCTGTCCATTGAGAGCGCTGGTGAAAACTGGATCTTTGTATTCAAAGTTATACTTTATGACTTCAATCTCATTCAGATAAAATACAGAACACCAACTCTACCAAGGATATTGCTCGCCAGTATACTCCCAGAAGATCCCTCCATGTGTATCTTTGCTCGCCTTGTCAATAATCTTGACCATTCCATCCACAGAGTCCTTGATTGACACTGGTGCTTCTTTCATACCAAGCCTATGAGCACCAACGTTCCCCATATCAGTTGCTACCCAGCCAGGATGCAAGACAAAAGAAGTGATTTTCTTCTCTTCGGTGTTGATGCGCTTGGTGATCCCTGGGTAACGGCACAATTAGCATGTATTCGAGCGGGAAGGGCATTGCTATTTTCATAATCATGAAAGAGAACAGAGTGAATAATGGTGGTTCTCCGCAAAACTTACAATGAACTGCCGCCTTCGTTGGTCCATATGCAGCATTTGGATTTGGCAATTGGCCCCTATGGAAATATTGTTCAGTAAATACTTCCAAGAAATATTGACATCAAGAAGATGAGGAGGGTAGGAGAGAGAAGCTAGAAGTGTTCCAGATCGACAGTAGAAGCGATTGCGGCTTGCGGGGTCTGTCTTTACAATCGCTATGTTCAAGTATGACAGGGAGAAAAAGAGTATTCGCTCACTAAAAGATAGAGAAACTGTTAGCTTTTGTTGTTTCTTGATCGCAGACAACAGATCATGCAAACATAGAAAAGAATATTTGATCGTGAGCGGAGTTACCCACCTCAATGCTTCCCGCGACTGAACCTATTGTAACCCACTTCGGATTTGCACCGTTATTCAATAACTCGCGGGTTGCCTGGTACAGATATATGACGCCGAATACATTGGGTTTCAGGCTCGCAAGCATATCATCAATCTTGACTTCTGCAACGGTGGGATATATGTAACATACGCCGGCATTGGCGATAACAGTATCGAGATGGTTGATTGCATGCTTGGTTGAAAGCTCTTTGACAACATCCACCGCGTCGGACTGAATTGTCGCATCGATTTTGACGACGATAAGACGACTGCCTTCAGCCACAGGGATTTCCTTCAGTGGTCCTGCCGTGCTGGGGTCCCGCACTGCAGCAATAATGGCATGATCTGGCCTAGCGAGATAACTCTCAACAAGGCCTTTGCCAATGCCCCGATTGGCACCGGTAATGAGAACTACTGTCGGGGTAGTGGACATGGTAATGATTGAACGGAGGGGCATCAGGTTGCCGTGTGAGTGGCTTTAAGAGTGATGGCGTTACTCGACGGGCAAGGCTAGTTATTACACGGATGGTAATGTTGGTACTGTATTAGTAACAATGCTCGGATCATGACGTTCTGTTCCCGGCGTGCACCCGGATATGTTGGAGATAAAAATACACATTGGAAGCAAGATGGGAAGTTAAGCGCCGTCACAACCTCGGTACTTGTTTTCCAACCAAATGATTCGAGTATCTGCACGCTTATCATGTGTAGCCTTATGTATTGCATGACATTTGCGGCACAAAGATTTGGGCAAGGTGCGGGCAAGATCAAAAGAATAGAGTCTAAGAACCTTATCTTGAATCTGCAATTACTATAAGCATTACGTATAAGGAAGATCTCAAGTCAATGACATAGTTGACGGCGACTCAATCCGTGGCTCAACTTAGCCATCTTGACCAGGCTTCGGCGCGGAATCGATTTTATCGATAATATCGGCACGATATTAAATCCTCTGAATAAATAATCGGAATTATATCGTCAGTTTTTTGAACCCGGAATTGAATGAATATATCGAATATATCGCATACATCGTAAATCGCCCCAAAAAAAACCGATATATTATTATTAGTACTAAAAATAGTAATTTTTGAAGATATATCCTCTTGATTCCTGAATTTTAAGGCTTCACACACCTCACCTCTGCTAAGGTTAGTGCGTTACATGTTGCCGTTGATACTGATTTTGAAGCTGGCGTGGAGTTACTGCTGAATTCTGGCGCAGATGCGCAATACAAGGCACGAAAGAGTTAGACCGTTGCTTCATATTCGTAGAGTTTAGAGAAGATAGAGCAGGTGAATTGAATAAATCGGATGGAACTGTTTTTGAAGCCAGACTTAGAGTACTTGTCAGAAGCATTAGTTAGCAATGTTTTATTGTTCCTTCGCCAGAGACCGATGCACATGAGAACCTTTCAAATGCTAACATAAATTTTGAATGCAAGCTTATCCTGATTACAACAAATAAACATGTGCTTCCACTGACTCCTTTACTTCGTGAATTTCTTTTATGATAGTGTTTTCAGTAATCTGTCAGCTCATCACACAAGAAAATCTTTCATCCGACGTACTACTCGACCTGATTCTTGACTTTTGGGAATCCAGGCCGCTTTTTAATCAACATATTGCTTGATGAATTTCCCCATTCGCTTCTAGAAGGGAGTATATCAAGCTAGATCAACCCCGAAGCACCTCAGCTGCGTAACCGCAAGTCTCATCAGCAAAACTCAAGGTTCAAATCTTATTTACCACCTCCAGTACGAAATTGTATTAGATGTCTGCAAAGAAATTGGAACGCACGTGATTAGAGATTCTCAGCGGAATGATCAATCCGAGGAGAATTAAACAGCCGCGACAGAGCTATGAGTCAAAATTGTTTCAGACTGCCGCAAATTCGCTGCGATTCTTGCTATAATCATGTGCCAGTCATAGGCTTCACAATGGTGAAGTCAGACGGCAATGCGGGCAACTCTTCGGTGCCCATAGTATAATGGCATATTTGATAATTGTCCGTAGTACCTTTCATTGACCATGATGTGTGTACTAACTCGTCAGCTCGTCCAGTGTACTCAGAGAAATCAGGTGGTGATGAGCACATGTACCGAAAAGAAGTTTGCTATCAGGCCGCGATGCAGTCAACAACACAGACGCCAATTGAATTGCCAGCACACCGATGATCATAACGAGGGGACTGTTCCTAAACATGAAATTCTCATTGTGAACACTATGTAGCAAGTATTCATACGGATTTGAGCGATTCTTTGAGCACGAAGAACATTGATCCTGGCGATTTCAGACTACCAAAATTGCATTCAAAGCACTTGCTACGTTCATTGAGTTCAACCAAGAACACTGCAATAGTGGCTTTCGAGACTCACGAGGCGTTTAACAAACTCGGTACAAGTACCTCTGTGCTTGCGCTGTTCTAAACATCGAGGATTATGGTTCAAAATATTGCGTGGACAAGAAACAATCATTAATACGCCGAAATGTTTGTTAAAGAGTGACCAATATCTTGACAGCGTTTGGAGGCTAAAATAAAGTAAGTACGTAATTCGGCGTTTGATTGGACAGCAAAAGATCGGACATTCATTGTTTTGGTGAGCCCCGGCTCAACTCTCGTTCTTCTTAATATAATTTAACATACCCGCTTCCCCGCATTCCCCAGAGTCCGATCCGTGAAGTCCAGATAATCATAAAATGTTTCATGCGACCCAGGATAAACGATACGTCACGAATCAACATTTAACCTTGAGTTCGGCAGTTACCCTGAAGGGGCAACACCAAATTCATTCCTATCCAATTGTTGAACAATACAAGATTGTCATTAAATTAAACATCCAGTATATCACCGCGCGGCAGTTTCCTTTCCAAATACTGGATCTGTCTTGTGACATTGTGAGGCAACTTGCGTATCTCCTATCTTGTTTCTTTATATCTCGAAGGCTGCGATGCCACATTCACTTTCTCGCTTCTCCTTTTCTCATCTCTCCTTTTTCGCTAAATCATTACAGGACGACTGTCATCGCCTAAGATGCAGTGGAAGTCACTCACTGCCGCTGTGGCACTGCTCACTCAAGATGCAGCTGCTCAAGCCATGATGCGTTTCTCGTGCTCACAACTCGTTATCGAGCGTTTGGACCCTCTTGTAAATCCCGCAATTTCACCAAGTCCCCATCTTCATCAAGTTGTCGGAGGAGATTCTTTCCAAGCCAACATGACCCCTATCGTTTATGACCAAGTTGCGTCTTCGTCTTGCACAACTTGCACCTTCTCGGAAGATTTCTCGAATTACTGGACTGCGAATGTTTATTTCCGAGCTCGAAATGGGAGTCTTAAACGTGTTCCGCAAATGGCCAACCAGGGGCTCACAGCAAATGGAGGGGTTACCGTCTATTATATTCCACCGTATGATGGCAAGACCACAGTTACTGCTTTCAAGCCAGTAAGTGCATCTCAAAGAACCCTCTATTGCAGCTGCTGATCTTTCAGGGGTTCCGTATGCTTGCTGGAGACCCAACACTCCGAAGTGCCACGGGCATGCAGCGCGGCATCTGCCATCGATGCTTCAGTACTATCAACCAAGTTCCATTTGGTGGAGCACCATGCACTGGTGACGACACCCAATCATTCCCAACCAAGATGTGCAATGGTGGAATCCGTTCAACCATCACTTTCCCCACGTGAGTTACCTATGTCTCCAAATGTGAATACTAGACTAAACAAGATAACAGATGCTGGGATGGAAAGAACATCGACAGCGCCGACCACAAGAGCCACGTCGCCTACCCAAGCAGTGGGACTTTCGAGTCTACTGGTCCATGCCCATCGAGTCACCCTGTCAAACTTCCTCAAGTCATGTACGAAGTTATGTGGGATACTAGACAATTCAATACCAAGGAGCTGTGGCCAGAGGACACCACCAAGCAGCCTCTGGTCTACAGCACTGGTGATCCGTAAGCATATACTCATCCTTAGCATCAGAGATTTGCTAACGCATGCGCAGACTTGGCTACGGACAACATGGCGACTACATGTTCGGCTGGAAGGCAGATGCCCTCCAACGTGCATTAAACGCCAGATGTTCTAATGCCCAATGCAAGGAGCTGAAGTCTCAGACCTCCCAGCAAGCCATGAAGTGTGCCAAGCTCCAAACGGTCAATGAGCAAACTGAAGGATGTGAGTCGCTTCTACCAATGATCAATTTAGGTTGACTGACAAGAGTGACAGGGCTCTCCGAGCTTCCAGGTGGTCTGCCAATTGCATAGATAAAGTATGCCGTAGTATAGCTGGATACGGACGTACGGTTGGATGGCGCGGGGAGCGACTTTCTCAATTCTCTACTTTCGTTGATACCATATGGGACACTTTGTACCTTAGCAGATTGGAGCAATTGTATCGAGAATGTTTATAGTAGCAAGTAAAGCTCAATACGTTGTCACTGAGATGACTTGAGACATCAGCATAAGTTCTTGTGATATTCCATAAGGCATACTGACCATACGAGCTAGACCAAAGCTAAGATTACCAGTACTCTAGTGACATCACGAACTAAAAGATTGGGCGCCGTGACGCCACAAAAATGTAGCGCAGAGGAGGCTCAAAAACGAATCGCTTATTAAATTGCCACCTCGGATCTGAAGGGATTAGGGAGCTAGAGAGACACAACTTGGATAAATCTAACAATGACAGGGGAACCATACGCTTCGTTGGTACTCGAGGTGTCCAAAAAGCAATATCTCTGAAAGTGCATAACAATAACGTTCATTCAAGGTAAGAAAGCACATAACTAACAACAACTAAATACAAACAGCCCCGCGTCAACCAGTCCTCCATCCTCCATCCTCCACCAGTCTTCTTAGCCAGTCGTTCCGTCAAAGTGGCGGAGACTCTTGACTGCCACAGTCACTACCTATGGGAAAAGAGTGATAGGCAACAAGAGAGATGTTCCAGTCGCGACATCAAGACAGGTAATCAAGTTCAACAGCTGACTATCGGGCTTGCAACAATACGTAACTGGAGTAGCAGCTTCCTCTCTCTCCACGACCTTCGAGCCAACAGTGATGGGGACCACGATTGGAACACCAGTCAAGACATTAACACAGTTCAGGGCATCAATAATTCCGCCACTGCCAGTACAAGTGTAGGCGCAAGATCCAGCCGTGGAAGTGGACGCGGGGCCGGATGGAGCCGCAGACGTCGGCTTGGTGGCCACAGCTGTAGCAGATGTGGTGCAGTCGCTAGTCACGGGGCTAGCTGCAGCAGAAGAAGTTGGCTTGGTGGCCACAGCTGTAGCAGATGTGGTGCAGTCGCTAGTCACGGGGCTAGCTGCAGCAGAAGAAGTTGGCTTGGGAGACGCTTCTGTAGAAGAAGTTGGCTTCGGGGCAACCATGGTAGAAGTGGTTGGTTTAGGAGCCACCATTGTAGAAGAGGTTGGCTTGGGGACCACTACAGAAGTAATGGCACTGCTAGTCGTAGGGATGACTGGAGCAGATGAGGTAGCCACTGCGGTCGCAGAGGAAGAACAGCTGCAATCCTCCTGAGACTTTAAGTTAGTTTTGGCAACCTTTGGTGGGATTATTACTTGCCTCAGCGGGAATAGCAAGACCGTAGACGGCAAGAGCCCCGGCGATGGCGTAGAAGACTGAAAGCTGCATCTTGGCGAGGGTCGTCTGAAGTAAACGAACTGTTGCTGGGCTTTGGAGGTCGTGTCTTGAGATTCTGAAGATGGAAAGAGGTTTGGACCACTTCTTATATACTTGTAGATTCCACCTCGAAGGAGAGCGGACGGACTTCTCCGCTCGTTTCTCGCATGCTTCAATATTGCTCCATTGTGTTGATTATCCAACTTGCTCCGCATGACTTGAAGAATAGTGATTTATTCCCAATAATAGGGCCCAAGACTTCAAGCTCTGCATACACGACTCGGCTGAAGAAAAGGAAAGCGCGTGCAGAAAGCTCGGTGTTCGTGAAGTGGAGACTCGAATTGAAGAGTCCACAACGGATGAACGTAGGATATTGTAGCCCAGGAAAATACATGAATCAAATGCAATAGGACGTCATTGGTGCAGAAGAGGTATGAAAGAATAACACATACCTACTCTGTGCGTACCTTAAGAGGTCAAATCCTGTTCGGATTTAATCTGTTTAGCTTCTCGGAAAAGCCGTCCAGCTTTGGCCAGATCATTCCATAATCCAGGTCCAGGCTAGGCTCGCTTATACGGTATACGTTACCTGAACAGTTGCAGTACCCATTGAGAGGTTATTGGTCTGATCATCAGGAACTCACGGCAATTGCACCGTGAAGCTGGAATTAAAACTGGAGCCTAACGAAGTGTCCATGCAGAAGCGAGAGGAGATCCTTCCTTGAATAGGAGATGGGAATCTGGAAGAAACGGATCAAAACATTGTCGGCAATCTGAATATGCTTAAAAGCATTGGCATCCTCGTGTGGTAGCCATTGGCGAGAACTCGCCACGCCCACTGCTGCCCCTCGATGTCGATCTTCCCGGCACTTTTTTCTGTCCTGCATATTCAACCGGAAACGGCGCAGTGGAACATCGGACGACGGTCCATGTGATCTGAGTTCTTGCAGATCGAAAATATTTATCTCATATTGAAATACATATTTGATGATACTATCATCGAAAATTGGACGGACTCAACCTTTCCGAAACGCTCGCTGTACTCCGAAAAGCAAGGTGCCAAAACACTACACATGCAAAGCACAAAAGTTCAATAGGCACGCATGAGGCTAACTCGATACCAAACAATGCAGATAAGAGGTAGAAAATGAACCAAAAAAATTGAATTCAAAAACTCCCACTTTCAATATATCCGATGGTCATCGCTATGCTTCCAAAATCAGCCGAAAGCAATGCACCGACCAATATCCAAACTCCAGAAACGAGCACAAAGCCGACCCCTCTTTAGCACCAAAAGCTACTGATTTGATCATTAAACGTTTCCGGAATCCTCATCAACTGGACACCTTTCGGAACAACAAAACTATCACCATTACACCCCGCATCCATATAGGCTCGACAGCTAGTTCGTTGGTCTCCAGCAATAGAAGAAATGACATCATTGAAGCTGGTTGGGACGTCTGTACAGGTGTTGTATGCACCGTTCATTTCGACACAGTTGCCTTCGAGGTTAAGGTCGACGCAGGTCTGGAGGTTGTAGTTGGACCGAGCGACGAGGTTGGATGGGAGAGCGACCGCAGTGGCTGCCAAGGAGAAGAGAGCGAAGCCTGGGATTTGCATTTCGGAAGTACGTTGTTACTCGGTCTTGGTATCTTGTGGGAAAATATGATAAATTGCTTGGTTCTGTAGGAAATGTCTCGCCGATGTAGCTGATGGGTGGATGAGCTTCTTTTCCGCTGGTTACACGCGCGTTCTTATACCTCATTCGTTCTCCTCCGTTGAAGCCCATTTCGGACCCCGAAAAAAGAGTTCCTTCCTTTAGTAGCAAGGCTTCCCAGAAAACGTACGTGCGATCACTGTGTTTGAGGCTGTACCGACTGGCCAGGTCAGTTTCTGAGGTAACAGTGGGTCGGAATTGAGGCTTGCTCGGGGTTAGCGAGCCCGAAGCGAGCAACCACGTCTTAGCGCTGACTGCTATTTCTGTTAGATGCTGTGGCGTGGTGGTAAGATCAGAACTATCATTGGTTGTACGAGCTCCAGCCTCATCCCCTCAGGATGTTCGCGACAACGGGCGAATCGTAGTGTGGTAGAAACTAAAATGTACCCTTAGTTCTTTTCTAATTTGATTTTGCCATTTTCGTGGCATCCCGTCACATGTATTCCACTTGACATCTTTGAATATTGCCGAACATGGGGCAAAAGCTGCCAGTGGGTTGTATGATCCACTGTAGCACATGGAGTTGCCTTCCTGGGAGCATAGCTTTTGGCCATACATTCAATGTAGAGCAAAAATCTTCCTAACGGCACAAGTGTTCTCCAACTCTTGCACTGAGTGAAACCAAGTTTTCATCCAGATAGTCGTAGCATCTACCATTGCAATAAAATGGCAATCTTGTAACTGGAAGGTATTCCAGTCGTACCCCGAGGAGTCCTTGTTGATTAGACTCAAGTCTTTTCTTACCAGGTGCTGTTCATTTCGACTGAGTTCGAACTTGGACGGTCTCAGCAAAATAGCATCGTGACCTGACTCGTATGTACCTGTCAGACAATTGACTAGAATGTCACCCGGCTGTGCTAAAACAGGGAGCATGACAGGCGCACTTCCTCCGAGAATTGCTGGTTGCTTAAGTTTATTTGACCAGCTTATGTATGCTATTCTCATTAGAATGAAGATGAATCTCCCAACTAAATGATGGTGAATAATATCATCATCAGTCCAACCTAGGTAAAATGACCTTCTTGAAGCCCATTTACATAAGATTGAACTAACTTCTGCCCAAAGACTTGGTTCGAAGCGGTCCATGGGGAAAAATGGTTCATAGATGCCATCCGTACCACGCTGCTCAATAAGATCAAAGACGAAGTCTCGAGCTCTCAGGAATTTGTCGTCTGATCTTGACATCCACTGCAGGGCGGAAGTGAAATACGAATGATCCCAACGAGTCTGTGAGACAGCAGGATCCCATGACACCATTCCATCAACATGCACCGGCCAAGCCGAACAGGGGAGCACTGTCTGTACTGAACCATAACAAACACCAGCAAAAGCAAGAACATTCGGTGCGGCCCACGAGGCCTTGTAGTATTCAGGGTTCGAAAGCGATGATGAGGGAATGTGGGAGCGGTGGCCTCGATTACCAGACTGCTCCGATATAGTCCAGTCAGGTACCCATGATGGATAGCCTCTTTGGAGCCCACCCAATGAAATACTTTCCACATGATGAAGTATGTTCTTAAGTCCATACCATTCTACGAATAAGCGGGTGGTATACTGATAGACCTCTGACACAGACTTATCATAATCAATCGGAATCTTCAATCTTGTGATGGCGCTCGCAAGTCCGAGATGGGCATATATCATATCTCTGGGGTCCGAAAGACAACATCCCCTTCGCTGAGACAGCAGCTCCAGAAGAGCCTGGCCTGGTACCTCCTCGATATACTGGGTAGGTATCTTGTCGGTGGCACCGAACTTGTTTCTGCTTTGCGTCATGCTCTCCAGAATCTTGCGACTGTTGGGACGCCACTGGGAGAAACTGGTTCTCATGACTGTTCTGTAAAATACTCCCCACCTGACTCGATATCGTCCGCACTGAATCCATGGATCCTGGAGAGAACAAGCTCTTGAAGAATCCAAACCCTTGTGAACCAAGGCCTGGCAAGTATCTCGTCTTCTACGACCATTTCGAACTGACAAGTCAAAGGATATGGTGTACCCTCAGACTCGGATGAGTCAGCACCCAAGCTCATCCACTGCAACATAGCGTCGCATCGAGGGGAAGATAAGCCTAAGAAAATAATAGTGTGTTCGGCAGTCGAGTATATATCTCCCATCAAACTGACTTGCTGGTTGCGATCAAGGACATCGTTCTGATCAATGCAGATGCCGTCTGCCCAGACTTGAAGAATTCTTCGAGGATCTCGAATGTGGCGCAGTGCTGATTCCAACGATGCGGTGATTTCGAGTCGCTTTCCATCTATCATTATAGTACGTCTGTCGGTTGGATCTCCCCATACATATGATATGGCAATATAGTGGTCAGCAATATCGTGTCGATAGTCGGCCAACTTTGTGTTTTCCAGAGAACACTCCACGCTCGACTCCAGATTTTCGCAGGGCTGGAGATGGACGAGGCGGAAGGCATCACCTCCTCCAAGTTCAGGATACACGAAGCTGTCTTCGGCTGCCATCTTGACTATTGAGGTTCAAGATATTTGATCAAGATGCGACTCTCGATGGATTTGGGTATAGAATTGGGATATGAGGATGAGACTCTGGAGTTGGCCAATGTTGGTGCCTGAACGCCAAAAACAACCTCCGATTGGCTTGATCATTGCTGCAGTGTGGTGATCCCCGAAGCTGCACCAATGCGGCTCAATTGAAGGAACAGAGAAAATCGAAATTGGAGACTCGATCAGACTTTCAACTGAGTGGTGTTGATCGGCGGGAGTTTCGAAGCCGCAAATGACTAGGAACGAACCTGATATAATGTTAGCTACGTTCAAAATTAAGATCTTACCTTGATCTCGTTCAGATGGTACGAGAATATGAATTTCACGACCGGCGCAAAAAGCTTCATCTATGCATACATTCCCCTTATAAACCAGGACGAGAGCAGTTCGGACAGACGGGTATTCTTCATTATTTCATACATTCCACCTCCATATCTAGGCCAAGCTCAATCTCTCCAGTCTGCTCTTAGCAGCTTCCACGAGTGCAGTCTCTCTATCAAGCAACCCCATAATCTGTGTCATCTTCGCTTTTCGAATCTCAGACGGTACCTTAACGTTCGGTGACTTGATCACGCCCTCGTCCTTCTTGACGCCCTCGACCTGCTCCATAAGCTCATCACTCAACGCCTTGACTTCCTCAAATCGCGCCCATGGCTCCTTCGCGTTCGTCCCTGTTACTTCCTCCTCGCCCTGGCCAAGTACCTTGTTGCTCAGCACTTCAGTCTCCTCAACCCAGGCCTTCTCCTTGTCAGACAATTCTCTACTCGAGCCCTTCATCACTTTTCGCTTCATTCTCTCAATCCGCTCAGAAAGTCGTGTTTGTCGTTCGGTAGCATCCTTCAGACGCTTTTCGACAAGCTCATTCATAGTCTCTATAGGCCCTTCATCGTTGTCATCGCCGGTGACTTGTTCCACTCGAGCGGCGACATCATTGGCCTTCTTGATTTGACTTTGTAGGTCTATCTGTAAACGCTCACATCGTCGAAATAGCTCTGCTGCTGCTGCACTCACACGATGAGTCTCCTCACTCAAGACTTTGTGTGCCTCTGTCATAATTTGAAGAGTGGCTGGCGATAATCGGACCTCTTCCTTCAATAATCTAGCGTATCGTGAACGTCCAAGTTGTTCAAGAAATGCGGGTATGCTGGAATTTTCCGCGAGCGCATTTGGTGGCTCATAAGCCGGTCGTGGTTCACACAAAATTAAAGGTTTGTCAGGCTCTGGGTCGTAAGTCGGAGATCGGGTTGCCGAGCGTTGAAATTCGAAACCGGAATCAGGAGTAGTTGCCTCAAAGTCGATAGCGACTGGGCCGTATGGAGTCGCAGAGAGCAGGAAATATCCAAGATCTGGATCCTGGACGACTTCGCAAGCAGCAAGAGGGGATAAATGATTCTCCGACTTGTGGGTGTAGAATCGTTCTCGAGTTGAATTTTGCCCGTTGGCCAGAAGATCTAGTCGGAAGTCACTACCGGCTGAAGCCTCATTCAACTCTCGCTCCAAGCGGAAGACCCAAGGCTGAAGAGAGATGAAGGTGATACTGGAGGTGTCCGTCACGAAGAAAGAATATCTGCTGTTGAAGTCGGAACTGAAGACTGGCCAATTACCATCCCATGGTTCATCGCCTCTCAAGAGATCCAGAACTTCAAAAGTCATGAGAGATGGTGGTTCTGGTTCTTCCATCAATCTCAAAGCTTTCGATTTGGTTTTTGGCAACCACTGTGCCTCGACACCATCAAGATCTAGACAAATACTTAGTCGGCCACTAGTTGTCATAAAGCACACAACTCCGATGGAGAGGCCTTCATGATCGTTGTCGTCCTCCAGATCATCCTCCTCGCCAAACATCAATTCCTCGGCATCAATTTTAGCCCCAATGACAGATATGTCGCTGAGCAGTCCGTCATTTTTGTCCTCCGACTCTTCAGGAGCGAGGTCGATCTCAAAAGGCCCCTGGAGCTTTGGTACCCTTCCAGGCTTCGCTGGTCTGGTATAAACTTCCGCAGGCGGGTCACCTGGAGGACCCTCAACATGTACGGGCTCCTGGGCATCGATTTCTGACATCCAAGCAAGCTGTTGTTGGGCTAACATCTTGCTCATTTGTGGTATGGTCGGGTCGTCTTCCATCGCAGCTACGTTTGCCACGATGGAGATGGATAGTGAAGGGATCAAAGTTGGTGGTGGTGACCACTTCTCTGGTAACAGAGGGCATAGTGCGTAGATGTCCCCTTCTCTCATAGCAACCCATAAAGTCATAGGTGACCATCCTCCGCTACCTCGTCCGGCAAAGCATGCTGATGCTACTTCCATTTCGAACGAATCTGGAGAGAATCCTTTGCTTGCACCGGCAACGGAAGCGCCAAAGTCTTGGTCGACTGAGGTCCCATCTGCAAGCTTCTTCAAATCGATGGCTAAGGTTGGCCTGTCGAAGGACCATCGGTCTGCCGTCGAGAGTTCCCATACTCGCACGATAGCGTCTTCTGTCACCGTCACCAAGCACGTCCCATTAACGCCCAGAGGATGCCAGAGGGCAGAGGCGATTCCAGATTGTGATGTGACATGTGTGGTAGGGCCGAGGGTATATGTCTTCATCTTCAACGGGCCACTCTCCCTAGCTGTAAGCTGCCCGGGCTCAGGTAACAGTGCGATATGGACAGTGTGAGTCGTTAAGATGGCGATATAGTTGGAGTGGGGTGAGATCACAAGTTGTCTAATGTCTTCTGCTACCGGGGTCTTGATTGTCTGCAAAAGTTAGCTTTGAGAACATTGTATGAGAAATGTAGCATACCCGATATCCTTCAGCGCGATGTATCTCATCCTCACTATCACTGCTGTCTCTTCTCCTACTTCTGCCATGATCTCTAGCAGCTTTCTTGTCCTCGTGCGTCTCCTTCAGGTATATTAGATCCGCCCATCGTATCTCTTTTCCAACAGCTATGAAAACCTCTGTTCCTCGTCGCGCAATCGTTCGTCGAGGTCCAGGCTTTGTAGATCTCTTGCTGCTCGAGTAGAAGCCGTTCGACGAGTTGAAAGATTCGCGTGGACCATCTGTTGCAGTTGGCTTGAAGAGCTCTGAAGCAGGGGGCGAAGACAGCCATTCCGGCGTGAAGCTAACAATCTTTGGCATCTTAGAGGCGAAGCTCTTGGAAGAGCTGTAGAGGTTGAGAAATTGAATTTAATGGTGAAGCTTCATGAGTTGAGATTATGCGACAAGCAGGGAAGAAGTTTCGTGGTTGTTGTATTTGTTGTATGTGACTTTTTAGGCCTGTTGGGCGTGCCTGTGCTAGCGCGCTTTGGTAGAGCTTTCGCGATGCGATATTCTTTGTAGCCAGCAAAGCTTTGGAACAACACAACTGTCAAACATGGCAACCGTGGTACAAAATACCGTTGAGAGGCTTGACAGGCCAAGTGCTTATTATCAGAGTCGTGTGAGTCATTATTGCTTTTCTCTCTGGTCACAATCTAACATGAAGCAGAACAAGAAGCGCAAGTATGATCGGGATGATGAGGGGGAAGGTAGAGAGAGGACACCGGAAGAGGCAGAAGACCCATTGAAAGATGCTGCGACCCTTTATGTGGGAAACTTGTACGTGTGGAGCTTTGTTGGCCCTACGTGAAATTGACAGCATCAGGTCTTTTTACACTACGGAGGAACAGATCCACGAGCTGTTCTCGAAATGCGGGGAGATTAAGAGGTTGATAATGGGGCTCGATCGATTCAACAAGACACCTTGCGGATTCTGTTTCGTTGAGTATTACCATCATCAAGATGCTCTTGACTGCATGAAATACATTGGTGGCACGAAGCTTGATGAGAGAATCATTCGAACAGATCTAGATCCTGGATTCAAGGAGGGAAGGCAATATGGAAGGGGAAAGTCTGGCGGCCAAGTGCGCGACGAGTACCGGGAAGAATATGATGAGGGTAGAGGTGGTCTAGGTCGAGCTATTCAAGCAGAAAGACTTAAAGAAGAAGAGGAATATGGTAAAGGCAGATAGATTTCCATCGTCTCTACCGGCGTTGACGGTGTTCTGGGAAAAGTTTGGGAGAGCGATTTGCCTAGAGTGGCATGCCTTATTTGCGCATACGCCAATTCATGAATCGAGTAATATCCGTACAATATACCATTGACTTCGTCCTCTGATGTACATCCTTCCAAACGCCATAATATGCTTCAATATGATACATCCATTTTCCATCCCTTTATCAGTATCCAGGGGGATTGACTCGTTGAGATACCCTCGTCCACTTTGGCAGTTCTGCAAAGCGATCAGTCTCCCATCGTAGCTCACATTCCTTGAACAAAACTCACTGTGGATTCCCTTCCTATACTTCTTCTCCTTGCGATCGAAAATCGTGTATTTGTCCTTCGGCACCATCTCCTGCTCAATCGGCATCTCCTCCTTCCATCTCTCCACAGCCTTCGTCGTGATACTCTTCTTAGCCAACGCCTGGTCCACCACTGCTACCACTGTATCAACTGCACGTAACCGTTTCCTTTGTCGTGCTTTCTGGAATTTCGACAGTCGCCAGGGAATCTTCCTACAACGCCAATCGAGTTAGAAAGCTCCGCATCAAAGCACAATCACTATCTCAAGATCAAGCTTACCAGAGAAGACCTCCTCCCAGAGAATTCGTTGGTCTGAAAGCTCCAAACATTGTGTTGATGCTCTACTTCGAAAAGGAATCAAACATTGGAAGATCTCAAGAATTATACACTCCAAGAACGCTAGCGGCCGCCTCAACTCTAGTTCACCATGAGCTTCATGCTTCCAGAAAACAACTCGGAGGGGACAGATAAAATGTCCTACTATTTTGCCATCATTGGCACGAAAGACAATCCTCTGTTCGAATATGAGTTTGGAACTGCCAAGCAGGGTGGAGATGGCATCGCGCGATTCGCGGAGCAAGCCCGACATATGAACCAGTTCATCGTGCACAGCAGCTTGGACATTGTGGAGGAGGTGCAGTGGGGAAACGGGCAGATGTATGGATCATATCTTCATGTTACTCTATTGATACTAACATATGTTGCCAGGTACCTGAAGTGCATCGACCGATTCTACAACAACTACGTATCCTGCTTCATGACAGGCGGAAGTAAGCCACCTCTCGACCCGAGCTTGCTTTCACCTACTAACAAGAGCAGACGTCAAATTCCTCCTTCTACACTCACCGTCCCAACCTGCCACGACCAACACAAGCCGGGCCAGCACATCGATAGGTGCCAATCCAACATCACCTCAAACGGAGGAGGCAATCAAGCAGTTCTTCACTGAGGTGTACGAGAACTGGGTAAAGACAATCATGAACCCTTTCTACAACGTCAACGCGGAGGTCAGGAGTCCGGTATTTAGGAGTCGGGTTGCTGCCGCGGGGAAGAAATATTTATGAGTTCGCAGCGAATCCTTTACAGGAAACGGGGATGCTGAGTTGGCACTAACCGTGGCCACATTGGTGGACGACTCTGCTGCGTATCAATCCAGCTATTACTGGCGGGCAACCTGTGGATCTGTCCGCAAGCAAAGCACTTTCTCAGCAAGAGCTACGTTTGGAGTCGCAAGATAACGGGAATGGATGCAGAATTGGCCCTCGAGTCCAGGTTCGAGGACAGGCTAGAGCAGGGGATAGTACCCAGCTACGCGGCTATGACCCCAGTGCTGAAGATCTGGAAAGAAATGTCCACTCCGATGCTCTAGGCCGGCCAAGCCACGGTGTGCCTACATATTTATAGAAGTGCTGGCATGGTTAGGAGCTGTCAGTTTCCATACTAGCAAGGCGAACTTCGTCTTCTCATCGTAGGATGACTTGGATCAGCTCTAAATCGATAACTAAGAACCACAAAGTCATCGAAAGATTCCATGACCAAGATACTACAATGAAGTGAACTATGTGTAAATGTCCGCATTTTGCGCAAAAGGAGGAGAATGAGCAGAATGTGCAAACAGCGCAGTACGCTGGTCCTTTTAAATTTAGAGTATACAACTTGCTGATATCTACAAGTCCAGACACCATACAAGAACAAACATCCTGCAATCCTTCTGCATTGAAACTTGTAGTAGACTCAATCCCATCAGCCTGAATCCATCACTTTCTTTTAGAACCAACATTACTGAAGCAGGAATGTCCTCAAGCAAAAGACAAACTTTGAAAGGAGCATCCAGCGTTCTACTTCATACGGGGCTTTGAACGGCACGGAAAATGGCAACATCAATCAATATACATTATTACTACTATCATATCCTAATCTATCCTAACCTAACACCCACCAACTCCACCCACCTCATCAATTCTCCTTCCACCCCTGCCCTCCCACTCCTCCTACTCTAAAACCTCCCCTCCCCCTCCTCCTCCTTCACCACCAAACCCTTCTTCCCCTCCTCCCCACCACCACCACCAACCCCCCACTTACTCCTCGCCCCCCTAAAACTCTCCCTCTTCCCATGTCCCTCTCCCTCTCCCTCCATCTCGCCCTCCCTATCCACCCCAACAACCCTCCCCAATCCCACCCCAGGCCCATGATCCCCATACCTTTGCGTCTTCGCCCTCGCCAGGCCAGCGCTCGCGAGTGAGTACGTCGGCGTCGGCGTCTGCACCGAGACGGAATGATGATGAAGGACTGGAGAGGAGGAGGAGAGAGTTAATCTGTGAGCTGGGCTTATCGCCGGGATGGGGGTTAGGGATGAGAGTAGTGATGAGTTTACGGGTGGGATTGTGCTGGTGGAGAAGAGCGCGGATTGGTGGCTTGAGGATCGGATTGGGTGGCGGGTTTCGATTTCGTTGGATTTTTCGGTGGGATGGGGTATTGAGTAGGTGGCGCTCGGTCTCCTGGATGAAGAGCGGTCTTGGAATTCATACCCGAGCTCGGGGGATTTGGGGGAGAGTTCGTCGTCGCCGAGCATGGTGAAGCGGCGAGGAGGTCGGGAGCGGTGTTTATGCCAGAGGTGGAGGGATATTAGGATTATTATTAGGAGGAGAAGGGCGGAGGAAGCTGCTATGCCTGCTACGGCGCCTGAACTGAGAGATCGGGAGGTGAGGTTGGAAGAAGTCGTGGTGGTAGATGTTATGCTGAGGGGTGTGGATGAAATTGTGTTGGAGGAGAGGAGGGGTATGGTTGTATTCTGGTGAGTGTGTTAGGATGCGAAGGAGTATAAGAAGAGAGGACTTACAAGCGGAGAGATGAGGAAAGTTGAGTCGTCGATTAGACCGTTTTTCTGAAGAGTCCATATCGACCCTGTGGCATCTGTAGAATTTGATACTACTTGTGCTGTGGTCAGGTCGAGATAAGTTCCCGCTCCTGCATTGAGAACTCTCGCTCCGGAGGTATCTCCATCGAACGCAATATTCCACGACGCGCTCTCATTCAATGCTCTGCTCTGCAAGGAAGGAATTACATTCCCATCTCGATATGAGATGCCGATGTGAAAGGTGGACCCAATAGCTTGATTCCGGACCCAGTATAAATTTGTCAGAACCGATCGATTCGAAAGGAAAAATTGCCAATTCGTATATGCGGATTGAGTCTTGTTTATTTGTAGAAGATCGTTGCTCTCCGAAGCGCTGAGATAGCTGGTATCTCCCGAAATAGTGTTAGTAACAGTGTACCAAGTATCGGCCGTTAGAAGGGCCATTGTTATATATTTGGAAACGCGAAGGTATTGCGAACAGGGGAAAGGAAGGTGTGTGAGAAAATGAACATGCTGAACTGGTTGCGAGGCTATGACTTGTGGAGATGAAGGGGTACTTGTTGCCTATTACTTCTACAGTTCTTTTTTCTGAAGAGTCTCATGGTGATTTCGGCGGCTGAGACTTCTCATTTTGCGTGTATCGAACGTGTCTAAACGTTGTGAGACCTCGTGGCTGTGGGGTAAAGGACTTGAAGGAAAAAGCAAGTTTAAAGTAGATTAGCCACGGCAGGATGGAACACTGCTAAGGAACATAGTTGAAATGTAGCTGAACGGCCAAAGGAAGAACGAGGAGCATTAGTCATGTAGAACACAAGCTATAAATTCAAGTTTTCCTATGTAGGATCGTAGCGGTAGCCTGAAGAGCATGAGCATATGAAGTGACGAACCGCGAACACAACCTACTTGGTGATTGGGAAACAACAACGCATCTGCCAATACCATATTTTCTCTTCGGCCGGCAGCAAAGACTACAACTTCAACAATGTCTTCTGGAGTGCAAGGCTCAACACCAGCATACACAGCATCTGCTTTTGCCTTGTCACCACCAAATCGGACAACAGAGAACTCGGTCTCTACTTGGCCAGCTGCGATTTCAATCACACGTATTCTAGTAGCAATGAGTTCTTTTCGAAGGATCTCTGTGTAGCTTCGAACTGCGGCTTTTGTTGCGCAACTGTGATCAACAGCAGTCAATAATCGCCATGCTGTATGCAGGTATGGCACATACTAAATGCTTCCACCGACGTACGCCTCGCGACCAGCAACACTATTCATGTTGATGATATCGCCATGGCCTCCGTCTGGACGAGCCAGAAATATTGGAAGAACGGCTTGAGTCATATTCATGAGTCCAGTCACATTTGTGGCAAACATCTCATCAATATGCTCCCGTTGTAGGTGTGGACTTCCAACCATGCCGCCTTTCGCTAGGCCACTTCTTGTAATCAGTAAAATATGAGTCGCCGGATTTGCGACGTACGCGTTGTTGAAAAGGATGTCGATATCTCGAAAATCTTCGGGGAGTGAGGGTACGAAAGCATCGACATCTCCCGGCTTGCCAACATCCATTGCATAGCAGAATATCTTGACTTCAGATCCAACTCCTTTGTTGATCTCCGCAGCAACTTGTTCGAGTGCGTCGAGTCGACGCGCCGTCAAGACAAGTCGTATATTCTTAGAAGTGCGGGCGAATTCGAAGGCTGTCGCGCGACCAATTCCTGAGGATGCGCCAGTGATGACTATCGTCTTCCCTTCAAGTCGTTTTGCCATGGCAGAAGTCATCTTGAGTAGCTAGAACCAAGTGAGCAATGTAAAAGTTCGAATAACTGAGATCGCGTAGGTCAACTGTGACACTGCATCGATTACCCCACGTTCGGGAACGAGGATGCTTCGCGCTATCTCGATCCGCTGCTGCAAGGGGCGCCATGCATAATAAATCGGGACGAAGGAACAATGTAAAGATGAAAAGACGATAATTGACTGCAGGTTGCGATATTATCCACTGAGCTCCTACCTTTTTCCTCACCTTTCCTCGACAACAAGGGCAGTTGGTCCAGGAGAACCTGTGCCGGACGCGTTGATTGGAGCAAATGGCAGCCAAAATAGACCTTTAAAGCTTCCAAAGCCCAGCCAAAATGGCGATGAGAATTCCGATATCCAGTGATGCGGCACGATGAACAAAAAGATATAATAGGAATGATTCCCCGGAATTTGGGAATTTTGACCAAAATAGAAGGGTTGTGAAAAGATCGCGTCTCTCTCTTCTGTTGATGTTCCCACTCCACCCACACTTAGCGCCTCGCTTACAATCACACTTTCCAACCAATCCCCTGCGCCGCCCCAGAGCGACTTGGCAGCAGTTTTCGCAGCGCAGTTTCAACCCCAAAAACGCTCTCAATTATTCGATTTACCGATCCGGATTAGCGTACTCCCGTAACACTTTTTGCAATCAGCAATCACGACCCGTGCTCCAGGCTACAAAACAACTTCTTCTCCCCACCATTTCCACTTTCTCTCTTTCATACCACTTTCGACAACACCACTTTATCAACAACTTCATCAAAGTTATCGACCAACGCGTCATTCCATCTCCAAACCCCCCTCAACACTCCCCAAAACAACTTCATCATGACTGGACGTAAGTTACTCTCTTCATTATCGCGTTGTTCTTGTTCTTGAGCTCGTCGCCGCCTCCGGTCGCATTTTTGGTTGAGGTTCTGCGATGTTATCTTGACATCGCGTTTCATCTTTGGCCAATCGCCAACGACTTGAACCTCAACATCCACCGCGCAACACAACTACGCAATATAACTTCTTCATTTCAATCTCGTCGTCGCATGGCTTGGTTGCTTTGTTGAATTATTGCTGCTGTTGCCTTTTGGGTGGCGACTTACTCAACCTCATCACGACATCTCTTCAATGCTTCAATACTTTTATGAACATTCACTAACGCGTTCTCACAGGCGGAAAAGGTGGCAAGGGTCTCGGCAAGGGTGGAGCCAAGAGACATCGCAAGATTCTTCGTGACAACATCCAGGGTATTACCAAGCCTGCTATCCGTCGTCTCGCTCGTCGTGGGTAAGCATCATCCCCTCTTAACCTTCACACGAACACGACTAACATTCTTCAGTGGTGTCAAGCGTATCTCAGCCATGATCTACGAAGAGACCCGTGGTGTCCTCAAGACCTTCCTCGAGGGTGTCATTCGTGACGCTGTCACCTACACTGAGCACGCCAAGAGAAAGACTGTCACCTCCCTCGATGTCGTCTACGCACTCAAGCGCCAAGGCCGTACCCTTTACGGTTTCGGTGGCTAAAAGTCTTCTCTTCACACCCATCTTCGGTCACTCTCACCTTTCGATATCTCATCTTCGACTACGATACCGTGGAATATCCTTGGGCATTTGAAACTTTTGATAGTCTTATTGCAAGACGGTCTAGCATGCTGTTTACGGCAGGGTTTCGTTCATATTCATTCATCTCGGTATTCATATTCGACATCGACAGGCCTCAATCTGATCTCGGCACATCATCCTCAGCATACCTTTTGATAGTCTTGCGAGACGGTCTAGCAGCTTGTTTACGAGCGGGGTTTCTCTGGAATCTTGGGTTTGGGTTCTTACTCGCAGGTTGAGCAGGGTGGACTAGGATGGTTTTCTACTTCATGGATGGTGGCAACACGTGTATTTTGCTTTTCTGGCGTTTGGGATGAACTTTATGTTCCGGACGAGGGCGTCTGGACGGATGGGTGGAGACAACACGATGACTTGTGCATACGAGTGCAGAAAATATCTGGCCACAGGCCCCAAACTCATACTTTGCCTCGTTTGACGTGAAAAAAATCCGCCTTATGTGCTGTGCCATGACCTCAGGGAATGGTAATTGTCTATCTGCTTATCCCGTCTTTGAGAACCTGTGAGCAAAGACGGGATAAATTAACTTGAACATCTCATGTATGTCAAAGCTCCAAGTTCATTTTCATCCCGTCTCCGAGTGAAGTATGGAATAGCAAAAAGAGTTGACGGCTCTCAAGTCGCAACCCTCGCCAACAACAAACCATATACCTCACCACAAAAGTCTGCATGTACAAAATCTAGGAACGTCTATCCATTCATTATTCTTTACGTTACGTTAAGTAATTTTATATAAATCCTCATAAACATTATCTCCCCCCTCATCTCAAACCAACTCACTCTTCCCTCCCAACAACTTTTCCAACTGCCACTCGGCCATCCACTCCAACACAAAAATGACCTCCTGACTCTGCGTATCCCTTACCGGCGGCGGCGGCAGATAATCCGGCGGATAATCCACCGTCTCGTTCGGGAATAGTCCATTCTCATCCCAATGGTGGACCGCTTTCGGGATCAAGATGAATGGCTCGCTCGCCGTGCTCGTCCTGTTCACTGCCGTCGTGTTAAAGGGCGACGCGTGGGGAGTGGCAGGACGCCAGGGATCATGTTCCCCGTCGATGATGGCGAGGCGCGGATACGAGATGTTGAAGCCGCCGTATTTGTTGATGGCCGTTACGTTCGGGGGAGTGGTGATGTTGAAGGCGTAGTTGCAGACGAGAGATTCGTAAGCGAGGGTATTGGTGCGGGAGATGAGGGGGAGCTGGTCTGCGGGGACGCCGGACCCGGTTTGTAGGAAGCCCCATTGCGTGCAGTATTGGTAGGGCCAGGAGCGCCAGGATTGCGTGATGTCGTCTTGTTGGTAGTAGGTGATGTTGTGGGTGCTGAAGCAACTGTCTTGGTCGGTGGTGGTGCAGGAGGATACTTCGTATTGGGTGAGCCAGCCGATCCAGTTTAGGAGCGGGGTGGTGAGGTTCGATACTTCGGTGGAGTAGCCGCCTTTCGAGAGCAGGTCTTGGACTGTGGAGGTTAGGTCTTCGGTGTCGGGGTAGATTAGGTCGTCTGAGGTTATGTTGCCGCAGTAGAGGGTGAAGGATGGGTCGTTGACGGCTGGGTCCCAGTTTAGGCCTTGCCATGAATCGATTCCTGCTGAAACGACAGATGCGAAGTCATCATCGTAAGTCACGTTTGGAAGACCGAAAACTCCTTTCAGTTCTGCTGTTGTAGCTGAGTCGTTCAGGCCGATCAAGATGTTGTCTACCATGTTCGTGATTTTTTGGGTGTAAGCAACACATTCTTGATCTGCGTAGAAACGAATTGGCTCGAAATATGTCCAGTAATCCCAGATGGCTTCTACAACGCCACTAGATGAGATTGTACCTACAGCCTATTAGTTCTGCTGCTGAGTAGCTAATTGTACGACTTACCCCAGAAAACATCCGGATACAGCTTCCTCAAGAAAGCATTGAAAGCTCCAGCATAGCTTCCACCATATCCAATGTACGCCACGTTTGGAGCAGTAAGGTTCAAATGCTCCAGACCCTCGAATACAACATTCTTTGCAAAGTATGCCTCGTCTGCAAGAGCTTGATCGGTAGTCAAGAACCTCATGTTCTCTGTCGACAGATCCGGCACAGGCCAACTCGTTCCATAGTATCGATGTTCGAGCACGACACCAATTCCATTTGTAGCCACCGCCAACTCGTGAAGCAATCCTTTCTGCAAATACGGCAAACGATCCGTACCTTCGTCTTCTCCTGACTGTAGAACAATCACTGGTCCTCCTGCCTTGTAATATGTGGCATCGAACCAGTATCGCAGATTAAAAGTGCCATTGGAGTGAGGCTCGTACATAGAATCATTGTGGAAATGGTCAATTGGGACAGAGAGGTTGTATGCGGGGTAGAGAAGCGTGGGGTCGGTGTCGCGTTTCTGGATACTCCTGCCAGTGATTGTGTTCCTCTTGAATGTCGGTGTCAGCTCTGGACAATTTGCAGCTGTGAGAAATTGCGACTCACTCGGACTTTGCGCTCAATGGCACGATCATAGGTTGCGTCCAGGGTAGCGGTGGCCAACACAAGCAGCGCGCATAGTACACTGAGCTGCTTCATTTTGAAGGCCTCAAGAGATTACCAATCCGAAAAAATGGGATGAGGAAATCCAGAACCTGATATCGGTCAGCATTAATACCTCGAAGCTATACTTGCAATCAATCTCGTTCTTGCTTTGGCGGCACATTGAGAGAAGATAATGTGGGGTAATAACTCACCTTCTCAACAACAATGAAGTCTGCACTCGAGCTGTAAATATATATGCAGCGAGGCACAGCTTATATATACTACATGCTGCGGCTGTGTTGCCATGTTCCGGTAAGCAGGCGAATTTGTTCCCCGCTTCTAACAGAGAAAGAAGAAGGTCCTGGGGTTCGTGCATGACGATCATGGTAAGGGTGTTATCGTGATGGCTGGGAGCTTCCCAATAGGGTTTAGTGCAGCAAGGGGCCGCAGCTCGTTTAGACCCGGCAGATTTGGTGCCTGAATAATTCATCCCACCCCACCTTCTTCCTTCCTTCCTTGCAGACTTCATTTTATCAAATTTGAATATCTTCTAAATGTCTCTTATTACAGCTCATTATCTCGGATGTTATTCAAAGCGCAATCAAATTAACCATCCATGCATATGCAACTTTGTCGTCCTTGCTACTTGACAGCCAATGAAAGTTTGCCTCGCTATGCTTTCTTCAATCCTGTATCCTCCAAAAATCGACAATTCCAAATTTCCAAGAGAAATTCGGGTTTGCAGGTGGATACCGACTTGCATTGACTTTAGTTGCATGATTCTTGCTGCTATGCCCCGCGTTCGTCTTGAGATTTTTATTGTCTGTCCAAGGATTATCAAGCTATTCTGAGCAAATGGTGGCAACCAGTTCCTCCACCTGATGTTCGTCAATGCTTCTCTGTGAGAAACTCTGTGATAACAGGTTCATCGACCGAGGATCAACTATACGAAGCTCGGCACAGTCAACGATTCTCAAAGCTTCCTCGAAAGGGATTTCTCTGCTGGGTCAGATTCAGAGTCATCTGCCTCAAGCGAGCCACAAAGCCAGAGATTACGATGCCTCAAGATAGTTTCACGTCTTCCTATTTCCTTTGAATTTCGCAATGAAATGTATTTCATTCCCTTACTCGATACCATGGTCATTGCAAAGCTAGCTATTCATTGTCATTCAATACACTCGAATCCAAGTCTGCAGATACCATTAAATTCTTTGAGCGATGCAACGAAGCTTTGGCCTGATAGAGCCACACCCTCATCGTTTTCGCCGCCATCCGCTCCATTGCCTTGTCGCTCTCCTGATATCTTGCTGCAGTCTGAAAAAGTAGACTGGTTGCTCGAACTCCGATAGGATCTGCCTCATGAGGAAAAAGCTCTGGCCCTGTGCCGACCGTGTTGATGATATTGACTATTCTTTCGTTACCACAATCTGGGTCGGTCGTCCACTTTGTAGAGTCTGCTAGCTGGCGGTTATATTAGCGGAAAGTATCTTTCAGAAGCAGGAGACTTGCCTTCAATTCCGCCAATGCGGCAAGTATGACTTCGTCATGTATGCGGTGAGCTTCCTCCTCGTCTCTGTCATCTGGAAGTGTTTGTGTGCCCTATGAATATCTCAGCCTTGTTCGGACAGTATCCCCTCTTCATTTGCCAGCCGAACCATATTTTGAGCCCATCGAATAATCTCCTTCGGAGGTTGAGATAAACATATGATCAACTTATCCGTATAAGTCCACGGTACAGTGACCTGCATCTCAGAAGCGTTTATCAACTGTCCGGTACCATCTTCTCCGAATTGAAGACCAAACAGACACCAAATGACCCTACCCTCAAGAATCATCTTCAGTCGCAACTTTCGATCCACAATCTTCACATCTCTAAGTATGCTCTCAACGTATCTCTCCAACCAAGCATTCGACTCATCGTCTTGTGGTAAACCCTTCAGGATCAGACCACATGCTCTTGCTCCAATAGTGTGAGGATGCATCAGCATCTGATTCGACAAGTCTTTCCTCTCATTCATTTGCTCCGTGTCTTGACTGGGACCTCCAAGCACGACTTGATTCAACATGAACTTGATCGGTGCGACCTTGATCTGGTCAGTTGTTTCGTGCTTTTCTACGACGTGCAGAGCTTACTTTTTGAGCATCAGCTATGAGTTGTAGAAAATGATGACTGAATCCTTGCGCTACACGTTCTTCTTCCGAAGGTAGTTCTTTTACGTCCTATTGCAGACAACATTAGCATTTTTCTTCGTGCTCAATGGAGGGAAGGCGGTGCTGTACGTACCATATACTTGATCACTTGCAAGAACTGCTTCCCGCTCAGGCGCAAAATTCTCTGCACCGCTTGTTGCGAAGGCGGCATCGCAGGCTTTGTTTTCGGGAAGTCAGAATAGTATCGTATTAAGTGCAAGCTATTCATCCTCTTCAAGAAATCGTCTGCGTTCGTGTTGAGAAGTCTCTCCAATTCTTCTTCTATTTCTTGTTCGGAAGGCGGCATTGCGATTCGTGGTTGCACGGAGTCGGAAAAGAATAGTATGAAATTTGGCTTCTTGATCAGAAATCTGGAGTCGAGTCTCGAATGAAGGTGTTTAGCTATATGCATCTTGATGTTGCAGGACTTGAATGCGCGTCGCGTTCCTTTGTTGATGTCGAGGGGCTCTTGAGGATTCGCCAATGAATGGTACTTAGGCGAATAAAGTAGTAACTTCGAGGCTTCAGACTCATGTGACAAGCGCACCAACAACTGGCGCTTTTAGTTTTTAGGCACTAACAAGGGCGATTAACGGAGTTTCGTCCGTATCTACGAGTCTGCTAAAGCTAATAAGGGCAATGAGAATGGTATACACGAAAAGCGCAACTCGAAACCTTTTTTGATTCCATATCGAACGGGATCTAAGTTGGGATCCTAGCTTCATCTCTTCTCTTGATGAGACGATACCCCAGACAACAGCAGAAAACAGTTCAATGGTCTCTCTCAAATCGTTCACACGTACGCTCGGAAAATATGCAGCGCCGTGTAGGTCAGCTACTCTTCTTGTCCCATGCCCCAGGTACCTATGCTTTCCACCGGGACTTCCTCCATAAGCAGAAGGCCTCTGCAATTGTTTCCTAGTAGTCCTCAAACTTCAGAACAGGAGTCGGCAGTATCAGCAATCATTTGCGAACGCAAGAACCAATCCACGAGAATGCCTCTCATCAGTCCAAACCACCAGCTCAGCCCTGTCTCAAGTTCCTTTCCGGCCACCATGCAGATATCTCTACCATATAAAGGTCCTTGCGGGAACTTCTCAATTATTCCGCACGGAGTGTCTTCCTGTCATCCTCGCGATTCAGCCACTGCTCCCAACCTAACCCTAACCCTAACTTCACTCGCTAGCTAGAGATCTGCCAGCCTACTCCTAGGCAACTAGTTTGCTAGCTATTCACCCTCCTCAGCCTCGCCTAACCTCCAGACCTAACCAAGCGAGGATTTAAATCAACCCAACTCCGCCGGCCCCCTAGCGATGGCGTGGCTAGGCAGTCGGGTTCGATAACTATTCGTGGACTTCAGCGAAGTGCCGAGCTGGCACTCAGTGCCACAGCGACATCCTCCGTTGAAATTTGTTTCATTGCCGTAATGAAAAGATAGGTACTCTCCTACAGTGATATTTCGCTTCGCGATTAGCACCAAACGAGCATAACCGTCGGCAATCCACTCCTCCATTTGGCAGTTTGGTTCACATGAATGATTTACCCGAGCCAACTTATTACCATTCACCTCCCCATTGAGATATCGCCTCTCCTTGAAGAAGCTTGCACCAATTCGAATCATATACCTCCTCTCGGACTAAGACATGTCAGCTACGAATTTGATAGTTTGAACAGAGACTTACCTTGTCCAACTTTTCCCACTCGTGTTGTGTAGTAGGCTTACCCTTGTACTCGCCTATAGCCGTACCTGCCGAAATATCACTACTTGTTTTGAGTCCAAGTCCACGATCTTTTTCTGGGGATATTTCGAGGCTCTCGTAGACTACTCGGCAACCAAGACTGTGGCAAGGTAGCGCCCGCATGTGCTGGAGTTTTTTGCGTCCCGATCGCTACTCAACTCTTGCAAGCAAGCGGGCACACCGCGATCAATCACGCTCCAAGGCAGGAATCTATATGATGCACCTGATCAGCCGGCTTTCCAGGTGGTGATAGAGGGCGATCGATTCGTCGTGAGAGCATGAAGGCCCGACCTCCAAGAAGGATGAGAAGGATCGGCCGGTATGACAGGAAGGGTTCGAGGACGCCACGCTTGCAAAAGATACTATCTCTAACTCCAATCGCTCCACGTGCATCCCTCATGGATCAATCCTGTTTTCCAGATCGCTCTTCAACAATCGTATCCTCTTGTGCTCTTTCACGAGGCGACAACGCCTTCGTCTCTCCAGCTAAGAATTACGTTTGGAGAATGTGTCGCAGGAGCGAGTGGTGAGGTGAGTCGTTCGCAGACCTTGGAGGTACCCAAATGCCAACGATCTTCAGTGAGACGACGGACAGAAGCGCTAATGGGAGGTGTCATCTCACTACTTGAAATTAGTCTTTATGCTGGAGTGGGATTTTGCTTACCAAAATATATCGGCGGAGACTGTGGTGCTTCGCTAGCGCCTTGTTCAGCCGACCAGGGATTATGAGGCTGAAGGCAACATCACCGAAGTCCTCAACTCTTTCCACAACTGCATCACGATGTCAACAATGCCTTTGCTGCGGTCACTAGACCATGCCTTACAATTTGCACAACAAGAATCACCTCGCAAATACCAGATCGATTCACGCAGCTCAACCCCGGCCGTGTACCCTGAATATGGCCCCGAAGATTATGAACATTGGAAGGACACTCTAAACAAAGCGTAAAGCAAGACGCAACCAGCGCAAGGGCAAGTTAAGTTATCAGATATTCGTCTCGAAGTCATAAGAAACAAACGAATCATGCGGGGAAGTAGTGTACATGGTATGAGAGAGACATTACTGGAGGATCTTGGGCATCACTCATCAATATGATTTTATAAGGTGCGAAAGAATGGTGTGTGCCGGTTCACATTCATCTAATTTCATCAATCCTACTAAGTCTATCAATGAAACCCGACTCCAGAAAACTTTCCTCTCGAGTTCCATTTTGGGGTCCTTCCCGTCCAGCCATTGTTGGTTTTACCTTAGTGGATGCCTGTTGCTGGGTGATCGCAGCAGGCTCAGCGAAGCTTCGGATTTCTGGAAGTGGCAGGTAGTAGTTGCAGTATGCAGATGACCATCGACACAGCTTAGTCATCGAGTCGTTGCTCCTCTGTTTCATTGCTGTTCGGACGAACTCGACCATCTCCGTCGTCCACTTCACTTTCGCACGCAAACTTGGCCTATCATAGTCGTTTCCCGATTGTCGTTCTGTGTCCGGTAGGAATTCGTCGCCTTCGATACCAAGGTGATAGACAAAGCCAGGAGATCAGTCATACCATCTCTCAATCAACACAACCGCCAAAGACCATATATCGATAGTGTCTGAATAGTATCCTTCACCATCTATCTTTGGTGCTCGATATAACTCGCTGCCGCAGAACGACTTCAAGCGGCTAGACAAGTGGGAATCCGAAAAGTCAGCCAGCTTAAAGGTCATATCGGGATCATTCGAGACAATGAGAATGTTCAGGGGTTTCACGTCTCTGTGGGTCGTCCCCTCACGGTGTATGTAAGATAGGGCTGGCGTCATTTGTTCAGCTAGTCGATACAGTTGCGCGTGGCAAATGGATTCATATTTGGATTCATATTTGGATTCATAGTCACGCAGAGTGCCATGGGTAGCATACTCCATGACCAAAAGTCTATCCATAGACAGTATATCGACAAAAATTACCCCTCGAGTCTCCATCGTCCATACACCAAGTCTTTCACCTCCATAGCGTACCACTTCCAAAAAAAAAACACCACGAACATGTGGCCAAAAAAGCGCTGGCCTGCTATCTCATCTTCCCTAACCACCTAAAAAAAGTCAACAACTTGCCCCAAACTACATCTAAAGACTCCTCACCAACCCACCCACCCACTTATCCCGAACCACCTAAGATATGAATATAAAACCGATGCCGCATAAACAAATGCCGTTTATAAGTCCAGTAATTGCAATCCGGACACACGAAGACGGTGACGCCGTGGACCTGTCGAAGGTGTTTGTTCCGTCTTGCAACCGTCCGGAACTTCCTGTTGCAGGAGCCGCAGCGAGGCATGGATGATGAATTTTGAGGATTGATGAGTGTGGTGTTGACTTGAGGAGGGTTGGATGGAAGAATATTGGTTGTGGGGAGGAGAGTTTGGTGGGATTGATGGATGTCCGTACTGGATGAGGACCAGTGGAGGAGTTGTAGATGGGGCTTTTGTTGATTTTATTTAGAATGGAAGTTCTGCCAGCTGTGAAAGTCACATCGGGATTCGGGAGAATATGTATTCTCCGTCTGATGGTTTGTTGTTGTCGCCATCGATTCCACACCACGCGCCCAGTACAAGGCTCTGACATGTGAGTACCTGTCATCACAACAACATATTGTCGCGTCTCTTGGTCTGGCGTGTCCGTTAACAGGCTCATACTCTGCCAACACATCTATAATCGTGAAAGATATAAATGAAAGATGAGATGGTGTGTTGCACAGAGGGATAAGAGGCTCGAAGACAGAGAAAAGAAAGCCTGAAGGACGGGGTCGCTATGAACGCTTCCATCAAGCGCGCCAGTTCCGTGCCACCTCCGACGGTGCCTGACGGTGAAATCATGCAGGCTCACCCAGTTGTCCAGGAGACGAAAGACATCTTCGCCCGATGGGCGTGCTTTGTGTAGGAGTTGTGCCCCTCAGATGCGAGCTCACTGGAAGGGGAAGGTCTTTACTTGACCCAGGAATCGGGTTACCAATAGCAGCCACTAATCAACAACTCAACGAACGTGATGGCGTGCATGAAACAAGAGACCTGCGGCTACTGTCAGCATCTACCGTTGGCTGGCGTAGAGTTCAATCCGACGTGGGAGGTTGGGAGCAGTGGCTGAACTTCGAGGATGACAGGAAGACACCCCTTGCGGACTAATTGAGAAGTTCCCGGCATCTGCAAGCGATCTTCATATGGTAGGGATATCGGAATGGTGGCCGGAAGGGGGATTGAGATAGGGCTTGAGATAGGGCTATGCTGGTGGTTTGGACTGATGAGAGGCATTCTCGTGGATTGGTTCTTGCGTTCGCAAATAGCTTCTGGCATTATAGACTCCTATTTGAAACATCAAATCCCAAAAGGAATCAATTGCAACGGACCTCCGCTCGCGGGTGAAGTTTCGGTGGAGAGTATAGACACCTGGGGTATGGGACGGGAAATGAGCAGGTGACCTACACGACGCTGCATGTTTTCCGAGTCTAAGTGTGAAGCAACAATCAGCTCCTCGCAGTGGCAAGACCTCGAGCATCATTTCATCTCATCGAGAGAAGAGATGAAGCTAGGATCCCGACTTGGATCCGATTTAATGTAGAAATCCAAAAGGGTTTCTTATTTGCGCATTTCGTGTGTGCTATTCTCATTGCTCGTACTAGCTTCAGCAGATTCAAGAACTTGGACGAAACTTCGTTCCTCGGCCTTCTTAATGCTCAAAAATGTAAAGCGCAACTTATTAGTGCGATGGTAGAAGGTGTACGAGATGCGGTTTATCTTGACGATGGGCACTTGGAGGAGGCTGTAGTTTGGGCGTGTTGGAAGGGCGAGGAGCGCGTGATGGAGCGACGCAGCAATACGCTGGGCTTGTTGAGACCAGAAGATGTAGAGGCGCAACAGCTTGGGGAGTACGACGGGGGCATTACTGCTGCTAAAGATTTCAAGATGGAGAGCGATATTGTGTTGATGCTTGGTATCGGCGAGGTTCTTTGCCTTTACCTTTGCCTTTGCCTTTGCCTTGATAATGCCTTTGATTGAGGTACGAAGTTAAAGGTTCTTCCGAGGGTGTCAATATTCTCTACCTTATCAATGGTTTGTTTGTTTGTTTTATTCATAGGACTCCAGGCCTGAAAGGCCCATGCGCCGTGACTATCTGTACTACCACGCTAAGTAGAATACAGCCTGCTCTTCCATCCTACTGGCAAAAGCTCTTATTTTAGTCCAAAGAGATCTTTAATCATAGGGATCTAGAGGCTCCAGTAAACAGCTTAAAACCCTGTGGGAAAAGTGCTGAAGGATGCCCCTCTCAATGCCATATGCCTGCCCGTCACTGGCCCTGATTTGACTGTGCATCTAGGCCCCTCCTCCCTATTCTTATGACCTCTCTGCAACTAGGTGTCTCTCTGATATGGATAAAGCTGTCCTGCAAGCTTATGATATATGATCGCATACTCCTAGTCTTCTACCTTGCACTCCTCGTCCATAGAGGCACGCTGACAGGTATAATAAGAAGTAAGCATAGCTAGCAACTAGCTGCTTAAACCTCTTATCCATCCTGCACCACAAGGTTCCTGTGCGTCTGTACAACACGATACAATTCATCCATCCTCGGTCCATGTTTGCCAGGGCGCTTGCGCCTCTAGTAATATAAGGAAAGTAGGCAGGTAGTCTTGATCGCGTCGCGTGTTGTGAGATCAGATATTTTGGGTATAAACGCGTGTTTTGAGGTGAACTTCCAATAGTAATATGTTAGCAAATGCTCATTACTATAGGAATAGGGGGTTTCAAGTGTGTGTTTCCAAAAATTTGTGTTGTCGTGGTGGTGTTGTTTTTCACCTTATCAATGGTTTGACTAGGTATGATTTAATCGCAAGTCACGTTTTTCAAAAAAGTCACGTTTATTCGTTCTTGTAATACGATTAAAACTATAGTTAAGCTTTCGCTTTTTCTTTAGAGTCAAGATCTCTTGAAGTTTTTAAACTTTAGCTTTGCGACGGGGTATGAGAAGGGGGAGGGATGGGGTGAGTAATAGGGGAGGAAAGCTAAATAGGAAGTTGAGAAGTCTTATTATAGCTTTGAAGTCTTTGATGTCAAAGGGTGAAATGAGCGCCCGATCACCTTATTGCAAGTCAGAGAGCCGGATGTGTCATTTTGCTAAGGTTTCCACAACACGTGACAAGGCTGCGCTTCGCTTCGCGGTCCCGCCGTGACTACCATCTACCTCTTCATCCTCCCCATCAGCTTGATCTTATAATTCATCAACGACCAACTCAATCATTCTGCAGAATTCTTACCTTTACCTTTGCCTTTGAGCATTTAATAAAGGTTGGTCAACGAATCTGCACAGCGCCGACTCTGCAACAAGACAATGCGCGAGTGCTTGTACACAGCAAGAACAACGAAGGCATTTTGCTTTGTGTATCCAGACACCGGATTTTACTACCATCTTCCATGGCTGATATCTTTCTGACTTTGAAGCAATAAATCTTCCTCCTCTTCTTTCTCCATACACTGATTTCGCCAGAGTGATGGAATCTCCAAAACAGGCCTCGTGGGCCAAAGGTAACTAATCTCTTGTCGTAAGAGCTGAGGCCACGACACACAGCCCACTTAAGCGAGACGCGGTACGCGTCCTCTTTTCAGCACCTCTTTTTTAAAACTTTAATAACTGAACAACTAACTATTCAATTCTTTTGCAATTCAACATGGAAACACCTGTAATACTTAGCTTACCTCTCGAGAAAGATAAGGCAAAAATAGCCTACCCCTGCGCGCGCAATTATTCACAGCTTACAACAACAAGGAAAATCTCAGCGCGAGATCGTCCAAAAGACCCAAGTGCCTAGAAAGACTGTACGTCGCATTTTTAAGCAAGAACATAGCCGCAGAGAGCGTAAAAAGAAGTACTCGAAATCTCATTTAATGTCTATAAGAACGATACGCTAATGCATTTGCACTATCTCAAAAAATTGGTTTTCTCGCAGAATAAACTTTTCGAGCCTTAAAACCTTATTACGGCTCGCTCCCTTTATTCGAACTATACGCCGAGAACTAGCCCGCGCAGGCTACCATCGCTACATTGCATGCCCTCGACCCTATATATTAAGAGTATAAGTTAAAAAGAAGTTGCGCTTTACGCGAGATCATAGGTAGTAGAGCACATTAGACTATGTAGCTCATAGGAATGATGGCAGGCAAGGAGGGGACTGGAGGAAGGTTGTCTGGTCTGATAAGGCAATATTCGAGACTAGCAAGAATGGCAGGATTTGGGTGACTAGGAAGGTAGATGAGAAGAGGTGCCTTGACTGCATCCAGTCAATTTATAAGTCAGGAAAGACTACGGTTATGATTTGGGAGGCATTAGGCTAGGACTATAAATTACCATTAGTTTTTATGGAGAAGTTTTTAAAACGCAAGAGTATATGCTCTAAAGTGTACTTTTAGTAGGTTTTTGAACTTATAGTTTTCCTTCTATTTGACACTTTAAGGCTAGAATATATCTTTATGGAAAATGGCTTAAAAGTGCATAAAGGAAGTGCCCAGTTACCAAGACTTTAGCATGGAATTTGCGGGTTTAACTAGCTTCTTTCTTCACCTGATTTGAATCCTATTGAGAAAGTTTGGCGATAGATGAAAAAAGAACTAAAGAAATTGCTTTATGTGCCTAAAAGTAAAGAAGATTTAAAAAGGGAGCTACAAAAGCTATAGAATCGAGTAAATCCACGTGACTTTAGGCCGTACACAGAGCGTTTGACTTGCAAGATTAAAAATATAATTGCTATGCGAGGTTTAGCTACTATTCATTAATCTACAATCATAATATTAGAGAATGCCATAAGAAGTTGCAGTTATTATAATAGATATAAAACTAGGTGTAATTTTGAGGTTCTCGCTTAAGTGGGCCGTGTGTCGTGGCCTCAGCTCTTACATTCTTCTGTTTCCATTTACTACCTCATCCCAGATTCTTACCACTCTCTAGCTAATGTTACCGTAGAACCAGAACCCGAGATGCCTGGTCTCTGGTCAGAAGATAATCTTCCAACACCTCTGGGTATGCTCAACATCATCCAGGCTGTTTGCGCCTATCCCGCTATCGCTTCCAACAAAGCCCTCGTTAATGGTACCCCAAATGGTGTTGTCTTTGAGGAAAGTCACTTGAAGACTCTCGCAAATGGTATTGCTTCCACGGGAGACAAGGAAAATCGCTTGGAGATCACAAATGGTTTTGCATCTACGAAAGACTACCAGACTACAAATGGTGTTTCCTCTGAGGAAAATCACCTGGAGACCCTCGTAAATGGTATCACCTTCACGGGAGACGCTCCTTCAAATGGCCATATTATCTCTAAGGAAAGCTCCCTCGTATCAAACTGCAACGGTCATTCCAACAACCACTCGAATCCTACATCCTCCATCGCCTCGGCTTCCGCCTCCTCCATATCAATCACCAGTATCTCCGATACGCCACCAAACGTCCCAAACCCCACATTTCACAAACTCCAAAATCTTATCGTCGGCCTCAACTTCTACAACTTCTACTCCCACGACCATCCCTATTTCCCTCTACCTCCGCTCGGCGCAACCGATTACACCCTCTCTATCCAACCCATCTATCCCCAATCTCTGAACTCTGACCCATTATCACCAGGATACTACCATCATCTCCTCCGACTCACACGCCTCCACTACGCATCTTCAACTACTACCCTCCGCACAGTCGCACTCGGTCGAATCCTCTATCTCGAAAAGCCAACATATTGGATCGTAGTCATGGACATCCAGCACGGCAATCTCTACGCGTTGCGCTCGGATACTGTCGCACTAGAAGAGTTGTTGGTCGAAAGTGACGACCAGCGTGACAACATAGACTGGAAGACCATCCCTGCAGCCGAGCTCCCGGAATTTGATAACAAGTCATGGAAGGCTGTTTTGCTTGGCGATACTACGATTCTTGACGGCAATCGCATTGTAGGTGGTGATACTGCGAAGGGTGGATATCAGGCCTTGATAGTTGAGGACTGGGATAGTGTTACCGTTGATGGTCGAGTGTAAACGGAACGGAAGGAGTGATTTTCGAGGAGGGAAGGGAATGTCTCGCGGTGATTTCTTACTTGGATGGTTGAATTGACGAGAATAGGATCGGAGGCTAGGTAACAGGCGTTACTAACAACCAAAATGCATGGTCTTTATAGTTCCTCTCTTTCGCTATGCTTGTGACATGCCCCCTGCTCGAGCGATGCCGGCACTGTCTTTCCTTCCAAATTTTTTTTTTTTTTTGGCATTCTTCATGAGCAAGTTCAATGTGACAGAGACCAACGCTCTGAGCTAGCAACCCTCAGTAGCCCCTTACGAAATCAATCCCTACTTCCAATTCACCAGAACCGTCTCAGCCTCCTTCAGATCCGCAAACTTCACACTATCCTTCCACACCAAATCCCTCGCCTTAACATCCTTCGACTCAGCACTCGTCTCAAACAACTCCGTCCCATTAAGATACAAATCCCTCGGAAACTCCCCCAGCACCCCACCCGACTCAAACGCCGCCTGCAAAACATGCCCCGCCGACTTCTGCGTCGTATTCACGGGCCCATTCGGGTTCCACCATAGAATGAGCGGATACACGATTTTAAAGATCAGCACGCGAATGATCCACGGCGCAAGTCGCTGGAGTCCGGTAATCATGGTTCCCGGATCGACGCCGAGGATGCAGATGTTCTTCAAGGCGGGGTCTTGGTCCATGCGGTGCTGCAGCTCGTGCTGCATCATGACCAAGAAGAGCTTCGAGGCGCCGTAACGGCGGTAGCCGCTTTTCCAGGACGGGTCTTCTTGGGCGGTGCTCCACGTGCCTTTAGCGATGGCTTCGAAGGTGGCTTGGTCGGGGACCGTGGTTTGGTACCTCTCCTCGTCGAACGCGTGAGTTCTCTCGTTGCGCTTGTCATGGGGACTAGGTTTTGTGAGAACATGCGTACAAAGTGAGAATGAGAATGAGAACTTACTCGTGAGCCTGACTGCCGACCAAGACGATTCGTCCGGATTCCTTGTCCATGCTCTTAAGTAACAACAGCGTGAGAAGGAAATGGCCGAGATAATTCGCACTGAACGTCTTGTCGAACCCGTCAGCGGTCCAAGCCTGGTTGCCGAAGTCCTGGAAGCCGGCATTGAGGATCAGTGCCTTGATCGGTGGGATTTCACCTGCGGAGACGCGTGCATTTACAGCTTCAGCAGTTTGGCGGACGCTGTCGAGGTTCGTCAGATCAAGTGAGAGGATATCATGTGGGTGTGATGAGGTGCCTGCTGCGAGCGCAGACTTGAGATCAGGCGCTGAGGACGCGTCTCGAACGGTGTAGAGACCGTAGTAGGCTGCAAACTCGGGTTTGGAGGCGATCTGGTTTGCAATGGCACTTCCAAGGCCGCCATTGGCACCAGTGAGGAGGATGGTTCCTTTTGCTGTTGCCATTCTCGATTGTGTAGCTTTTGGATCGAAGTTCAAGGTCTTGTCAGAGTGGAGAGTGAGGGAAAGAGGCTGAGATGTTGGAAAATGAGGTGAAGCCAGGTAGGGTTGATAAACGAGGCGCTAGGCAGATTTATAGTAAGCACGAGTACCTAACCAAGCAATTACCCCTGATCCTTTTCCTCGTTTATTTTCTACTCGCTTAAGTATTTTACAGTAAACTTTTGAAAAGATGATCTTGTGCTGCTTTAAATATTTTTGTTGCTGCATAACCCTTGGTGCTACGGCAATGCAATCCTGTTATACATTGAAGCACCATGTGTCCATATATGGCACACTAACCAAGGACTAGGATACTATAAAGAATGGTGGGGTCCAACATCAAGAGAGGATTCGCAGGGTAAATAAAAGAGGGGTAAAGTTGGTTATTATTTGTCATGCAGTGTAACCGTTGTCATTTTACGGTAAGGGTAAGCACATGAAAACGCGCACGCATTTTTAAGATTCGTGTGGACGATAAGGTATTGATTTGTAAAATTGTGGATGAGGAGCAGAATTTAATACCACACCAGGAAAATTCAGTCGTTGTAGGTATGAGCAGTTTGGTATTATCACTGCTTTGCTATCTTGGCAAACAGCTAAAACTAGAAAAGCAAACATTTTTACGGATACGCTTCCCAATTAGATCGTCCCTCAAACTCATTGCCTTCCCGTATTCCACCTAGACATCCCAAATATCTATAAGCTATTTGCGAGAGTTATTTGTTTGGCGACTATCTTCAATGTGGGTAGGCCGTATGGACTTCAATCCGTGGTGGTAGCTAGGATCCACCGAAGTTAGCTCCTCCTTGAAAGTTGGCAAGACAGTCTCCTCACGCTTCGAAGTCTGGGCACCGGAGCGGTAAATGTTCTGGACAAACGTACGAATTCCTGTAAGGTTGTTGTTTCCTGAAGGCACTTCCGGAAGTTGTGGTGGCGGGTTGTCCTCGTCGGCTGATGCTGCTAGATTAGAAGAGCTCTCAGCAGGACTTCGGCGGCGCTCACGTCTTTCTCGGATCCAGGAACTCAAGGAGGTACCAATGTGCGAGAGCCGGGTAACAAATTGGAACAAAACAATTGGCATGGAGTGGCACATGAGTCCGACATTGATCTCGACGATACTGTTCACACCCGTGTCATTAGTCTCTGCCTGCTTGGGCCAAAATCAGGCTCTTCAGGGCATTGTAAAAGAGACTTTACGCACCTTGTAGCATACACAGGAACGATGGTCCATGAAAAGTCTGCCGGATCGAAGATCTTTTTGTCTTGGCGGATGATCAGATTCGTCAAACCAGCGGCGCAAGCCCTGAGTATCAAGTCAGGTCGGGTCCTCTTCGAACTTTAACTTTGTACTGTACTTACAGAGTACCCGTAAGAAAGATGAAGCTGAGGCCGATTTTCTTGTTCCGTGAGAGATTCAAACCCGGTACCTGGTGTAGTGGAATAAACAGGATGTAGAAATCCGTAATCACACTAAAATAAGCACCAGAGGTGACCAGATTTGGGGCGATCTTGTTGCAACGGCTCAGCATTTTCGGATCTAACCAGCCGCCGTGCTCACTTGGCCAAGGACAACAAGCCACCAGGTCGATGGTGATGAAGGCCACACAGAATGTTATGACAGTAACCATCCCGACCAAGACCATGATCTTGACATATTTGATAACACTAAAGAGGCGAAGGTACCAAACGAAGAATGCAACCTTGATCGAGGTGTTGGTGATGCGAATGAGGACCGAATCTGCAAGAGATCCCTACACAAAGATTAGACTGACATGTGACTAAGAGTACCTGCAGCCAGAAATAATACCTTTGAGTACTCAATGTAGTGAGAAAGTGGAACATCCCAGAGATGAATCCCTAGAATACCACCGCCTGGCTTCCATAGAACTGTGTGAAGCTCGGTATCAGCACCGATCTTGCGTCAAGAAACGCAATTGGAACATACGCTTAAGGATGAGAGCTGAATATGAAAGGGTGAGTATCTAGAAGATTCATGGTATTAGCATCGTTGGCGAGCTTCTTTGCTTTGGACAAGGTGTTGATCAAATTCTGGAATATTGGGAGAGGTATCTGACCGTAGCGACGATACAAAGCCCTACAGATAATCAATAAGCCTGGCAACATGGCTGAAAGAGAAAGGTGGCTGGAGAAGGGACGCACAATCATCTGCGCCGAATGACTTGGTGACCTTCAGGCGAAAGTAGAGGCGGAATCCGATGAAGAGCACGACAAGGGCGAAAGTGACCGCAATCACAGCCACCAACTGATACGACCTCGATACGGGGTTGATGAAGTTGGATGTTTGGCCGGGAGGCGGTGGTCTCACCGGAGTGGTATCGAGGTACCCTGGATCCATTCTGCTGACAGATTCCAGACGACGTTTTCTGAGATGAGTTCTAGAAGAAACGAAGAAAAAAATATGGTCGAGAGGTGGGTGGAATTAGAAGGCGCATTCGGACAAGGCTGTGCAGAAGCAACTACTACGTAGGTACCGAGACACTATTAAGGTTGAAGTTGACTGCCGGCCACACTTTGAACCGAGCCGCAGTCCTGCATAGGTATATGCGGCGTATCCTCGATGTGCTACTTTAAAGCGGCATGGTTGGTTGCTGTGTTGATTGTACGACGTTGTTGTTCTCGAATGTCTGGATAAAGACCCCGCATTGCCTGTTGTATGCGGCGAAGCAGATGCAGAACCGGAAAATCTTCCAACAAAAGACATGATCGACATTCTGTAAGCTTCAGAGAACACAATACTACTCTTTGTAAGGCTGTGATATTAATAGGGTTGGTTTGCACGACTGTTACCAATGCTCTTGACCCTCATGGTACCGGCCTCTCCACTCAGCTTGTGTCACCATATTGGATGATTCTGCATTCTTCCGGAGCATGTCTTTTGTGTTCCAGTATCGCCATTGGTGTTCATGGAGCTCGGTGAGCATGCTTCCTGTGCTATGAGTTACCTCACTCGCGATGTAAAATCGTTGGCTGTACAAGGATAATGTATACGAGAAGCTTGCAGTCAGCAAGCGGGCGTGATCTGCATTATGCATATATCCCGACCTATGCGGTACCCTGGTTAATACAAGCATGTGATAACTTGCCTCAACAAACTTGGGCATTTGTGATCTGATTTACCCTTGTAAAGGCGAAGCTCTTGAGTATCACATCATTGGTCCCGGAATCTGCTAGAGGTCTATTTCTCCTTGGCCCCCATTCTCAACTTTCCAGCTTATCTTTTTTAGCAACCCTGCTGAGACTAAATACAGTGGCACGAAAGAGACGGATCGACTGGACTCTGATGTTGCACATCAGCCCCAAAAGCACATACGAGGTGCTACCTTACCACGAGGCTGCAGACGTCTTCAGAACTCTGTTTTAGTCTTCAAGGAGTGCATGGCACCAATTTTCAACAGATATGGAGTTGCGGAAGGTAGTTTGGGGCGGAGTCAACGTCATGCCCAAGTTCCCAAGATCACCATTGCCAGAAGAACTATGCTTCAGGGTGCCACTTTGGGTTACATCAAGCTCAGACTCGTGACATGAAGTTGGGGAAAAGAGAAGCAACCTGAACCCACTCTCACCATGAAGCTGCAAATCCTTGATATCACCAAGCTCTGAAGGTCAATATGGCCAATGTGACAAGTGCTGCGGGCCTTTGCGTAAGTTCTCCCTATATTTAAGAGATTTTACCTAAGTGACTGGAACTCTGACGAATATAGTAGTGCTTAGCATTGTCTCTCTTGCTCAAAGACAAAGTCTCTTTCCCAGGAAGTCAAGTCTACAGGGCATCCCTTGGTTCTTACTTCTCTTTACAACAAGCCCAAGTCAACCCTCTCTGCATTGTTGCCCCTCAGACTACAGAAGATGTCTCGACAGCTGTGCGCGCACTCACTACCCCGGCTCCAACATGTCAATTTGCAGTCCGTTCCGGTGGGCACTCGAGCTTTTCCGGAGCATCCAATATCCAAGGCGGAATTACCATCGATCTAAGAGCTCTCGATCGTATTGAACTGAGTCAAGATCGCTCTATAGTTTCGCTAGGCGTTGGAGCTAGCTGGGGTAGTGTTTACTCCTACCTCGACGGTCTCAATCTCAGTGTTACTGGAGGTCGTTCTTTTGGTGTTGGGGTAGGCGGCGTTTCCATCGGCGGTGGAATCTCTTACTTCGCACCTCGCTACGGCTGGGCATGCGATATGATTATCAATTATGTCGTCGTCCTCGCCGACGGATCCATTGTCAATGCCAATCAAGATGAAAATCCAGACTTGCTATGGGCTTTGCGCGGAGGGACAAATAACTTCGGCATCGTTACTCGTGTCGATATGCAAGCCTTCGAGCAAGGTGGTATTTGGGGAGGCGTGGTCTACCATCCGATTTCCACTGTCGATGAAGAGATTGCTGCGCTGTCTGAGTTCAATACACCTGATACGTACGACGACTATTCATCCTTGATCAGCAGCTTTGCATACTCTGGCGCTAATGGAATATCTCTCATCATCAACAGCATGGAAAATACTAAAGGAGTTGTGAAGCCGCCAGCCTTTCAGCCGTTCGCAAACATTCATTCGTTGGGAAGTACCATGCGCATGACCAACATGACATATCTCTCGATGGAGACAGAAGCGATGCAAGTAAATGGACTAAGGTACGTTATTATTGGGAAATGCATTCCACAATTACTTAATTCGTACCAGGGAGGCTTCTGCCACGCTCACTATCGAGTCAACAATTGAAGCTATCAATGCCACTGTGTGTGCCTGGAACGCTAGCGTGCCTTTCATCCAAGATATTCCTGGAATCGTGTGGACCGTAGTCTTGGAGCCACTTCCACCTGCTATTTACGCTCGACACGCTGAAGGCAACGCACTCGGATTGACTGGGCGACAAGGCAAGCCTTTGATGGTGATGATGTTAAGCATGACGTGGTCAAATGCAGAAGATGATGATAGAATTGGAACGGAAGCAAAAACATTGATGAAGGAGATTGAGGGGGAAGTGAGCCGGCTCGGCAAGCTGGATCCATTTGTCTATCTCAATTATGCGGCATCGTGGCAAAAGCCTATTACCAGCTATGGAGAGGTAAATGTCGACAGATTGCTTCGGGTCAGGAATGAATACGATCCGCGGCGAGTCTTTACGAAATATGTTCCTGGTGGTTTCAAAATCCAGAAATAAATATAAATCTCATCTAGGTCGAACCCGACTAAGCTCTGAGGTTTCGTCTGAACGCTTGGAAGCTTTGTAACGATATTTTAATTTCATATCTATAGGTTAAGTACATGCTTTGAAAAAGTGGTTTGAGCACACGGACGTGATTTCTGCTGCCTCGTCGTGAAAGTCTTTTTTCGCTTGTCAACCTCGATTTGGATACAGACATTATACACATTTTTAGTGTAATAGAACCGGTACTACCTTGTAAGTATCACATGCTGATCAAGTTAGTACCATCATCAGCCTCATTCGTCAAACCACGTCAGATTATGGCTAAATGCAAGCCACCTTCCTCATTCATACTCTCCAGCTCTTGCACTACCTTACCACACTTCTCCCACACCATTCATCCCAACTTGTGCAGCGTTGTTCAACGGCTGAGCCTCATGCAGCCTCAGCCGAAAATGGCGCAAATTGTGTTACAACGGCTATGTCGCTCCGTTTCTGTGTTACGCTGCCACTGGCCCCCACGAGATCGGCAGGCTCGCATTGGCGTCCTCTTTTCGTCGACTAGCAGCTGTACCCCTTCTTGTGGCTGCGCCCAATTCCAACATGCATGCACGTTGTCACCCAGCGATCGATTTTTGGTGCTTATTCGTCCACCTGCAGCCGAAGATCACGCCCAGTAGGTATGCATGGACTGTGGATAGAGAGATGTGGTATCAGAAGGCTGAACTCACTGATGGTAAGACAGACTTGCAGGGAATGCATGCTTCAACGTGCATCCAGTTCTTCGCTCCAAAAGTCTTCCGTCTTTCTGAAGACCATCGAGTTAATCCCCTTTACATCGTATCGTCTCTCTTTCCAGTCATCGATCATAATGATTGTTTTACTCTTCTTAGGTTTGGCGCTGGCATATCTCATCTGGACACTGCTTTGTCTAGAAGCAAATGCACGAAAAGCTCGTGCCATGAAAGTACATGTTGTCCGAATTCCATTTGACGTCAACAACAATTTGTGGGTCATTATACAACCATTGCTATGGAAGCTTCTGTCCCATCTACCAGTCCAATGGAGATCTTATCCAGACTTCGTCCGATTTTCTCACAGAAACTGGCACTTTCTGGAGAAAAGTAGCCCTACAGAACGATTCGGTGAAGTGTGGGCGCTTGTCTCGCCTGGTGGTGTTCATCTACATGTCTCACATCCAGATGCGATTCAAGAAATTTTCTCCCGGTGGCGAGACTTTGTTCGTCCGATTAAAAAGTATCGTGAGTTTATCGTTACTTGTTGCTGTGCATAGTCTTACTTTCAATAGAGATGCTAGCTATCTATGGACCATCTGTTCTAACTGTTGGGCTGGAGGATTGGCCGCGACATCGCAAAGCTGTGGCAGCGCCGTTCAATCAATCCATGATGAAGTTCGTTTGGGATGAAACATCTCGTCAAACTCAGTAAGCCTCGCTCAGTAGTCTTTAGTTCGTGAAAATTTCTCAGAACTGATAATCGAGTTTTAGAGCAATGCTGAGTTATTGGATCCAAACCAAGACTGGCATCCCAGGAATGCCCGAAGATTTACGAACCCTCTCACTCAATGTACTTGCGGCAACCGCATTTCGGGAATCCTACGACTTCATAGACTCTGAACATCTGAGCTCGAGAGAATTGAGCACAGCAAGCTATCGAGACTCCCTTTATATTGTGGATAAATATGTTATATTGCTCATTCTGATCCCATACCGTTTCCTCACTGGAGCCATAATTCCTCGGAGTCTAGCCAGAATTGGGCATGCAGCTGTTTCTCTCAAGGGCTTTATGATGAAGACCATCACGAAAGAGCTGGCAGCACTCACAGCCGGAGAACCTGGGTCTGGCGGTATGCTAACATCTCTCGTCCGGGCACTTGACCAAGAATCCGCCAAGCAAGCAAATTCTGAAGATTTCGTCAAAGAGAAAAAGAGAGGGCGTCTTTCTATCGACGAAATTCTTGGGAATGTTTTCACAATCAACTTTGCAGGTCACGACGCAACTGCCAATACACTCGCCTTCGTCATGATGCTCCTAGCAGCCCATCCCGAAGTCCAGGAGTGGCTCCATGAGGAGATCATCACTGTCCATAAAGAGAAATCTGCGGATGATGTCGACTTGAGCTGCGCTATGTTTGAACAATTGAAGCGCTGCCAAGCTGTATTTCTCGAAACACTTCGTCTGTACTCTCCAGTCACAGGATTGCCAAAGATGACATCCAAAACAGTGCAAACCCTTCGAATCGAGGACAAGGAGCTTGCCATTCCTCCTGGTACCGAGATATTTCCATTATTACTGGGTATGCATACCGATCCGAGATATTGGAACGACCCCAACGTCTGGAAGCCGTCTCGTTGGATTATCCCGTCTGAAACAAGTCATGAGGAAGAGCTCCTAGTTCCGCAGAAAGGAACGTATTTCCCTTGGTCAGAGGGCCCGCAGAACTGTACTGGGAAGCTGTTTTCTCAAGTTGAGGCAGTTGCTGTCCTGGCCCGCTTGTTCCGGGATCATCGAATATTCGTGAAGCCGGAATCGGGTGAGGAGGAAAGTCATGCTAGAAAGCGTGCGCGAGATTGTGTGGACGATGTGAATTACAATCTGCTGCTGAAAATGAATCACCCTGAACGAGTCAGGTTGGAGTGCAGGCAGATTAACTAGATGGAGAGTAAGAAGTACAGAATGAGATCGTTATTACCCAGCGTATTATGAAGTGACTACGGTTGTTGTGTTTTGTTATCTTTTACCTGGGGTTCAGTAATTTGCGCCTCTCTAGCAGTGAAGTGTACCATCGCATTGTGATGCTTAAGCGAATCACGGAAAGAAGCTTATCTGGGGATAAGCCGTACCCACCCCACCATGATAGTTGAGTGCCGTAGATCTGTGACTTGGCAAGAACGCCACATCGCAGCCTTGGAAGGATTCCATGCAAGACAGCAGTAGTAGACTCAAAATACATCTGCGCTTTACAAGGGGAACTCACTGATCACTAATATGTTGGATTTCGTCCACCTTATCATCGGCGAGTTTTCAGCTCTTGATAAAACCGGTGTAACCTCACACGGATGTAAGAATTCTGCCTGATTCAAAGGTCCAATCAAGTGTTGTCTTTTGATAGTACCTGCATGGGAAAGCGTTTTGCTACCACAGACTACGTGTTCTGGCAGCCCAACATTGGGGTCCGAACAAGGCTGAGGGTCACTAAAAAACTTCCTTGTGGCACTTGTGTCATCAGTCCTCACAATGTAACTACGCTCGTATCCTTCAGCATTGGAGGTTGCTTCGGGACTGTTGCTGCATCTGCAGCCCTCAATCCTTTCGGCTTTGCCCTGCCCCGCACGCAGGCAAGTGGCGGAAGCGCCTCGGATCTTCCTATCGAAAGAGGTGAGTAGTGTTTCAAGAGCTGGACGTTCGGTGTGAAGCGGCGCTGCGTAGGATTGGGGGCTGATCGCGAATGGCAAGATTCCGATCAGACTGATTACCGGTGGCTTGAAGCTTTGCGCGCGGCTCAGCCTTATGATCGGTGGTGGATGTCTCGTTCCACGACGAGGCAACTAGGCAGATGTTGTTGGCTCTGAACGCCCGGTACAGGCTGGTACATCCAGTCACAGCCCAGCCCCTATCTTAAGATAGGATTTTGTGGACAACCCAACACCGAGAAAGCTTTATGTTCAGGAGCTGCTCTTCAAACTTCGTTTTTGCCCTTTAAGAACATGGCCAAGTTTAGTAGAGTAGATTCCCATCATGTCATTTGCTTCTAATGTCACGATCACTTCTGAGGTTCTCTTTCCTCCTCCTCATTCATCTCAGCTAAAGCATGGGTACAACTCTTTAGAGAAAGTCGCGACTTGCTTACTGCTTACATTGTTACTATGGCGATCTTGGAGGTTTACCATATTCCCTTTCCTGTATCCTAATCACCCGAAAGAGTACCCTTACTGGATTCCATGTAAGTAGGCAGCAGAAGCCCCTCGTTGCTCGTTGTACTAACCAAGTTATCTTCTAGTCGTAGGTCAGTCATCAATTTTCCAATCCAGGGTCTTGTGACTGGCTCTTACAGTGCTTAGGGCACGCTCAAGCATTTTTCAGAGACTCAAATGGTCTTCTTGCCAGAGCTAGGTCAGATCAATACTTCAGTATGCCTTCAGGTTACCTGATCTGACTAATGTTTCCAGAAATCACTTTGACAACACCACAGAGCCCATTGCCTTAACGGCTTTCGGCACGACTTTCTATGTTGTCACGCAAGCGAAACACTCTGCAGAAGTATACAGAAACACCGAAACACTCTCATTTGAAGACTTTGTTCAAGGTTTAATGAGAGTCAATGGCAACAAAGAAGTCGTTGTCCAGGCGATGTATTCTGCGCTCCCAAGCAACAAGCCAGGATTTCCGAATCCGCAAGGCGAGTCCCTAGGTGTCTTAGCTCAGAAGATGCATATCCATCAACTCCACCCTGGAAATAACTTAGTAGTTCTTCAGCTGCAGGTGAAAGCCAAAATCGATCAGCTTTTACGCTTAGACACACTTGGCAAAATATGCTCGTACGCCAGCTCTCAGAGTCCAACGCATATCGAGCTTCCACTCTATCAATGGTGCTCAGACTACTTCATTCGTCTTGGGCAGCATGTCTATTTCGGAGAAACGCTTGAACAGATTGACCCCGGACTTACCGATGACTTTCTGATCTTTGACGAGCTCATCTGGAAAATGCTGTACCAGTATCCCAGCTTCTTGTCTCATGACATGTCAAGACCCAGGACTCAGATTATTGCTTCCTTGAAGAAATACTTTCAGGTACCAGAAATTGAGAGAAGCGGTGAGACTGCTTGGTTGATCAATGCCATGGAAGATGAGATGAGAGCTCTCGGAATTGATGATGACGACCTAGCAGTTCTTATGTTCCATCTCTACTTTGCGTTGGTGTTCCTTTCGGGAATATACACAATATACTAATACCAGTATAGAATCAATACCAACACTCGAAAGACAGCCTTTTGGGTGCTCACTTACTTACTCCACAACCCCACTCTCTTGGCCGCCTACCGTCGAGAAACGGAACCTGCCTTCGAGGGAGACAACCTAGTTGACCCATTCTATATCCAAGATCCTGCCAACTGTCCCCAAGTCGACATGATCTGGCACGAAACGCTCCGAATATCTGGATGGTCTGCCTCTGTTCGTCTAATCACGCAAGACACCATGATCGGCGGCAAACTGATGCGCAAAGGAAACCGCGTCATGGTACCTCATCGACTACTCCACTTTGATAAAACCATCTTTGGCAAAGAACCCGGCGCCTTCCGTCCCGAAAGATGGCAAAAGGAGAATTTGACACGAAGTCCGTCTTGGCGCCCATTTGGAGGTGGCAAGACTATGTGTAGTGGTCGTTTCTTGGCTCGTTTCTCCGTAACGACTTTTGTGGCAACGCTGTTGAGACGGTTTGATGTCGAGATGGTTGGAAATCCGCCGTTCCCGGAGGCGGATGAAGGAAGGCCTGTGTTGGGTATTATGTCGATTAAGAAGGGGCATGATTTCAAAGTCAGGCTAACGCCGAAAGTAAAGTCGGGATGAGCATTAGTCCGTCGAGTGAGTTGAAAGTTGATGGAGACTCCGAAATGAAGTAGAAGACAATGTGGAAGTCGGTAATTGATTCATAGTGTAGGTTAAGTTAGTGTTGTTTGCAAGAATAGTGATTTCTGGCTATTTGTCAATTTGATTTCATTGCTTTGTTAGCTAAGATTCTCTGCTGTATGTTTTACCTTACAATTGCATGCACAATCTATTTATCAGCTCATTCTTCCTTCGCACATTATTCTATTCATGATATTGTTATCCATTGTAGCTCGGCCTTGGTTTCCTCAAGGCTGTCACGTGCATATCGAGTGGCGAAACTACCTGTCCAGGAACTATAAACGATCTTTTGCTTGGCTCTGTGCACATTACAGGATGGATTTGGGGCGAATTATAATCCCTACAATCAGATATCGATGATTTCATTGGGTGCCACACGAAGGGCAAAACAAAGCGGGGTAGCGTGCCAATCAAAGTACGGCAACTCAATTAGGCAATAACTTTCATCTGATTGAGTTTGAACACAAACTGCGAAGTGATTATAAACACGACGCCGAAGTTATAAAGATTTAGTTTTCAGATAGAAAGATCTAGACATCCTCTAGTATTGGTCATGGTCAGATTGATAATCACAGGCTGTATGTTGAGCTGAAAATGCTGCGATGTTGGCAACTTGTTCGGGAACTTTGTAATTGTTGCCTTTCTATGTTGGACTATAAAACATGCCTTGTCCTCTCGGTCTACCCCGCTTCAAACTTGTCTTTGTGCACAATTATCACTGATCACACATACAAACTTATCTGTACCCGATTCTATCCATAATCATCTCTCCAGACATCGCAATGTCACCAAAGTACCAAACCATTTACTCCACCGGGATTCACCACGGTCTCCCGACTTTCCCTGACCACGATGGCAAGAAATACACTGCCATAGTGACAGGTGCAAATGGTATATCCGGATCTGAAATCGTCAATGCCCTGGTCGCTGCACCTGAAAGATGGGAGACAATCTATGCCATGTCTCGTCGCCCACCTCGTGCTGTGAGCGATCGTGTCAAGACTATTGCAGCAGACTTCAAAGATAGCACACCGGAGCAGTTAGCCAAGCTGTTCAAAAGTGAAGGAGTGAAAGCAGACTACATCTTCTTTACATCCTACATCCAGCCACCAACGCAAGAAGGAGAGGGGCTGTGGGCAAATCACGACGAGCTGGAGACTGTGAACGGCATGTTTTCCTTCCAAGAAATGCCTTTAGATTCTAGAGCTAAATCGTAGCAGTTACGCTTTTGTCAAACTTTCTCGAAGCCCTCACAATTTCCAGCATAATCCCCAAGCGCTTTCTCCTCCAAACAGGAGGCAAGCACTATGCAGTTCACCTTGGACCTACAGCCATCCCAATGACAGAGGATACACCCGATCGTCGTGTGCCGCATCCTAACTTCTATTTCCCTCAAGAAGATATCCTTTCCGATTGGTGTGAAAAACATTCTACACATTGGACCGTCACCCGCCCCGGATTCATCATCGGCGCCAATCCTACAGCACCAATCAACATCTCCTACGGCCTTGCCATCTATGCCTCTGTCCAAAAAGAGCTTGGCAAGAGATTAGGGTTCCCAGCTGATATTGGAGCCTGGGATATCAACAAAGATCTCAGCACTGCATCACTCATTGGATATTTTTCTGAGTGGGCAGTGTTGACTGAAGAGGCAAGGAATCAAGCCTTTAATGTTGTTGATGACTCGCCATTCTCGTATGGTAAATTCTGGCCTGAACTGGCTGGATGGTATGGCATTGAGTATGATCTTCCAGAACAGGATGAAGCGAAGTATAATCTAGTGAGAATGCCAAGAAATCCACCACCACGAGGCTTTGGTACACCTGGTGTCTTGAAAGTGAAGTTTAGTTTCGAGGAGTGGGCGAGAAGTGAAAGTATCAAGGAAACTTGGGAGAAGATTCAAGAGAGGGAGGGGTTGACGAAGGAATTAAATCCGTGGAAGGATAAGGAGACCTTGTTCAACGTTTTTGCGACTTTGGATGCAGAGTTGTTGGGTGGTTGGGCTAGGTGAGTTGCTTTCTCATGGAGACGTCAGAGATTAGCACTAACGTTTTAGAACGCAAACGATGGACAAGGCAAAGAAGATGGGATGGCACGGACACGTTCAAACGAATGAGGGAATGAAATTGACAATTGAGAAGATGATTGAGATGAAGATGGTACCAGCAGTTTGAACTATCCTTTAGGGGAATGCAGCATATTAAAGCAAAGAAAAGTTTGATCCATGCACTCAAATGCTATCAAGGACTCCTGCATTCAGTCTCGTTTCCGGTTGCGACAACTATCAGAACAGCCACAACGCCAAGCGAGGCTTAGCGAGCCCCTTTTCATTAAGTTCTACCAGTCCGAAGCAAGTATCGGATGAGGGACATAAGAAGCATAGCTACGTATTTTGGCACCTTATTCTAATTGAATTTCAGTTGTTTGATTCTCCATTCCCTAATCACATCAGTAAAAGCGTGGTTAGAAGCAATACTTGGAAAGGTGCTGTCAATGTTCACGTGATCTCCTAAATGCAATGTAGAGCGCAGGCGTCCTGTAGCTAAATGGGGATACTTTAAAGGACGCTATCGAGCGCGTACAAGGTACTCGTATTAAGTTCCGTGAATTCGAGTTTGAAATTTTTTTAGCCTGAAGAACAGCTTGTGAGACACTTGAAGCTCGTTGATTGACTTTATCATCTGACGAAGCACTGTTTGGTATGACACTAAACTTTCAAACCGCGGAGGGCTTCAAACGCCCACTTTACAGAAGCTTGCAAATCAACATTTCAGAGTTGAGGGAGCAATGAGCTGAGGAAATTCACCTAACGTGTATGACTCAGGTTGTAGAGCTGCTCAATACACGCGGATGACTTTTGTGGTCCTGATGCACCTTCTTCAGTTTGATTGTCTGCAACACGGTAATTAGACAAAATAAGCAAGACTCAGAAGCAGCCTTGCCAACGTCCAATTGACGCTATTGGTCTCCTCAGAGTGGCGCTTAGCCACTTGTGTGTTCAGCGAAGACGTCGGTTCCCGTGCCATCTTGCGATGGCGACAGCAAATCAGCATCCGCACATGATCCCAGGTCCTTCAAAATTGACAGAGTAGAGCAATATTCGCCGTTCCTTTGGGAAGGATGGTAAGGGTGTGGCGGAGGTTCTTCCTATGACAGAGCACACTCGCCGGCGAGCAGAATCTACGGCAAAGAAAATCGAGGTCAAAGCAGAAGAACTACATACCTACGGGGTGGACATACCATTTCCGGACTTCTTTTGAAAGGTTTAAATAGACGACCCAAGGTTTGAACACTCCGTCATTGATGAGAAAGAAGTGTAGAACAATATTCTTATTAATCATAAATGGCTCTCCATCCACTGCAAGGTTCAGCGAGTTGTGCATTCCGGCCCTGCAAGGCTTGCAGTGTGACAAACAGGCGCCATGTGTCATTTCCATCCACAAAGACTCGAAATGAATGTTACATTCCGAAGCCACAATCAATTTGATATCATAGACGACATCTGAAGGGTAGCGTCGGTCGCTAATTGTCTATGAGGCAATTGAGGCATTTTTGTGCAATGCAAGAGTAAGCGAGACGAAGCACGTTTGCCGCCATCAACCTCTCCACAAATCGACATGCCAATATCAAAATCTCCATTGCAGAGAGGCGCAGCAGTACTGGCACCTCTGATCAGGTTTCCTGGTTTCTGGTGCTATCGTACGACCAATCACCAAGGACTGAGCGGAGACATTGCCCTCCAATCAAGACGTAATGTATTGGACCATTCGCAGATCAATGCCTCGAATATACTTCGTCCAAATCAAAAGATGTGTCAAGAAGGTGCGACTTGCTAATGGTGCTAGACTGTGTTGTTGAGGGATTTTCCTACCGTCCTCCTCTTTGCTCTCGGGCCGCCTGTCAAGCTGTCAAGCTGCAGATTGATGGTCTCGAGGACAGTGGTATCATTGTGAGAGCCACGTTAAACCAAGAATGTTCTATCCAGAGCCAAGGTACTGGGTCCCTCAGAGCTTTTGCTCTTGATAAAAGCATCGGCTGCTCCCACCGAGCTTGAAAGTATCTGAACCTTGGAGAGAGCTTAGACGCTCGTCCGTCTCAGCACGTTACTCCTTTCGGCTCTTGGTTGCTTAAATTATACTCTCTGAAGTTCTAGAACCTTGTATTCGTCTGTATCCTTTCGAGCGTGCTCCTCTATTCCTTTGACAGAGAAGTCATGGTTGAATCCGAAGATAACAAGGACAAGGCTCCTCGAATCCACTGGATCCAAAGCGATGTTGAGGCCGGAGAATCGAGACCGAGACCTGAACTACGTCGTTCAAACTCAAATATTTCCATAAACAGCGTCTATAGTAGAAGAGGATCGATCGATCCGGCATCTGCTCTCCCCATCCAGTATCGAACAGTATCCCACCAGATTGCTGAGTCGAAGGAAAAGAATGCTGCAGATATTCAAAAGGCAAAGGACACAGCGGCGAAAGGTACCGGCCCAGCGATTTTCAACACTAGTACAGATCAATAATTGACACTTTATAGAACTTGCAAATCTCGATTGGCATACTATATCACCGAAAGAAATCTATACACGCCTCTCCAGCTCTCCCTCTCAAGGTCTTTCATCGGAACAAGCTAAGCGACGTCTCACGGAATATGGAAGAAATGTACCTTCTCCGCCACCAACGCATTACTTCCAGCAGATACTTGGATACTTTTTCAGGGATTCGGATCAATCCTCTTGCTTGGATCGATACTTGTCTTTGTATCCTGGAAGCCGCTCGGAGAGCCACCTTCCCAGGCCAATTTGGCTCTTGCGATTGTTCTTCTGGCAGTGTTCTTCATTCAAGCCGCGTTTAATGCATAGCAAGACTGGTCCTCCTCCCGAGTCATGGCCTCCATCACGACGATGCTACCGGACAGCTGCATAGTTCTCCGTGATGGTGGCAGAGTGACGATAACAGCGACTGACATTGTCCCTGGTGACATTCTATTTATAAAGGCTGGAAACAAACTACCCGCAGATGTGCGCTTCGTTGAAATTTCGTCTGATGCGAAGTTTGACAGGTCGATCCTTACAGGTATGGAGTCCTCCAGATAGACCTCCAAATTGCTGCTGACGCAATGCTAGGCGAATCTGCCCCGCTACCTGGCACTGTCGATAGCAGTGATGACAATTACCTTGAGACGAAATGCATTGGTCTACAAGGAACTCATTGCATATCAGGCAGTGGCACAGGTGTGGTGGTTTTGACGGGTGATGCGACTGTCTTTGGCAAGATCGCAAAGATGACGAACGCCCCGAAAACTGGCTTAACTCCATTGGAGCGCGAGGTCCTGAACTTTGTAATAATTATCTGTTCCATAATGTTTACCATGATTATTGTTGTCATTATTGTTTGGTGAGGAGAGCACTCTTTCGAAGAAGCTTCAATGCTAATAGCCATAGGGCTGCATATTTGCGAAAAGAACATCCAGATTGGATCAATGTTCCCACTCTTATCGTTGATTGTGTCTCAGTCGCTATTGCGTTTATTCCTGAAGGCTTACCCATAGCCATGACTGCCTCGCTCACTATTACTGCGAATCTTATGCGGAAGAACAAAATCCTTTGCAAGTCTCTGAAGACTGTTGAGACGCTTGGTTCTGTCAGTGTTATCTGTTCCGACAAGACGGGTACTCTCACCAAGGTAAGACCGCAGTTTACTGCTTCCTGCTCTTTGGCTAACGATTGTAGAACAAAATGTATGTTACTGAGTGCTGTATTGGTACTCATAGCATGGATCCTCAAGCAGCCCGAGATGAAATGATGCAACAGTCTCAAAAGAATGGCAAGACCAACGCAGTTGCCCAGTTGAGAGCAATAGCAGTTCTATGCAATTCAGGAGAATTCGATGCGGCAATAAACGACCTTCCTCTTCACGAACGCAAGATCAACGGAGATGCTACCGATCAAGCAATTCTGCGTTTTTCCGAGTCTCTTGGATCAGTTTCCGAGATTCGTGGGTTATGGAAGAAGACATTTGAGCTTGCCTTTAATAGTAAGAACAAGTATATGATCCGGACTTTCGAGCTTGGGCAGGAAGAAGATCTGAATATTGCTCTGCCGTCAACCGAAGCTGCAACGTTCAGACCGGAAGACACGTAAGTCTTCAAGTCGAGCTTAGCCAACATCTGCTAACTTGAAGTAGGCTCCTTACCATTAAAGACGCTCCCGATGTCCTCATTGGTCGATGCACCAAGTATACCGGTACGGATGGAGAGACAAAAACTCTTGACGATACCACCCGAGCCAAATTCGAAGAGATCAAGAACACTTGGTCTGCGACCGGGCGGCGTGTGCTTCTGTTGGCTAGGAAAACAATATGCAAGGAGCAAGTCAGATCCTTGGCATACTCAAGCCAATTTGAAGACGTGGTCGTACACCATGCTAGGTCTGACTTGACCCTGGTTGGAGTCGTGGGTATCGTTGATCCTCGTGACGAAATCCCGTCTGTTGTTTCGATTTTGCGAGGAGCGGGAATTCGTATCTTTATGGTGAAGATCTCGTTCTTGTTCGTGAATCGTCTATACTGACGATTGTAGGTTACTGGCGACTTTGCCTTAACAGCACAAGCCATCGCGGTCGAGTGTGGTATTATCACTAATCCTCCACACCTTGTCAAGGGTGTCTCTGCCCTTTCTCGAGATTATGCGACTTCAAGCTTTGAATCTGATCCAGAGAAGAAAGTCGCCGTTGTTGACTCTGCAGCCAAGACCTCGATTATCCTTAGCGGCCCGGAGTTGATCACTCTCAACGAGAATCAGTGGGAGCAATTGTGCACTTATGATGAAATAGTCTTCGGTCGTACCACACCTGAGCAAAAGCTTCGCATCGTCCGCGAGTTCCAAGGCCGAGATGAGTAAGTCCATTTCCATACAATAAATATGGCAAACTCCTATTTGTGGAAGCCCAGACGCTGGGATATGTCTGATGCTAGAGGAACGGTGTCCCTTTGCAAGATTTTGAGACAGTTGCCTGTTCAACTCTCCTGCTGATACGGTACTAATGCTTTCGGTAGAATAGTAGGAATGACTGGCGACGGAGTCAATGATGCTCCATCCCTCAAAGCCGCTGACATAGGTATTGCTTTGGGGTCTGGCTCGGACATCGCTATCGAGGCCGCAGATATGGTACTTCTCGAGTCCTTCAGTGCTATCGTTGAAGCTGTGTAGTATGGAAGGGTTGTTTTCGACAATCTGAAGAAGACAATTACCTACTTGCTTCCTGCTGGATCATTTTCTGAGTTCTGGCCTGTCATGTTAGCCATGTCCTCCCTTATTGTTCTTGAGGTTACTAACCACTGTCGTAGGACCAATGTCGTATTTGGGCTCCCTCAAGTCCTCTCATCTTTCTTGATGATCATCATCTGCTGCTTTACTGACTGCGCTGCGGCAACTGTTCTGGCATATGAGAGCCCAGAAGCTGATGTCCTGCTTCGCAAACCTCGCAAGCCCAAGGTTGACCGTCTTGTTGACTGGAAGCTGATACTGCAATCATATGGTTTTATCGGCGTCATCGAAACTTTGACCTCCTTTGCAATGTCGTATTGGTATCTTCAGCGTAGTGGCATTCCATTCAGTGCTCTTTGGTTCAAGTATGGAACATTACCAAACAATATCGATCAAGATTACTACAACGCCAGATTAGCTGAAGCTTCAAGCATTTACTTTGTCAACCTGGTTGTCATGTAAGTTCCCGCCCCTTTCATGCCCGTGACTTGCACGTGTAATGGACACTTACAGGTCTTTCAGGCAATGGTTCAACCTTATGGCTTCGCGCACACGTCGTCTCAGTATCTTTCAGCATCCACCTATCCTCAACAAGCAGACTCAGAACTGGTACTTGTTCCCCGCGATTGCTTTGGCTCTTTGTATGGCTATTTTCTGGCTCTATATTCCGCAACTTCAGAGCACTCTTCACACCAGTCGTGTCCCTGCTGAACATTTCTTCCTGCCTGCTGCCTTTGGCTTGGGCATTCTCTTCTTGGACGAGTTGAGAAAATGGGGAGTTCGCAAATGGCCTGGAGGATTGCTGGAAAATTGTGCTTGGTAGAGTGAGGTGGAGGGTATCTGTTGATGGAGGAGAGAGCGGGTTGGTCAGAGGGTATAGCAACATAGTCAAACCAGAGACAAAGAATACAGCTAGTATTTTCTGTTGTTGACAATATTGTGAGAACCTGTCTTGTATTGTCTACAGAAGCAACATGTTGTGTTTTACATACCGCGAGTACCCACCGCAAAGTGAAGAGTAAAAAGCAAAAGGCTCAACAACCATCCAACCTTCATTGTCTAATGAGTTGTAAACTCTTAATTCCTTGGTCGTTCTCTGGCTGTCATGCTTGTCAGCTCTTGGTCTTTGGCCATCGGTACATATCAGTTTCTCGCAATCCTCGCAATCCTCGCAACTCAGGCTCGAAACTGCCGCACCGGTCACAACGCTCTCCTCGAGCAATCTGACCGTTCCTTTCCTGGTCTAGCTCGATAAACTTTCAACCCACAAACCATAACCAATTTTCTTTTGTCTTTCTTCCAGCTCTCCAACTCCCACCACAATCTCACCTCTTCACCACAAGCATTCCTCACCCCCTCACTCTCTCACTCTATACACAATCACTCTATCCATACAGCTGCGATCTTTGCGATATTTTCAAGCAGTCGGGATAACTCCTTGTCCCTAATTATATCTCACCTTCCTATCCCTCCATCTCCAACTTAACCTCATCTCACCTTTTCACAACAAGCATATCTTCTCTCTTCCTTGCCTCTCTCTATCCACAATCATTCTTTAAATCCAGCTTCAACCTCGTTGGCTCTTCTCAAGACCTGTGAAGAGTCCCTTAGTCATAAGCTTATTCCACCTTCCCTGCCTCGAGAGCCGGTCGCGATCTAGATCGAGTCCTGAATCTCGCAACGACTTCCTCTTTTTGGTCCATCACAGCTAACTAGCACGACTCATCAAGCTCCTCCTCCAGGCAAGTCAATCTCCCTTCTCAGCAACGCGTTGATAATTGTCACAGTCCCGCTCTATCCTGTTGACAACTTGGTCGCGCGAGGGTCGTTGCGTCTTTCACATCGAAGCACGCTCTCCCTTCGCTCACTCAAGTCGCAGAGTGACGACTTTGACTTCAGATATAATCAACTACCCATGAAGGAAGTTGCATGGCTCTCTAGGTACAGATCGACTCCAATTGGAGCTGCGCCACTCACTTGTGCTGTTTACACAAAAAGGCGACTTGATACACCCCTCCAATACCAACGCCTCCTTGGCGCTATCAAGTACTCAAGGTGAGAGTCAGCAAGTGGGGTTCTTTCCACCTTTTCTTATACCCCATTGTTTGAAAACAGATTGCTAACACCTTCTCAGACAGCATCGAGTCGATTGTTTGAAGCCTTTACCCACAAGCATACGGAGATCGAATTCCACAATACTACAAGTGTTGTTATGTGGGCGTCCAGATATGCTCTACTTCATATTGTACTGGGCAGCGAGAGTTACCTTCCTTGAAGTTATACCGCCAGACCATTTACTACTTTGAGTCTCCTCAACTCTTTTCCTGTCTCCGAAGCACACAATCCCCCTTGTCTATATCGCTGCTTTCCTGTGAGAGGTATTACTGCAGAGATATCAAAACACTCCAAACAATTTTGGGAAGATCAGCTTCACCACACCCGCTTGCTCTCTAAGTTGCTCTTTCAAGATCTAGGAGTTACTTTGAGAGTCTGGGTAGATTAAAACTCAGTCTTGCCATCGCCCATGCAAGCTAACGCTACCACCAGGTGTGGGCGATGTTATAGGACTTGAGGACATCACACGAAAACCGAAAGCATTGACAGAAAGCCGAAGTTGCCTTACCCAGGTAGTGCCTGAAATGTAAGTAGCTGGAGGTATAGTCACCGAAAGATCTCATAATGTTTCTTCTCAGAGTTCGTCAAGCAGTTTTGAAAACAATACACTTACCCGCTTGCTCTATAAGTTGCTCCCTCTAGGATGCGATATGAGAGTAGGGAAGATTAAATATCAATCTTGCCATCGCCAATGCAAGCGGTAATGCGCCAAGCATTGGCGATGTTATACGATTGATGACATCCCAGATATGAATACAAGTGTAAGTTAAGTTACGAGACCAAGGCCCGAATGATCATCAGTCCTTCTCAGGTAGTGCCTGGATTGTATTGTACTGCTGCAGAACTATTTCAAGCAAGAGCTTCCAAATTGTCAAGAATACGTGGGACTGATGTCCTTCACCCGGTTGCTCTATAAGTTGCTCCCTTTAGGATGCAATAGGAGAGTAGGGGAGACTAAAACTCAGTCTTGCCATCGTCCATGCAAGCTCGCGCTAGGTGTGGTCGATGTTATACGACTGAGGACATCCTAAATAGGAATCGGAAACATGAGAAAGTCGAGATTGAGGCCGACTTTTGCTTCTGAGTCGACCCAGACGACTACCATTAAAGCTGCGCTGTTCTAGGTTTCAGCAGGAACAGTGATGTCAGACTTTCAAACCACTTGTACGAAAGTTATGTGCATGCGCGGTATGACTAAAACTATACTAGATAGAGAAAAGTTTTGATTGAGCGGGAGCTATTTGAAGTTATCCTGACTATCACAGCCTGTGGAAGTAACCCAATGAAAATCATACAATTTGCAGCACGTGTTTCCCTGAAGAGTCAATTGTGAATCGCTTGCAAGGAGCATCAAATTTCTTTATTGGTGCTTGACAATTCTCCAAATGAGGTTATACAAATGAAGCTCAAGCAAAGTAGATGTTGGCAGGAAGAAAGATACTTCCATTGAGTGGCTTTTGCACTTCTCTATGGGCCTTTGCGCTACAAATCCAACCCTAGAACCACATGGCAAACAATGGGAAGATTCGGCCATTGGACGTGTTTCCAATCGAAGGCTTTGGGGTTCGAAGCACTTGCCAGAGCATAGCTAGAGATTTATGTATTATTTTTACTTTTGTATAACCGCGCTCCTTCCATCCCTCATACCGGTAACGTAACATCTAGTCTAGAAAGCGAAGACCTGATCTTCCAACTTGCTTACTGGTCTAGCCTTGGTGAAACCAAGACCCTCGGAGGCCTTCTTCATGGCAGATATCATGGGTGGAGGACCGCAGAGAAGGAGCTTGACATCGGAGGCTGGCTTTGGAAGCCATTTCTAGGAGGTCAATTGTCAGTGTTGATCTGGTGTTGAATGTGGGGCTTCTGGGGAATATTTCGGGAGTTTTTGTTTTAAAGAAGAGAAAATGTAAATCTAGAATGGGAGCATACCGAGATCATTTCTGGAGTAACAAATCCAACACCACCCTCCCACTTCTCAGGTGGATTGTTAAGCACATAGTGTACCCTGAATCCAGGGTCTTCTTTCGCCAGTGTGTCCAAATCCTCCTTCAACAGAATATCCTCCTGATTGACGTTGGCAAATATGAGGTCGATTTGCGTCTTGTCGCCAGTGGGGCGTCCTCGAATAACAGCGCGAATGATTTGCAACATGGGTGTAATTCCAGTTCCTCCAGCAATCATGCCAAAAGCACGAACCATATTGGGTGTATAAACCATAGCTCCCTTTGGTCCTCTAACCTTGATTGTCTGTCCAACAACCAGAGATGCCATATGTTTCGAGATATTTCCGGTAGGATAGGATTTGATGAGGAGGTCGAAGAAGCCTGGCTGGTGGTCACCAGAGACGGGGGTATATGATCTGACAATCTCTTTGGAGGCGCCATCTGGCTGAGGGAGGGTGGCAGCAATAGAAATGTGCTGGCCAATTGGCAGACCGAGAATTGAGGTTGTAGAAGGGAGTTTGAATCGGTAGCTATACTCAATTAGCACGGTTGAGAGTGGGGCAAATCCATGGACTAACATTGCTACATTGTGCGAGATAATTGTTTTCTCGCTCAGTTCGAAGTCTTGGAAGACATCAGGTTTTAGGACTGGCTTAGCTCCTACAGAATTTATTAGTCGACTTCTCGGAGGCATGTGGTAGCCTGCGCCAATGCAACGAATACATACCGCCGCTGAAGATCTTGATCGCTCCCAAAGCCAGTGCAACAATCACAGCAAATGGAAGCCAATCTTGCTTGACAATGAAGGTTCCAACAAGTAGGAGACCAGATGGAATATAAACACCATTAATGTACTCCTTTGAAAGGAAAGGACTTCCGGAAGTCGACATTTTGATACCTTGTGAGATATTGTTGGGAATTTTTCGATGCGATTCTCAGATTGAATTTTGCTGTCCTGAGTCTGCGACAAGAACTCTTGGGGTCAGATCAAGACAGATATCTGAGACAAGCCGTCGGACAAGCAGAAGGAAGTGGTGGTGTCCGTCAATGTCTGGACATTTGAGAGAATCCGGGGATGTTAAAAATATCGGGTCCCGAGGATTCAGAAATCACCGAGTCTAAGCCGAGTCGGGGATTTCTCAACCTTTTGGGAAACCCTGTCCGGCACTGACATGCATTGGCTGACACGTTCTCGATTATACCTGATTAGATATCGCTACTGTTAAAGGACTTTTTACACGATCAAGATGGGGAATAATACAATTTCCCTTGAGAAGGGAAAGGTGGTCGCTGAAGAGGCCCCCTTTCCGTTGACCGATGTGGACAGATGGGTATTATCACAAACAGATGAGGAATTCCATCTGCATGATTGGGAGGAGTTGAAGGTGATCATAGGTGAGTGCTGCTTTATTTCAGTAAATATATGTCTTTTTATTCTGCGAAATTATTTCAAATTCTCCATGATTGTATTGCTCTCCGAGATCGGGTTCCAAAAGACCGGCGCTGCTCATCCCATCTTCGCAGGGGCATTTTTACATTCCACGTGATTGGAATATGTCTTCATTCTTCCATCTTAGCCTTGTTGTGCTTTGCAGTAGTTAACCTTGCTAATAATGTACTAGCTACCAACAAGCTTGAGACTCTCAAAAGAAAACCATCAGATCTTCGCCGCTATATGGCTTGGTCCTCGGAAATCAAAGCACAGTACGGAAGCATGACCAAGTATCTCATCCAGCACCGTCTACCTTGGGGCTCGCCACCTTTCACCTACAACTCTCCCATACCATTTGAAGACCCCTCAGACTATAAGATCTTGCTCAACGACTGGCCGTATGGTCTTACACCAGACATCACGCATATCGTCGTCTGGTCCAAGACACCCATTGAAACAGACAGTACAAGAGGGGATGTCACGGATGCTAGCAAGAAGATTATCGAAGAGTTCGTAGAAAAAGCGTTTACAAGAAGATTAGGTGATTCGAGTCGAGTGACATGGTTCAAGAATTGGGTTTCGTTGCAAAGCGTGAGAGCTTTAGAGCATGTGCACGTTTTGGTGAAAGATGCTTCAAAGGAAGACTTGGAGTTTTGGACTGGCAAGGCATTATAATTAGAAATAGATCAGAGAACAAGGAGTAGGAGAAGTGATCTTGTAGAAATGCCTTACTATATTACTAGTGCTTTCTGTGTATGGGTTAGAACTACAAAATAGCCTCATGCAGCTCTCCTTTGCTTCCGATTTCCAGCCATAGCCGCTTGCTCATCGGGCATCTGTCCTTGCTGAGCACCACCCATCATCCCCCTCGCCAGACCAAGTAATCCGTATCCTTTATATGCCCCATAAACCGGTACAACGCTATACACGATCCATCCCCAATTGCCAAAGAGGATGACACAGACCAGGCTCAACCAAGTGACCCATATGATGTCAAACATATATTCCGTCAACCCTGGAGCAGCCAGATCTTCTCCTGCGCTCTTCAATGCCTTGGTATTTGCATCATACTTCGGTCTTCCTGTAGTCTCGAGGATATACTCTGCCACGCCGCAAGGTATCGAAAAGATCAGGTATGCTACCAACGAGCGGCGCTTGAAGATCAGATTGAAGAGGAGGAAACTGGTGTTTATCGCAAGCGTGCCAATGTGGAGATTATTGAGGGACGAGATGTTGGCTTTCGCACGGTCTTTCTTTGCCTTCTGTGCCATCTTGTCGCAATTTGTCTCTGCAGACCAGGAGAGAGGGGGTATGACGAGCTTGCGGATCAGGAAAACGTGGTCGTGTGCGCTTAATTGACAATCAGAAAGAAGGGTCGCTAGTGAGGCTAGTGGTGGCTAGCTGGGCAAAATATCGTGAATAAATGATCTCTGAATACCAACACGAAATGACTACTTCGATGGGTGAATTCGAGGGTTATCAAAATAGAAGCCTCTAACTGGCCGTCCTCAATTCACTTGGCTATGTAAAATAATTGGCGAGGCTGAACCCAAAATCGATTCGTGCTTGGGCCTCTTTTGCTGACATAAGTTGCGTCTGTTGCCACGCCAAATTCAACGCTCCCAGCCAATGATTCTACCCGCCGCCGGTTGCATCAACATCGCGAACATATGAACCAGGAACGTTGTTGATAGAGCTGCTATAGCCAACCTCTTCAATATTATACAACCTCTTTCTTCTGACATCTGCAGTCTTTGCGGACATCAGCCATTGTTTTCGGCGTGCGGATTGTGGCGGATTCTCTTCTTCCTCTCGTTATCCTGGGCCCACGGTCTTGTTGTTCTCGCGAGTACTCGACCACGCCTTGCCATCGATCTACCTTTACCTCCCACGACCCCCTCTACGAAATAATTGTAATGATCTCTCACGACTCATAGCGACTGCTCGCAGATCGTCATTTTGCTGTCAACGAAAACTTCCCACCGCGAACATAACACGACAAGGGAGCGCTTAGATCTGGAACAGCCTCGAGCTCGATACACAACCGCCGAGCAACTCAAGTTGTCGGCTACATGGCCAGACCCTCGTAGCACCTCCATACCCGAATCGAACCTGTGTCCTTCTTTTGCAAACACCAAGATGGCGCCTACCCACACCTGCGTGGTGAACCAGCTACGGCAGCTTGTCTATTACCACCTCGACAACAATCTCCTGAAGAATGCTCTCTTCTTTGCTGAACGTCTAGAGGCTATCGACAGGCGGTCTTCGGAGTCAGCTCACCTCCTTTCTCTATGCCACCTGCGCTTAGGCGATAATGCTTCAGCTTACGAATACTCGAAAACCGCGGGGTCAAGGGGATCTCAACTCGGATGTACCTATGTCTTTGCGCAAGCTTGCTTGGCCTTACACAGATACAAAGATGGGATAACGGCGCTGGAGAAAGCCAAAGCGTTATGGGGGGCAAAGAATAACTTTGGAAAGCACACAGCAAACTCGAGACAACTGCTGCCTGACGCTGCCGCTGCAAGCTGTTTACTGGGAAAGCTGTACTATGGATATGATGATAAGCTCAAGGCGACACGTTGTTTCGAGGAATCCCTGAAGTTAAATCCTTTTATGTGGGACGCGTTCACAGGTCTCTGCGACATGGGAGTTCCTATGCGGGTCGAGAATATCTTTAAGATGAACCCAGAGATGGAGGCGATTATAAAACAAGGGTACCCAGATCAGTTGGAGTCACAGTCTTCGAAGGACTCGGTAGCCTCGATCTCAACAATGCCAGATCAGGAACGAACTCGGCCCAGCACCCGACCCGCCTCAGTCGTCAGCGATACTCCAGATCCATTCAACAACGTGTCAACTCGAGGCTTTGCGGGTGGGATTTTTGGAACATTGGGAATTTCTCAGAAGCTTAACGAGAGCAATCCGAGTCTGACAAATCTTCCAGCAGCTGGAGGTGGAGGCATTGGACCAGAAGCTATGGAAACACCAACAGGACCGAGCGCTATCCTCGATGTGACCCAGAATCGACGAGATCCTGGTGTGTTAGCATACTCCAATGAAGCACCTCCTGCACCAACAAGGAAAACACGAACATTGCAAGGACTTGGAATGGATTTCTCAGTGGACGCTCCCAAGATGAGTCGCGGTATAACTTCGAAGCGTTCACAGAAACTTCCAATGCCACGTGCCATCCCGTATGAAGAGCACGTAGACGAATCCGCAGCTGCACAGGCTGTCCGATCCAACAGTGTGTCACATACTACAGGCGACCGGAAAAGAACAGTTTCAGGTCAGGTCGTGCCCAGACAGAGTTCAGAAGATCCAGGTGCACCTCAGCGGAGAAGTGTCAGACTCTTCAATCAAATTAGGCCGACAAGCACGAAGTCGTCGAGTAACGGTCCAACCATCGGATTGCCAGCAGGGCGAGAACTCAAGAAGACTAGACAGCCCATATCCAAGATCATGCGGCCAAGCTCAAGTGCCTCAACGGTTGGTCGTCAAGTTAGCGGGAACAGGAAACCCGTCGAAGAGCCTATGGACGTTGACCAAAAGGAGACGAGCTCACGTTCTTGGTATGGAACGGTCACCAGCATACAACCTCCTAAATCGTCGGAGCCAGACTCTGTGAAGCAGGAAGTGGCCTTGAAATTCTTGCTTGATCTGTTTAGAACGTTTGGCAGCGGCTATTTTGCATTGTCAAAATTCGCGTGCGCAGATGCTTTGCAACTGTATAATCAGTTGCCTAAACAACAACAAGACACTGCTTGGGTGATGGCTCAGATGGGTCGTGCTTATTATGAGCAGGCAGCGTACGCAGAAGCTGAGAAGTATTTCAAAAAGATCAGACAACTTGCACCCACTCGGTTCGAGGATATGGAGATATATTCCACTATCCTGTGGCATCTCAAACGCGAGACTGATCTTGCATTCCTTGCTCACGAGCTTATTGACTCGTCATGGCAGTCTCCTCAAGCTTGGTGCGCGCTTGGAAATTCATGGTCACTTGCCAGAGATCACGAGCAAGCTTTACGCTCTTTCAGACGTGCCACTCAATTAGACTCCAAGTTCGCCTACGCGTTCACACTCCAAGGACACGAGCATGTTGCCAATGAAGAGTATGACAAGGCACTTGTTGCTTACCGAGCCGGTATGACTGCTGACAAGCGGCACTACAATGCTTGGTATGGTCTTGGTAGAGTGTACGAGAAGCTTGGAAATTATGACAAGGCCTTCTTCCACTTCGAAAACGCTTCGCGGATCAATCCTACCAACGCTGTCCTGATTTGTTGTATTGGTACCGTACTCGAGAAGCAAAAGGACGCTCGACAAGCTCTCCTCTACTTCACGAAGGCCACTGACTTGGCGCCTCGGTCTACCTTGACCAGATTTAAGAAAGCAAGAACACTGATGGCTTTAGGCTTGCTTGATCACGCTTTGAGTGAGCTCACCGTGCTGAAGGATATGGCTCCGGATGAAGCCATGGTGCATTTCTTACTCGGCAGATTATACAAGAGTATGAGAGAACGTGGACTCGCTGTACATCATTTCACCATTGCCTTGAACTTAGATCCTAAGGTATGCACATTCATTGCCGTCCTCCCAGACTCTTCTAACATGTCAAACAGGCGAGTCAGCAGATTAAGGAAGCTATCGAGAGCATCGAAGAAGATGATGAGGACTACGAGAACAGCATGACCGCTTGAGTCAACTCTCAAGCTCCATGTTCTACTTCTCCGTTGTGTTGGGGAAGCGACGTTTTGAGCCATTGTGCTCCATAAACACTATTATTATTTTCCGCCACGCCTTCACCGTCACCGACTTCATCCTCTTCACCCTCACATATAATTACACAGCTGCATAACAGCATGCAGCATGATGATACGATACAGACGTTAGTTCTTGGGTCTCGGGGCGGGGCACAGAACCACGGAAGCATTGCATAAAAACCGGCGTTATCTTTGGGATTGGAAGTGAGAAACTCACACTATTATGGTGATCATAGCGTGGGTGTTGTTCTATTGTACATAGGATTGTCAGGGTATGGAATCATTGTGGCATTGACATGGTGCGAGGTCAATTTCTGTGATGATGGTACAGTCCAAGGGGTGTATGGATTTTGCACCAAGCAGAGAAATAGAATGCTCGATTCGTATTCCAAAAAATTTTTACACGTGAATCATGCCTTTTCGAGTATTATCTCTCTGAACTATCGTATTCGTTACATGCGAATACGATCCAATTGAGACCTCTAATGATGCAAAATACAACCACTTCGCCGAAAATCGTGATGTCAAAAAAAGATAGCATCTACCAAAAACTCAGTTTATAAAAATAAAAACCACTAAACCAAAAGGCAAAAAAACACCTCAGGTCATTGCTCAACAGGCGTCACGGACCCACCCTGCGAACCCGAAGATCCTCAAGATTGAGCCGGACTAGCTCTCTAAGGGAACACTCGATCATCGAAAGTGGGTAGTGAGGGAGTATGACTATTTCTCCACTCTACCACACAGCCTCTCTGGTGTTTGTCATGTTAGAATTTTGCTTATTTAACTTTATGTAGATGTTGTGGTAAGCGAGGGGTTTTGGGCTGGTGGGCGACGAGAGAGGCGAGGCTGGGTTGGGTTGGGTTGGTGGGATTCACTTTCATGGATTTGGAGATTTGGGTTGATATCATTGATAAAGTTGGGCTAATGGTGTCTCCGAAAGGAGGGCATTATCTTCTACTTAGCATTTGCATTCATGGGCCAGCCATGGGTAGAGAATCATGAACGGGAGGCTCCCAACAATAACTCGGAAAACGTCGATGCCAGCGTTGACTTCCCAAACATCTCCGCACTTATTCGCTCAAATCAGGACTATGCCTATGGTAAATAATTCCAATCCTCCATGCTCGAGCTCCTTCTCCATGGAGTCCGCTTTATCAGCACATCCTTGATATTCTCATTGGTTATGTAGTTCCTGACTTCTTGGTACATCCAGGGATTTATGGATTGGGCTTGAGCCATGCTTGATCCACAAGGGTAGTATTGATATGGTTTGAGAGATCTAGCTCTATCTCCAAGGGGTATTTTATCGTAGTCTTGAGGCGTTTCGTTAACTATTGCAACTGTGGCGCCAATAAATCGTTTAGTGCCGGCGAAGTCATAGATCAAGACTTTTGTACTCGGTGGGGTGCTTGGGTGGAACATTGAGTTTGCAGTAAGGAAAAGCTCTTCTAGATATGGTGTTGTTGATTTTTGAGTGAGAATGTTTTGAGTTGATGGTGGATGGAGGAAGTTAGAGAGACTTTGAAGGGCGTTTTATAGATAATTTGTGCCCTGCACAATACTACTTCTTTGAATCATATTGGATTTACTACGTGACTCTGTGCAAAGAAATAATTCAGATCTCAACATAGCTTCTCTTGACTCGCAAACTTTTTATTATGCTTGCTAACTAACACAATCACTGGCTTATCTCTGCATGGTCCTCTATTCATACTAACAATCTGCATATTTCAAGTATATCCGACCAATCTGATCTTCGTCACTTTTGTCTGGAATTATCTTTATCCACATCATCCGAGGGTTTGTCTCCTTAAAAAAAGCCTTCACTTCTTCGTACTGGCAGAAGTCTATCGTTCGTACCGCATCCTCGTCTTCTCCAGGGTAATTGTTGAACTGTTGGAGACATGCTGGCCAATCTCCAAGAGGTCCGGAGGGATAGTCTGCCTCTCTGTTTATTACATCTCCGTAGATAGCCGCGTAAAATTGTCTCTTGCCAGCGAAATCGAAGATCAAGATTGGTGTATCTGGAGAACTGTTTGGGTTGAACCTTGTGTCTTTAGATTGCGATGGCTTCTTTAACACGTGTAAAAAGTGTAAGAGCTTTTTCAACACAGTGTGTGAAGCTCTTTCAGATTCGATGTTGTTGACTTGTGAGTGAGAGTGTCTTGAGTTGATGGTAGGTTGATGGTAGGTTGATGCAGGAGGTTAGAGGGACATCGAGGAGCCTTTATAAGGCAATTTCCGACATGGACAGTACTGTCTCCATGAATCATACTGGTATTATCAGGTCACCGTAAGGAGCATATCGATGATTCAGATCTCGTCATAGCTTCTCTTTGCTCAGACAATCTTCATTATGCTTGCTGCCTAGCACAATCACGAAATTTGTAATGTACATGCATATTGATTCAAGCACGCGCGATCTCCATATACCCAATAGACTTCAGAGCAGCTCATTGATACCATAAAGCCGGAACATTATGTGACACTATCAATACAGTTTGTGCTCTCCTATGACCCAGATGTTAGTCCTCACTTCCAATCATAAGAGAGCACAAAAGAACATACTCCCAAGACATACATCAGACTCCTTATACTCTCCAAGACCAGAAAAAGCCTCACCAAATCTCTGTTCTCAGAGCTTCACAAATAACAGTTTGTAGTATCCGGCCCTCCATCCAGCAATGACCCAATCAGGTAATTGCATCAAATCTCCTCCCATAACGGCAAGAGTATCATTGACTTCCTGATCGAGATTCGCACGACGTGGACAGTCTGGATTTCCCAGGCCACAGCACCCACGATCGTTTGCGCGAGCGAGATGGAGGTAGATTGTAGGATTCGCGGTTGATTTTGGGTCGATCAGTAGGACTCCATCTGGTAGCATATCTTCTTCCGGCGAGTTCCGACTTTTGAGGAGATATTGGCGTTGTTTGTTGAAGTATCGAGAATCGCGGACAGTGGGGCGGACAAAGGAGTGGCTTCAAAGTTTGTCAATATGAAGATGTTCAAAGCTTGAAGTAGAGACGGGAATGGACAGCGCAACTTTGGAGTTTAGGATGACGGTCCACATGATATCTTCGGAAGACGGGCTGCTGGATTCACAGCAGGGAACAGCATGACTTCGATCATTGTCTTGAATCATGATTAGATCTGTAATTGATTGGAGCTGGGGAAGTTGAGATATGAATGGCAAGTATTGGTAGCAGATGTGTCACAGAGTATAATCACTGGCGATTTTTGGACTGGTCGAGCAAATTAAAGATATCTTTATGACTCCTGGCAAGAAAATTCTATAGTCCAGTTCCGCGGACTACAACGCAGCATCTTCCGCCAACAAGTATACTCGTAAGGACTATTCGTGACTCAAAACTTCCGTTGAAGGTAGCAAGCCTAGCATTGCGCGAGACCGCCATATAGGGTGAATATTGTTGGCGCAAGTAATGGTGAAAGAAAATACCGCTGCTTTTACGTAAAGTTTAGGGGCTTGAAGCAGCGGTGCTCGGCTAACTCGCTTGGAATTTGCACTATGAACAAGGTGGGTACCTATGCAAGCTCTCATACTTTATGATCTCTCCAAACTAATGTACAAGTTCTTTGTATCCCAATACCAGCACTGAGACCATCCGCGAATTCCAATAGAAACAATCACTCCAAGAGCCAATCCACCCAAGCTAGAGAATGCTATACCGGTATCTTGACGTAAATTTGCGTGAACTTTCCCTGATTTCTTCCCTTGATAACCCAGGGGGGTAATTTACAATCAACGATGTGTTCCGGGGAGTTGCCAGCCTTAAGTACCGCATACAGCAGACCACTATTGTAGATGGGGATCCCGGAGTGGTAGTCTATGCTCGTAGCCGTCGCGGCAGGTGCAAGGCTGTATTTATACCCGCATTGAGAGCGAGTGTCGAGAACGACTGCTGGGTCATCGATTCTTGGTTCGAACTTCTTGACTTTTGACTGTCTGGTTCCCATGGTATCGATGGAGGATAAGGATGTAGGCTTCCTTGATTCGGCACTTTGTAAGTAGATTGAAGAATGAGAAAGGGAAGCGCATGACCAACACTTTATACGAATGTTTCGAAACCACAGGACTCATAGCCCTCGACAGGGTTTGACTCAAGCGAAGCCTTATGAGGACCCATTCAGACGCCTGTCCCGACTGTTGATGTATATCCCTGCAACCACACTGAGCCTATAGGCCTCAGTCTCCATTAGCGATAATTATTCTCCACCCAAACGTATTCGAACTTTCCGATCAACCTTCCAGCCCTCACTTTATATGGTAGTCTCTCCAGCCTAGTCCTCTCATATGCCTCGCCCCATCTTGGCGTCAATCGAATCTCTTTTGCCCATTTCAGGGCACAGACCGGGTACGCGTTCTTATCGATCTTGGAGTGACGTTTGTAGGAGAATCTATCGGATTGCCAGTGATAAACGGCTTAGAGAGGATCGTGAGGGTCGTAGTCCTCTCGAGAGCAGTCGAGCGGTAGGAGGTAGGAGCTCGTGGACATTCGATGACAGCTGTCAGCTGGGGCGGGTTGGAGGATCGTTGTGGGTGTTTGGGAAGGGGAGAAGGAGAGAGTGGGAAAATATTCAGTTATAGTTTACATCATTTAGCTGAGTGGTGTGAATAACCACCACCACTCTTGCAATATCTCTCTGTCGTGAGCTTTTTCATTGTTATATTCGACCTTTGGCCTTTGTGACTCTGATGTCTTATCGACAGGTCGTAAAAGCTTGTCGAGATCAGTGTTTCCTCTGTATCAAGGCGTATGTCTCTCCATCTCCAGACCTTAACACCAATTGAGTCTACTTTCCATCCATTCTCGGTCGTAAACAACGCACATTCTATAGCTACAATCCACTGAATCCACTCAGGCCCTCTCAACAAACATATCCGCAATCTTCCGCAATCTTCTGCCCGTCAATACCCACGTTGGTAATTCCACCTGCCTCTCCCTCAGACGAACTTCGTGATCAAACTTGTCGAGGTTTCTCCAACGAACAGTGACCGTGTCCCCAGACTTTGGTAGCTGGACAATGGTCATCCTTCCGTCGCACAAGAGGGGTGGATTGTCAACACTCATGGTCAACGATTGAGATGTTGTCTCCACTTCCTCTCCGTTTCCGTTCTTCGTCAACGAGCTTCTCTTCTCTGCCCTGAACTTCTTGGTTCGGATGTTGTAGATTACGGTAGGATCTTGCTCGGCTCTGACAAACAAATCGTAGTATTCAATGAACGCACCGGATGAATGACGGTCGTTCTGGGTCGGTCTCTTGGCAGCTGGTTCATTGATATCATTGTGCTCAATCTCCGTCGTCATGGCATCTTCGAAAGAGTCGTCAACGAACGTAGCAAGATCTTCGTCGTCAAAGGAGAACTTTCGGCGAGGAGGGGAGCCAAGGCGAGTTGGCAATCGAAGTGCTCTCTTCTTGTTCGGCTTGGGAAGAGTGTCTGGCCTGGGTTGCTTCTGGTATGACCCGTACACATATTCTGGGCCTTTTGCCCGCTTTGGCATAGCCTGACTTAGGTAATATCCTTCAACTTCTTCCAGACGACTGGCTTTTGGTGGGGAGAAAGTCTGGTCTGAATGCTTTAGAATCGACTTTCTCAATGACGCGGGAGAGTTTGAAGGTTCCAGAGAAGTAGGAGCTTTAAGGCCCTCTCCTTGTGCGGTATATTCTGATGGCGTACTTAGTGGCTCCAGAAATCCAACACTCTTCCGTACTTTCTCCGGTTCACAGCTGTACAACTCTGCTGGCGTTTTTTCTGACTGCCAAGTGATCGGAGATGGGGACGGACACTCAAGTTCGGTTATGTCAGGCGATTGGAAGCTCAACAAAGGTAGGATAGGGGGGCTTGATAGTGGTCGGGCGCGAGACGAACATGGCGTAACGTTATTGTCGGACTCTGGAGGAGGCATCGTCGCAAGTTCCCTGTCTGAAGAAAGCACAAGCTCGTGGATCTATCAAACTTGAAAGGAGTATCGTTGGGTAAGTCAGCTTGTGGATTATCGAACTTGAGAGGGAAATCTTCGGGTAAGAAAGTGATAGTCCTAGCACAAGCTTGTGAATTTATCGAACTTGAGAAGAAAATCGTTGGGTAAGAAAGTGATAGCCCCAGGCTAGTGACGCGCTCACAAAGCGATGATTGGGGATCTTTCTTTGTGCAGCGTTCGTTGTTGGTTGATGTTGATCCGAGCAAGTTTACTTAATTTCGAATCATTGATTACACTAGCGCCTTCGAACCGGTCCCCAACTCCAGATATTCAACCCGATCTTGGAGCCTGACCTGACAGGTAATCCAGCATGCCATGTCTCTTCATATCCTCGGCCATCTGGTCCTAAATTCTCCCAGTACACAGCATTGCCAGAGATAGGTTTGAAGGTAATGCCCATCTTCGTCTTCTCTATATCTTTCGTCTCATCTCTAGTATCCTCGCATTCAAGAAACTCACACCATCTCCCTCTACTAATATCCGGCATAGCAAGCCTTGGAAACTCCGTCCCACCTCCTTCACATCTATCGACAAATAAGTATACTCTTCGGCAGCGATATAACAGTGAAGTAACTCCTCAGAGGTGTTTAAACAAATCCTCTTTAGTGAGTAGCTCTTGGGGATGGTCCCGCAGAGACTGGCTCTTAAAATGATTCACAACAAAGGGCAAAGACTGACGTACTTAGCGTTAACATAGACCATGAACGTACTGACTCGATCGGCTTCTCTACTGGCGCCGCTCCAGTCATAACTATAGACAATTCAGTATACGCTTTTGACAAAGACCCAGGAGCCGAAGCATCCGAAGCGTTGACACGAGTCTTCTCTGACGAATGGCTCCCGACGAGACTCCCAAAGAACTCGGCTCCTACAATGAATACAAAACAATGGCATATTTTCACGTACTGGTGGTTATAGTGACCTCCTATACCATATCTTTGCGTTCTCAGCCGTTCAATGTGGATATCTGGTCTCCATCCCTGGAAGTCTCGAGCCCGATGCTCAACACAGCGGACGACATCATCACGGTCAATGAGAGCAACTTCTGAGAATCGAATGTCTTTCTGAATAGATGTCTCAGCTCCAGCGGAAACGGTCGATGGAGCAAATTTATCCTCGCTGTTATGGTATCAATCACGTGTATATTTGTGGAGCGGAAAGGCCGGGACGAGAAATCTCTGAATATACCTTATATCTATTAAGTGCTTCGACTCGTCTGGACTTAGAAAGTTTTCAATATAGATGACAAGCGGCTCTTGTGAGAGGATATGTGTATTGTAGCTGTGGGAAGGACATGAAAGAGGTACGTCGTCGGCGATCAAGGAGCTGTTGAGAATCGCAACATGTTGCGCCTGAGGTCTTGGAGAAGTGCCGAAGTATGAATTGGATATTGGCAGATACACAAACATGTAAAGGAGAGGCAAAGCAGCAATGTAGCCTAACATCTTTGTGATTCCGTCTTAGCGTCCTTAGCAGTGTTAGTGAGTGGTGAGGTTACATTGAGCGCGGCAATGTCCCAATAGGGGCATGTACGATCACGTGCGAGATGCATGGACCACCTCATCCCCATATTTTCTCACGACGACCATCTCTATCTTTGGATCCTTCTCCTCATACATCCACAAATCCGGTATCTTCAAACATTCCCTTCGTCAATCTTGGGAGATAACAAGCTCACGTTGCATCCGAACTCTTGACGACAAGCTCACCAGACAACACCAAGCGGTGTTGACAGCTCATGCCAAACCGTCTGTACTTTTGAGACCACTGCCGAGGTCGCCAAGTGTCGCAAACATCTCTTGGACTGCCGGTCTTCGACGTTTCAAGTGACTTCAGACATTCTTGCAGCTTTGACATCGTTCTCGGCACCCTTGGCACCTAGTAAACTCTACCATACCCGCAGTCTGGACTCCTTATGCCATGACATTTCTACGTGGTCTTCCACTTCCAAGCGGTGAACCCCTATGATTGGCGTTTCGGTTCTAATATGACTGGTGGCGAAAGTATATCTGATTTTCTTTGAGTTCTTCTATTTGCGGACGAGTCAGGTAAATTTGGAACGTGCAGACTGGGGGACACTGTCCACGAAAAAGCTCGGTATTCACTTGGACCTGCTATAAGTATACCCATCAGTCCACTTCTCTCCATTTCTTCCCCAGCTGCGCTCACATTCATTTCACAAACACACCAGAAGCAAGTCTTCCTTTCACCCGCTTTCAGTTAATTCGTAATCCCATCTCAACTATCACATACCATTCAACGAACTCTCGACAATATTAGCGCAAGCAACATCAATCTTATCACCATGCATTACTCAGCTCTCATGGCTCTCTTGGCCGCCACTGCCGTTACTGCCGTCCCTTTGAACATCAACCTGGGAGCATACTCTCCTGCCTTGGTGGTCGGTGATGGTGAAATATCATTTGGCGGAGCAGAATCTGCAGAAGCTCTAGTCAATACTCTTGCCGGCGCCTCTGCCGGAACCGAAGCCGCCGCAGCCAACACAGGCGTCACTCGCGCCGGCACTGCAGAAGGCTCTACAATCATCACTCCTTCCGAAGCCGCAACAGAAGCTACCCCCAGTGCGTCTCCTTCTCCTTCCACTCTCCCCTCAGGTGTTTTTGGCATCGGCAAGAAGGTCGTCGAACCTCGAGAACCAGAACTTGCTGATACGGGTGTAGCGAAGGAGAAGCGAGATCTGCAGGGTTTTAACGCCGCTCTGAACTTCGCCACTGGTGCACTCAGCAAGGGCCCTACTGTCGAGTTGGGTACTGGTGAGGGTGGATCTGGGGTTGGTATCACTGTCAAGCCTGGAGCGGTGGCGAAGAGAGAGGAGGGAAGCTTGCCTACTGTTACGTTGCTTAAGATCAGATCGCTGGGAAATAATGCTGGTCAGATTTCATGATTCCTTCTTTCAGTTATACATGCTGATTCGAGGTAGTTGCTCGCAAAGCACGCAGAGCAGAGAGTGTTGTTCCCAGAGAGGTCAGTGTCGACGATATTGATAGCATCAACTTGAACTTGGATGGCGATGTCGAATTTACTATTGCGGAGGTCAAGCCATAGAGGGAATGATTTGAAGTTTGGGTTTTCATAGTTGCTTGTTTATAATATGGGTCAATGCAAGCTATATATCACACAAAACCCTAGAATCCCTTAATTTGTTTGCATTAGTGACCGCTTTCTGCTCGATCCTCCAACTTGATGATATCGACAAGCTCAAAAGTTGAGACCTGCAAACAAACTTTCAAAAGTCTGCAACCTTGGCTCACATGATGACCGTCAGCGGATTATATCCTCCATCTGCTTCATAATCAAGCAACTCCCCTCGACAAATAAGCAGTTTAGCTTACTACCACCCCAAAACATGTCCGTTCACCTTACCATCAACTTTATCTTCGCTCCAACACTTCTCAGAACCCTCTTCACCATCTCCTCCTTCAGCACCCCTTCCTCCCAGCACGCACAAACAACACAGTCCCCACCTTTGACACTGGCAACATTAAACACTATCCCAAAGTCACCCAGATTTGCTCTAATAGCCCCAGCCGAAAACGCCACATCGCTCACTTTCCACCCGCCTCCGCCTATCCCGCTCTCTGCGCTCTTCGCGCGATTTGCGCTTTCTCCGCTGTTCCCGCCATCCTCACTCCCACCCGAATTTCCTTTCGGCTCAAACACTCCCAAATTCGAAATCAAAAAAGAATTATTCTGATAAAGCCCCAACCCAAAGAACTTCCCAAAATCCTCATTATCCTCTCCCAACAACTTAGCACTGAGGAATTCCTGAGCTACAGACTTTTTCGTATACATCGCTGCATTCAAGTCGTCTTTATATTTCTTCGCCAGCTTCCATGCCTTGCCTTTTTGTAATGGGATCTTTGATTTGTGGATCATGGGAAGAGTGCCAGCGTCCCGGTAAGAGGAGAGGAAGTGGAAGCCATAGTATACGCTGACTGCGTCCGTTATGACATCTTTGCCGATTCGTCTGTCGTTCTTTAGGAGATTCCTGACACTAACTGCCAGTCTCGAAAATCCTAATCTTGCGTTGGGATATTCGTCGACTGCTAGGGTGATTTGGATGAGTGTGTGTAGCAGCGCCGTGAAGCTGGTTTGATGGAGTCGACATGCTTCCAGGCATTTCTGCATTACTTCACTATCGATGCGGAGGATGGCAACTTTCGTTATCGTCTTTTCGGATGCGGGGAACGGATTGCTGACTGTTGGGAATCGTGGAGATACGACGGCGTCTGAGAATAGGAAGTATTGTGACGGGACGAAGAATCGGAGTAACACCCAGAAGAGGAACGTCTTTATAACGTGTAACCAGGACAAATTCTCCTCGAAATCTTCTAAAGGAGACGGAAGAGCTGCGGCGTCGATCCTCGGTGTTATAACACTCTCGATATCGTCCTCTTTTGCTACGACGTGAGGAGAGTTCAGAGCTTCCAAGAAGCTCCGATGAAAAGCATACCCACTCAAGCCATCCGCAATGCCGTGGTGACACACCCAGACCACCGTCTTCCCGTTCAAAACAAGTATCTTCCATAGGGGCTTGGTTTTGTCACTCGTGCTAAACCAGAAATTATGAGTTTCTTCAAGAGTTTGAGCTAGTTGGCCATCCCCATCGAAATCTAAATCAAGAAACTCGACGCAATCTTTGAGTTGGATAATGGGGAGGTGAGCATCCCAGATTCGGTGATGGCCAGGAGTTTTGGTCGAGGGACGGGTCACGCCGATGATGGAAAGAGCTGGGTGCTGTGAGATGACACTTGCAAGAGAGTGATAGACGAGAGAAGGCATAAGATGGATAGTGGGATGAATGTATGTAGCGGAGACGAGTAAGTTGGATTGGATTCCTAATTCGTGGAAGAGGTGAGGGAGGACGGCTAGGGGATCTGAGAGGTGTTAAGGTGGTATTTTTGACGGCACGTGAGACTGACCTGCTTTGCGAATGAGTCTTCCTTCATGATTTGTCGTTTCGGCAATAGTTTCTTGGACTGCAGGTTTGTTTCGACGCCGGAACATTTTGCATCATTGATGTTGTTCTCTGCTGTTTTGAAGATAAATCAGAGATATGCAGAGATTCGGAGGTCTGGTGAATAGCCGGGCCTATTAAAAGCCGTGCTGACATGCCACGGGATGGTTCGCGAGTGACTTGGCATCGCTTCAGAGATGTAATTTAAGTTATGCCTTCAAGATGAAGGAGTGTTATGACCTGGAATTGATGCAGGAAAACTCAAATATGTTCAAGAGCGCGGAAAAGACACCTACATGTCCGGATTGCTACTTGGCTAGACGGAATATCAACCAAAATCTAGAGCACGAACACCAATAGTTTTAAGAACGTGTTTGAGATTATCAAGTACGAAGTCGCATGATAATGTTACACTGTACTATGAAGGCCAGTGTAGGAGAGAAAAGAGAGCGAAGAATCGACGATTTCCATAGATGCAATATGTAGATATGCTCAGAGTCTTTGCGATAATTTCAAAGCACTATTAACAGAGGTATAAACTCTGCGGATTTATGCACATGGTACATCAGAGAGAATGTGAGATAGCAAGGGAATGAAGAAATAGCCGTAAGAACAAAAAAAGTCTAGGCATACAAACCATCAGCCACTGCATAGAATTCGAGCTCTCCTCTCGTAGCTACGCAATTGAAATGAAGGGAAGTACGGTCTTGAAGGCACGGTTAATATGCGGTGTCCCTTGCTCGTCCAAGATGACATGCAGTGCCTCCCTTGATTAAGCTTACTTGTCCTGGGACTGGGACCTGCATCCGAGTACTCTTCGGTGATTCGCTAAACTGTGAGATCTTAGCTCCCCTCATAGACTGTAACATTTCTGATTGGCAGAGCGTCAAGGGCCCTTCACACGTTCAGATGCTGAAGTGTTTGAGTTGATAACCAATGGCTTGAATTTTAAGTCACCGGCTAGCGCTGACGTCGCATCAATCCTCCAATCACCAGTACTCTCGGAGACATAGTGTATCAAGCCCAAGCTGTAAAATACTGTATTATGCAAGGCTGCGGCTGGAACAAAGAGGAGATGTCGATGTGTATAAAGCAGATGAGTTTTGCTCCTCAGCAATTTTGAATTGTGTCAATTAATCGAAGGGTTTGCCAGAAAACAACACACAGTTGCAACATGGCAGCTGTAGAAAAAAGAATTGACCTTGGGCCGGACGACAAGGAGATTGAACGTTTGACGGCACAGCACAAAATTATGAAATCGTGTTATGAAAAGCTGATACTCGCACCAATCGACCTTTCCAAGCCAGGACTTCGTATTCTAGACTCGGGTTGTGCAGATGGTTAGAAGCGTCGCATAAGTTTCCTCCTAGATACTAACTGGAATGTAGGACTCTGGTTGAGAGAGGTTCAGCCATTGATAGCTTCACCTCATTCCCTGATTGGCACAGATTTCAATCCAAATCTCTTCCCATCTGATCCGCCTGGACAGATCATGCACCAAGCACAAGATATAACGAAGCCCTGGCCAGCTGACTGGGCCAACAGCTTCGACTTTGTTCATCAGCGGCTTGTACTAGGCGGGTGTGGTCCGTTTGGCCCGGAGAAAGCTGTCAAGCATATGATCGAACTAGTGAAGCCAGGTGGATGGATACAGCTGGATGAGATGGACTTAGCCGGTGAGCAACAGCTTCCAGGAATGGGCGGAGAACTCGGGAGAATCATCAGAGCTGTATTCGAAGCAAGCGGAGGACAGTGGGACTTTGCCACGAAGATGAAGCAATGGATGATCGAAGCTGGTCTTGAAAATGTCGAGGAGAAGACCATTCATGTTGCTTTCGGGAAGTCAAATCCAGATCCAGAGATTGCAAAGTTGGGAATCTGGAGTCTGACCACCAGCACGAAAGCTCTGTGCTTTGCTGGAAAGAGTAAGCGTTAATTTTGACATCGAAAAGAACAAGCTGACCTCGAAGCAGAAATGGGCATAAAGGGATTCACGGAAGCAGAGCTAGACTCGATGGGTGAAAGATGTGAGAAGGAGCTGATTGAAACCGGAGTAGATTCTCCTATGCTTTCAGTCTGGGGCCGGAAACCCTTATAATGAGTAACGTAATGAAGGAGAATAGTTTGCCTGCTTAAACACAACAAGAATAGGAAATGAGAACCATGGTCCCCTTGCAATAGAAAGCATTCCAAATGAAAACACGTGACAAGCAACTTAATCGAATAGAAGACTGGGGAAAAGAAATAGTTTGATCAATTGTGAAGATCGTAAGTTCTGAGCACTAAGACATCTAAAAGCAAATCAGAGGTTTAAGAAAAGTCGTTCCTGAAACTCAAAAATTTTGACTGAAATGTTTTGGGCACGGTCCACAAAAACGTTCGTCGGGCTGCAAAGGACGTCATCCAACAATTGAGCTGCAGTCTGCTGAGACATTTACATTCTAAGAATTTTTTGGCGGCCCTTGGACATCAATACCCTCATGGCCTCACGATAACCAGTATCATAACCTTGGATCCAGAGATCCTTTCATCGGTACGACAATGGCATCCACAAGCACAAGTACGACGGAAACCTCCCCTCTTCTTCCATCTCGAACCACCTCTTCTCTTGACACGGCGAAGAAGGGAGCACGAAATGTAACCTTCAATCCCAATCCAGCCATAATATCGATCGACAATGCCTCGAGCCAATCTCTGCGACCAGCACAAAGTGCACTCAATGCTGCGCTACCGTCCAATTCCCCGTCGTCAAACCCTCCCATGCTTTCCGCGTTGAACAGCCGTCTGCGACGAAGAAATAGCTCCGGGTCCCCTCTTATGCCCCTACCCAGCGGCCCAGTACCTAAAATTGGACCCCAGAGAACGACGAAGAATGCTCAGAAGCTCAAGCTTCTCCCAAACCCAGATTTTGGCGAAGATGGACCAGATGAAGAGAGTGGACGAGATGTCTACTCACAGTACACGCGGATTAAGGATCCTACAGCACGTCGTGATGCTGCGAGACTTGGGAAGGCGGATCGTGACCGATTACCCAGAGTAACGGCATATTGTACAGCGAATAAATACCAGATGGACAATCTGATGCGGTTCTTAAAAGGAAGAGGGAAGACGAAAGGTGCGAATCCGAAGTTATTTGATGAGTGTATATACACTCCTTACAACTACGGGATGAATTTATCGGCGCCTTCGGAGAGGGTGATGGAAGTGCAGTCGCTGCCGGCACAGATGAGCGAGAGGAGGCATTCGGATAGTGCTATTGAGGTTGAAGACAACAATAAGCATAGGAGAGAAGATCTCATCGACCTCCATACAGAGGGTGGGGACACGAGTCTAGGCAATGGGGAGAATCAGATGCATTCCGAGGCTGTTCAGAGGCAGATTCAAGACGAGAATATTGCTACGGAAAGTAATCTGGATTTCGACACTCAGGTACATACACCGGAAGTATTCCTCTTCGATTATGGAGTGGTGGTCATCTGGGGAATGTCATTACAACATGAACAGCGATTCTTGAAAGAGATCGCCAAGTTCGAGAGCGAGAAATTGGCTCCCGATGATGTGGAGACTGAGTGCTTCAACTTCTACTATACGAGGGAGTATCAAGCACGGATATACAACGACTTCATCACTTTGCGAGAGAAGGGTAACTACATGACAAAGTTAGCAATCTCACATGCTCTAGCCCAAAGTGTCAAGGTGATCCTCACTCCCCAAACTTTTCTGAACCTTGAACTGAATACTAACTCAAAACCCAGACATCTCTCTTCGAAGAACTAGTCGACAACACAATCGAAACCTGTAAAGACATCCCCACCCAGATTGCCTTAACCGGGAAAATCGCCCTCTCATCCAAAGAAATCAACATGCAAATCGGCGAGCTCTTTATTCTACGCATCAACATCCACCTCAACGGTTCCGTCCTCGACACACCGGAGCTCTTCTGGGTAGAACCGCAACTAGAGCCCGTTTACGAAGCTGTAAGGAAGTATCTAGAAATGGATCAGAGAGTCAATCTCTTGACCGAGAGATTAGATGTTATTGCGGATCTGTTGGCTGTGCTGAAAGATCAGCTGAGCCATGGACATGGAGAGAAGTTGGAGTGGATTGGTAAGTTACACCTGACTTTTAAGAAGGCTGTTCAAATGCTGATTTGGTGACAGTTATTGTACTAATTGCAGCCGAGATTCTGGTCGCTGCTGTAAATATCGTGGTTGACTTGTATGCCGGAGTTGATTGAACGGCCTTTGGATTCTTCAGACGAACTTTGTCAAGCGTGGGAGTTTGGAGTACAAGCAACAAGATCTGTACATGAAGCACTAGAGACGCTCCAGGCTCGCTGCCCAGAAAAAAACAGGCAGCATTTCATCACGTAGAAGAGGACGGCGAAGACGGGAAAGAAGATTTGTTCGTAATCCATGTCTTACTTATTTAGCTGTTAGAATACAGAAGCTTGCAAATAGCCATTTGCGCGTCCGTATCTTCAGCCAATTATGTAGTCTATAGTACAGCACATTCAATCGAAGTGATCCGATGACCAAGGGTCCATTCCTGTCATTTCCGTCCCTAGCCGTATCCATTGCCACAACTTTTCTCAATCTAACGCCTTGCAAAGATTTACCAGTTCTGTTATTACAAGTCCTTCCCAATGAAACGCCATATGAAAAAGCAGCAGGAGATGATTCGCAACACATTTATGCTCGATTGACGGCCGTAAAACCTCCAGCATCAGCACCGCCGGGAGTCGCAGCATCTTCGCCCATCTCGATATCCTCATCTGCCTCGTCAAAAGTTGCTGGATGGGCTGCGCTAGGGCCGCCCTCCTTCTCAAACTCTTCCCCTCGCTTCATCTGCTCGAATTTTCGTGTGTATTCGTCCTTCTTGTCGCCATCCAGACTGCTCCATCCCCTGGCCAAAGCAGATTCTACATCATAGGTAGGATCTTCCTTTGTCTTAGCAACCAAGCTTGGCTTGGTCTCGTTGCAGTACAAATCGAATGGACTCTTTGGACGGCGAGATTGAGATGGTGTGGATGTTGAATGGGCAGTTGGTGCGTGAGTTCCATTGCTAGGAAGCTGACGTTTAGGGGGTTGTGATTGGGCCTGCGGGGTAGAGTTGCGGAGGGGATCAGGATGGGTGTGGGTGTGCGAGAAGGCATCTGAGGATGGCGATAGAGTGACAGGACCTTGTTGTATGAAAGTACTGCCGGGACGACCATCTCCAAGATCAGTTGTCAAGAAGTCTGGCTTGCGGTGACCACGCTTGGTGCGCAGTGGCTTCTCCTTGGGCTATTGACACTTAGGTTAGCTCGTCTATAATGATCAACAGCTGATACGGCATTTCAAGGGGAGAGCGTACAGTTGGGGGAGGGCTTGGGCTTCCTTCAGAATCTTCCACGTTGGTGCTCGTCCGCTTTGCCAATTGCTCAAGTAGAAAGGCACGCTCAAGTCGCAGCTTCTGGACAGAACGGCCGATGCGAGATATTCGTTGGCGTGCAGCATCATTGCCTTCCTCCACCTCGTTCAAGCGCTGCTTCAGCTCGATACATTTCTTGCGATAAGCTTCCTCGACGGAAGGGGGCAGCTCGGGTGGGATTACTCCTGTAGTCTTCGTTAGCGGGCTGTGAGAAGAGGTAGAACTATCCGACGGGATTGAAGACGCAGGGACTGTCGTAGGCAGGTCTGAATCAGGAGCAGCAGGTTGGACAGATTCTGCGTATGGCGAGATATATTTTGGGGCGCTGAATCCATTGGGGTAGGCTGCCGACCACGGAACTGGGTACGGGTAGCTTGCGTTGCTGTAGGGTGGAGTTACGCTGGAGAGACGAGCATATTGGAATTGAACAGCAGCATAATAGTATCCAGGAGGGTATGAGGCTAGAAGTGGACGTGCGGCATCTTGCTGGGTAGAGGGTCCGGCGCGAAGCTCAGTAGATGGCAAGTCCTGACCGGCAGAGCTGGAAAGGTTGTCATCCGGTAGAGGCCACGGTAGGGGATGTTGGCCACTCATTTCGACGTGGTTGAGAATTCTGATCGTGAAGAGATCGTGGGAGAAGATATCCAGTCGTTGGTCGCGGAAGGAGTGATTTTATAATGAAATAGTAACTTACCAGTAGGCGGCGCCATTGTCCGCACACTAGCTGCGCTAGAGCTACAAGAACAAAGATTTTGAGCTGGTTCAAAGTCGGGGATGCGAACGGTGGCTAGGGATGGTTGATGTGAGAGCATGAAGCTCATTGTGCGAGGCTGTCCCCATTTCGTGCACGGATCACACGGAACGGCCATACTATTTTCCGTCAGTATCCATATTTGTGCCTCAACTACCAGGCTCTGAAAGTTTAGGCGCGTGCTTTCTGAAATTTTGAAAGACGCGACTTCAAAGAGAAGTTTCGAGCAGCTGTATTTCTGAACAGCTTGATTCTTTCACAAACTACCAAGATGTCTCTCAATATCCCAAATGCACCAAATGCTGGACTCTTCAAGCAAGGATACAATAAGTACGTTCCTAATTTCTTTCCTCGTCAAGTCAAACCCAAATACTGATTTACTATAGCTACGATTCTGAAGATGGAGCTGTTCTACGAAATATCGATGCCTGCCGTACGATTGCTTCAACGGTCCAAACCTCTCTCGGACCCTATGGACGCAATAAGATCGTAATCAACCATTTGCAAAAGATGATTTTAACTTCCGATGCCGCCACTATCCTCCGCGAGCTCGACGTTGTACACCCAGCAGCAAAATTACTGGTTATGGCAAGTCAACAGCAGGAGGCAGAGATGGGAGATGCAACAAATTTAGTCATCGTCCTAGCTGGAGAGTTGTTGAAGAAAGCGGAGGATCTCTTACGGATGGGCTTGAAGACAAGTGATATTATTCGAGGCTACGAGTTAGCACAAAAGTTTGCTCTGGAAGAGCTCGAGCGTTTAGTTGTTGACAAGGTGGAAGATATTCGATCGCAGACAGAACTCAGCAAAGCCATTCGCACGGTTATTGCAAGCAAGCAAAGCGGCAACGAGGACATCCTGGCTGATATGGTCGCTGAAGCTGTTCTTGCAGTTCTTCCAAAGAACCCGGTGAACTTTAACGTCGACAACATTCGTGTGGTCAAGATCATGGGTGGTAGTCTGGATCAGAGCAGAGTAGTGAAGGGCATGGTCTTCGGCAGAGAACCCGACGGATCTGTCAAGAAGGCAACAAGAGCAAAGGTCGGTGTATACTCATGTCCAATCGATATCAGCCAAACCGAGACGAAGGGTACAGTCCTGCTTCACAACGCAAAGGAGATGCTAGACTTCACGAAGGGAGAAGAGAATCAGCTGGAGACACATATCAAGGAGTTGTACGATTCGGGTCTAAGGGTTGTAGTAGCTGGTTCAACGGTCGGTGAGCTCGCCATGCACTACCTCAACCGTTTTGGTATTCTAGTTATCCGCATCCTCAGTAAATTCGAGCTTCGGAGATTATGCAGAGTTGTGGGCGCGACACCATTAGCCAGACTAGGAGCTCCGATGCCTGATGAGATGGGAAGCGTTGATATTGTTGAGACTTTGGAAATTGGAGGCGACCGGGTCACAGTCTTCCGACAAGAGGACGAGCAAACAAGAACGGCCACACTTGTCCTTCGAGGCGCTACACAAAATCACCTGGACGATATTGAGCGAGCTGTTGATGATGGAGTGAACGTTGTTAAGGCAATCACAAGAGATCCTCGATTGGTGCCTGGTGCTGGAGCCACAGAGATGCAATTGGTGGAGAGGATACAAGCCTTTGGCGACAGAACTCCCGGACTTGCACAATACTCAATCCGAAAGTTTGGAGAGGCTTTTGAGGTTATCCCAAGAACTTTGGCAGAGAGTGCCGGCATCGATGCTACTGAGGTGTTGAGCAGACTCTACACTGCTCACCACAAGCATGATGACTGGACTACCGGTGTTGACATCGAGGTACGAGATTCAAACCGAAAGCTAAACATAATGACTAACATCTCTAGAATGAGGACAATACCGGAACTCTTGATGCGAAGGACGAGGGAATCTTAGATCTTATGATATCTAAGAGTTGGGCAATCAAGCTTGCGACCGAGGCTGCTCGAACTGTCCTTTCCGTTGATCAGATCATCGTTGCCCGACAAGCTGGCGGTCCCAAACCTCCAGGACCCAATCCAGTAAGTTTTCAACCTTGAGTGAACCGGATTTCGCTAACGTGCTGTAGAACTGGGATGAAGATTAGACGGAATGCATTAGAGGCGCTGGGATATGTACAATACCAGAGTCTTGATATGAAAATAATGTCAACAGTCCCAACCAAGAAGCTCCCAAGTGGAGTGATGCCTCCGTGAATTGAAAACCTTCATCCCATCACTTCACCAAACAGTTGTGCATTCTCGAGGTTCGAGTAGTCAATTGCTTGGCATCTTCCTCACACAGAAATTCGAACTCACATTGCAGCTTCCCTTCAGCAATCTTGCAAGGATGTATTCCAAGTATTTCTCAAGTGAGACTCAAAATAGTACTCTCGTAATTTCCTGTCGTTACTCGTGCTTGCTTCTTACTTCATATGTTTTGACCCTTGGTGTTCAACGATTTTACCCCACTGCCCTTTGGCCTTAGCGTCGGTTGTTCCCAAGTACCCCGCAACTCTTTGGTCCCGCAAATATACTTTATCCTAAGATCGACATCAATTCTTTGCACCTCAAATTATTCCTTGACATAAAACTGGACGCTCTCGCTCCGGATACGGAGGCATCTATGCTAAATTATTGTCACAGCATTGTTGATATGCCTACTTACATTGCCTCCAGTTTTAACTCTTTTTGTTTATAGAAAGCTTCCCACAGTGAGCAATAAGTCTCTAGCATCAAATGCAGATATCACTTTCGGGACAATAAACCCCGGAATTGCATCATGACAAGATCTGCATCCATTAAGTTTTACTTGTCTGGAACATGATTGGGGCGCACTCACGTACCTGCATTACAGCCTCTTAGCACAAAATGTTTCGATTCAGCCTGAACAAAATCCCCACCACGAGTCAGTAAAGATACTCGACTCCGCGACCGAGGAGTTGGGTACTTTATCGACGATATGTAGCCCCAAGATTGACTTCTCGAAGTGCTAAAATGCGACGGACATGTTCAGAACCCTAATCTCTTTAACCTTTCCTGTGCTATCTGTTTTGGTTCATCATGTTACTGCATTGGTTGTTCTTCGCCATTGCACAAGCATGTCTTTGCTTTGTGTCTGTCACACATCGTAGCCGTAATTCCCTAATACCAAAACGACAATGGTTGCAAGATCTGGTTAGTTGCACCTCGAGCACCAAATGAAATGTTACTCAAATTTATTTCAGGTAACATGGGACCAGCACTCCCTTATCGTTCGTGGAGAGCGCGTCATGATCTACTCTGGCGAATTCCACCCTTTCCGTCTGCCTTCTCCTGGTCTCTGGTTAGATGTATTCCAAAAGATCAAAGCTCTAGGATTCACAGGCGTGTCTTTCTACGCTGATTGGGGCCTTCTCGAGGGTAATCCTGGACACGTGGTGACAGATGGCGTCTTCTCCCTGGATCAGTTCTTTGCTGCTGCTAGTGAAGCTGGCATTTATCTCATTGCTCGTCCTGGTCCGTACATCAACGCCGAAACAGCTGCTGGTGGAATGCCAGGTTGGACTCTGAGACTCAATGGAACGCTGAGATCTACTGCCCCGGACTACCTGAACGCCACGGTCCACTACCTGTCTGTAATTGGTAAGATTATTGCTGATGCGCAGATCACGAATGGTGGCCCTGTGATTATGGTTCAGCCCGAAAATGAATATTCAACGTGGCCGGGAGAATCCTTTGCCCAATTCCCTGAACTGTTCAATAGGGAGTTAATGACTTTCACTGAAGATCGACTTAGAGATGCCGGTATTGTTGTGCCGTTTGCTATTAATGATAATGAGAACATGGGCTACTTTGCTCCGGGGTCGGGATTAGGTGCTGTGGATATCTATGGGATTGATGCTTATCCCTTCCGATATGATTGTATGTTTTCTACTCTTTGCTCTACAGAAGCTTACTGATATGAACTCAGGTGGTCATCCATATGTTTGGCCAACATACCGCTTCCCAACTGGATGGCAAACGAATCACACAACATTTAGTCCGTCGACACCTTTCACGATCATGGAGTTCGAAGGCGGATCAGGAGATGGATGGTAAAGTAGGATTTGCTGATACTGGAATACTTATCTAACATCAACATAGGGGTGGAGTTGGCGAGGATATGTGTGCAATTCTAGTTAATAACGAAGGTGTCCGAGTGCTATTCAAGAACAACTACAGTTTTGGCGTCACAATCTTCAACACATACATGGTGAATATCCTCTCCTAAATTGGACATTGACGCACGCTGAATGACCCAGATTTACGGTGGCACAAACTGGGGCAACTTAGGATACCACGGTGGCTATACTTCCTACGATTACGGGGCATCAATCACAGAAGATCGGCAAATTTGGCGAGAGAAGTACAGTGAAATGAAAATCCAAGCAAATTTCTTCAAAGTGTCTCCAGCGTACTTGACAGCCACAGCCGGAAATGTTGGAAATGGCTCTTTCGTCTCAACCAGCACCATTGCTGTCACGCCTCTTTGGGGAAATGGAACAACAACAAATTTCTATGTTGCGAGACATTCGGACTTTACCTCTACTGGAAACGCTTCATACACGTTGACGGTATCTACAAGTATTGGCAATGTCACGATTCCACAGCTTGGTGGCACGCTCTCGATGATCGGACGAGACTCGAAGATTCATGCTACGGACTACGATGTTGGCGGCATCAATCTCTCGTCTACTCGACAGCTGACATTTATACTTGGGCTAACACCTCTGCAACTGGAAGAGTCCTTGTATTGTATGGCGGTGAGAGTGAGGTTCATGAATTCGCTTTGCCGATGTCCACGGGTGAGCCCAAGTTGTCAAATAATTCTACTGCCAAAGTAGCCAAACTGGGATCAGCATGGGTCATCAACTGGCAATTTACGACCTCTCGTCAAGTAGTTACAATTGGTGATTTGACAGTCTATCTTCTCTGGCGGAATGAAGCCTACGATCTCTGGGTCCTCGAGCTGCCTGCTTCTGAACCTATCGGCAATTTCACGTCGATGTCAAAGTCCAACGTCATAGTCAAAGCAGGCTATCTCCTCCGCACTGCAATTATCGATAACAACACTTTACACCTCACTGGCGATATAAACTGCACCACCACCCTAGAACTCATAGCCACACCATCCGACTCCCTCACATCCGTCACGTTTAACGGCTCTCCCCTCGAAACCACCAAATCGTCAACCAACAACCTCCTCGCCACAATCTCCTTCTCACCACCCGAAATCCAGCTGCCCGACCTCTCCAGCCCATACCACGAATGGAAATACCACGACTCCCTCCCCGAACTATCCCCCACCTACAACGACACCATCTGGACACTCTGCACCCACACTAGCACCACCAACCCCTTGGGAAAACGCACCCCGACGTCCCTCTACGCTTCCGACTACGGCTTCCACACCGGCTCCCTCCTCTACCGCGGCTACTTCACATCCACCGGCACCGAATCCACGTTCACCGTCAACATCACCGGCGGCGTCGGCTTCGGGCACTCCGTTTTGCTCAACAGTACATTCCTCGGAAGTTGGGCCGGCAGCGGAGCAAACGAGACGTGGATCCAGAATTTTGCTTTCCCGGTCACGCTTGAAGTTGGGAAGAATTATGTGTTAACGGTATTGATAGACCATATGGGACAAGATGAAGAAGCGCCGGGGACGGACGCTGTTAAATATCCAAGAGGGATTACGGATTTTTCGCTGCAGGGAAGGGAAATGGAAGATGTGGAGTGGAAGATCACGGGGAATCTGGGGGGAGAGCAGTATTTGGATCTGGTGAGAGGGCCGAGGAATGAGGGGGCGATGTTTGCGGAGAGGATGGGGTGGCATTTACCTTCTCCGCCGAGTGAGGGGTGGGAGAGTAGGAGCCCGGTATGTGATGGAGTGGACGGGGCCGGGGTTGGGTTCTTTACTACGGGTTTTGAGTTGGATGTGCCCAGTGGGTGGGATGTGCCGATGAGTTTTGTATTCAATGGGACGGAGGGGGGAGAGGAGGGGACGGGAGGTAATTATAGAGCGCAGTTGTTTGTTAATGGGTGGCAGTTTGGGAAATATGGTAAGTTTAAGAGGAAAATTACAGAGCAGATGCTAATATGGGGTTCCTAGTCAACAATCTCGGTCCTCAAACGACGTTTCCAGTGCCGGAAGGAATTCTCAACTACAATGGGAAGAATGATTTCTCATTGGCGCTTTGGAGCTTAGATGCTGCTGGGGCAAAACTTGGAGGCTTTGCGCTCGTTCCAAAGGCATTCATTAAATCTGGGTATAGTAAGCCAGCATTGGTAGATAGCCCTGCTTGGGTGAAGAGGGAGAATGCATATTGAAGTGGTTCCTTGCACAAAATAGTTAATCTTGTAAGATTAGAATGACGAATATCAAAGCATTCTAGTATTATAATTTTCATTCATCGTAGTCTCCATACAATATATCAACAAGTCATTCGTCCTAATTCTACAATCGCATGTCCACCCCTTGTTCGTCGGTCCTCCCTGCAATCTCAATAAGAGGAAAGTTGGGTAATGATCCCAAGACAGCACATCAGGCACTCTTTCTTCGAAGCCTGCCCTCTCCTTTTCCGTCGCCCTCTCCGACATCAACTCCAGAGTCTTGTTTAACAATGGCCAGATCATTCACCGAATTGTGACCATTGCTCTTATGTCCATCTATGTCCATACTAATTGCAGAGTCGTGGCGTTCGTCATCTCTCTTGCTCTCTTCTCCGTCCCCGTCACCAACTTTCTTCAGAAATCGATCAATCAACTCCTGAACAGGTACTTCTTTTCTTCGAATACGACCGTTCTTCGTACATCTAACTGCGTTGGATCTGGTGAGGGACGGTCGGACACTACTTCTTGGGCTGATCGGGATGTCGTCCTTGATCTTGTGGCCTTCTGAGAAAGGAGGTCGTAACCGATCGCAGCGACAGTCTTTCAGCTTCCTTCCTTTTTGGACTTCTTTCCAGACATTACTCCAAAACACCAGGTTTCCCTCCAATAAATCTGACCAAACCATGAGTTCTGCCTTCTTGACGATGAGTTGACCTAGATCAATAACCAATTGTAATTGTGGCTTAGAGAAGTCCTCGATAATACTCGTCGGGGGTAGTATTCGTCGTTCGCTCTCTGGAACTTTCCCTGGCCGCCCAGATCTCGATGGTTGGAAAGACGTTTTCCATACGCGGTTTTGAATTTGTTGTAGTTCAGCGGCAAGGTATTCGATGTGGTCGTCAATTGAGCATAGAAGTTCTTTCTCGTCCTCTTCGTCGGCGAATGGGAAAGGCTTGTAGTTGCGGGAGGGGGCCAGATCTGATTTGATACATCTGCTGATAATGATCAATGCAGAGAGGAGTTTTGTTTGCTGGTCCTCCAGCTTAAAGATCTCTGTTCTGAGTTTGGAAATACAGTCCTCGTATACTTCGATCTGGTGTGTTGACAATGCCATATTGCTGGACGACTTGCTGCCGAGAGGTCTCAACGAGATTGTGCTCAATACTCGTGAAGTCAACGAGCGCGGCATTGGATTTGTAGGCATTGCGATGAATAATGGCGAGCAGTGAGTGTTGATGTTTCGACGTCGATATCTGGAGGAAGCTCTCGGCTCTAGTAACTGGGTACGTAGATGAGGGGCCAGCGCAAGCACGTAAAAGGGTCTCGAACGTCAATTCAATAACAATAATAACATCATAGGGTCAATTATGAGGAGCGAGGATTTTGGTACGCGGTGACGTTCTTGGATGCGGGTATGGAATAGCGCCCGAGCCCGTCCCTTGTCAAGAGACCCTTTCTACCATAAGGCTGAGGCGAACAATCAGTCTAATTGATCCATTCCTATTCGGGTGATGCATACAAATTTTGTACCTGACCTAAACGCCCCTGATGAAAAGCCCTATACGCCCTCTGATCGCTGAAGTCACGCAGAGAATACCCCAGAAGTATAAATTTCCCTAATGATTCCGAAAATTCTTTTTCCTAGCCCGCGGTGTTAGTAGGACAATTGAAATATTGGCGCAGAAAACATACTGGTAGAACAGATCAGTTCTTGAAGAGCCTAGATTGATGATCTTTGGACATCCATCTCTATCCTTCTCGAGACGGGTGCATTCGAAGCAGTAGAAAGCATCAGAGATGCCCTGGGAATTCATTAGTATGTATTCTACTCTAGAGAGGGACAGGCTGTACGTACCTCACCACCGCAGACTACGCACTTGTTTTGGTAGTTACCAAAGCTGCATTCGTCGCAAATTCGTACGAGCGTCGTTGGTCGAACGTAGGAATCGCAGACTGGGCATTTACCGTCACATTTATCACATAGACGGCCGATAGCAATGCCAGGTTGCTTGCGGCACATAACCAAATCGCTATATCATCATTAGCAAGCTGTCTCGAGCATTTGCGCAGGGCAGAGCCTTGGAGGGGCTCTAGAGAGCTTCTTCAGGCACAAGGACTTACGGATGATGACGAGACATGCTGAAAGATCTCGCTGATCTTGCGGATTTGTGAAAGAAGCTTTGGTATATGTCCTAGCTCGTAGTAATACACACAATGTTCTTGACTTTGTTCGCGATTCTTCGTTGTTCGTCGACAAACAGTTGTTGTCGCGAAGGGCTTCCTGAAATTCTACGAGATCGACGCCACCAAACTTTCTTAAGCTCTTGCTTGGTAAGGTTGTGCACGAGCCAACACTAGCCGTTTATGATGAAGTGGAGCTCTACTTGGTCCAAGCGCCTCCAAGCCAGCATCGAAATAGCATCGCAATAGAATCACCGCAGCATTCAGAGAGCGATGGCCGATGGTGATGGGTATGACCGAGTTCCTTTCAAGTGTTCTTTATTGACTTCTCCTAGGCCCATTGCGTCCGCGGTCATCATTCCAGACCTCGGCGCCGAATCGCAACCTCCCGCTCCACCGAAAAGACGGCAATCGTCCACTTCTGAATCGATCTCGAAACGTCCCCGACTCTCGTTCGATGCAAATGTTGAATCTCCCACAAACCTACACCAGTCCCCCGAGCCAACTGATCCCTCGAGGAGAGCCTCAGAAAGTGTCCAAGAACCAATCAATGAACGCCGGAAAAGCAGTGTTCAAGAGGAGAAAAAGCGTGGTCAAAGACTGTTCGGAGGCCTACTCAGCACCCTGAGTCAAAGCACTCCCAATGGCCAACACAAAAGGCGCTTAGAGATTGAGAAGCGGCAACAAGAGAGAGCAAAGCAACAGAAGGCTGAGGACGATGTGCGAAGGGCAGAAAAACTAGCCAAGCTCAAAGCTATTCGAAAGGTGGAGCAAGTGAAATTCGACGAGGAGACGGTCAGTGATGGATATGCCTACAGTATTGGCAAAGTACTGACTGTCGTTGTAGATGCGCATCCGACACACCAATATGTTAGCCATGGCGCAATATCTCTACACCAAAGCCGAACCGAGATTAGTAGGTTGTACTGTCAATGGTTGTATTTGACTCTAACGAATCTGCAGTATTACATTCCATGGAAAATGCGACCGGTGGATGAAGAACGTATTAAGACTCAGGTCGCAGGAACCCAAGCGCTGATAGAACGAGAAGTTAGCGAATTCCAAGCACGACTTTCGAACGAAAAGGTCCGAGGAAAGACTGAGGCGGGAGAAACCAATGGCGTGTCCAAGGAGACAGTGGGTGAGCTTGCCACCGAGTCTCCGTCTGTTCCTACAATTTCCCATAATGATACTACTAATGCTCAGCCCGAACAAGTTAAGACTGAAAAGAACGCTCTGGAGGAGCATAATGGTGAGGTGGTTGTAGAAAACGAGGAAGATACAGTCATCTATTGACGGTGGCGTCTTAATGCTTTCTGAAACCTAGTGGAGCTCAATTTCCGGCGTTTAGGACTTAAGGTCCAAAGAAAACATTGGGTTTGGACTTGCTTGTACATTTGTAGGCTAATCTGAACATCCTGCGAAGTGGCTATTGATGATGTCTAATGCTTGAGGTAGACTTTGCAAATTGTCGTCGTGAGCCACTGATGCTGTGTACCAACAATAGGTACTTCTTTACTAACCCTTCACCCTGACAAATGTATGTACCGCTCAGGTTACCCAAGGCCTGAAGCTCTGTCTTCATTCGAGTGAATTTCTTATACATAAGAACAGAAGAGTGTCCAGATGACTGAACTGGTCGATGTCGGTGTTGTGCTCCAAGTCATAGAGCATTCGCAAGAACAAGAGGCATGAAGAGGCGCGCTTCCAAGACCATTTGAAATACTCAACACTTACATGAATAAAGTCGTATCAAATCTTCAAACACCTCGAGAGCCGTGATTCATGACAAGATTTAACAGCGAATTCACTTCTTTCGGAGATCTACTCGCTTTGAGTCGCGTAAAGGGGCATTTACTTTGGATACGGACACTGACCACACATGATGAACTGGAAACGCGTGTGAACAGACATTCCATTTCTCTAACCCATTGTCGTGCATCCTTTGGAGGTTATTGGTGTTTCTTGATTGGTCATTGATGGATAGGTCAACTATTAGATGCATTTATTCCACCGTCTTAACTAGACCACCTGCACCACAGTTAATATCCATCAAACTTTTGTAATCGAATCCGATTGTCCACAAGGTGGACTGTCTCCATGGCGCCGCAAGACTAGCACGTGTAACCATCTCGGATCGGAACAACCACGGCAAATCAATTTGATATAAAGTTCAAGCTCCCCGCTTCATCCCTTGCTTCCTGTCTCCAACAACACGACAAGCCAAACATTCAAGATGGTCGACAAAATTGTCCCAAACGACTCCAGGGTCCAATACAAGACCGCAAATCTCAACGGTCACACGTACAATTACATTCTCTCTGAGCCAAAAGGCACCAAGCCCCTCAACACCATATTCCTCATCCATGGCTTCCCGGACATGTCATTCGGATGGCGCTATCAAATTCCACACCTCACGTCTCTTGGTCTTCGTGTCGTAGTTCCGGACATGATCGGCTACGGCGATACCGACGCACCAGAAGACCCCAAAGAATACACCTGCAAAAAGACATGCGACGACCTCGCCGCACTCGCTTCGCACATCGGCGTTTCGAGCATTATTCTGGGCGGTCACGATTGGGGAGGAGCAGTAGTTTACCGGATGGCGATGTACTATCCTAAATTATTGAGTGCGGTTTTCAGTGTTTGTACACCGTTCATGCCGCCACAGAAGAAGTTCATGCATATGAGCGAGATGCCGAATTTCAAGTATCAGATCCAGCTTCGGGGCCCAGGGGTCGTGAAGAAGATTGTGGGTGAGGAGAAGATTAGGCAGTTTTTGGCGGGTATTTATGGTGCTCGTTCAAAAGATGGGAAGCCGACTTTTACTGTTGAGGTTGGGTGTCTTTTTGATCGTCTGGACGGTGTAGGGTCGAGTCCGTTGGTGAGTGATGAGGAGCTTGATTTTTATGTTTCGAAATTCAAGAGGAATGGAATGAGGGGGCCGACCAATTGGTATAGGACGGGAGAGTTGAATTATGAGGATGAGAAGGAGATAGCGTTGAGTGGGAAGGAAATCAAGTTCCAGATGCCGTTCTTGTTCATTTCGGCCACGAATGACGTTGCGCTGCCCCCAAGTTTGAGTCGAGAAATGGAAAGATCATTCAGAAGTCTGACGAAGGGTCAGGTTGAAGCTACGCATTGGGCCTTGTGGGAGAAGCCGGAGGAGATCAACCAATATCTCGAGGAGTTCTTGGTGGGTCAGATTGGAGCAAGGAGAGCGAGTTTGTGAGTAGTATTCTCAGACATGTAGGAGTAATTCTTTACTATGAGCCCAGATAACTCGGATATGGTCTTAGCAATTGAAATCAAAAGCATTGCTTATCAAGAGTCATCACGTTGTTCCATCGTGCAGCCACCTGCCTCTGCAAGAGAAATCGGCGCTGTCAAACTCGTCGATTTTTTCCAACGGAAAAGTTTTACTTTTTGACGATTCTCTTTTGCAGAGCAAGCGACGTAAACAATACCTGAGATTGCATTATGAAAGATCTGTTCTTGTGTTGGGGTATTGCTATCTCGACTGTCTTGCTTCGCGCGTTGTTTAGCTTCTATTTTCATTTGGACCGAGACCGTGACGAGAGATCAATCCCCCACCAACAACCTTCTCTTCACAATTTTTCCAACATCTACCTACCATTTCTGCTACACACACATTTTCGAAATCACAAAAAGGAAGACTTTATTTCAAAAGCCAATTCTTCTCGAAATAACTGCAATTCCTACCTCTTGAACCGGAGTCTTTTCAACCCAAACATTTTCGAAAATCTGAAAGATCAACGCAACTATGGCAAACATTCTCACTATCCCAAACGAAATAAAATTGGCAATCGTCAAATATGTGTCCGAACAAGATGCTCTTAACATGAGATTCATGTCCATGGAGTGGGCAGCTGCCGGCGTTGACGGCTTTTTCAAAAATGATGGCTGCTTCAATTTCAAACCGACTCGGGATCAGCTTACTAGACTCGCCAATTTATGCGCAAATCCAGAATTCGTGAAGAATATTCGCCAAATCAATTTCAATCTTGGCGATTTTGACAGCGAAACACTCCTAGAGATGTGGAAGACACAACGGACACTGTCAAATGCTCCTCCCAGCGCTAAAGAATACGGTCAAATGCGATCACTTGTCAGAATACCAACCTATCCAGGAGCATGGAAACAGTTCGCGGAAGTGACACGTCTCACGGAAATCATGTCCATGCTGCCAAACTTGAAGAAAGTCTCAGTGAATAGATTTGGCTGTCCCTTCCCTGGAAAAGAAGCTGATGAGCATTGGGCACAACAGCTGCGTCTGTATGCTGATCGTCGAGTGAAATGGCGTGTCTACGATAGAGCTTCTGGTATAACGAGCCTTCTAGGAAGCTACTGGCAATGCGCTTCTGCATCTCTCGGCTTCGTAGAAGAATTGAACTTAGGCACGGTACCAGTTGAGGCCTTAGAGGAGCTCACCAGAGATATAATGCAGCGCCAAAGCAACTCAGCCTCGACGACGGTCGCCACGAAAGCAGCTCTGTACCCGAATATCAAATCGCTTTCCATTCGAGCTGCTGCAGGAACTGCTGTATCGCCACATGAAGAGGATGATCAATTTGTTTACTCTGACAAGAAGCTAGCATGCAATGTTGTTTGCTTGCTTAGTGCTTTCACCAACATTCGACACCTGCGACTCGACCTTGCATTGGAAGCTTGTAATCGCGTACGGACATCCTTCTCGATTCAGTTTCAGAGGCTTCATTTCCCGCATCTGGAATGCGCAATCATTGGCAACATGCAGATACCAGCAGACGAAGTCCGACATTTCTTTTACAAACACCGATCAACCTTGAAGAAATTGGTTTTCCTGCTTGTTAGTACTTGGCTACGCCAGCGCTGGTCTAGGCATATCCTCACTGAGATTCGGATGAACCTCAATCTGGATGAGTTCCACCACGCACTATGCAACTGCGATTTTTCTTTGCCTATGCAAACTTCTACAAGTCGCTGTACGCATCGGCATCCCCGCGCCGAAAGGTTCGTGGAGCTGTATGTTACGAAGAAGATAGACTGGCCCTTCGTAGATGACGAACCTCAAGATAGCTCGGGGTACCATGTAAGTATTCTCGATTCCTACTTGCTGTGCCCTCCATCCGACCCTCTTTTCATCCTCCCAAAGACAAACAGTGAGAACACGCGCTGACCGCTGAACTATCAAAGTGGAATCCAACAAAATGGCTCGTTTACTGCAGCTACTCTGATCTATACAAAAAGAGCCTCGTAGAGCTCGCTGCTCGGGCCCGTGGAGAGTGGCCCCCACCATCAACTCCAATAATGCCTCCTTGGATGCTGGATTGAGTTTCTCCAGTACCTGTACTGCAGGCACGACTCAAACTCAAAGCTCGACAGCAGCTGCAAATTTCACAACTCTCAATATAGTGGGTTGTGTACCATAATCATCGCCTGACTAAAACTTGTCATACCGATCCACCGAGACTCGGTCTCATTCTCTCTCTCTTATTGGAGAATGTCCCAGCTTCTGGGGATCTTTTGGAAATGGCACCTTGGTAGAGACTCGGATTGGATGAAAGGTATTTGATTGCTGGTACTGTTTTTGGTTTATGTTTTTGGTTTATGTTTTTGATTTATGTTTTTGTTTTTTGGTAGTTTAATGTATCTTAGAATGAACAAAATTGATCAGAAGTCTTCCTTTTCAGATATGTGAAGGTGATTAAAGTTGGAAAGGATGAAGTGTTGTTGAAAAAAAGGAACTTCCCTTCTGTTGAGTCTCGAATTGCCCACTCGTATTGCACCACAAGCTCACAATACTATGTGATGTTTTTTTCTTACAGGATCCAAAAGCAATGGTACATCTCAGCTCGACTGTTGTAGGCTGCAGTATCAGCTGATATCTGAAACCATACAAAAAGCATTATAATATTGTGAGGATATTAGAAGAGTGTGAAAGGACTAATTAGCCTGTCCGTATACAAGAAATTGTTAGAAATATTCAAAATTCCACATTGCATTGTTTAACTCTCGCTGTCTCAAGTTCGGAGATATCGCGTGTTTCGGCCTAAGGCATCAACTGCCATTTAACCTTAACTCAACGATGTCGAGAACCTTCATTAATAAGTCTCCCATTTGCGACAACTCTACTCACTGACACCTCCCGCCCCGGACGACAGGCTTCATTAGACTCGATAAAATTGGCACATGCAAGATGCGAATGCACGGCCAGTGTGACACTGGACGCAAGATGCCATTTCGACTGGACTCCGGACTTCGGATCTAGAGTCCCCACATGAGGTTCAAGTTCTAGCGGCTTGATCTACACTGGCAGATGTCCATGAAATGCTTCAAAGGACTACTGAAGGGGATACTACACGTCGGTCAAATCAATGCCGAAGAATCAAGGCCGCGTGGATCAATGGCCAGGACACCCATCGAGCAGGTAGAAGACTGCGCCCGATCTCAAGATGACCGACATGAACGCTGCTGACCAAGCCACTTCCCCACAGGTTACACAATTCTCCTGCCACTCCGTTTTCGTCCAATCTTCGAGGGAACTTCATCTTTGGCATATACCTCGGCACTCTGTTCCTGACCAAGAATCAGATTTGGAGATGTCTACCCCGCAATCACTGCAGTCATAGCGAGTTCCGTAGGATTTCCTTCACACAAAAAGAGGTCCAAACGAACCTTCCAGTCCGCATTTGGCAAGATAGATCTAAGTCAACGTTACTTAAGGTTACTTGTCGGTACATGCGAGATGTGCATTGCAGATCTATTGCGGCATTTCGAAGCTTTGGCCGAGTTTCTAGAAGTTTTCGGTCATTCGATGGTCGATGGGCGACTGTGATTGGAGCAATTCCGGAATCACTTCTCATCAACCACACCATCTGCGCGCTCAAGCAAGTGAATCCTACCCAACGTCCGCGCTTGCAGGAGTCCATTTGATAAAGTCAGATGAACAAGAAGTCTCTGCTCGGAGGTAAGAACGAGTCTTGCGGAGAAAGCGCTGTAGCAAGGTAAGTGAGAGAAAATGGAGAGATCGCAATCGACCTCTGAATTATATCGCGATCCGGGAGATCAACCAAGCTGCGATGTGGCTCAGCCTTGACGAGATTGAACCCCTTGCAGGATGTTGTAAGGATTCTTAAGAGCGTCCTTTAATTTTCCCTCGCCTATCCGTCAGCCGCTTGGTGTCATTAGCCTCAATTTCTATACATGGAAGCCAATCCTTTCGGACGTCAACCATGTCCGCACGTCTGATCTGACTGCATTGCAGGCAGATACTATGGGGCCTCAAGGAATTGCTCACTTTGGTAGTCCCATCTGACTAGGAACGCTCGTCCTTTTGCACAGCCATGTGATGATCAAGAAATAAACCATCGCCCATCACGTACTCCGCCTCAACTTTTAAGATTCGGACAGATTTTCGGTCTTTCTGCGTCCGTAGGTAATTATCATCCTTTGATGCACATGGTCTTTCAAAGTCGCGTGCGATTTTCCCCACTTGGAGGTTTCCTTAAGTCAAACCTTATTCTCTTTCAAATTTATTCTTACTCTTTTTCTCGCGACAATCAGCTATTCACCCTAGCCTTTCCTTATATTTTCTTTCTATTGTATAAGCTCGCAGGCATGAAGTCTCATCTGCTTGCTACTACTTTTGCTGCCTTGAGCTCAGTAGTCTCAGGGTCAACCTTCAGTCCTGCTCGCCCACCTGCGATTCCTCTTGCAGGTAAGTTTCAGCCCGATTTATCTAGCAGAAGCACTCATGAAAGTCTAGTCAAGTCTCCGTATATGAGCACGTGGCTTGAAGTAGGGAGTGATGGCGGATCTGGAGGTAACTTGGCGGGGTCCTGGCCGTGAGTGATTCCTTCGTTTACTGGGGAACTGAACTGAGAGAATAGACGTTTCTGGGCGGGTCCACAGCCAGGTCCAGTTGCTGGCCCTAATGGTGCGGTGACAGGTTGGGCAGGTTTGATCAAAGTCGATGGTACCTCGTACACTTGGATGGGAGCACCTGTTGTCAATGGTGTTGCACCCACGCTTGTATCACAAGATAGCTTTGAGTACACTTCTCAGAGGTCCACCTTCATCATGAATGTTGCCGGCAAGGTCACTATGAACGTTACGTTCATTTCGCCTGTTACACCTACGGATCTGAAGAAGATGTCAATTATCGGGACGTATCTGTCTATATCAGTAGTCTCCCGTGATGGAGCAACTCATTCGGTACAGCTCTACGCCGATACTTCAGCTGGTATGCTTACTACCCCTACCATATGCCTCTGATTTCCCGCAGTACTGACTTTAAAAGAATGGGTCAATCCTACACACAATCAAGATGTCGTTCAGTGGAGGTAAGTTGATCCATCTCTCAGATCCTTCAGATGAAGTTTTAACAAGCTCTAGCTACACTGTCGAGAACGGAGTCGCCAGTCATCAGTCTTTCCAACAAACTCAAAGCGAATTCAACGCAGACTTTCCTGATGACGCTGCTCATTGGGGAAACTGGTACTGGTCAACGGCTGCGATGTCATCCATGACCTACCAAAATGGCGCCGATGTGACCGTCAGGCAGAATTTCCTCAGCAACGGAGCGCTTCCAAACACACAGGACTCCAACTACAGAGAGATCAGTACCAACTGGCCTGTCTTCGCATTCGCAAACGCTCTGGGAAGTGTTGGAACTACTCCAGTCAACACCCTGTATACTATTGTCCATGCCCAGCAAAACGCCATCTACTTTGATGGTGCCAACGGACTTACAGCAGTACCTTCTTTGTGGACTAGCTACTTCGGCAGTGATCTCGCCATGGTAAAAACCTTCTTTCCCCCTCTTGACAGGATCTCACGCTCGATAGGTCGAATTCTTCTATGGTGACTTTGTCACTAAAGTGGGAGCCATCGACCACCAAATCGCTGCAGACTCGCTTGCTGCTGGTGGTCAAGATTATTTGACCATCACTTCTCTATCCGCTCGTCAAGCTTTTGGTGCAGTCCAGCTCTGTGGAACGACAGCTAAACCATATCTTTTCCTGAAAGAAGTTAGCTCCGATGGCAACATCCAAACTGTGGATGTTTTGTTCCCAGCCATGCCTATCTTCCTCTACTCGAACCCAATTCTCGTGAAGTATCTGCTAGATCCTTTATTCGAGAACCAGGAGGCAGGCAACTTCCCGCAGACATATTCGATGCATGACCTTGGACCAAATTATCCTCGAGCCATTGGTCATCCCACCGGCGACGGAGGTGAGTGTTTTTTGTGAAGAAAAACAAACCATACTAACCTGTTTATAAGAATACATGCCTCTGGAAGAATGTGGAAATATGCTCATCACGACCTTGGCCTACGCTCAACGAGCGAATGATGTCGCATACCTTACTCAGCACTACAATATCCTCAAGCAATGGACCGGCTATTTAGTACAAGAAGCTCTGATTCCAGCGAATCAGCTATCGACAGATGATTTCCAAGGCCAACTTGCCAATCAAACGAACTTGGCATTGAAGGGTATCATCGGTATCCAAGCCATGTCTGTTATCGCACAGAAAACTGGCAACACGGCCGATGCTACTAACTTTTCAAGCATCGCTCACAGCTACATCAGTCAATGGCAACAGTTGGCTGTTGTATCCACTGCCAGTCCTCCCCATACGAACTTAGACTACCAGGATAACTCTTCTCATGGTTTGCACTTCACCTTCTTTTGTGTTCTCGAGATGTTAACAAACACTAGGACTTCTTTACAATCTTTACGGAGATAAGTTGCTAGGTCTAGGACTCGTCCCTCAATCCCTTTACGACATGCAAAGTACATTTTACCCCACCGTTGCTCAAACTTATGGCGTTCCTCTTGATACCCGAAATGTTTTCACAAAGTGTAAGTCTCGAATCTGCCCGCCTTATTTGAGGTAAGAAAATTAACAATATCCTAGCGGATTGGCAAATGTGGGCCGCTTCAATTTCATCAGCGTCCACCAAATCGATGTTTATCTCCAAGCTTGCGAGCTGGATTAATAATACGCCCACGAATCGTGCGTTTACTGACTTGTATAATACGCAAACTGGAGAGTAAGTTACCCTTATCCAAATCCACGGAGCCGAGATCGTAGCTAACATGGCCTAGCTTTGCCGACGGTCCATTCATTGCTCGACCTGTTGTAGGAGGTCATTTCGCTCTGCTCGCATTGAACGGCGCTCCGACTTCAAAGAGGGAAGCGAAGGTGTTTAAAGCGTGAATCAACATGTAACTGAAAGTCCAGATGAGTGTGTCGAAAGTTCGAACGTTCGTTGACAGGCTGAGTAGTGGTTTTGATTCTATTGTATATATGTATCACTCATCATATACTAAATAACGAAATACAGTTCCATGCCTGCGAATTTCACACGATCTGCGTTTATCGCACATTTGGCGCGATTTTTTGCCATTACTAACTCTGCTTCTTCCCAATGAGAAGACTTATTCGCTCTTTTATTTAGAAAGACGATTGCAGATCCGCCACTTGAGGGTCGGATGGAGTAAGGAATAGGCCAACACCTACCTGCTCCCAGCTCCAAAAGAAAAAAAGCTCTTCTCCATCTCCGCCAACTTCTTCTCATCCCTAGTCAACCACCTCTCTGGTCGGAAGCTCTCAGGGTCCTCAAAGACTTTCTCATCGAAATGTACCGTCCAAGCGTTGATACCGACTGTCGTCCCTTCCGGAATATATGCTCCGCAGATCGTCGCTCCTCCTTTCGGCACATATCTTTCTACAGACAGATTAGTATGGTCCTTCGAAATGTGTCCCAGTAGCCGAAGAGCCCGGCTTCGCAGCTTTGGGATGAACTTTGCATACCAAGCAATAAGCCCACACTTGGATGGACCCTCATTCCTTCCTTCAATGCCGCATTCATGTACGGCAGATAATCCTTCGATTCCTTGTAAGTGATAAAGGAGCTCAAGCGGTGAGAATTGGCGTCTAATTCCTCGAGAACCGTTGACAAGCAGGAGGGGTTCTTGAGAAGGTGGTAGATGGTCGAGCGGAGTGCAATAGCTGTCGTGTCCGATCCGGCGAATACATTTGTGGATAGTAAGATGAGTATATCGTCTTCACTGAGGTTTGCGGAGAGGCACCGTGAGAGCATGTCTTTGCTTGTTTCCTTCTTGGGGGACCCAGAATCGGACCGGGCTTTCATAGCTTGAACGGTGAAGTTCACAACGTGGTTCCAGGATTCGACTTGCTATACAAGTAGTAAGGCTTTTAGTTTCAGATCAATCATTCATTGATGTAAAGTGAAGAGAAAGCGACGTACGGGCACGAAAACTGGAAGGAGCGGATTTCCTAGTAAGAAAGGATGCAAGTATGGGACTTGGCCGATTACTGTAGAGTAAAAGAGGATGCCATCAATGGTTGCCATCATATCGTCAAGATCCCCTCCTTTTTCGAGGAAGCCAAACTTCTTGTTGAATGAGATTTCGCCGATGACATCGAAGGCGTAGTATTGTCTGTCATGTTTATTAGCTCAACCTCAGCATTTCTACTTCTGTATCAAAGAGTGGACATGTAGTGAAAAATAAGAGGGAACAAACAGCCAAGCACCCAAGTCCATTGCTTCTCCTTTATCAGCCAATTCTCCCAATATCTTCACGAACAATGCGGTGCACTCATCAATTGAGTCTTCCATCTCCAGCAGAGAAGTCATGCTGTACATATTTCCCGCTTTCCGTTTCAACTCACGATGATATACCTGGTCTCTGCTTGAGAATAGACTCATCTGCGCCTTTCCCTTCCAGAGGACACTCAGAATCAGGTAGAATGCTGTCTTTTTTTGCTTTTTTATCAGCATTGCACTCCAAACAGTATCTCGAAAAATAGCACGGTCGATTAAGTGTGTTAAAATGACCACCCTTGATGTCGTATATTTTAGGGATTTCTGCTGCATCCGAGACATCAATAACGTTTGGCGCCGTTCTAACAAGTTTTCCGTACTTCTTATGCAACTCTATCATCGTCATGTGAGACTTTCCTTTCCTAACATTGTTGACTCTCCATAGATCTGTCCATGCGGCTAGGCTGGGCCCCGGGATGTGGGAGATGCCTGAGCCATATTTGTTGCGGAGAAGATGTTTTATAATAAAAGTAAAAACGATTAACACCAGATTGGACTTGAAAAGCTGAAAGAGGAGAACAATGAATGACGAGTCTGCCATAGTGCTTGTGTTTGCATCGACATTGAAGGAGGGGGGGAGGAGGGGCGAGGATAGAATATGATGAGGAACCTAGCTAGCTAGTACACAATTTTAACATATATTCGGCTTGCGGACGAAAGGTTCCCTAGTTAAGCCATATTTGTGCTGTTACACAGCATCCAAGAAAAATCTTCATATTAGATTGGAGGTTTCTCAACTTTGACATGCGGGGAATGATAGGGATGAATAGATTGCTATTCTAATTGGATCACAACACGAAGAAGACGTATATCCGGTGGCTTGTTGATCACTTCGCGTTTTGTGGAGCAGGGTCCTGTTCCACCATCACCCACTTGACTAAGGTATTTGTAAGAAGCTTAAAGAAATTACTTGCAGCATCGAACGTGAGCACATACATTCCTGTGGTAGATTCGTGTGTCTACATAACAGAATGTGGGAAGAGGCTACGCAATAACAACCCAGACAGGCAGCAAAATATGAAGCTCATACAAGATCTGGTGGGATGGAAATTAGTGCTGACACGAAATCAAAGTCTGTACGTTTCGGTCGTTTGTGCGACAGTACCGGTAGAGAAAACGAGCTACAACGGTAAGCGCGAGGGCACGTTCAGGACAATCAATGCTTTTTCTTTTGCTCTTGCTCGATTTCCTTATAATCAGGGAAGACAAATATTTTTGGTGAGCAAACTTGTTCTTACCTAGTTTAAATTCCCCCCTTTTATGTCCATCTTCACTTTGCATAGAATGCTCGCGATATCTCGAAGGAGGATCCGCACGCTAGGTAACATCACCGTTATGCACGTGACTGGTTTCCCTATTTGGAGCCCTTCTTCTTAGCATAGTACTTCCAGTCGCTATATCTCAAAAGCTCATCGTTGTATTTCAGAAGCCCATTATGAGAGCACAGGATGCAGTGGTTAAGGATCGTTGATATACAGATCGTAATTGACAGCTAAACTTAAAGCATATAAAACACGAAGACATCGAAAAGCTTGAAACTAAATAGCAGTAAGAACAAGAAACACCCAATTCATCACCCCCGAACGCCAAACTCCCTTACCTTCGATGACATCAAGTCATACGAATTTATCCCTCCTTTAGTGTAGATTTTGAGACGCGATGAAGTCCAGTGGGTGGGATTGGATGATAGTAACCTCATCTATTGACTGTGTGTCGTCAATTTGGACGAGCTCGAATGTGGGAGAAAGTGAAGTCAAAGGCTTGAAGATTGATGTAGAGCCAGCCTGACTTTCGGTGGATATAGTGTTTGGCGGCGAGTGGAGTTCGTGGAGTGAAGGTCCTTCACTGGCTGCGAGTGCCTCAAACTTCTTCTCCTGCTTTCGCTTTGCTCGTCGATTTTGGAACCAGTTCTGAAAACATTAGTGTCAAATAGTGAACCTTGTCGCAAAGAAGCTTACATTGATCCTGGATAACTCAATTCCCATATCCTCCGAAAACCTACGCTTCGTCTGAATAGTTGGCTTTGGATTCTTCTTGAAAGATGCCTCGAGAATTTCGACTTCCTCTCTGCCTAATCGGGGCCGATCGCCTGCGGTTCCTGATCCAAGAAAAGTTTCCCAGCCGTTTTGAAGAGTCTCGAGCACATCTTGGTCGTCGAAATTAACAGGGTCGTGATTGTGATAAGATGGAAAATGATGCTTTCTCTTAGCCCCATTCGAACTTGAAGAGCTTGGCGACGGCCGCAAGCCGAATGAATAATATGAGTCCTCCATCCAGGCACCAGCAGCAGCAAATGCGGAAGAATGTTGGTTATGTGAAGAGCTTCTCTCGAACGGTGCCCAATTCATAGACTTGGAATGAGATCCCTGGATTTTGTCTGTTGTTGGAGCTGGGGTTTCCTCCGGTTTGCGGTTATTGTAGATGATACAGTGTTCCTTCATATTGATGTCGCCATGTCGATGTCCCTTGCTAGCGTAGGTGGTGATGGGTAAGGCCACGGTATATGAACCCTTTTTTAGAACAACAAAGCGTCTTACATCTTGGAAGATTTCATCGCCTTGGGTTGCCTTGGATACGGCTGAGCTGGAGAAAGAGGACGTCGATTTTTCGTTGTTCGACGAGTCACTTCTAGACCACAAGTGTTCAAACAATGGACTTGGAGCTTTCCGGATGCTATAAGCAGTATATGAAGTCAGCTTCTCTTTGCATTCGGCTTCTGTCAATTTCCTCGGAGGCGTAATGTCCGTAAAGGCGTGCCGGTGCAGATTCCGTGGTCGCGTCGTAATGACCGGGGGCATTGGAAGAATTGACTGGTCTCTTCTCCGTGACATAGGTGCCGGGGGCGTTCCTCGGTGTTCTCCTCTTTGAAGCGTCTGATAAGCTCGGACCTCGTTATCGAATGATCTCTTGTCATCCCTATCGTTGTATTTCTTGAACGCAAAGGTAGGAGTAGTTGGACTAGGGATTCGGCGCTTGGGTACCTTGTAACATACTGCGATAAAATAATCAGCCCCGACTCATGAATTTCGACAGAATGAACACTCACCATTCGAGTTCGATCCATAATCCACGCCAATCACCAGCCGCCTCTGTTCTCTCCAGGAGATGGATCCATTCGTTGCAATAGTCGAGTTTGCAATTGCCCGACCGAACTTATCAAGCCTTTGACTGTAGCCATCGTCGACAATATCTGGGGGTGGATTGTCAATTGAAGAATTGTAGGGTCTCGAATCCGCGAAAGACATTGTTATGTGTAAGCCTGAGGTGTCCCGGAACGTTGTCCGATCTTCCTCTCGAGGATACTTCAAATAGTCGACATCAATAGTTGCTGAGTGATTTCTGTGCATACTATGTCTGGTATCCGGGTTTGGTTCTTGTAACCGCTGTCTTACGTGAGGATCTTGTAGGTTGCCGAAATGGCCCCTTGCCTCAGTGGATTGACAGAATCGAAGACTGCCACTCCCATGTTGCATAAGAACGTGCCTTTCCATCTCCAACCTGCTGCAGAACGCTGTGGAACTGCAGCCTGATATGGGACATGACTCAACATTGCTGTTTTCGAGTTCTCTTTGCAGAACATGCATGCACTGCAGAATATTAGCGTACTACTCTTGTTTGTGGACCATTTGATGGCTTACCCTAACTTTCCTTAGACGACACTGAGGACAAGAACCGGCTTTCCTAACTGCTGCTACCTCGAACCTTCTTCGAGGACTTAAACGCCTCCGGAGATGGTCACTCGGCGTTTCTCGGTTCACGATTCTCAAAACGCAGTCGTCCAGGTGTTCATAGAAATCCTGAGCGTTGCTAAAAGTGCCCGAACATGTGGAGCATTTGCCAGTAGCATCGGGAGCATAATTTGAAATCGTTTTCCCGCTTTCTGCGTTATCCAGAGTCTTCTTTCTGGAATTTGGAGGTGTCTGCTCCACACTATGAACTGTAGTCAAGTGTCTCTTGAAGACATCAGCGCGATTGAATGATTTTTCGGCCGCTGATCCAGAGCCTGGACAAAAGCCGCATACCATCGTTCCTTTGTAATGAGTCAAGGTGTGCCGATTCTTGTCATACTTTCTTACGAAACCCTTGACGTGGTACTCGCAACTTAGGACAGGGCATTTCTCTGATCGCTCAATTTGGTGCGTGAGCAAGTGGGCTTTGAGATCTTTGAAGACCTTTCCGCAATCGAGATGTGGACAGCGGCCTTTGCTGGAGTCATCCGAAGGAGAATCGCTGTACGACGGATACGGGAAACTTGGGAAGGCTTGTGAACAAGGATGATAGGGAGACTGACTCCCAATATTGGGCATTCCAGATGACCAAACCGAACTTGGCGATGCTTCATATGAAGGATACGAGTATGCCCCGTGGAGAATGCTTGGATCAACATAGCCTTTGGCATCATCGGAGCAGTGGACAGCTCCATTTGCTGACTTGCCAAATTCCATACATTTGTCAAGTCCATAGTCAAATCCATAGGCATAGCAGTCATAGGCAGTGATACTAGGTTTGATGCCTAGACCATAATTCGATATTTCTGGTGCTTGGAAAAGGCCCGATCCAAAGGGCGATCCCATCGCCGAAGAAGATGCGGAGGGTTGGCTAGCAGCTGCTAATGAAGGAGAAGGCTTTCTTCCATCGACAATGCTAGAAATGAATGTACTTTTCCCAGCCCCAGTGGTTCCTAAAAAGGCAATGACGGTATCGGCAGGCTCGCTCTTGGCCTTCATGGAGAGAGCAGGATATGTTGTATATGTATACAGTTCGGGGGGAGGCGGGTACATGTAGCCGTAGGCTGAGCTGGAATTTGGGGGTTCGGGATATAGGGGGAAGTCCTCGTTGTCGAAGTTCTTGTGGTGAGACATGCTGGCGATGGAAATTGCTCGACCAAACTTGTCGAATCTTTGATCATATTGAGAGTCATGAGCAATTCCTTCGAACGTGTCCCCTAAGACAGGTAGTACTTGCTGACGATGATCAGGAAAGTCATGCTCGGCAGACTTTTCTGGATTAAGGATATCTGCCACCAGATCACCCTCGTTCATGCACGCGATTGGTGACATTTCACAACTTGGAGTGAAAATATCGGTAGTCGGTGGAGTATGCAAGCCAGTTGACACTGTTGCCTTTTCCCTGTCCTTTCCAGTGTTCTTTGATCGAACATCGGTCCATCCATGAGCCTTCTCGCCGCAGACTAAAGCCTGACAATATTTGCTCTTGGCATGAACGCTCTTCAGATGCGCGCGATAACTGGATAATGTCTTGAACACATAGACTCCTCGACAGTTTCCAAGGGAACACGGAGATGGATGAAACGCAATTTCTGAATCACCGCCAGACTGTGATGTTGAAACATCGTTCTGGCCGGCTTCTTGCAATTCGAAGAGCGATGTAGCAGTTGAATGTTCCTGCTTGTCCGAGATCATGCTTGCGTGTTCAGGATCTCCGTCAGGAAGCTCGATGACTTGCTTAGACTTGTCTACTCGTTGGCCCCGGAAGAAAATCTCGCTGGTTTTGCCTTTGTGTGCGTATACATATTCTCGTGCAATGTGCGTCTTGCCTCCGCCAGGAAGAGCTGAGATGAGCACAGTAGATGTCGTCCTGACGTTCTTCAGAATATCTTGAAGGAAAGGTTTCCCCACCAACACTTCTGAGACTTCAAAGTCGACTATCCTCCATGGTCTGACTGAAGAATGGCGGCCTGCAACAAGAACATTGGCTGGCTTGAGGTCTGAGTGACGTCCTAGAGAATTGTTTTGGAGATCGTGCGAATGTCCCAAGGCATCATGCAGGTATTGAAGCCCGCCTGCAAGCTTTTGAGCTTCAGCGTAGAGGTCGAACACTCTCTTAGCATGGGGTTTCTTGTTCAAGGATGCTTGCAGAAATTCTGTCAAGGACTTGCTCATTCCAAGCGATAGAAACACAGCCCAGGGCGGAGTGTATGAAGATACGAATTCCTGCTGTATGCGCTTGATGACATCTGATACCGCAGGCTCAAAACATTGCCGCATCTCAGCTAGAGTGATGGAAAGTGGTGCCAATCTCGAGGGTGTGTATTCCGCTGTTTTCCGGTAACATCGAGATACTTCGCTTCCAAGCTGACGGTATCGTTTTAGTCCCCACTGGAATCCGGAGACTGACGACGACGGCAGGACCAACGGTGGGCAGCCGATACAATACTCGAGCTTCAAACGCATCATCGCACTCTCGAAGAAGGCTGCAAGAGGAATCATCGTTGTATCAATAGACCAGGTCTTTTCATCACTTCTCCCGAGCAATAATTCGCGAGGATGTGTAATGGCCCCACCACTCATTTCGACACTTGCACTTGCACTTGCAGTTTCGTAATGAGAAAGATTATGTCTGGCCCAGTCTTCGAAGTTGTCTGGTGCGAATTCCATACCACAGGACTGGAGATAGCATGGGAGACTGTGACGATTGGCCGGCAGTGTCGTAGTGCCATGTGTCATCTCAATCATCTTCGAACGATCATCGTCAGGCTCTGATATGCCGCTCTCAGAATAGTCAACAGCTTGAGAGACGGTGTGTTTCCATTCGTAGCTGATATCTGACGAATGCTTCATCAATCTCATGGCAGTAGCGGCGCGGCCAAGTTGGACGATAGGCTCGACATCGCTGTAGTTCATGTGCCTAAGAAATGGGCCTGATGTTCGCCTTCTCACAAGCTGGTTATCTCTCTCATGACGTCCATTCAGCATGGGTTTTTTGGAGCTTCGATAGTACTGTGGTTCGCTTTCACTTAAAGTGCGCTTGCGTTGGTCTGTCAATGTGAAGACACTACCCTCGGCAGTGCTGTCTGTTGTGCGATCCGCCTTATTAGAAGTGGAATCCAGGCCTGAGTTCAAATGCGCTACAATAGGGTCGTGAGGATCATTGAGGTACCGCTCGAGTGCCAGAGAATGCTTTCTACCAGCCATGAATGATACCGAGACGGGGCTAGGTTGATGTTCTTGATGCTGCTTCTGACTTGACTCTTGCCGCGCGGAATTTCGTTGACGACCTTGCGTTCTCTGTCCCTGGTTGGCCTCAGAGAATTTAGTTGTAGAGGATCCAGGGTGTGTGACATTCTTCTGATGTCCATGATGGCCCGGCGCACTCCGCGAACCACCATTTCCTCCATGAGGACCATCATCATTATTGTCATCGTCTTCATCTTTCCTAAACGGGAAGCCAGGTCCTGGTCTGAAGTCTTTCGGAGGTGGTGGCAATCTCCAGTCCTTCGTCGTGAGTCTTCTCTGGAAGTGTTCCGCCAAATGTTTCATCTTCTCATCCAAAGTTTCGAACTCCACTGCGCAGAATTCGCAATGTCGGGGCCAGTCACTATCAACAGTAAACTCCCATGATGCCAATTTCTTGCTGAGTTTTCTCTGCTCCTCTTTGTTCTTTGCTTTGATGTGGTGTTTGTTTCGAAGATGAGTGAGAGTATGGTCTTTACGCCCAAACGTGACATGACGGGCATTCTGCGCAGTAATGCATTGCAGGAAGTGTTGTTTGGGAGAACCTGTGAGAGATTCGAAGGGAACTTTGCAGAAAGCGCAGATTGAATGGCCATTTTCGTCAGTGGGGACCTTATGGGCAGGATTGTTTGGATCAGGGGTACATTCAGGGCACATGATGCGAGTTTGCTCCCAGTGAGTTTTCCCGTGTCTCTTCCAATCTGCAAATAGATGCCCAGCGTAATCGCAGCCGGGGTAGATGCAGGAATATAGTGTTTTGAATCCACAATCAATGCATGTCTCGTGTTTCTGTTGTGGCATATCTTCTTCCATTGATGCTGGAATATCGGGTTGGCGGGGAGTAGACGAGATCGACGTACTATCGGCCGATTCATCGGATTCAAGAACCTCTGAATTAGAAACAGATATTTGGGACGATGAGAGCGTGCTGGCGAGGTTGCTATTACTTTCAACGTCCGAGTACCCGCCAAACTTCTCGTCATCGACCATCAAAACTCTCATTTGACGGTCGAGGTCGGCTTTCTTGTCTGCGAGGGCTTTCATCTCTCGGATAAGATAAGCCTTCTTGCGTTGGGCAAAGGGAGAAGTTGGGTTGAACGTCTCGAATTCGCTTTGAGCATCATTTTGATGGCTGCTCTGACTATCTATGGTTGCAGTGCTGTTGCTTGTGCCATGGTTGGACAATCTGCTTTCTTGTGGGGCGGATGATTGTGGAGGACTAGCGGAGGTTCGAGAAACAGATCTTCGATACCAGGTCTTCTCTCTACGGCGACGAGATCTTATCTGCTTTGGTCCTTTTACTGGAAGCTCTGAAGGTTTGATGCTCCTATTGTTGGATCCTTGGACGGCCAAGTCAGGTAGCATTGGAAAGAACTGATTGGAGTGTGAATTACTCCCACGAAGAGCTGGCATGGAAGAATTGGCCAGAGCGTAGCGTTGATCGGTCAGCTGAGGGTAGCTTGACGTGAAAGTTGCAGGACTGTATGCTTTTGGGCCGAATTGTTGCTGAAATGAATGAGGAGTTCGACGCTCATACTCTGCTTGACCCTGAGATCCTTGACCTGCATTACTCGAAGAAGCGAACTCCGAGTGTTGAGTATCGTTCCCAGTAAACTTAGCTTCTACCATCGCTAAACCAGCATAGATATCTTGGATTTCACCAACGAGTTGCTCTTGAGATATGGGTCGGGCTTCTGGTTGGAGTTCGATATCGAAATCTGGGTCAGCTAGATCTCTATCAGTCTTGGGCAACAGGCGTACAGGTGTGCGGGGTTATAGATATGCTTACTGAATGAGGGACCCTCCTGCTGGAAATCAAACGGAGGCATCGCTGACATGTCGACGTCCTGCCCATGCATACCCAGATTGGGCTCGCCGTGCATCGTTAACGGATAGTCCGCCTGCGGGATATCAAAATGGTACAAGTATCTCAGACTGGGGTTAGGATGCACGCCACTAAGCATATCATCCTCTGAAGATGGAAAATCAATGGACAAATGTGCTGGATCCACAGTCATGTGACCATTTAAATCTTCGGACCTCAGCCCCAAGCCACTGGGCCAATGATCTGCCATTTGCTGCTCCATCAATGCATCTGCTGAACAATCTATCGGGTACTGACTCTTACGGCGAGGGTGGATTTGAGATGTCAAGAAGCATGTTGCCGGCCGTGACGTTTAAAGAACAAAACTTGAGACATTCGTTCCAAGCATTGTGAGGGGAGAAGGGCACTGCCACTGGGCAGATTCCGGGTGTGTGCAAAGGGTCGCGGGTATGTAAGGATGTACGACAGTTGAAGGGCATGAGGCTACGGGCGGACAATGAATGCCCTCAATTTTGAACGCTATGCAGGAGCTGGCTTGCAACCTCAGGCATAAGGCTTTACGGACGGGATGCTCTCACATGACGAGTCGCACGTGATTCTTACCATCGTCGAGTCCAAGGCAGTTGAACATGCTGTTTAGACTTTCTCGCCAATTTCCAGCGGTCCAGTATGTATTCCAGTGGAGACTTTGTGTTCTAGTGTGTTTGGCGCTGCTGTTTTTCAAGCATCTCAACCACGACATCTCCTGTGTCAGCAACGATTTTGCTGTCCCATACGCATTCTACCCGAGGTTCCATCGCACGCAGGACAGCTATAGCTTCTCGTTTCAGATGAAAGTCTGGGTATAGTATAACAACGATCCAAAGACATGGAATGATCCCCATTTCGAACACAAAGGTCTTTGGAAACCTCGGATCGGCAACAAGAGCTTTCGAAAGTTGCACGACGTCCCGTGCGGCTGTAACAGCTGGATCAGTAGACTCTCGTATACTGTTCAGGATAAATAGCGGAATGCTTATCGCCGCTGCTTGAATCTGCAGCATCATGGCAGCGACGTAGGTTGACGACCCCTCTTTGGTTCTCGAGTGTCTTAGCAAAGGACCAAAAGCTTGATGCCATCGTGCAAGGTCGTCGCGAATCGCTGGTGCAGAACTCTCGTCAGTGATCTCAGAGAACAGTTCCATCAGAAGAATGGCTGGTGCTGAAGCTCCTTCTGGCAATGATGTTGTATCCTTGAGCTTCGTTTCAAACGCGTGCTCGGGAAACACTCTGAACCTCAGTCTTTCATAATACAATCTTGCCTCGCCTATTGAGGAGAAAGTTTCCGGTATCTGAAAGTCTTCGAGATACAACTTAGAGCTGAACATCTTGTTCTGAGGACGCGAGCCCTTACTTCGACTCAGAAGGCCCACAGCAGGTCGATCAAGTCTCAAGAAGCTATTCAATATTTCTTCTTCAATGAGATCTGGAAAGCTTGGGGGGAGAAATCCTCGTGTAATGAAGGGTCCACGGCATGCATGCGACATGAGCAACAATCGCTGATTGATGAGATCCAGAGCAGTCTGGATGTTTGTTACGGCTCTTTTTGTATCTCCAAACATACTTTCGAGGACAAATATGAGAAGAGCCGCGATGAGTACAATCCGAAGACCGTCGCGCCGTAGGGTAAGGGCGGCTTGGACCCCCTTCAACGCTTTTCCATACTCATATAGTGCATATTTGCGATGCTGAGATGCGAGATTGGCCGAAGGTTCCCTCCCAGCTTTCTTCAAAGCCGCAATTGCAATTATCAATTGCCGGATTGAATCGTTGGTACAAGCTTGCAGAACAACTCGATTCCAAAGAATAGTTTCGAATCCAGCTGAAAGTTCGTCCGAGAGCTCTTCTTGATATAGACGAAAGTACCGAGCTTCGAGTTCATGCGAAAAGCCAATCCCGCCCAGTGATGGACATGTGATGACCACAGGGTGTGCATTTGACTTGGGCATAAGTTGATAGACAACTCGCGTTGTCTTTTTTGCGACAATTTCATCGTCATAACCGTCACATTGATGGCCCCATCTCGTGCACCTCTTACACGCTGGTCTCGATTCGTCGCATTTCACATGTCTGAGCCTGTACTTATATCAGCTTAAGGTCACGCATTGACGAAAAAAGCCAAGCAATTTGCTAATCAACGCATTTGATGTTTCTGAATTCTTACTTGCATGTCCTACAACCTCCCTTGCTCTTTGGTCTTGAGGCTCTTTTCCTCTTCTCCACTCCTGTCATACTGTCCGAACAACGTTTGACGAAAATGCTAAGATTAGATCAGGAGGGGCCGGAAAGATAACTCAGTCGAAGCTTTATGATCCTTGTCGTGATAGAGCTTCATGGTGAATGCTGATATTGTATGCTCAGGTATCGAAGCAAACGGAGGGTGAGAATATAGTTAGCATCCCAAATAGGTTTAGCGGCACTGATTTGTCTTTGGGCCGATAAAATCACGTATCAGTTCCACCTGATTGTACTCGTACAGCCACAACAAAAACGAGTATCAAGCAGATATGCGATATCTTGTTGAGACGATTAAGTCTACTTAAGGAGGTAGTGATCAAGCAGGTGAACCTCCACCTGGCAGGTACCTAGAGAATACAGCTCACATTAATGAACAGCCACATGAGACAGGTAGCCACAAATCTTCCTCATCGAAACCAACCCTCCACCGTCTAAATCCAATTCCATGCTCTATATAATGGCAAGAATTAGGATGAAATTATGACATTAGTCAAGAGTAACAGTAATCTCAAAACCAAACTCCGACCCACAGGATCACAAATAAACAAACAATTTAAATTAATCAAGAAAGCCTTCGCCATGTCCATTGATTCTAAGTAAGCTACCATTCACTAGCTTTTCCCAAATCCCCCAAACACCAAACAATCGCAAAGTTATCCTCCCGCTAAAAACTAATGCAAGCCGTAAAGCCATAGGTATCTATCTTATCTTTGCTTTCAAATCATCAAAAAAAAGGGGGGGGAACCTCCTATTGCGAGACACTCTCCGACCCCTCATCCTCACACTTAAAGCTATAGAGCCTCACCTCACAATCTTCGCTCCCAGTACACATCCCGCTATCGCTCAACCCGATGCAAGTCACCGGCCCCGTCGGTCCAAAGAACGTCTTCTCGCACTTCCCCGTCCTCGCGTCCCAGACTTTGATCGTGTGGTCTTCGCTTCCGGATACAACGCGCAGGGTATCGCCCGCGAGAGCCCAAACACCTTCTACGTGGCCAAAGAAAGTCTTCAGACAACGGCCCGTATTGACGTCCCATAGGCGGATGGTGGAATCGAGACCGCTGGTTACGAAGTAACGAGGTGGTCTGGAGCGGGTTGAGGGCCAGGAGTCGAAGGTTTGGGTGGGGGGTTTGCTTTGGATGGGGGCGTTGAGGTCGCTGGTGCTGGCTGTGCTACTTGCGCCGTCGTCGTCTTCGGGTTCGAAGTCTGCGGGTTCGTACTCGGCGGGCAAGAGGGTGATTTGTTGGACTTGACCAACGTGACCTTCGAAAGTGCGGATGGTTCGTTTCGTGTCCAGGTCCCAGAGACGGACGGTACAGTCGTCGGAGGCGGAGAAGAGGGTTCGGGAAGGAAGGTCGAGTTTCAATGAGTTGACCCAGTCGGTGTGTCCTCGGAGTGAGTAGACGGATTTATCCTCGAAGTTCCAGATTCGAATACTCTTGTCCGAAGAACCTGATGCGAGGAGATTTCCATCAAAGTGAAGACCAATCACACCATTTGTATGTCCCGTATAAGTAGACAAACACTCTCCAGTACGCCAATTCCAGATCTTGATAGTCCCGTCGAGACTTCCACTAATGAGTTTTGTGTCGTCGAATTGAAGTGCTCGAATGCCTTGGGTATGGCCTCTCAAGGTTCGAATACACTCCTGACTCTCAATATCCCAAATCTTGATAGTAGCATCGTAAGAACCAGTGGCGAGGATACTGTCATCGAATTGAAGACACATGACTCCATTCGAATGTCCTCTGAACAACTTTATCTTCGCACGTCCATACTTCCAATTCGTCCCAACCTTGAATCGATCCTTGTAGACATCTTTCCATGGTCGAAATTTTGGTTTGTCAACAAAGTACGAATCTTCCGCATTCATACGTTGTCTCTTGGTTCCTTCAGGCGAAGCGATCAGTAATCCATCAGATAGTGCAGCAGCAGCCGCATCTCTCTTTATGCATGATGAGGCTTTGACCACTCCATTGGTAACATCATCCGGTACCGGAGTTAGGTTTGGAGACCATTCATTTAGACCACGACCTGTCGCACGCAATTGTTGTTGACGCTTCCAATCTCGTAGTCGCTTTCGTTCGAGTAAGGGTAATCCCCAACCGCATTTTGTGCATTTGCGATCGATGTGCTGCTCGCACATCTTATGCCAGACAACATCATCGTCGGCTAGTATCCTCCACTTCTGACTGACTTGTGCCGCCTTGCAGAGAGAGGTTGTGTCGAGGTAACATAGGATCTTGAAGGATATTTCGGAGGGTAGAGCTGTGAGGAAGTCGATTCGAATGAGATCGCGTACTGTGGCGGAGAGGTATGATAGTTGAGGGAAGCAGCATTGCGTCAGGATGCCTTGTAGCATAAGATTTCTATGTTTGGCTGGGGCAGCGGAGAATAGTGACCAGACATGCGATATGCCTTGCTGATCTGCTTGCGACAACGTCTCGAGTTCCTGTTCCTGTCAGCTTATAAGCTCTCCAACGTGTCATTCAACGTACCCTTTGTAGATTCTCCATTGTCGGTTCATCTGCCGTCCTCCTACATTTCGAGTCCGGTCGATGCCGATAGCAGTATTTTGTATTGGGATCTTTCTGCGAGGTGTTCGTAGCTAGAGGTTGGTTCCCAAGCGGAGCGTATTGTTGAGGAATGTGCTTCGCCAGGAACGGCGTAACGCTTTGTCCCGCCATCTTGCTGTTCGAAGACAGAGTGATGGTTTGATCCGAATGATCCTCACCACAGTTCTCTAGAGAAGGAGGTTCGCCTTCCTCAACTATCTCTTCAGCCCCATCCCTTTCGATCCTCGACTCTGACGGCATTTGTGTCGCCATGGCATGATGCCACCGTTTCAAATCATCTCGCCCAGGGTAATCACTCGGTATTTCAACAGACTGACGCAAGGCCATCGACGAGTCGGTGTGAGTTGGCAGCATGGCGACTTGCCCAGGATAAAGAAGAGTAAGGGAGGGCGGCCGGTACGCCGCAACAAATTATCGGCCCAGGATTCGGTTTCCAAACGGCCCTCACAGACTGGCCTGGGTTATTTGGTAGTGCATTGAATGCTGGTAGAAGTCGCAATGTTGGTAGGGTACCGCAAGGTTCGAGGTTGAGGTCACTTTGCGCGGAATTGCGTGCTTGGTAGACGACCAGGTCGAGGCGCAAATACGGCTGCGATTTGGGGAGGGGAAAGCTGCAGATCAGGATTTCGTTGCGGTGAGTCGCCCAGCTTCTGTGTTGCAAAAGAGGGTAAGACGAGGCAATTATCGTATGGACTTCTGGTAGATATTGCGACCTGTTTTCGGAATCAAAGAGTGAACTGTGAAGAGCTGATACTCAAAGTGAATGAATTTCTTGATCGTATTGAAAGAGTGGACTTCTTTGATTCGGTGGCGTCTTATCGCTGGTCTAGGATTAAGGCAAAAGTCGATAACGTGCTCTGGACCTCAATCACGCGATTATGAATTTCGACATCGACTCCCGGTCCCAAAAAAAGGGAGTCACACAAGATTCTCAACAGATTGCAAATCTGATCAAATCTCCATGGATTCCTAGTGGAACATTTCATTCTTCCGTGCGCTTTGATTATCAAACATCAGATAAAGTATTGGCGGTATGTTCCCTGCTCTGCCTTTTGCTGGGTCATCATTGCGGCGCGGAGTGCATATCTTCGTCGGCGCACCGGCTCTTCCGCCATGGACCCTGGAATTACTAGCCTTGTTGCTTCGACTTTGGATTGCGGGGGTGGCTTCGTATCAGATGCATGAGATACCCGCAATTCTCCGATGATGTAATGTACTTCTTTTCTTTGTCACAAAAGTCTGGCTTCGGCTTGATTACTCGGGCTGTCGAAATGTCTGTCCTTATTTCTGGGATCATGTGAATGGTGACCCCTCACATGGCGGGGGGTTTCAGTGATCACGCCTTCAGAGCAAAGGACAAAGAGATAGGTTTTGCCCAAGCACGCCTTCGGATCAGCGTGGACGTCTTTGTCTGGACACTTATGAACATTTTGAGCTGGTTGCGAGTATGGTTCCCATAGGCAGCAGGGTTGAAATATCTGTACCTACTATACAGAGTGTCCTTAGGTTGACATCTTGCCATTCATTTTCCGGGTATCCACTCATAGGGCTGGATCCTCCAAGCCACGTTTCTTTTCTTTGTTCTGGAAAGAAAAGTCATCACATTCAGATGGTTTCTTATTGGGTTTCAAAGTCGCATCATCGGTAAGTACCTGTCAGTATGCAGATTGTCGGGTCAGCAGATGCAGCCAGAACCTACATATACCACAATCAGAAAAAAACCGCGAAGGAATCAATATTGTTCAATCTGTAACATGTATGTTGATTTCAGTCAATCTACCAATACCCGAACTCATAACAGAGCCTCCATCCCTATGCAAAGCAAAGAAATACTGTCCATAAGAATCCCAATACAGTGCGGCAAGTGATGCCAATTCCAACCCTCTAACCATGCAATATAATCACAATGCAAACCATGCCCAAATCCCAAAAACACCTGCAATGCAACTCAATCTCTCCCCTCCAAATTACACTCCCTCCCTTACAAAGCCCAATGAACCCTCTTCTTCGGCTTCGCTGCCGCCGCCGACGGACTCGCCATAATTCCTCCCTGCCTCATCTGCGACGTGGCCGGCGCACTCGCAGAATAAATCTCCATTCCCATCCCCTCATTCTTCTCCTCATCACTCTCCCTCTCCTCCCTAATCGAAAAGATCTCTGGGCTCGGCGCCCTCCAACTCGCGGGCCTCCTGGCACTTAGGCTCCGACTGTACCCTCTGCCCCTGCCCGGCACAAGCCTAACTCTTGCTCTTCCTCTGGCTGAGAACTCCGGTAGACTGATGCCTAGCCCGTGGAGCTCTTCTTGTTCTTCTTTGCTCCTATTCCCAGTTCTCGATTGACGCCCAGATACAGTGGTTGAAGAGGCTTTGGTGAAGTCTTTGAGTGACAAGGGGATTGCTAGGCCGAAACCAAATTCGTATTCCTCGTCATCATCCTCGTCGTCGTCTAATGGGAGAGGATTTCGCTGTAAAGCACTGGGAGAGACTTCTCGGACCGGTGAGCGCGAGGAATCTGGTGTTTCGATGCCGGCATTGAGGTCATCGTCCGAGAGGTAATCGTCGATATCTATCTCGTCTGGAGAGGTGAGGAAGAAGGCGAATGGGTTCTCGTCGATTGCTGTTTCGATATCTTGGCGGACGGTGTTGGGGTCTTGGGTGAGACGGACCTGGGTTGGAGGCCAGGAGTCACGACGTTGGAGTTCGTGGAGAGGCATTTTGGACGTTCGTTCTTCGTGTTGGTTGGTGGTGAGGAGTATTGCACCCGGCAAGGCCGGTCTATGTACCCTTTTCACGATGCGGGGAATTGCTCCCCTCAATAAATCTCGAAAGCGACAGTAGAACGAAAAAAAAGAAACCACTGAGTACTTTGAGAAATTGGGGCGCGATGCAGGTCAACGAAAGAAGAGGAAATGCAATGAGTTAAATACCTATCAAGGGTCACGCAGAAGGCTGCAACATACAGACACCATGACTGAGAAAAAGCCATGCGCCTCGCTCGGCGAGCGCGTGTGAGTAGACGGAGGGGGTGGTGATTCATAAGGATGTCTCACTTCCCTTCACCTCTTTCCCTCCCACATGCCCTCTTCCCTTGCAACGAATCAAGGAAACCAATGAAACAATGTACTCACGTTGCCCTAACCATAGAAGAAGACAGAATCGCAAAACAGGAAATGGCAAAGACGGATAGGGAATCTGGCTATTGATCTGAGTAAGGGCGTCAGATATTGGTGTGGATGGCAGCCTATGTCCGGTGACTGTTTTCTCGTAGGGAAAAAAGCCACATCAGCCGCATCTTTTCAAGGTGTGACTGCATTGCAGCGTCCAATAGGGCGGATCGGATCTCTGCCCCGCATCGGGATGCACGAGGCCCGAAGCACTGAGTGGTCATTGTGGCTGGCGTGGAAGGGGCAGATGAATTGGAGATGGTTGTTGATTGCGACGTTGGTGATGAATTGTTTTTGCCTCTTAAAGTGCCAGGACTTTAGGATTGCGCTAGTTTAGGATTATGTAACGAGTAAGGTTAGTGTAGCCCGAATAGGCGTGGTTTTAGGTATCGCTATTCTTGCTGATAGAGGGAACGATTAACAAATAGATTCCAGGACATGCAGTTTGAATGATTTTATCTCGAATAGAAAATCTTAGGGTACAACGTAAATATATAGTTTTCGCTACAAGCACACAGCTTGTTCACAACTATACTCAATATTGAGATATAAGATTCAAATCAAATTTCATTCGTGGTTTAGGTATTATCCTGGTTTAATTGCCCTAAAACTTAGCGATCAAGTTCCTGGAAGCTAGTGATTCACAGCCCAAAAAACGCCGAAGTTAGCGATCGAAGCCTAGAAATTCAGCTTACAATGCCGAACCCTTCGCCAAATGCAGTGAAAGAACGACTTGGCACGCTTCCTGACGGCACAATCAATCTTTTCTCAACGCCTGCACGGATAACCGCTTCGCAGTTTAACCTGCCCATAATTTTTCACATTTTAAAACGTAGTCCAAGCACCACACTTTCTGGCACACTTTTCAGAAGAATCCAAGTCAAATAGGATATTACAAACTCACAAGACAATTCTTTGCGTCTACACCATCTACGTTCCTAATTGAGCTAATGAAACTTTAGATCTGTATTGATTTCTCTCCATGAAAATTTCTGGAATCACTGAAAAAGCTTTACCTTCCAAGTCCCTTCCTGATCCAGGAGTCAGGGTCTCGATATTCGCTAAGCATAGGGGGCTCGCTAATGCCGACGTGCAGAATGATCTTCTTGCATCCAGGGTCAATATTACAGTACATCTCAGTGTACATCTGTTTCAGGAAACAATTTTTATTCTAGAGCATAAGCAAAGGAAGAAAGTTAGACCAAATGCAGTATACCAATGTCTCATCATCACTGCCAAAAGCCCTCGAGGCACTCTTCATAAACGGTAATCGAAGGACGCACATTGAGTTTTTGCAGCCTAAGACAATTGTCTCTAGGCTCGGCGACTAAAGGTCTACTCAAACCGGATTCTGACGATCTCCTTGACATTGACATGCACTTATCCAGATGAAACGTATGTGCTATACATGGAATGATTCAAACAAGACCTCACACTGTCACGTGGATGTGAGATACTCCCCAGTCTCAGCCCAGAACGAAAGACCTGCGAGAAGATAAGGAGCCGACTCCGTAACCCGAATACTCGCTCGGAACCCAGCGAGAGAAGATTCTAAAATTACGCAAAGAACAAACATAACAATACAACAGAGGAGGGTGGTCAGCCCCACCCAAGATTACTCGTACCCCGTACCCGAGATAGCCGTGTGTCTCGTACCAACGTCATTGCTAGACACAGCCACGGTCAGAAGCCTCTGATTATATTTCTGAACGCGGTATTTCGCATCCTGAAGTTTGGCATTGCCATCTTGTACGCGAAACATTTCTCAGACTTCTGTCTTGCTGCTGATGGCAAGTCTCGGATTCGGGATGTATGCGCTGTTGGAGGAGAGACATTTGTCGTCATACTGGAGACGAGACGAAATCAGAGTTCAGTGTCTGTGTTGCGGGTATTGAATGCATATTGAGTGAAGCTTGACCAGGTAGTCAAATTGCCACAGCTAGGTTGGAGTGTCGAGTTCGAAGCGCACCGTTCACTCAAGCTGTCGAATCTGGATTGTAATCATCAAAAATAGGGGACTTAAATTGTTGACGATATTTTCGTGGTTTAGGTTGCTGCTGCTGTCGTCTCTTCTTATGCTTTGCCTTTTTTCATCATTGCTGAGGTTGGTCGAGGTTGTTCTATTTACTGCTGGAGTCATCGGCAGTTACTTGGAGCTCTTCGGAGCATCATATTGCTTGATATTCTCCTACTACAAAAGAATGAAAGGAACAGTGGGAACGGAGATTTCGGTTCTTTCCACGGCATTTCGTTTGGGGTCATATGCTGTAGTGCTAACTGAAGCTTGGTCCAGATTCAATTTTTTAAGTGCTCAATTGAAAGCCCTCCAGGATATCACTATGCTCTGAAACTATATTACTTTACTCATTACTATCGTCCATTCATCATTCATGTGTTCGCTCTTTCGAAGTTGAGGCTACCCTCTCCTTCTCCCAATCCCTCCAACTCACAAACTCAACCTCAGCCAAATCAACCCGGTCAAGCCCCCAATGCCTTCTACCATCGATGCCCTCATAAAACCCCATACTGTACTCCTTCTCCTCCAAGAAAATCTTCGAATATAGATGTCTACTCGTAATCTCCTTGCCCGAAATATCCAACGCATCTTTCTCCACCTTCTCACCATCCTCCTCGTTAATCGCAGCCCCAATCCCGTTCCCCCTCGTGTTATTTAATAGCCGACTAGCATAAAACAAACTCACATAATCAGCGATACTAGCATGCCACCTCAGAAGCCTTCGATTTGTCCTCGGCCACACAAAAGGTAGAGTCAGGAGGTATATAGCCAGGAACGAGAGCACGAAATAGAACGTTACAGGAATAATAGCGACGACAATCAATTCTCCTGTGTTAGTGATGGTGAATAAACCCGCGACCAAGATAGGAAAGATCGGAGACAAAAGATCGAGGAGCGAAAACCAGAACACTTTGTAATGGCCCGCTTGAAAGGCGTTGATGGTGACGATCCCAGGTGGTCCCCATAGGTAATCGAGAAGCACGGTTTCGGAAGCTGAAGCGGGGTGGGAGTACATGTTTGCGAAAGGCTGCGAGAAGCGGGTACTTTTATCGACGGCGCTGAACCAGGTTAGGGCGAAGTAAGAGGCGAAGACGGTGGGGATGGTGCGAAATGCGAAGATGTATAGCACGAGGTCGTTCGCGGCGTTGATGTTTAGACCTGGGAGATGGAGCAGGAGATCGCCGGGTTGGGAAGTGATGTTTGTTTGAAGAGTGGTGTTGAATGAGGTGGTAGAGTTGGATGTGGTGTTAGTGGGTGTGTCGAGTTCAGGGAAGTAGGACCACCATGTGTTGTGGACCGTGAAGCCTTCGTTGACACGGTTGGAGGAGGCGGTGTAAATGCAGAGACATAGACTGGCGAGAACTGGGATGGCCCAGACGAGTACGGCCCAGGGTCTGAAGAGCGAATTCTTCAGCCATGGGTAGACTGTACAGGTCGTCTCGTCGTGGCAAGAACAGAAAGTGTAGTGTTGGCCTTTGTTGCACTTCTTGCAATCTGGCAATCGCTGCGGGGGAGCTTGGCCGGATTCTTGGTCGTGTCCTGATACTGAGGAATAAGTAATTAGCATTTTCCTAAAAGACGTACGAGAGACGTGATCTGATCATGGTGGTGAAGTATAACGATAGAAGACAAACATAGAAAGGAGATTAAAGTTGGGGAAGAAAAGGATTCTTACGTGGTGGTGAAATCTTCCCAATGCCGTACCAAATTGTAGTTCTACCTCCCTCAGTCCTTTCCCAGTATCCGAGTCTAAAAGACCTTTCGGCTAACAGATCGAAAGCCGTTTCTCGGTGAAGTTGTTCCAGCGCCTCAAACTCATCCAGCGCATTTGAGCCATGAAATAAAGCAAGTTGATCCGCAATCGTCACTGGGTCCCACTTCAAGCCCGTCTTGTTCGTAAGCATTTTTACCAAGGTCATCACAGTCAGAATGATGACCACCAAGTAAAGACTGATAAGAACATATGCCATGGACTTATGTACAGTCAGGACATATTTTCCGTCAGATGTAACGGATGCTGTAAATAACGCTGCTTTGTATCCAGTGATTTGAGCGACGGGAATGGAAGCAAAGAACATAGCCCAACGGAGCCAATCTTGATGTTGAGGAGAAAGTCGCTTCTTCAGGCCACGACCCCAATACAGTCCCGTGGTGAACATTAAGCCCACGCTCTTGGAGCCTCGAGACCCAACACGATCAGGTTCGCTTGCCATGCAAATGTATGGTTTCGTTCGCGCAAGAGTATCTCGCATTGATCGAAACATCAGAGTTGTGATTGTGCCAACGATGGTAGGAACATAACGAACCACAAATCGCATATCTGTGTGTGAGGAGTGGTATTGTGCGTATGCGTCGGACTCGACAACTATGAGAACAAGTCCCACCACACATAAAATGTTGAAAAGGAGCATCGCCAGCAAAGTCCCAGTCTCGAGCATGATAGGCTTGTAGTTGAGCTCGTGATAGCCTTGTGGTACAGGTATGGGACGCAGAACGACTGCGAAAAAGAAGACATCAGAATATGTAGTGCAGCAAGAGATTGTAAGCATACCATTGTTTCGAATATTCGGACGTATCCTCGCCCGCTGTTGAGTAGCCTGTTGTCGACGAGGTCGGAGGCCTTCATTAGCAGATACTGTCTCGAGGGGAATAGACTCGATTGTAGTCTGACTGCTACGTGATTGCGAAGCCGCAAGATTCCGTACGTCGTCCAGTGCCGAAGGAGAGTTCGAAGGAGCACTGGAAGAGCCCGAGAGATGTTGCTCAAGAGGAGGCTGGAGAAGGCTGCCCATGACTGCCGTGAGGCTAGAGCGCAATCACTCACTATGCGGCGTTACAGGAAATAAAAAACGGTGATAATACCAGATGTGAGTAGCAGAGACAAGAAGCGCAGAAAGCGCAGAAAGCACAGAAGTAAAGAAATAGAAGATTCAAAACATAAATGAAATTTTGCGACAGCCTTCTTTTGTAGTTGCTGCTCTGCAACCTCTTGCCACTGCCCTCGCAATTCTCGCGAACGCCCCTTTTTGCAAGCGACCAATGATCGCGTATCAATTTTGGGACGGGATGGAGCTGAAACCTCATTCTGCAGCCACATGTCTGTTTTTGAAAAGAGGGCGGATTCATGAGGCTGCCCCCGGCCCCCAATATGACCTCCACATCAAGCTGCATTGGAGATTGCAGACACCGATGATGATGAAAACATGATGATCATCGACGAGCGTGGAGCATCTGCTGAAGCCAGACTCAAATGGCAACAATATCGTCGTGCTACCTCGAATGATGACATGTGCTTCATCAAGGGAGAGAGGCTCAACGCATACGGTACAATGTTGAGGTACGTTCGGCCCGTCGTGAAGAAGTCGTTAGGTTGTGAAGAAGATCGCAGTATCAGAACTTGCATCTAACCTTATTAAGCTTAATCCCACTGGCACGTGCCACTTTACCCAATTTGTATTTGAGCTCTCCTTGTCACTTCTCCACCTAGCAAGCTTTCCTCTCCCAAGATGGTTAGGTACCTAGGTAATTGACGTAACTTGATCGAAATATTCAAGGCTATTAGGGCGAGAGCAGCGATGGTGGTTTCTTACCTGAAAGCTGACTGGCTGCCCTCGGTGGCAGTGGCAGCTAGCTTCAGCCTCCTTTCCCCGGCTGATCCTGGTCAATGTGTAACCTTGCATCTACAGTATTTATCTTTTCCACCTTGTTCCTCACTTACGTTGTTTCTTCGCACCCGACGTACTCGATCAGGTCTAATGTTTTGGTCTTTGATGACATATTTCCTCCATTGATCACTTCGATACCCTCAACAGCCTCGACAGCCAACTAAACTAGCCCAGAGCCTGGTACAGTCGGAATGGAGGCTTCATTCGTGAACCAGCAGTTCTCTCCGTTCAATCCAGAGACTGAGAATCTCTTCGACACGTTCACTGATTTCGGTGCCTATGCCGCTACGATAGGTTCCGGTGTGAATTCAGACCCACAAATCCCGGCACTGCTGTGCGAGAACGCTGCTAGATCAGGCTCTAGGAGTATGTATTGTTCGAGCCCCATCTGAATCTTCGCTAATAGAATTCACAGGCACCCCCATTTCGATCTGCCATCAAACGTCTGAGAGACCGAATGATGGTGAGGCATATTGCTTTGGTGGTCGATGCCTGGGCGGATCCTTCTGGACAATCAAAGGCAGTCTAGAGACGCCAAGCTTGACACGTTCAAGACGCGCGAGCTCGACAGTGTCACAGGAGCCCGTAGGCAAGGACTTTCCTCTGTTCTCTTTCCCAAATACAGTCCCACCTCCCTTCTTGCGGCCGAAGTCCTCCCAACATCAATGCACAGGCATTCAAAAGGGAATCAAACGATCCGCGAGCCAATATCAAGTACACCATCCTGTAGACTTGATCAACCAACTAGAAGCTGTGATCGCAGATGATATCAAGTCATCTGCCGAATTCAAATGGAAGACCTCAATCTTGTTCCAGGAACTGAAGAGACTCATTGACAGGGAGCACACCTGCGCAGACACCCATACACACCAAACTAAAATGCCAATCACGAATCCGCCTCACAGACGTACTTTCAAGAAACACGGCGACAAAGCGATAACGCCGGATAAAGTCTTCCATTGCACGGCATCTCCATGTCGCTACTCCTCAGCAAGTGCCCCAGACTGGAAAAGACACGAAGAAACGCACTGGCCACAAGGCCGATACATGTGTCTAGAATGTCCTGTATCGCTACCAGCTCCAGACTTTCCAGATGCCATGCAATGTGTCTACTGCTCGACACTCTCTCTGAGTCTTGAAGACCTGCGTCTTCATCTGCTCAACTCCTGCGACTCGGCTAAAGACAGAGCTCGGACTTTCAATCGCAAAGATAAGCTTAGTGGGCATTTGCAAAAGGATCATCTAGTAACTCCAGCCTCTGCTCTAATGAGAGCAGAGAAGTGGAAATTCGAGGTCAGCAGCAATTGGCCTAGATACTGCGGCTTCTGTCCAATAAGCTTCAGAGGGTGGAACGAGAGATCCAAACATCTTGTAGAGGAGCATTTCAAGAAAGGCTGCCATATGGGTATGTGGCAACCTTTAATTCCTCTGGTGGATCCTCTCTCTTCATTCAATCAACTGTGCTCTTCAGCTCCTTGGACGGGCAAAAACAAATCAGTGGCGATCGAAACAGGAGCGAGCATACTGAAAGGTATCGAAGTATCAAATGGCGACTCAAGACTTAACTACCCTCAACAAGCACCCGCTGCCTAATTCTTCGCTCTTCTACTTTTAGAGAAGAAGGAAGTTGCAAGGCAATGGTAATACTGGATGGAAGAGTACGGGTATGGGAAGTGAGCTAGGACTGGAACTGGGAAGTAAAATAGAAAAGTGAAGAAGGCGCAGGATACAAAGCAGGCGCTGCCATAAATCATATAATGAGCTTTGAACAAGGACTTGAACCGGGTAGGTCTGGTATACAACACAGGCAACATTATCTTCCCAAATCATCATGGTCCAGACTTCGAGATCAGCTACACAACTGGCTCGCCTTCAACATATGGCAACGGTTTCGTATTTGGTACCACCATTGTCTCCCATCTCTCGTCGTCGGTCACAATAGCATCATCCACCTCCTTGAGATGTCTCGAAAAGTCCCTCACTCCATCTTCGCCCAATCCAGGATGTCCAGAATACGAAAACCATTGTTCGGTCACACCGGTATCCGCTGCTGTTCCTTCAACAATGGTCTCGTTCCAATAATACATACTTTCACCAAACTGCCTTGTTGCCAAGCTTTCACTTCCAAGAGTGAGACCGGTCAAAGAAGAGAGGATGTCTATTCCTTTCGTGATGAGGCTACGATCGATCAGTGTGAAGACAGAGGAGAGAGTCGCAGTTGTGGGAGCGATGACATAGGCGCTGTAGAGATTGATGGGATATGAGTATGTTGATTCTGTGCCGGAGAAGGAATCAGAGTAGGAGCCAGTTGAAAGCATGCTCAGGGATTGGTTGTATGCGAGGTCGGTCATGTTTTGGATGTTGCTGAAGGATAGGTTTTGTTTCCAGGACACCTGTTTTGAACCGGTTGAGGTGCGGATTGTGGATGAAATGGCAAGGGTGCGGTGCGCTGTGAGAGAGAAATAGAAGGAAGTATTTGTCTTTGTCCCATTTGTGGTGGTACTGGTCAAGATGGGGTGGTAGGAGAATGTTGGTGGAGATATATTAGTTGTAATGTTCTAGTTGAGGTTAGACAATTGAAAATCTGGGCTCTGATATACTCACACCACCAAGTGTTTGGTTGCCATGGTCGTCAAGCCAGATATATACTGCACCGGTGACCCACCAATTCTCCCCAACAGTCTCGATTTTATCCTCAGCAGAGTTGTCGAAACCGACAACTTTCAAGCCGAAATCATGCGATCTTCCATCACATAACAGAGACAGCCATGGAGTAACGTCGATGTCGAACGTAGGCAGATCATATGCATCGATGCCAACAATCGGACGCCAAAGGCCCGGATCCACGCCACCTGTGAAAAGGAGAGGAAAGGGCCACGAGACTCCCGTAAGCTTGCCATCGATCAGAAGCTGCACTTCTCGGAAGGGACTGTAACCATACAGCCATCCTGGATTGCCGGGAAAAGTATCCACATATTCGCTTGGCACGTTCGTGTACCAGAATTCTTCTGCACTGTTTCCAGATGCAAGTATCGACACTGTAGCCGTCTTTACATTTCTAGGAAACGTGATTGAAACAGTCCCGTTATCATCTGGTAAGGACATGACAGATGAGATATTTTGTGCTGAAGCTAAGGCGGAAATTGGATAGATGCGATCAGGAGGAGATAGCCCAGAAACGTAGTTATCCTTGTAGTACAGAGCTTCAAGTGTCACATTGAAAGCTCCTGTGTACAGGTCTGAATAAAAGCTGCTGAGGTCGAAAATGACTTTTTGTTCTGTCCTCAGCAGTGCATCGAAGACTGTCATTTCTTTTTGGTAAGACCAGTAAATGCCTTCTTCTGTTGGCATTGCTGTTGACGTCCTCCAGATCTCGGTGTCTCCGAAGAAGAGAAGGGCTAGACGGTCATATTGTCTGCCTTTGGATGTTACCGAGATGTTGAAGATGGTGGTGGTGAATGTGCAATTCTCTGGTGGGAAGTAAATGCCTTGCAGTTGTCAGAATTCCATGTGAGAAATAATGAGAGAATCTCGATTTACCGACACATGGAACTCCATAACTGTTTGCAAAGCTGTGCTTGAAGATTGTCTGTTTGCAAGCTGTTCCAGCAAAACTAGTTCTCAGCGGTACTTGTGCTTGAACAACATCTAAAGACGCACGACTGACTTGAGAGAACAGAATCAGTAGTAGAAGTGACAAATTGTAGTTGGGCAACGAATGAAACATGATTATGGGGATTCAATGATACACGAGGCTCAAAACACTGATTCTTCCAGCATCTAGGCGCGTAGACCTTATGAGCCGGGATCACAGACGTTCATCCCATTCTTGCCACTCGGCAACGTTGTATCTAGAGTGGATATCAACATAACAGCTAATTTCGATAAGGCTGAGATCTAGAGATGATCGGGAAGGTGAAAGATGCTTGATATTGATCGCTTAGCGCGAAGGCAAATGTGGGGTACTGACGTGGACTTGAGCTGTCACGTGGATTGGCCTCGAAATCGACTTCCAAGTCGTGTCTCGCTTTCATCACATCAACACAACCGCGTCAAACATATTCTATCGTCAGCAATCACCATTCACCCAGCTCACGGCGGATATTGAAAGCGTCGGAGGATTTTGTGAAGACAATGACTAGGAACAAACCTGTCAGCATCCACGACGAGGTCCACTCGTCGTCCTCGAAGGAGCACAACGAATCTTTGGATATCCGAATCCTTACCCATAACATTCGTTATGCGACGAATGCTCCCTTCAAGGGCGAAGAACGATGGCCCATCCGATGTCCTCGCCTATGCTCAGAGCTTGTCTTCAATTCAATTCAGCCCAACTCCTTCATCTGTCTTCAGGAAGTGCTCCACTTGCAGTTGGAGGATATTCTCGAGTCTTTGAACAAGTCTTCAAGCCCGGGTAGCCAATGGGCGTATATTGGAGTCGGTCGTGATGACGGGAAGCAAGCTGGAGAGTATTCGCCGATTTTCTACAGGCCTTCAGTGTGGCATTTGACCCGATCTGAAACACAGTGGTTGAGTCCAACTCCTCATGTTCCTTCAAAAGGCTGGGATGCTTCAAGTATCAGGATTGTTACTGTTGGGCATTTTACACATGCACAGACAGGACGAAAGATCATCGTTCTCAGCACCCATCTAGACAATGATGGATCTCAATCTCGACGGGAAAGTGCGAAAATAATCCTCGGCGAAATCCAGACTATCACGGACACGAAAGATGTCTCAGCTATTCTGCTCGCGGGAGACTTTAATAGCCCTCCAGATGATGGGGCCTACCAGATTATGACCTCACCAGACTCGATCATGGAAGATATCGGCGTTAAGATTCCAGAGGAGAAGAGATATGGGAATGAGATGACTTTCACATCATTTGGATATATCGATAATACGGCTACTCGTATTGATTTCATCTTTTCGAGAAAAGATGACGAAGTCACGTACCGTACATACGCGGTCTTGGCGAATCGATTTGATGATGGCGTCTACTCTTCAGACCATAGAGCTTGTGTTGCGGATCTTGTTCTGAAATAGGAACATATCCATCCATTACACCTTACAGGAGAGGTGACTACAGTACTTGTTAACTGCCTCCATATTGGGAGGTTCTCGTCCCTACAGGTTTCGAGCATGAAGTTCTCAGCCACTAGCAAATTTTGCGGTATGAAGCAATTTAGCTGCTCATCACTATCTCAGAGACAATTGTGTTCTTCCAAGTATACATACAATATCGTGAATATCCAACAAACCTCAGCGGCGATGCGCTTTCTCAGGAAGCTGTATCGTGCGGTCAACGGATATACAATCCCTGCCCTTCCTAAAACGCATTAGCCTCGGAAGCTACATCCTTCTTACATCCGTTCCGCAACCTCAACCTCTTCGTTCCAGCTGACAACTCGAGATATTTGTGCAGTCTCTTGCCACAGCGATTGCTGGTCTCCATAATGAACCTATATACCAATTTCATCTAGCGTCGCCGTGCTCAATCGTCGAGTTGACGATGGCCGAGAATTCCGCGAATACTCCCAAATTACGAAATGCCCGTGCTTGTGAAGCTTGTCGCGCAAGCAAGAGCAAATGTATCTACAAAAGCCAATTAGGTGTGTGCCAAAGGTGCGAAGCTAGTGGTGCGCAATGCATTGTCAGGGCGAAAGCCCGTCCGATGAGAACAAGAACAGCGTATGAAACTTAACCCCACATCTGTGCGGTTGTTGACCCTCTGTGACCAGACGCCCTGGAAGCTCCAGTACCAGCCAGATACCAATTTCAGCCCATTCAGAATTCTCCTTGAATCTACCTACTGTGTCTCAACCTGATGCACGCAAAGAATTGGTGGCTCTGCATGATCACCACAAAGACTTCTTCGGTGATGAAATCCCAGAAGCATTGAAAGATCGTCAATCCTCGGAAGATTCCCATCGGACGAGTCCGTCGCGGCAATCGCTCATCGAACAACGTAAAGTTACCCTTCTTGATGCAGAGAAGTTACTTTCGTCGTACCGCCATCGGGCATCCTCTTTTCCATTCGTGTACATTCCGCCATCAGAGACTGTGCCGTCACTTGCCAGAACCTCACCGTTCTTGCTTTTGGCGATTTTGACCTCTGCATCGATTGAAGATCTTCCACTTTATCATCAAATGAATCACGAATTCAGGCGTGTTTTGAGCTCCAAAGTTATCGTGGAAGGAAAGAAGAGTTTGGATTATTTGCAAGGACTGTTGGTCTATTGCGCCTGGTGAGAGACTCAAAGCCCGCTGGTCATTGACTACTAACTTTCAAGTGCAGGTATCCGCATCACGTCAATCCGAAGAACAACCAGTCTTTCATGTATATGAATTTATGCATCAGTCTCATTGCTGATCTTGGACTGGATCAAGAGAAGCCAATAACTGTCAATTTCAACGAAATTGATACTAGACGTCTGACGGAAGGTGATGACTTCTCCAAAGCGGCGAAGAGAGCCTATCTTGGCTGCTATTATCTGTCTTGCAGTCTATCCCAAGGGTTTCAGAAACCAAACAATCTGCAATATCAGTCCCTGATGGATGTTCACGGAGAAGTTTTGATGCTTGACGAGCATTCTCCCGAGATCTACTCTCTGGTGAAGCTACAGAGAATTGCAGAGAAGATCATGATGTGGCATTCCTCGAAACAGCCTGCTGGCGATAGTCAGATGGATGCTCTGAATGCCGAAGTCAACATTCAGATCTTTCTGAACGAATTGAACGAGTGGCGACACTCTACAAACGATGTGATCAGGAATCTAAGTAAGAGTCCAAGGCATACCTGATACGCAAGCACTAACTCTGTACAGTCAACATCGGAATAGCGGAAAGATTTGCAGAAATCACAGTCTACAGCTACCAACTCGGATTCTTACGTCGTCCATACCGCGAGCATCTCGTCTCCACAGCATTCGCCGAGCCCGCCAACCCATCACACCTAAACGCCTGTCTGACAGCCTGCAAAACCTTCTTCGAATACATCCTGTCACTCCCCGAGTCCAGCTACCTAGACTTCACCGTCGTCGCCTGGGCACAAGTCGTACAAGCCATCGTCGTAATCTCAAGACTCACCTTCCTAATGGCCGCAAACATGGGCTGGGACGCCAACGCAACCCGAGCCAACATCCCCTTCACCATGTATCTCGACGCTCTCTCCTACCGCTTCCAGCACCTCTCCTCGACACCCTCTGAGGGTACCGATCCGCCCAAGAACCCAGACGTCCTCTACGTCTTCAAGATGATGCTCGGCAGCGTCAAGAAATCCTACGAGCGCCGCCTTAATAAAATCCAGCCCGAGTTCTTCGTCGATAACGCGATGGGAGTCGCGAGGGGCCATTGTCCAGTCCTGGATCCGGGTCTGAGTATCTATTTCAGTACGCCTGATTCGACGTATGGCAGCTCGTTTGATACGGGGAACTCGACGCCGAGTTTCTCGGCGATATGTACGCCGTTGTATCACGATCTCTGGGCTACGATGACGGGGTCGTGGGCAGCGGAGTGAAAGTGTTATGTAGCGCACCGACAACTGTGGTCTCACTACCAGCATTCTCGGATGTAGGGAATAAAAAGCATGTCTTTTACCATCACGCTACTTTGCGAACAGTCTATTTTTCTTCTTTCCTCTCTATCGACGAGACTACGGAACAAGCGAACCCCTGGTTGCTTCCTCGAATGAACTAGTCTCACGTGCGCACCATTCTCACTCACCTCACCGCTCCACGTGACGCCCTTAGCCCCCAAGAAAAACGTCCAAGTCTAAGACCGACAGATGGCCCTTGTTCATGTATATGCATATACCTACAGTATGTACGACGCCCATTCCATCGAGAGACCTCTGATAGATGCGGTGGCAAGTCTATCTGTCGGGTTTGTCCGGGTGCGTGCGACTCGATATCGAGGAAAGCATGCTGCTGGTTGACAAGCAAACAAACTTCCCTCGGGCGGAGAAGAGGATATCAAATGACTCGAATACCACTGCACCTCATCTCCCGTCCTCGACAGCCAAAGAAACGTCGAGGTCCCGGCGTCTTTTCAGTGTGGCGTTCTGAGGTATGGGGCGTTGAGCGAGGATGAGTGCTGGAGTCAAAAAGGCGGTGTGTGCGTGTGTGTTGAAGAGGAGGCTGATGATGGTGTGCTGCGAGTGAAGATCACTAGCTAGTTAATTTATAGTGGGACTCTTTTTTTGAAGGGAGTCTGGTACCAGTACTGGTAACTCGTATTTACTTTTTCTTTGGTTTGTGGATTTGATTTAGCTGCTGTGATTGAATGAATGAAGTGTGATATCAGCCTTGTCGTAGTTCCACTTCCACAGGGGTATTCTTTGTTTCTCTGTCTTTCTTTTGTCTCGAATCTTCCGCCCGGAAGAAACGAGAAGGTGATGTCTTCGGGCGGAATAGAAGGGAAGAAGAAGATGTAAGTATTCGGATGTACCTCCCACTCGCTCACTCGCGCAAATGCGCGTGCTCGCTCCCATCATTCATCATCCATCTTCGATGCGGGCAGCCGAGCTCGAGCTCCCCTCCACGAAGTGCAGGGGTCAAACGAGCCACACCACTTTATACCTTGCATATAATGCATAATAACCTCTATTGAGCAGCGCTCCTCACTGGCTGCTGCTGCTGCCTCTTCGAATCCTTCAGATATCAACAGACTGGATGTATGTTCGGGGAGTTTTTTCTTTCTGTTATTTGCTTTTTGTTTCTGGAGAGAGGAACAGGTTCCAGATGTGGTCTTCCGAGTTTCTCCCACACCTTACACTACTGCTGTACGCGTTCGCTGGGAACTGGAGAGGTGGGCGTTATGACTTGCAGCAGGTGTCAGTCTTCCGTGGCATTCCGGATACCAATCGACGGTGCTGGATGGCAGGATTGTGAGTATTGCGCTCCAGATTCTTGATACGAGTTGGGGATGGAATGGAGGGATATATTGGATGAGGAGGAGGGTATAAGAATTAGGTTTCCTTTCGTTGGATGAGAGAGGTGATGGGACGAATGAGTTTATTCGGGACTTTTTAATGCATGAATGGAGGCTTGATGGATGGCGTTGTTGATGGATGACTGGCCATTGAGGACTCAGGCATCTCTCTTCCTCCTCCCCGCTTAAGGTTGGGTGAAAAGAAAGCGAGCGAGCGAAAAGGAGAGCGAGTCGATTTCAGCCAGTGAGTGCCGGATGGGAAAGGGAAGTCTAGCTTCTTTCTTCACCTTACCTTACTCTAGACTCACTCACTCGTTTATCTGCACAAATTGTCTGGAGGATACGGACGGTACATTGTATCATCGGGCGTGGGCGTAAGTACGTATGGATGTAGGTGTGTAGGTGTGGGCGTAAGTCAGAATCAAAATTTGGTGTTGGCCTTGCAGCATTCGGCAGCAGAATGCATCATCCATCACGATCAGTGGCTAGAGGATGGAGGCGGCCGGCTGGAAGAAGACAAGACTCACTGCAGCACTGCAAATGAGTAAAATAAGTGAGGGTACAGTCCAGTACAGTGCTGCTGGAGAGTGCGTGCCCCAGTCGTCAGGAAGACTGCCATGAGCGGCGTGGTTGTTGAAGTCGTACTACGGACTCACTTGATCACTTTCTCCACATCCGCATCGCATCCCTTCACCACCGTGAGCTCTCAGCCTTCCTGACATACCATACTTTGTTTTACCCCTCCTCTCTCACTCTTATCCCATCCTTCCTCTTCATCTCATCTCCTCTTCTTTCTTCCATCGTCATCATCATCAACACCATCACCACTTTTCGCTTCGCATCGCAATCCGAGACAGAGCCATGCGACATCGCACTTCGCTCACCTTCCTGTCCCCACTTCTCTCATAAGGGCATTGCTACCCAACAACTTGTACGACAATCAGGCTGAAGGACAACGCAGCAGCAGCGACGAAAAAAAAAATACTACGTGCGAGCAGGACCTCTTGTACCTTTTTTGCCTCCCTCTCCTCCTCTTTTCTTCCCTGCTTGGTCAGCGTGGGTGCCGTACCTACCCAACCCAACCTACCCTACCCAGCCAAGCATCACGTCGAATCTCCTCAACCGCAGCTAGACGCGCTGCTGCTGCTGCTGCTGCACTGGGAGTCAGTGGAGCGTCAGAGGCCGAGTACACAACTGACCCAGAATTAACTCCTCTTTCTATTCTCGTGGCGGTCTCTCTACCTTCCACCTTGACCTTCCAGAAAGAAGCAGGGTCGTCTGCTGTCTTGCTGTCCTGGTCACGTCTTCTGATCCATCTTCAACGCATCCTGTGCTTCCTCTGGACGTCGGTGGCCGAAATACGTACCAGAAAGGGAGAGGAGAAGAGAGTGAGGAGTCGCAGCCCAGCCAGCGAGGATCAACAAGAGAAACCAAGGACCAGTCAGTATCGACAGAGAGAGAGAGAAGGGAAAGAAAAAAAACCTCGTCGCAGTTTGACGGGGGCCAGCATCGACATCGACTCCACTCCCGTCCATTCGCCTCTTTCCTATCCACTCGCATATCATCTCCTGCACGCTCTTTGCTCCCGCAGTTCCATTTCCTCGCTTGCCAGCCCAGCCCAGCGCCAGCACCCAAAAAGGTCTGAGCTCCCCCATATATTTTTAATTTTCCTCGTCTGCCCGAAAAACCATCCCACCACACCTAAAAAGGCATCCCTCCCCAAACATCCGCAACCCTCAGGTAATCCCCACCTGAGTATATCTTCGACCCCTCGTCGCCGCGACAGGTCTCGCGACGCCGTGTCGACGCATTCATCCCGTCGCATACGGAGACAGAAGTAGAGCAGAGCAGCAGCAATGGGATCCGACAAGGCCCGGCCCGCCTATGTGGAGGAGGAGGACGAGACGTCGGGAAAGGCCGTGCGAGGAACCAGGCGTAGCGCCGTCTCTAGAGAGAAGCCAAAAGTATCGCACAAGGAAACGAGGACAGGCAAGAGCAGGAGAGAATCGGCGTATCCTGCAGAGCAGAGTACCAATCTTGCGCAACATATCGAAGTCAGCAACAAAGATAAGGCAGTGAAACTCGAGCGACGCGGTTCGACGAGCAGCAGTACCAAGTCGCCTCGGAAGTCCAACAGGCCTCCGTCCGCTCATGGCAATCGTGCCTTCCCTCCGCTTTCGATACCAAATAGCTCGACGAGACCAGAGTCGACTTATTATGGAATTCCATCGCCTGCCGTTCAAACACCTGGCGGATCGCATAATCTTGCAATCCGACCACGAGCGCAGACGTCGCAAACATATCCAAGACCGAGCAGCTATTACTCGGCCTCAACTTCTCAGGGAAGTGCTGGTCCTCCACTCTCATATTCAGCATTCTATCAAACAAATCCTATCATGAATCCTTCCTACCCTCCCCCTTCCCCCTCATCATCCTACATGCGATACGCCGCAACACCACAGCCATCACAACCCCAATATTCCGTCGCCCCATCTTATCAGGTTGCTGGCGGCGCGGATTATTTTACACCACACGCCATGTCCCGACCATTGGCTTCACGATTTGATCCCATCGCTCGCACTCAGTCTGCCATGGACACTGTCCCTCGAACCAGCTCGGCTTTTGGGACTCGAGATATGAACCCTCGGCCCATTCATGAGAGCTATAGTTACGAGCCACCAGGTGGAAGTTATTATGATGATGGCTATACATCTGCGAATGAAGTTGCTACAATTCGGAGGAAAGATAGAAGGGGTAGCATTCGTGTTCCACCTGCTCAGTCAACTTACAGCAAAGCGGATCATGATTCAATTACTATGCCACCACCCACAACTCGTCCAGGGATCCTTCGAAGGACGACTGCTGATTACTCTCTCGAGCCAGCTCAAGATTTGGAGTATCGCGATACTCGGACACAATATCGCGAGGAGCCAAGGCCACGTCGGCCCAGCATTAATCGACACTCTGTTTCGTATGATCTCGACAGGGGATCTGAGGGGGTGAGACTTGAGCCAGCCAACACTGGTCGGAGGAGACAGAGCTGGTATGATCAAGGAGCATCTTCTGGAACAGGCGCCTCTAGCGCGTACGAGGACAAATTGAATTCAGCTGCCAACTACCAAGAGGATGTCGGTGGACCCACAGTGCCTCTCACGGCCGAAGTCTTGAGGCGACAACAGAGAAGAGAAGCTGGCAGCAGCAGAAGCACTAAGAGCAGTGCTAGTCGGGATGAGAGCGATTACAAAAAATCCGCGACGACTCGGACAACGAGAAGTGGAAGCGGAGGAGATGATGAGAATGTGACGATCAAGGTCACAGGTCAAGCTCGCGTTATGGTCGGCGGAGCTCAGATCGACTGCACGGATGGTGGAGCCATCGAAATCAAGCGAAATCAACGCCTTGGAAGGACCGGGAGCGAGCGATCCAATTCAGAGTATGGGGAGAACAGACGTATCGAAGACCGTCAAAGCCGTGTCACCCGGCCATCCGCACGCTCAAGGATGAGCTCGCAATCAGCGCAATCGTATACTCGGTCACCACAGTATCCTCCTATGGATAACTATATTTGATAGCATTTCCTTTGCAAGCGATATTTGATGTTTATCTATTTGACGTTTTTCATGCATATGGTCTTCGGGCAGGATCACCTCGTTACTTCAATTCTCCTTTTTCTCTGTGCAATTATCTGGGCGGCTTTTGCTTTCTCCCCCTTTTTTCAAAAGTCTAAAAAGAGGAAAAGTTTGATACCCCCCAAAAGAGCACTTCGAGATAATCCTTTTCCTTCTGCTTCTATTATTTTTTATCATCAGAGGAAATTTGTCTGTTTCGATACGATTTGTATGACTGTATGAATTATGATGGATACCTTAGCATGATTATCCACGTATGTTACCTATTGAACTTTTGGGGGACAAATTGGACTGTTGGCTCGCTTTTTGGAAATTGAAAGACATGCGAATTTGCTAGCAATGGCATGGGATTTTTCTTCCTTTTTATATTTAAGCAGCTCTGTGCGGCTATATCAAATATTCGCATGGAATGGCGTAAATGTTTGGAGCATAGAATATCTGTACAGGAAATTTTTAATGTGCAGGTTGTATGCTTTTTTGGGATGAAGGGATGGATGGATGGAGGGGGGGGACGGAGGGAGATTTTATCAAGATTGATAGGAGGGAGTATTCGCGTGGGTAGCAACGATAGGAGGGATCGGGAAGATCGGGAGGGTCGGATGGATAGTTTACAATGAAAATTATGATGCCAATCAATCTGTTACCATGAGATGTGATGTGATACTTAAACGTGTATCGTACTGACTGGCACTGGGAGGCGAGGATGGAGGGGTAAAGGAGGCGAAGCACGTGAAATCCTGACCCCTGTAAATTTGTGGTTGCTATGCAGACGATGTTGATTTTTAGCGCGCATCCCGCCAGCCATCGACTTTCCCAACCTCGCGCTTTCCAAGGAATAGCAAACATACTCGTCATAGTACGAGTTACCTTTTCTTTCTTCACACATACACCATCCATCAAACATTCACGACTTCACAAAGTTACCTGAGAGAAACGTAACTACGAAGGTATCGAACGGCACGGCAGACACGCACGCAATCTGTTGACGGCTGGTCCACACATTCCAGACAGTGACGGCCCGTCACTTCTGCAGCATCTACATTCTTCGCAATGGCGCCTCTTCCAGCCTCGACCATCAAATCCTACCTCTCCTCTCTCCTCCGCCGCACAGCTTCACCATCCGCAGACCTAGACCTCGCTGCCGTACAAGCACGCACCATCCTCCCGCGCTCCAGCACCAACCCCGTCGCCGGCGTAGGCGTCACTCCGCCCGACAGCATCCCCAACAAACTCGTCTTCGTAGTCTTTGGCCTCATCGGCTTCGGGTTCGTCGTCACGGGCATCTGGTTCTTTTTCTGGGCCAAGAACGGCGGGTTCCATTTCAAGCAGAATGATTGGGAGGACTACAAGACGACTGTGTTGCGGAGAAGAGGCCCGAATGGAACGCTGTTGAGTGGTGCGAGTGAGAGTACGGATCTTGGGGGTGGTAGTGTGGTGCATGGTGAGAAGAGGAGTAGGTGGGGGAGGAGTAGTAAGGGGAAGGTGAAGAAGAATGAGATGCGGTATAAGGATTTTGATGACGAGGAGAGTCAGGTTACGAGTAGTCTGGGTACGAGCACGGTTGGGACTGAGAGCGAAGTCTCTGCCTTTAAGAAGAAGATGAGGAAGGGACGAAAGGATAAGAAGAAGGATAAGAGCGCGATGAGCGAAGTCGGTACCGTGGATGGAGACATGGATGCCAGTGTCGCAGACGCCATCCGCGAATACCGCCACGAGAAACCTGCTCGTGTAGGAGGTATTAACAAGCAACCCGATGGCAGCTCATGGGATGGTTCCAACGAAGCTGCGTCCGAACTACTCTCTCACCGCGAGAAGACTCCTACCAATACCCCAACCAAAGTCCGCAAGGAACGCAAAGACACTTATACAGGCGGTACAGGCGGAATCCGTAAAGTAGTCAGTACCAGCACACCCAGCGGCGACATTGGTGTCCGAACCAGAGAAAGCACACACACCCAAACTAAATCCATCGAAGAAGACCGCATCAAAGCCGAAGCCCGCAAACTGCAAGAGAAAGGCCGTGCAGCAACGTCTCAAAAACGCGATTTTAGCTTCCAGGCCGGAGACGATAATAGTACCGTCACTGGCGGCTCAAGTGCTGCTTCAGAAGCTACCGCTAGACGCGAGAGAAGAGAGGAGAGAGAGAGGAGACGTCAGAGCAGGAGTCCGACGAAGAAGATGCCGGGCAGCTATCATGAGGTGGCCACGAGTGAGGTGGGATCCACCGAGACGAGCAGTGAGGTTGGCACGAAGAGCTATCATCATGTTATTCCTGGACTGAGCTCGACGGCTGGAAGTGAGTACGCAGAGGAGAGGAGGCGGAAGAGGAACGGGGGGTATAGGCGTGGGAGGACGGATAGTGATGGGGAGTAGGTTGTGGCTTTGGACTTGGGATGTGAGATGTGATATGATATGATTGGCGGCATGGCGTGCGATTAATGGATTGTTGGAGTTTTGCGTTTTTTGTACGTATGTATGGATGGATGTGTGGATGGGTAGATTGGGGTAGTAAAATGCATATACGATTCCCCTGATATGTTTGCTATTCTTTAGACCGTGACTTGATATTTTGTCGAAAGAACATCCTCTCCCATGACGAAAAGGAAGGGATGTTGCTGTGACTGGTAATTATGAGCACTACCTCTCTCCCACTTTGTTCCAATTTCCCTAGTCTCGCTGCTGTGCTGCCCTTTCAAGAAAGTGACGAATAGGTAAGTCCTGTTTTTTATTTGGTACTTAGGTTTGAGTCCCGCGTTGAGTCTTGTAGTGTGATTCATTCGTTCATCCACATACAATAGTCGGGTTTTCTACCTAGCTAGCTCCTCGTTGCTTAAAGTCAGTCACCCAGTTATTTTCATCAATTGCTTTCCTTCGCATGCTTCTTCAAACCTTACTCTTGTTGATCATTCATCCCCGAGCCAAACAGGCCATTTGAAAGTTAAAATAGAGAATGGAGAGGGGTTATAAGTTGTCCACCAGCCTTTGGCAACAATCAGGTGAGCGGAGTTCTGAATCGAGTTACAACTGCCACGCCTACATAGATGTCCTATATATCTACTTATTCCAAAGCCCTCTCTAAACTAAAGAACTAAAAAATCATATCTATACAAGAAAAAATCCTAATACAGCTTTATCTCAGGCCCTAAGTCCAATTCAAGAGGCGGGAGGAACGATATCTCATCCAAGTCGTTGCTGGTGGAGTCTACTGCTGATTTCGGTGTTTGTAACGTTGTTGGTGGTGGTGGTGGAATCTTCTCCTTGCCGAATATACCACTCCATCTCTTCCTCCCCCCTTCTTGTTCATTGCTGCTAGAACCGCTCTTCCTCTTACCCTTCTTCTCATTAACAGATAGTCCTCCCATCGCAGCACTCAATCCTGTTTCTTCTTCTTCCACTTCCTTCCCTTTCCGCTTCTTCTGTCCACTCTCCTGGGTCTTCTCACCCGACCCCCTATCCCTCAACCTCAACGCCAACCCATCAAACCACGACGCACGGCGCGGCGGCGGCGGCGATCGCGAATCTATCTTCGCGCTGAGGAATCTCGGACTAGCTCCCCCCTCCATACTTCGGCTTTGAAAAGCTAGCCTCGCCTCGTTCGCGGCTCTCATGTTTGCAACGCGTGCTCTGAACTCTAGGTCTTGCTCTGTCACAGGTGGTCTGGCTGAGAATTGTTCTCGAGCAGCGATCTCTTGATCAAGCTCGAATTGCAGGAGTGCGGCTTCGTAGGAAAGGTCGCGAGGCGTGTCGTCTGAGATTGTGGGGTCGTAGGGGGAGGGGTCGCTGTTGTAGGGGTTGTTGTATATTGAGGGTAGTGTTTCGGTTCTGGGTTCTGGTGCCGGTCGGCTATAGGTGCTGCGGGGAGTTTCTGCGGTTGGATTGATGGGAGTATACTGGGGTCGGCTGGTTGTTGGCGGTTCTTTGGGTTGTGCGGGTTTCCTGAGGAAGGCGAATGCGGCTTTCTGGAGGGTGGTGCGGGATTTCTTGGTAAGGGGTGGTGAGGTGTTGGTAATTGCGGGGTTGAGGACGGTTTCTGGGAGCGCTATTTGCGTGATTTCTTCTTGTCTGGGGAGTCTTGGGGCGTAGTCGAAGTCTTCGATTGTGGGGTCGTATTCTGAGGGGTGGTGGAATACGTATTGGGTGGGGGGTTGGAATTTGGATGAGGTGTCTAGAGAAGATTGTTCGTTGGGAAGTGTTGCTTGTGGTTGTAAGAGAACCTGAGGAGGGGGGAGATCTTTTGAGGGGGTCGAGAGCATGTGATGGAGGGGCTCGTTTCTGGTTGGATTTCGTTTCTTTCTTAGATCGCTGAGGGAAGTTAAGACTCCCTTCTTTCGAGCGAGTTCTGCTTTTCGGTCTTCGGGTATCGGGATGGGTGCGGTCGTGTTAGTCACCATAGGGCTATGGTAGATCTCTGGCACGAGTGATCGTGTTGCGGTGGTGTTTAGATCCTGAGTATAAGAACTGTCTTCTATTGTAGGATCGTAAGTAACCTGCGAGGGTTGGTTATATGACCATCCTTGGAACTGGTTTTGCATTGTCTGTGAAAGGACTTGAGGGAAGGATGGAGATGGAAGTTCTCCATATTCTCCGCAGAATTCGGTATCGAAATGCTGAGTATCATTGAGATTGCCTCTGCGATATTGAGTCGGGTAAGAGGATTGCCATAATCTTAAGTCTTCTCCTCGCTTGAAATGCCCTTCGATGAGATGTCCCGCTCTCTCGTCCCATGTTTCGAAAAGAATGCTGCAAAAGCCACATTGCCTAGGCCAACCATTGTCAACTTGAAATGTGCAATTTGTTGCTTGTGACATAGCAGAGCCGGGCGGGATGGAGTGGTCTTTTTGTAGATGCTCGCTAAGCTTGTCCTTTCTCGCAAAAGTACGGCCATTTCTTCGTGCAGATTCACATTGTAGGTAATGTGACTGAGTCTCCACTGTAGCGAGCATGGATAGACAGAACGAGCACTTTGATAAGCCTGAGTTCCCAGCCGAATTCGGACATTGAATGCACATGTAGCGTTTCTGAGGCCAGTGAGTCTCTTCGTGGCGTCTCCAGTCCATGGCCGAGCTGGTTGAGTATTTGCATTTTGCCTTGGTGCAGTGGTAAATTTTCTCGTAAGGTTCGTTCTTCCCAGCACTCTTCTTCGTGCCTTTCTTTCGTGGTCGACCCAAAGAGGATGGAACTGGTGTCGTGATCTCAATATGGAGCTGTTGATTGGCCGATTCATTCTCAATCAGCGTCTTTAATTCCTTAAATAAGACCGATGCCTTCCATTTGAATTCCGAAGACGTCTTCTCATCACCATGGAGAGCTACCTCCAATTGATCGATGAGGATTTCGGGACGGAGAGTCTTATTAGCATTGGAGGCTGTCTTGCTGATTCCGGAGTTTTTGGTCGCCTTATGCTGTCTCTGCGGCGATCTTGAAGAAGATGAGGTGGACGGTGAGCGCACGCTAACATCTGTCGAGATCGTCACAGATGAGACGAGGTTCTGGTCATCAGAAGCATTGGTAGTGGGATTGAATTCGGAGCCGCTACTTTCTTGAGCCAAGAACAAATCTTGACACTCAGTGCAGAAGCATATCATAGAATAGCCCTCAGCATCCTTGAAGCCTCGTAGACAAGTAGACTCTGCGCTTACTACTAGCTAGTCAGCTTTCTGAAGCTCGTGATGTAAGACAAGATATGAGATTCTCACAGCTGGGAGATGGAGGTAATTCGCGGCTTGGAGCAGAAGGACTCCAGAACGAATTACCTGCACCCAGTTTCCTCTTCAACCCACTTGATGTTGGGTTAGAAATAGCAATGGAAGGATTACCCCAGACGGTGCCTGTCGAAGCGATCTCAAAATCTGCGTGGGCGACCTCCATCTTCAATCAAAGCCCGGTCTCGTGCATCGCAACAAATCTCAACATCGCGGTGGTAACAACAACAGAAACAAGAAACCTCGAACATGATAAGAAATGAGAACATCGCTGGCACAGAAATAGAAGTCATGTTGGAGGATCGCAATGCTGGGGGCGGGCTGCATGGGGTAGAAAGCTGCCTTGCCCTTCAGAAGGGCAACCAATCGGCTAATGAACCTTGTTTGAGGATCATTACAGCTGCACCAGGATCGTACATCAGAGAGATACTTGAAAGTATGTCGTACAGTAGAAGGATAATGCCTCACGTCGGATTGTGGAGATATAGCATCAGGAAAATGATTTGGCAGAGCACGCCTATGAGATCCAAGTGTTGAAGTAAAGAAAGGCAAAGCTAAAAAAATAAGGGCCCGGGAATGGCTGCACAATTGCGCTTTGAGCGACATGATTAAACTCCGGAAACTCTCTGTCTTTGATAATACAGCTTGTATCAGCGATGGACAGCAATAAATGACTGGGAATTCTTATATTAAATCAATGATCGATAGAAATAGAGTTAAGATGACGCTGCTTGTTTGTATCTTTTCAAATATCAAAAGGGCTGGACCGACGTTTTGGTGGAGGCCCGTAAAACATTAATAGCCTGTTTTGTTGGCCTGTGATCCTTAAATCCTCCACAAAATCACCTTCAGGGTATTATTATGAGTGGATTTAAAGTGTAAATGTTGAACAGAGTTGAGACAGCAGTGTAGAAGCTCAGCTCAAAAGGGACTAGTGATCTGCGCATTTGGAAATTCACCAGCCCGCCGTAGATTTCATCATCCCGGTCATAATTACAGCCTCGTCTTACAAGATCAAATAATGCATCCCGAAACATCCAGCACAAGACGATAAAGCCGTCCAACACAAAATGACCCATCCCAGTCGATAGTACAGGCTTACAGAATAGTACAAAAGAAATTTTATCCTTGTGCCATGTCGGCTTCACCTCCCAATCCCCTCAGCCATAGCCAGGCTTCACAATCCCCATCCAACTCACAATCACATTCGATGACACATCAAGATGCCTCTTTGCAAACTCTTGTCTCGCATCTACTTGCAGCGAAACGCTCGTTGTCATCTATAAGCACTGTGTGGAGGGCGAATGAGATAGTAACATCCGCTCGGTCTGCATTGGAGGAAAGCGTAGTTCTGAGTGCTAGAACAGGCTTTCTGCGAAGCGGCATATCGGAGCAGGTGAAGATATTGAGGAGAGTAAGAGGTGGTATTGAGACTATGTATAAAGATGGGCAACGAGATTTCAAGGTACGAAATTCCATCAAGTAGTCGTGGCAGGACTGATTATGTTAGGGCGTCATACGGACATTGGATGCAGCGAACTCGAGGCTGGAATCGACGATGGAAATTCTACGAGGTACAATGGTAGAGGCAGCTTTCAGGCCCGATGAAGAGGCACCCCGAAGCTTACTCGACTTTGTGGATGAACAAGGAGTCGAAACTATGAGAGATGCTCTTAAAGAGTCCATCAGAGAGTCGAAGGTATTAGAGCTTCCCCATGGTCTCAATGTAAAGCTAATTTATCTGCAGGATGCACAAACCGAGTTCGACTCCTCGATTCTTTCCTTTGATGACGACCTCCGAGCTCTGAAAGCTGCGATGAAAGCCTCACCCCAACCGAGTGCCTCCCAGTCCCACAACGATTTCTCTTCTCCGATACCTACACTTCTGCATACCCTCGAGATCAATGCCCAGGAAATGGCAGGTCTTCTGGATTCCCTTGTCTCGCATTTCGACCTTTGTGTAAATGCAGTCAGGCATACAGAAGGTGGTTATGCAGCAGTCCGTAAGGCAGCCTCGTCTCAGCCGCCTGGTGCAGAAGTTGTCTCTGTGTCTGGAGTCATGAATACAGAACATGATACTTCGATGGACGAGCCTATATCAGACGAAGAGAGGGCAGAGATGCTTGATGTGCTGGAGAAAGATGCAGCTCAGGTAGACGAGGTTGTGATGGAGCTTAGAGAATACCTAAACGACATGGAAACCAAACATGAGGCAATCCTCGAGCACGTTTCTGTTCTTACAACAACCAATAACGAGACAACAGCGGCTTATCACATGCTAGAAGCAGTCGGAACCCGCCTATCGAACTATATCATCGCTAGTCAGGAGTTCCGAATGCGATGGGAGGACATCAAAAGCAACATCCACGAACAGCTTGCAGAGCTTGAATCCATGCGAATGTTCTACGAAAACTATTTCAATTCATATGATGGACTTCTTCTGGAGGTACATAGACGGAAGAATTGTGAAGATAAAGTCAAAGCAATCATGCGCAAAGCTATGGAACAAGTTGAGAAGGTCTATGAGGCCGATATGAAAGAGAGAGAAGGCTTCAGAGTCGATGTTGGGGATTATCTGCCCGTCGATCTGTGGCCTGATGTAAATGCTGCTGCTCCAAAGTGGAAGTTCGCCATTGCAGATGGTGAAGATGGGAAGCAGGGTATAGTACCAGATCTAGACCGAGCTATCGTTGAGGCAGCATCAAGAAGAGAGAAAGAGAGGCGTCGTGGAGAGCGATGATCTTGGATGTATTGGCGTTATACTGAAAGAATATAGATACCCACGCATATAAAGCTATGTTTTATACGTTACTTCTCATCCTGCTTCCTTTTTTATCCTTCTTCACAACAGTAGTAGACTCGCTCCCATCCTATCCCAAGGGGCTCCCAGACTCATACAGATCATCTTACTCCCGAGCTCGTCTGCGTATTCCCCAAGAACGTCGCCGAAACAGCACAATACCTACAGTACTTCACGTCAGCATCCATCTTCCTAAAATCGAAGCCGAAGAACTCACGCAGCAGTCCCCACCAAGATCTCCTGCACCCTGGCACCAGAAAAGAGCGTCATCAAAGCCGAGAACACAAACACGGAGATCAATACAGTGGCAGAGATCCAAGCGCGGGTTTCAGGGATCCAGAGAAGGATGAAGATTGGGACTACCAGAATCGCGACAGCGAAGAGCACGCTGATCAGTTTTGTGAATGTGGTTACGGCGGATTTGGAGTAGTGGTCTATTGTTCCGTTTGATTTTGGGGAGAGGAAGAGGCGCTATGGAGTTGTTAACAGGGAGAGATTTCCCGGGAACAATGTGAGGAGGTTGGGCATACCTTGAGGAATGAGTTCAAGATAGAGTATTCGAACTGATCCGTTTTGGAAAGTGGGACGAAATCAGTTGCGTGGAAGATCCAGTTGTACTGGCCAGCCCCGAGAGGTTTTTCTCGGCATATCCAGTGATAAACGCTGAGATGGTCGTTTTGTTTTGCGTGTCCTATTTCACGAAGTTTCTGGTCGTTCAGCAGTAATTGGTCTAGTCGTTAGTCTGATGGTTGACGTGGAATAAGTCGGCGATGCCGGAAAGCGGCCACTTACCATAGACGAGAAGTTTCTCTTGCAACTTCTTCAGCAGAATTTTCTGAGCTGCATCGGAAAGATCCCTATTTTCTTCAATGTCTGCCATTTGAAGTCTCCATGTTCTATCGGGATGCTTGGCATCCTCGCTGTCGAGGTTTGTTAGTTCTTGCTCGAGGAGTTGTATTTCAGCCTGCAGCTGAACTAGGACTCGGCAGTGGGTCATCCCAAATCGCCTGAAGATTGCAAAGTTATCTTCGCTGTGGAGGAATGCTGCTAATTGTGGCCAACCAGCTGGGTATTCCTCGATTGATGCTGGGTGCTGATTAGAAGCCTTTTCGAGGAAAAGCCGACCTGGGACGACATACGGCGCTGGGTTTGGAGAAGAGAGTATAGCTCTCGGAGATTCTTCTGCTCGGCCTTCTTCTCGTTGTGTTAATTCCTCAACTGAGCTGCTATTGTCATTGGGGATAAGAAGGAAACAATATGGAGGAGGAAGGCTCCCAATGCAGTCAATGATATTGATCTTTTGTCTGAGATTGCCGTGAGTGTTGGAACCCGGTACAGAACAGAGTCTAGTATTCTCACTGGATTCTAACCCTTGCCGTTGGTCTTTCTGAATTGTATCAGACCTGGCAGATGCCGAAGAATCGAGGATGGTGCTTGACCACGATCCTGATGAGGCTAGTACAGCCTTCTCGATGTCAGACTCTTGGAGACCATTTTCCCCAACGGAACTTGTATTTATTCTCTCGTTCATAATCATAAAGAAAATTCTGTATCAAATTGCAATTCAAGGCAAATGAATCGTAACATGGAAAGGAATGTGGAACAGAACAAGACATCTCTAAGACCAAAACTGAGCCTCACCTGAATCTTGGCTGCTTCGTCGGCACTCAAAGGCATCAAAATTCTCACATGGCTCTGCTAAAAGATCAAAGCCTGATACGAGGCTCTCTTGATGGTGTTCTGGGAAAAATTGCACATGGAGTGGAAAGGGAAATGTAAGGCGGACGGGCAAAAAAAGAATTTCATGGAGCACATTTGGGACATACATCAGGCTAGGCGATGCACCTCGCTCGCCAACCGACCTCAGAGTCTGCATATCTATCCCATATTGAAGTACCTGCGGCCTCGGTGTCATCAAACAAGGCTACGCCTTATTTCTGTCAACATCTCTTAACTTGCCCATATACCTGTATCTTCATTACGCTGGTGCGTGAACTGTCCGCAAGCGACTTCATCCGCTTGCTCGAGAAACCAACACAGGCTAGCTTGGATGACTGGATCTTTCGAGGAGATCGGAGTGTATGGCCCGCTGTTGGGGTGTTGAAAGTTCGATGTGCTATTGAGACAGAATTTGATCGGGGATATCAAATGGTCAGAAGGAGGAAAGCAGGCGGCTTGAGAAGAAGAGGCGGTGCAGATGAGTATGCCAATGATAGAAAGCGAGGAAGAAAACGTGCTGGTGCGCCATATCCCAAACGCACGCGAGATGAGATGAGAAATTGGTCCTGCTCAGAGAGAATTTCGCCAAACGATTACAAAAGATTGGTATCGCTAGAAACATGCTCAATTCCACAAGATAAACATAAACACTCCAGAAAATTGGCGAGGTAATTTTTCCCGCCGATCAGAGCCATACCAGCCAAGTCTCAATATCAGTCACCAACAGGAATACTTCAATTTTACACTTGCAAGCCGATCAAGTAGCGCGTCCGTACGAACATTCCAACACAAAAGTGATCCATCTTCAAGAAATTACGATCAACATCGCTGGAACTCTGGCGTCCGATTTGCATACCGTATTGCCTTCCCGCACCATGGCTGTGAAGCCTCGGCAGGTTGGCTGTGATGGCGACAAGTTCAATTATAAATGGAATTCGTTGTCAGAAGAGACTCAGACATCGAAAAATAGCCCGTATTGTAAACTCTACTTACCAAGACCATGTTAGTATTATTATAACGACAAGATGGTCGACATGTGCATCGGCGAGAAGAGAACACCACCATTCCACCAGAACATGGCTATGGTAGCCGGGCCACAGGTCCCTAACCAAGCCTCGGTGAGCAAGTGCCTTCCTTAGTGCCCTCCTCATGGAGTTTGGCGTGGAGTTTGAATGCCCCTTGTCATGCAGGCGCTCCTCATCACTGGCTATCACACATCCATCGTCGATCGAGATAGAAAACAGGGCGTTTGAGCTACCAATGAAATGTTTGGGGAACCAGCTCGCTACGCTACCGCAGATTCTTACGGCCTGGTTGCACCGTCAGAAACCTCCACGCCCTCTTTCCAGTTCGCCTTCTTTCCTCACGACGTTTGACTGCAGCTTCGTCATGCCATCCTACCACCATCCTTCTTTCATTTAGTATCGGATCTGCGATCATCCTACATTTTTTATCCTGCCAGTCTGCTTTCCCACGAAATACTCGTGGACCAGACGATGCGACGTCTTGCATGGCCAGCATGTTGCTCTCTCCCACCAAAGAAAACATAGTGAACAAAGAGAGCAACACTCCACTTGATATATCATCGTGCACATCCGTCTCGATCATGATCCGATATATCGACTTGGAGAAATGAGTCTGCCAGCGACAATCAACATACTGCCACACGACAACCATGACCGAGAGACAACGTACCATTCAAAGCAAAGTGCAGGAACTGCGATGACTTGCTTTCCAGCGACCATTCGATGGCGCCGAGAAACGATCTTTATTTGCAAAGTTGTACCAATCCGGAGCGACACTCAATCCGCGAATCCGCGAAGGCCTCTCTGAAGATATACTTCGCATATGGCCATCGGATCGCCATGAAATGGAATGGAAGCGGAAAATAATGCAATCACACTCATAGCGAAGACTATTTCGTGCTGTCTGCATCATTATTTGACCAGTTATTCTTCGGCTTCCTTGCAGACAAGTCGGGGAGACGAAAGCTCTATGGATTGGAATTGATCACAGTCATTTTTGGCACACTCGGCCTAGCTCAACTTCGGATGGTTGTCAACAACATCATGAGCATCTTGCTGCTCGATGCAAGACTGCTTGGTTCATGCTCCAGCTGAACTTGCTTTGCTGTGTGGGCTCGACAACAAATACAGGTTCGTACCATTGGTTGGCCGAGGCTGTTGCGAACGATCAATTTTCGGCGTGAACCAGACCAACATGTTATGAGAATAGCTCGACGATACGAAATGTGGCATCACCGACCTACAGATGATACCATGATACTAGGGAACACATTCGACTTGCGGGTATCTTATTTAGCCATACATCCAGTCGTCGTTGACTGCAGTTCTCGATAACTTGGCAGACCTCATTCCGGAGGCACGAAGTCTTGCGACCATGGAGGCCGTATCGCCTCCAAACTTCAGTCCCTTCTTTGTTCAGGGAAAGTCGAATTTATCACCGTGGGCGAATTTCAGGTCATCAAACAGCCCCAGTAAGCTTGCTTCTCTCTGGAATTCCTGTGCTGTTCAGTGAAAGCTCTGGCGCGAGGAGCTGTCTCAGGTGTCAAGACGAGGGGAAGTCGGCGAAGCACTGAGCTCTCGAGACTACTTATTCACTTACCGCAGATATATCCCTTTTCGATTCAGCCTTTCGCCTCGCGGTCAAGATCAACTCCCTTGGAATATTCGACTCGACGCCAACGATTCTACTACGTTCCACTCGAACTCCTCACCTCTCCTACAACACAACGACTTCGAAATACATGGCTTGTAAATCGAGGGCAAGATGGCTTGCAGCTGGTCGAAGTTACGGCATTACATCACTCGACGACACGGAGAGCAAGATTGCCTTCCATATCCGCCGCTCATACTGCGAATCTCGAAGTTGCACTCGAATCACGCGTGTGGTTTGATTGACTGAGAGCTTGATCACCGATTTTGCTTCGCATTTCTCGAAATTCGGGGATAGCTTCAGAAATGCACATGTGGCTCTGTGCCCCGCCTAATCCTGTCACGCATTCGATCGACACCTTTGGTTCCTACTGCCCGCCCAAGCTATCAACACGTGATGCCTAAAGTCCTCAGCGTGAGCTTGGCTGAGGGGCATCGCGCAGTTGATGAAGACGCTCTACTACTCATGCAGAAAGCGTAGTTGCATTATTAGAGCATAGGTCGAGGGGTAGGGTTTTGCAGGAGGCTGTCAAGCCGATGATGGCAGTGTTGATGCAAACACCGCACGACTACGAACTGTTCAAACTCGTCGGCAACTGTGATCCTTTTTTTCTTTTTTGACAGAAGTGATCGATGTTAGTCCTGCTATAGACACAATTCTTCGAGCATTTCAGTCACCAGAGAGAGAGCTCTATTACTGTATCTAGCATCCATGGCGAGCCAGATCTTGAGCCGCGACAGGACCAGAGCTCTCTGCAGCTCCTCGCTAACGACGACGAGAACACGGAACCTCTGGAGTGAGCAGCAGTTGTCCAGCACCAGGAATCAAATCTCTTACAACGCATACGAAGCATCCACAAGCAAGCAATAATACCCGAGTCCGAGATGGAAATGCCAGCAACTTTTAGGACCCGTGCAGTATTTGTCCAATTTGCGACTTACCGCGATCTGTGTTGCTTCAAGCCTTCGCACGACACCATTCAGGAGATTGTTTCCATCCTGCAAACTCAGGAGGTCGAGACGTTGGCTGAGTTGCACGGTGTGGTGAAACCACCCTCTGGTCCATTGAAACCGGTATGAGCTTCATTTCAGCTGTCTTTTACCCGTACTGACGTCCTTCCTTCTCAGGACCCTCAACCGATTCCTCCTCCGAAATCTACATCGAATTCGAACCCGATTATAGGCGATCCGAACGCACATCTAGGTGGAATGGCAGGGCGGCAGATGGGAAGGAGGATTAGGAGATTCGTACTCGTGCGAAATAGCAATCTTCTGCTGACCACTTGACCAATGCTATCTACGACTCGAAACCTTGCGGGCAATATGCTGAGATCGATTCAGCAACCCGAGGAATAAAATGGATATACTGGGATCTTTGCCAGGTGGAAAAGAGGATAAATAGACATGATGGAATGGCAATTTGGGGATGGGACACATAAGGTTGGTATAGCAGGGATTCGGTGGTGCTTGAATTGCGGAATGCTCTCTCGATGGGCTTTTGGGGCTGGGTCCATAAGTGTATAGAGCTTGGGTGTTTCATAGATATCATAGCTCTACTTTTTGGAAGCAATTCGGTTTGCAAGGAAGAATTGAAGACGTCCCTTACCTGCTTAATAGTACTTCCAAATTGTCCATGAAAAGGTCTCTCAAATAAACTGTTTAAAGGGTGCATTCTATAATCAATACACAAATATAACCGAGCAAAGAAAAGGGGTTCGGTTCGCTTGCTATTCTGAGAATTCGGCAGAGCACGTTAGGCTACCACCTTCAAGCCTCAGGACTATGCTGCAGGTGATGCCTTCTGTTTCATGATAAGAATACTCTCGTGTTCCTTTGATCAAGGGCGTGTCAGCAAGTGTATCTGGTCAAGGATTCAAGTTGGTTTAGCAGAACATGTTCTAACCGAAAAATCGGCTAAAGTATTCATTATCTGACTCGTTGCATGGCCTTTCGTACACTCTGCTCTTGATAATGCCGTTGTTTCTGAACATTGTTCATCCCTTGTCATTATTGCCGGGAAGTTATGTCATGGGGACGTCGAGCAATCTTGAGGATTCTCGTGCTGGTAGGGTGAAACATGAAATATCTGAAAAATGAACATTTTCCTGGCGATGATAGGCAGAGGGTAGCAAGTGGGACACAACATGCCATTTTATCCAGATTAAGCTTCATTCAGTTAATGTTTTGGTACCGTTGTGTTCTAGCGTTTATGGTAAGGCTGAGAAAATAGCCCCGCCAAAATGCGGGGTCGAGATTTTGCACTCAAGGACAATTCAGCAACTAGATGTACATCATATTCTCCCGAGCATCGAGGATGGCATTAATCGTTTGTGAAATCTCGTTTACACGGAGTTTTGTGAGTTTTCAATGATTGGTGTTGTGGTACTCTTCAAGTGATTTGTGGATGTTTTGGAAGCTATACGACATACGCAAGGAGCCGAAATGAAATAGATACCGTGCTAACGTGCCACACACACACACACACATCTTTCCCTATCTGTCATTTCTTCCTAGAGACTATCTTGTGTTCAGGTAGCCGCGCTACTAATGGACAAACTCTTTGCTGTTTGTCCTGTACGTACTAGCGGACAATCCAAATTTAAAAGCTGTTACACACTTCTGCTCTTTCCAAATACAACTACTTTACATCAGGCTCTTTAATCCTACCTGAATATCCACTCGAGATGTCCATCATCTTCCACTCCGACCCGAATTCTCTTCCCGCTACAATCTTGATTTTTGCTCCTAACACGAGATGACCTAGGCATCGACCAAGGTTCTCGATATCTGAAGTAAGATTCCCCTCATTTCTTGCAACTTCTTCCAAATCATCGATCGCAATGATTAAAACATACTGTTTCATTCCCAGTTTTCACGCTAGCCGTCGCTCAAGAACCTTCTTTAGACGAGCTGTGAGCGCAAATGGTTCTTCCTTGGATGTATAGGCGAACTTGATGCTGTTGTTCGGCCTGAATTCAATCGAATTGGAATGCTTACTGACTTGTTTCAATCAATTTAGGAAGTCGATATTTAGCCGGACGCAAGGGAGAGGTATCTGCTTCCGTTTCTGTCATGTGGTAAGATACGACGTGGTACCATTTGAGAACAGGCGGCTCTTTCCTTCTCCGCCGCATCCTCCCCATAACGGCACAAGGGCGGACTTGATGGTGAACATGAACTTTCAGATAACGTTAAAGTTGACGACTAGAGTCGATGTTGTTGTTCACAGGAGTTTTGGAGATTTTTCTTCTGAAGAAATTGCGCACTGTACTGGGACCAACGAACTTCGTGCGAGTCGTTTTGGATATTTTGCTTTCCTTCGTTTGATGGCCATTATCTTGCTTCTCCAAAGATCGATTGATGCTGTTATCGATGAGCACCACAAGTCCTGTGGACATGATAACATCGGCAATATCGATCGTGCTACTCAGGACTTGTTCGTCTGCAATCCATATTCAGCATGGTGGTACCAAATGGCCAGCCTTGTCCGCATCTCGAATTTGATCAGGCGTTCGTGTCTCAGGTACAATACCTGCGATAGCGTTGTTTATTTCTATCTTCTGGAGATGGAACGCATTATGATCAGAAAGATTGCGTCTCCATGTGTAATCGGAGCCCCAGTATTCGAATTCATAACGAACCATCATCTTCCCTCTCCGAATCAACTTTACCTGAGCATAATTACTGAATTCAAGTTGTATTGTATTCGCTGGTCCCTGTGGTGCCGACTCTGTAGAAAAAGCCGCGTCGTCTTGGTCGTCATCGTCATCTACAGTGGCTGATTCTTCAGGAACTGATTTTAAACTCGATGCTCTAGACCGAGCACTACTTACTGATGATGTCCTTCTTCGGTGGGATCTTGAATAAGCTCTCGATGCTGTCAGTACATCGCTCCATGTTGCTTGTTCGCTGGTAGACTTTTCATTAAGCTGGCGCCCACGGCCCGTGTGGCACACCTCTCGTCCAGAATGCCTTTCGTATCGCCGAACTGACAACTTTCGAGATCTTAGATCGTTTATCTTCACATGAAAGAGTGTCAATAGGATCAAGTGTCCATCTTCTTCGATCTCAGTATCGACGCGAATATTCGCATCCCCATCTATTACACTATCATTGTGACGAACAAGTAGTTTCCTTTGACTGTGGAAATACTTCGCAAAGTTCGACGGATTACTTGCTTGAGGCTTTGTTGAACCGGTCGCATTCGGTAGATTTCCTTGAGCTGAATAGTCTTGAATGGAGTCGCCATTGCATTCTGAAAACGACGTTGCGTCGTCTGATAGCTCGTCCTCACTGCTATCCGAGTCTTCATAAGTATTTTCAGATGCTCTGCAACTTTGAGAAAGAAGTCCGCCAGGATACTGATCCTCATAATCCTGAATTATCCTGTTACTAACTTGTACACACTCGTGCGACGATTTCCCATCACTCTGATCGAGGTCAAGTGAATCTGGTTCAGTTGTCACTCCAGACTCAAATGGCTTTGCCTCCTCTTCCAAAAATGAAAGACTAGCTTCCTCCGGACGCTGGCCGGTAGCATATCGCTTCGTGTAAAGTCGAGCATTCTCACAATAAGCGGCATAGTCCTCTAAATATTTCTGGGCAATTTCTGGAACCAGTGGGTCGTCTACATCAGGCGCAGCCAATAGGCCACATATTGCTGTGAGTAATGCACCAAGTGTCCACTGTGGTGTCGAAGACTTTCCCCGATACCACATCGACGTGACATTGGTGGTGTGTCTTTGCGTGCGGAATGCATTCCACTTATCGCCAAAGTCCGCGCAAATATGTCCTTGTGGAGAGATGTTCGGATGATAGACTCTGGTCTGAAACTTCATGAGCGGTGGCCCAAGTGAGTCTTTCTGCGAAAGTCTGATTGTGATCCAAAAGACTCCTCCCTCATATGGCGTTTCGAGAGGACCTTCTATACTGGCCAAAACCTTATCAAGACTGTCGCCAACTGGAGTAGCACTCACAAATGGCACTTTTCCAGTGCGTATGTTGCGGAGCTCCAGGAACATTCTTTTTGCTGAAGACAAGCCAACTTCTGCCTGTGCTATGAGTTTGACAGAAGTGTTCTGGCAATGTTCTCCGTCTTCAGCTTTGATGACAGAAAGACACTTCCCGTAATTGGCTTCTCCCATTTCAAAGCTTTGTGGTACATGGGGTTTCGCCTTTTGCATAATCTCGGCCACCCAACGTTGATTCTGAGGCATTTGCATATTCTCATCCTGGTCCGTGACGGGCAAGTTATCGTCCTCGGGTTTTCGACAGCTGTCAACAAGCCAACTGCAGTCAAGATTGAAAGAAGTGCAGTTGGAACATTGTGGAAGGTCGCCCGACTCGCAATCGCGCACTGCTTTGAGACATTGTTTGCACGAGTTCCTAGGGGCATTCTTCTGATCAAGCTTCTGTTCAGCTGGCTGAGCATTTGAAACCAGGCGAGGTCCAAGGATAGCAGAGCTTATCGACTTCGGCCATGAACCCGGTATCCGCGGATTGAATGTTGAAGGGGTTGAGTACGCAGTAACGAAAGAATCATCCTCTCGTCCAATCACCGACCCCTCCAAAGCTTTCTGCTCAAAGATCGATTCTGCGAGTGAGACAAGACGTCTACTGGCTGTATCCGAAATGTCCTGTGAGGCTGTGATAAGGTTGCCTGAGTTCGAATCTCGGAGTAGCTTCAGACTTTCGACATCAGAGATATTTTCAATCTCATCCTTGAGTCTAGCCTGCTGATCTGCCCACAAGCCTAGAGAACTAGTAATGCTCTCCAACCCATCAACGTACTCTCGGAGCCGATCTATGATTCCTCTCAACTTGGCCTCATCGTGGATGGCCCACTGTGTGACCTTCCAAGTCGATGTCTCTTTCTGAGTCCTCTTGATCTGGCTCCTGAATCGGTCGAATGGGGCCTTGAAGACCTGCAGACCTTGAGGTTCGGAGACCTTTCTACCCTGTGGAGCGGCGGCGTCGAGGGTATACTTATCATCGACTTGATTTGCCTTCTGTAGTAACAGTCGGATGTTGTTGAGGGTAGCCGCCACAAGCGGCCGTATGTCCGGCCGATCTAGATTCGTATTGTAGCCCCTTTTCACGCCATAAGGGTCAGGAATCAGACCAACGGACTCTCCCCAGAGCCCAAAGCGAGTTCTTTGTATTGAAAACTGTGCAGCATTTCAAGTCAGCATTCTTATCACGCGGCATTCTGATTGAATGTCTCTAGAGCATCCGGAACTCGTCAGACTGTCTCAAAAACCTCTCGAGAAGCAGGCAATAAATGAAGAACGTTGATTTACACACCAATGTGTACAGTTGTTCATAATCTTCACTAAAATTCTTGCCTTTGACCACGATATCAAAACACTCTATGCAAGTAATGAACAATGACGCCGCGCTAGCCACGCTGAGGACAAGACCAGTAACGTCCATTATATCCTCAAATTGTTTTGGAGTCTCTTAGCAAGACGTATTCTGGACACAAAGCGGAACCCAGAAAAAGCTCAGGAGATGGTGATGAAATAGAAGTTGTGAGAGATGAGGCTGTCGTCTCTGTGGCTGTGCCCGGCTCAGCCCGCCTGCCCTGGAAGCCTGACTGTCTACCCCGCCATCACATGAATTCATTGTCTAGGACATTTGATATCAAAACTAGTTAGATAATCGTAATAATTGAAACTCCAACGAGAAGGACAAGAGGAAGAGGTGTTGTAATCCGTTATGTGTCTTAGGAGTTGAAAATGTGAGACATTGAAGGAATGTCTCAACAGTCTTCACTGATGACGCTAGGAAAGGGTGCCTTTGCGACTTCGAATACCATATCAAACAATTGACCAGCATATCTCAATCATAGATACTTAAATCCATCCTTCTCGTTGATTATGGAGTTAGCTATTGTGGATCGGGATCTTTTGTCGGCTTCAACGTTCTAACAGATTATTTTTTTTATTCACTGCTTGACAACCAGATATTTGCGCTTTGCTCGCGAACCGCGCCGTGGGCGCTGTCTGCGCTATATGCGCATTTCGCGGATGAGGACTGAGACAGCGCTCTTGTTGCGCATCACAAAAGTCGACAAATTGATGTATAGCTCAGTGCTTTCAAGTGTGACTTACTCAGGATGAGTAACTTGAGGTTAGTTTCGTTACTGTAACTGATATTGTGACGGCCACTTTCTAGGATCATCTTTCGAGACTCTCAAAGCCGCACTCCATGTTGTTTCTTCTGTCTGATCTGCCATTCTACAGAATTCTCTCATCCTTTTGATCCGTTATTTGTTCTTTTCTCCCTTCCTCATTTTCGACTCCAAAATGTAATGTCGTCATATATTCATTAGCGCATAGTTCTTCATTTCATTTCCAGTCTCTATCATGTATCAGCATAATTGGGAAATAAGTAATTTCTTTCTTGTGCTGTCCTACAATGTCACAGCCTCTCATCCTTACTCTACGCCTTGATGTAGCGTCAGAGAAACTGCTCACCTCTCTACGGACCCGCTTCTTTCCTTCCCACCGAAATTATCTTTCTGCACACATCACCCTCTTCCACGTACTCCCTGCCGTTCACCTCCCTCTCTACAACACATATCTCACTGATATTGCTTCTCGAGAACACGATTTTACGATTGGACTCAAGTCTCCTTTTCTGCTTGGTAAAAAAGGTGTGGCGATAAACATCGCTTCTTTCAAGCTCAGAAACTTGCATGAGGAAATTCTAAACGGATTGCAAAAGAACGATGTAGAGTTGACAGAGCAGGATAAAACGAGGTTGAGACCTCATGTCACGGTGCAGAACAAAGTGGGAGAGGAAGAGGCGAGGAAGACGATGGATGTTTTGAGTGCCGAGTGGGTGGAAAAGGCAGGGAAGGCGGAGGGGTTTAGTTTGTGGAGGTATGAGATTGGTGGAGAGTGGACTTTCTTGAGGGACTTTGACTTCAAGAGGATAAGTTCCTGAGTGACGATGGTTTGTGTTCTTGTTTTGTTCTGCTGAATTGTGGTAATTGCTGATCATGTGCTGCAGCATACTTTTTCTATTACATCAAACTAAAGAATCAAATCCCAGCATCCTCACAATGCTTGTGTTTCTCATTGTTACTACTGAGCTTGGTACTGTTAGCCTAGGACTTGGTATCTCGCGTTGATTTGCAATGCTTACGTTTTGTTGCATTTTCTCTCTCAGATCATCTCCTCCTCTGCCTCTGCCTTTGCATCTCTCTTGTATGTTCCATAGTTGCTGCACAAACACCTCAGTTAGAGCTTCCTGAAACGTCATATGCCAATTGGCACTTACCCATATTTTCCATAATTCCTGAATGACCAAAGTCAGCAATAGGTTCTCTGGCAAGGTCATGTATCGAGCGTCACTCACCCATAACTCTTGTAACTTCCGTAGTTTGTGATTGCAGTGGAGGTTGGAGTGGCGGTCGAGGAAGTTGCCTTTGACGTCGGCGTGGTGGTTGCAGCGGGGATTGCAATGGCAGTGGAGGTAAATGCCATAATGGCTAGGAGTGAAAACTTCATTTTAGTTGAAAGTGTGGTGAGGTTGGTGAGAATGAGGAAGGGGTTCAGGTGTTTATATATAAGGAAGCAATGGAGCCGGTCCGAGTTTCTCATCTAGTTGCATTCTACCAATGAATGGATATATGCAGAGCAGGTTCTACAGTTACATCGTTACCAAGTTGGCGTTAATTACAGCGGTTCTTTGGATGCATCAGTCCAGGTACCTTTAGGAGGAGAAGCTCCGATGAGGCTGTCAAATGGTTGTTCAGCTGCCACCTTAGCGAGTCTAACTGTTGGAATACGAGAAGAACGTTCAGCAATATTCGTGGTGACTGGCTTTTCAGCAAACGCCTTTGCCTTTAATCAATTACCTAATATAGTACTCTACACTCTTCGTCTTAGTCTCAGCTAAAAGGACTAGGACTTACAGCTCGTGTTCCACGTCTGGGCTACTACTGCTAGAAGCTTTTGGGTAAAAAATGCATATAGGTGCAGGTGCATCTAAGTCCATCAAACGCATATTTGATGGCTTCAGTAGTGTCCTACTGTGGCTGGCGGGGCTTTTTCACACACATCGAAGATCACTGCCCGATTGGCTGTTCACAGGGCTGAATGATCGACACCATGGCCAAAACAGGCAAGTGTTCCATCTACCTAGCTCCCGTTGTCCTGGTCTAGACTTTGTGGAGAAGTAATGGCGGGGTCGAGACACGAAATTATTCAAGCTGAACACAATGCGCCATTTTAGGGATGCAACCGTATGAGGTGCATTGTACTTAACCAGAAAAGTTGATAGGGTTGCATTGCTTGTGTAAAGTTGTACCTCGGAGTCTTGGATGTGGACTTTTCTTTCGAGCTTAGCTCGAGGTCCAGAAGGTATCCTCGGTGAGTGTTCTCATTCAATCTTCTTTCTTTCCTTGAGTCTACAGAGAATGCGGCCAACTTTTTCCCCATCTTGAAGAAATGTTTCATCCTCAACCAGAGAAGAGGATTCGGTTCAGTCCTCTTCTTTCGTCAGAGCATACCGATATTGAGTTTTCAGATGATGAGCAAACTCTCACTCCTAAAACCAAGCGATGGCGAACATACCCTTTGGTGGCAACGATAATTTTATTTTTGTTTGCAGTAGGCATACTATCCTTGGGCTTCGTCCTCGGTAGAGTATCAAGTCTAGACACTTCTTCATTAATATCAAAGATCACTTCATATTGTCAGCCAAATTATCCTCATCCCAACCTGACTTGCAAGTGCTGACTCCGATCCAAGCACCTGTACTGGACGATATACCCCTCACCTACACTCTGACACAATTCAACGGCTCCTTTCTCAACGAAAACATTTATCGTCAAGCTGCTAGTCCTGAAGTCGACTCGGCTTGGGAGGCGCTCGGCATCAACTACCGTGCGCTCAGAGTCCCTCCATCACTCGCCTCAAAATCAGGACTCTCCACTTTCCAAGTACAAATCTCTCCCAAGTACGGAGGAGGGTACCCTGTCAATGTCGAAGGACTCCACCACCTTCACTGTCTCAACCTCCTGCGCCAATCCCTTTGGTACAACTATCCATATTACCGCGATCTTGGACAAGGAGCTTTTCGGAACGAAGAATTCATTGTGCAGAAACATGTCAGTCATTGTCTAGATATTTTGCGACAGCAATTGATGTGTACTGTGGATGTTGGCGTTTTGGGACAGGTTTGGGTGCATAAGAATGAACCAGAAGCCTTCACGGATTTCAATACCAAGCATACGTGTAGGGATTTTGAGGCTGTGAGGACGTGGGCTGAGGAGAGACAGCTACCAGAAAGTGTGCCCACCGATTTTCTCCAGCCTCCTGAATGGGAAGATATTTATGATGACATACCATGAGACTACATTTGTTCAGACTCATCACGAGCGAAAAGAATTGTTCGTTGTGAAAATAAGAGTATGGTGTATTTATGCTCGCTAAATAGCAAAATATGCTTGAAAATGCTCGCTTCAAACTATTCAGGTATACATTAACGCTTAATGAAGAACTCCAGACGGACGCTCATTCCGTCTCATACAATGCAATAACGCCGACAATGCTGTGCTATGCCATTTCCGTTCGCCTCTATTATCTAGTCGTAAAAAAGAAAAGAAAATGCTGTACAATACGTTTACAGCCCCGAATCGATCTGATCAACGACATCCTCTCCGGTAAAAGTACTCCAATCCCGACAAGTTTGCGCCATAATACTGGGTACCTGTACATTTGCGATATCTGCGGGTCTTTCAAGTACGGTGACATAGAGACCAGCGCTTACATGCCAAGCGATGTGGCAATGCAGCGGCCATGCTCCTGGGTTGTCTGCCTCGAATTGAATCACGAGGAAGCCTCCAGCAGGAACGATTTGAGTATCTCTTCTTTGTGGGTTGGCAGCGTTGACGATGGTGGTTCCGTCCCAGGTTCCAGTTCCAACATTTAGAACATAGAAATCGTGACCGTGGAGATGCATGGGATGAGCTGCCGGGCCTGGATTCTCGATGACGACGCGAATGGAAGTATTGGAACCGAAGTTGTAGACGTTCCACTGTGGGTCTGGGTAGGAATCATTACCAGTTGCCGCAAGGAGGAAGACTGGGCTGTTGTAGTCTGCTCGGAAGGAGATGTCGTTCATGGTCCATAGCCAGAAGTCGGTTGCATTCTGGGTGAAGTTGATGGCGATGTCTTTTGTTGTGGTTGGTGCGGACGGGGTCAGAGAGTAGAGGGGTTGAGTGATATCAATGGGGTCGTTTGCGCATTGGCTGGCTACCGAGGTGAGGAAGGACGGCCAGGCAGTAGTGTTCGGTTGCAACTTTGTGTTGTAAAAGACAGTGGCGGTGGCAAAAGGCTGGTTGGTCACTGCGCAGCCGTTTCCTGCGAGGGTAGAGCGCATAGTGTAGGATTTCCCATCCGCATTAGCTGGTGCTGTCACGAGCACATCTGTTCGCTGACCGACACCCAAGGTGACAACTGTATCAATGTTAGCAAAGAATCTATTTGACATCTAGAACGCCTTACCTTGAGTACTGAATGATTGCACTGGAACAAAGTCTTGAGCAATGACGGTCAAGTTATGGCCATCAATGGAGAATTTTTGCATGCCTTCTGCGCCTGAATTGATCAATCTCAGTCTGTGAGTCTTGCCAGGCGTGAACTGGAACGTGGCGTTGGTTTGTCCGTTGATGAGGTTGTTGTCTGAAGGTTGAAGCACTTCGTTGAAATTTGTCGAGACCACATCCTCAACGAGGCTGAAGTAGTCTTTGTGGAAATAATCGGTTAGCATTACTGGGCCAATGTCGATATCGTATGGAGCAATAGCAGGGCCGTGAATTATCATTGGGCCGAAGATACCTCCAGCATACTGAGCCGAGTAGTGAGAGTGGTACCAGGATGTCCCGTATAGGTCAGCATTGAAAGTGTATGTGAAGGTGCCGTTAGGTGGGATAGGACATTGAGAAATTCCTGGAACGCCATCCATGTACTGAGTGCCCTTTTGTAATAAACCATGCCAATGAATAGCAGTTCCTTCTTCGGGCCCGGTAATCTGGTTGTGAACAGTGACTTGAATCGTGTCACCCCAATTTGCTTCAATCTCGGGCCCTGGGAACTGATCGTTGACAAGAAGAAAGCTTCTCTCAAATCCATCAGGTGATTTTGTCTCTCTTGTTATCGTGAAGTCGTAAGATCTGATGACACCAGTGTTTGGAGGGTTGGTGTAAGGATTTGTATTTTGAACAGTGCAGGTTCCCCAAGGATATCCATTTGGCAAAGGTGTGACAGGATTGCTTGTTTGAAGAAAATTGACCGGCAAATTAGGATAGTTGTTTTGTCCCGCAACTAATGAAGCCCAGGTGAGGGCCACTAAAGAGGTGAAACGCATCATTACAACTCAAGGCTAGTCTCTCGAAGCTATGTTGTAGATGCAGAGTATGAGAAGGCTGACCTTGTTTGATGCGAAAATATGAGAATGTTTCTGAGACTTATATCTTGGATGCAGGCACACACCACGAACTGCGAGCTGATCTTGGCCCATAGGGTGGACTGCGCTTACTCTCCTCGTATGACTGTTGTTGAAAGGACACAAGGGGCTGAGAATAGCATCCTTTGGAGACACTGGATTCAGGGCTCCCAAAGTAGCATGCAGTAAGGCTGCGGCTTAGGGCTACCGGCAACGGTATCTGAGGCATACTTGTGTGGGCAAGGCTGATGCTTAGGAACGATGTCTCGCTCCCGCTTCATCGACCCACTGCCATGATGTCTATCCTCGTATCTCAACGTGAGAATTATTTCGATAGTGTCTGTGCCACGATCTGAGCATGGATTTTTGAAGGACCTTGTCCTGACCGCCACATGGCCAAGTGGAGCTTGAAGCTTGGCGGACGTCCACTGGGGAAAGATACGGTGGCGCTGGCCACCTGTGACCAGGATAAGATCCGATGTCGTTTCTTGGAGTGGCTAGAGATGAAATCTGCTTCAGGTCCTCTGATGTCAGCAGTTGATGGAATTCTCCGTCGAACAATGCCCAATTACGATGGGCGGCTCAACACAAGACACAGTCATTCCTGCAGAGGCGGGGTTTGCTGAGCATCAGAGCGACTGCTGTGATAGCATATGATTTGGATTTCAGTCCACTTCAAGCTATACCGACTTCGCCACTTACTGCAATTCGCACTCGGTCCGTGGCCTGGTTATCCAATTTCAGGCCCTGCTTGGGATGATAAGCTCCAAGGCTACAGCTTAAGCATAGATTAGGAAACGTGCTGACGGGTTGTCAGCCTCATCATAATCAGATCGGATTTTCTTTTTCCCGAGACCATTTGACATCAATCGCTCGTAGCATCTCCTCTAAGAGCACAGCTTGGTCTAAAGACATAGTTTAACATAACAGCAGAATGTGACCGGCTCGTGGCTGGGAACAATGCCAAAAAAATCAACACAAACTGAATTATAGAAATGCTCAAAATAGGTATCAACTTCATGTCCTATTCAGCTGCAGGAACTGCCTCGCAGAGGAAGCCAGAAGCAAGACCACTTCCCGTTTACAGCAGCAAAGACGATTGGGCAGCAATGTCCGTTCTGCAAAGGATGAGTGCGAGGAAGGAATAGACGTGGTGGCTGGAGTCATGGCAGCGGCTGCCACGAGTTTGCTGTTCGTCTGCGGTCCTGGAAACCATGTCCGAGGGTCGCAGAGTAGTCAAGCGAGCCCAGTATGAGGATGTCAATGCCATCCACGTTGAAGCCTTGGCCGTCTGATATTCTGCACTGACAGGTGTTTCGTTCTTCACCAAGATGGTGTAAGGCAGTTGGACAACAAAAACAATCGTTCATGCTTACCAGCCTCGCTTATTCAGAGCTAAGCTAATCATGGTTAGTGTATGCGTGATTTTGCTTCTATTTTTAATCTGTCGCAACTACGACCAACGACATCATACAGCATCACACTCATCCACAAAACCCCGCGAATGATACAGCTGATAGACCTGATAAGATTATCTGGGGGATCATGTTGCTTGCAAGATTCGGTACCACACAAACCAGCACCTCTCACTCATAGCTAACCCTCGTTGACCGTCAGTCGCTTTGGTGATTGGATACCGACGAGTCTGAAGCTTTCTTGCTAAAATCCTCTATCGTGAAGGAATCCAGATGAGGGAAATCTTGGATACTCCTGGTCACCCTTTGCATTGGCACTTCTTCAAAGGCAGTAGGCTAAATGCCTTCAATGCAAGGTCGATCCAAAAACCACATACTGTAACACATCACGAGCAACAACGACGATACTAGCCTGGTTCATGCTCGCGTCGCTGCCTTGTTGAGTCCAATACGGAGCCTTCTGGGCTCGCTTTCTGTCTGAATCTTTGAATAGTAGCAGATCTCAGGCACCGATACACCTCCCGCACAACAAGCTTCTCAGCCGCTTGGGAACCACTAGGACTAGTGGCCCGAATTTACGAGATCGCGCAGGAACCGTGGTATCTTTGCTCCAGTGCGCTCTCGATTGAAGATTCGAGTTTGAGGCTCTTACAAGGCTGAGCTAGGCAAAGATAGCACAGTCAGACACTTACCTAGGGCTGTGCCGCCACCTAGGATGATCGCACTCCTAACCTATGGTAGAGAAAGATCTTCATACAGGCCTGAACCCTCAGATTCATTTTCTCAAGTATCTCGGCTAACTCGGAAGCTCCATCATTCATACTCACTTCATCTTAAAGGCCGTGATACGAGTGTATCGTACGGACTGTCTCGTATTGTCCCCAATGTTTGCGAATTTTTTGGTACGCAAATCGAGTCCCTGGCTACATGCTTACTACAGAATCTTCTGTATCCTTTCAGCATCCTGCTCGCATTCTTTCCCGATTTTGAGGTTGCCGGAACATCTCCAACTTCAAGTCCGGAGCTGCAAATATTGGCTTCCTGGTCTAAACGACGATCTTTCCCCTAAGCGCACACCAGTCATTGTCAATACGAAGATCATTCGTTGTCGGTACGAAGAGGGATTACGAGATCTGTCAAAGCAAGGCTGTTCAGCAATTATGTATGAGTAATCTTTTTCCTTCCATCTGAAAATAATCACGGAGCTGGCTTCAACGTTTCTCCGAGAGTATGCCTCGGTATAAGAAATATGAAGCCGTCTTTGATGGCCATGCGAGCTATAGAAGGACTCCTTATGGGTATGGGCTGGAACTCTTTGCCTTCAGCCACACCTGGACCTTGGAGCGGGGTTTAAAGATCGAATCAGGTGATACAGGTCACGTGGAGAATACTTCTCTTCGTTAAAACTAATACGGAGCGGACCAGAGCATTCCAGGTATTATCAGCGTGAGTGACCTGTTACCGATCTTGGATAACTTCCAAGAACATCAAACAGACTGTTCGTCTATGCTGTGTAACATCAAGCAATGGCACAGCACTCTTTAGCCGGCCCCTTTGTTTGAGTTTTCAGCTGATGAAGGTTTTCATTTGTGCAAATTCTTGTCAAGTAGCCAATTAACATGGCAGAAGATGTTCCATATACCGTTCTTTCCTGGGGTTTCTGCATGTTAGTTGCCCGCTTGATCGGTATTCTTCAGATTTTCAACAGCAACAAAGCTATTGTCAAGGTTATGAAAACACTCGATGTGCGGCGCAGTTGTCAACGCATTGTCTTTTTCATTAATTCTGAAACAGTGCAGCGAACCCCTAAAATCCCGTTGATCCCATCTTTCTGATCTTTCTTTATTCTTGTAGGTCTACTACGATTATGCTTAATTCGTGATATTAATTTTAGCTTTGGCCAAACGCCCTTCATTCTTGGCATTTCTTTGCTGCTGGTCAGTATATTTGCAGGACAGACAAGTCAAATCAATCAGTCGCGATCTGAAATGGAGGACGACATCACGAACTCGCACCGAGCACCCCTTCGTGCTAGGGAACGGCCATCGCGACCACCCAGTCAGGATCCTTTGATATCGCCATCAGTAACAGTCGCATCGAACGTTGAACATGACCAATTACTCAATCGCAAATTCTCGCATCGGAAGCCCCAAAAGTCGATTGGCGATGATTTATACACCGAGGTCGAAATGGAAAAGAATTCAGCGAGGTCAACATATCAAGAAGACATGCGGACTGCTCAACTCCATCCGCCCAAAGCTTTTCAGCAGAGTCAACGCTATATGGGCTTCAATTGTGGACGATGGCGCATACATGTTCGCCATGGCATGATGTTTGCCGCCGTTTTCGTTACAATTTTCGTCCCAATATGGTACGCCGCTATGGTGCCGTCCAATATCCTTCCAAACGAGTCTGATTTCGCGTCCCCGTTCTCCTTTGACTGCTCTTCGTCGCCTGGGAAGATTAACATGGATACGCTACAGCCAGGACTGCTTGGTATTGATATGAAGTTTGGTAGCTTCACATTCGACCAAGCAAAAGCAATTGATCTAGCCTGGAATTTAGTTGTGGGTCGAGGTGTGCAGGCAATCTTAAGTTTGATAGCGTACCGGGTCTTCAGCGATGCGTTGCTTCGTTCTGCTGAAATAACTCACCTTTCTTATGACCTTTATGCATCATTGTCGTTGTATACGAACAAGGGAAACATGGCTTGGCATCTACTGAAAGGACTTGGCAAGAGGGGCAATTGGCGAACGAGGTACACACTTTTCTTCCTTAGTGGCAGATGATATCCGTCTCTGTGATTCTCGCGCCCTGCATTGAAGCTAAACCAAGATAGATCTATATTTATATGGCTACTTCTTTCTATTGTCTACCTCGTCTCATTCCCTAGGTATACACTAACACATCTAAATGTTGAGTGTCATTGATTAATATGCGTAGCATCTTGGATGTATGTAGTGGCTACGAACCCTCCTACACTACCAATATCGTATGGGAAAACGGCACCATTTCTCTGGTCACTGATAATGAGAGTGCCTGTGAGTTGCGTCCACACAACTCTTGCACATAGCCATGATTACAACGCACTCATACTAAGATCTATCAACAGGGTTCCAAAACAACACAGGTGTAACCTATGCAAATGACTACGTATGTCTGGAAATTCCGGATCCCGCCAACCCTTCCAACTTCACCTTTTCTCTGGCTCCGCACCAGGACGAAGATAGTGGTGATAACGATGGCGCTTGCGGGAATGGCGTTTCTTCGCTGGAGGTATACTATTGGGATGACGCCTTCCTCAACACAACATGGTGGGCGCAGTTCTACAAGAACGCTACATCGTTGTATGATCCCTCAACTTGGGACTCGTGGGGCTTCTGGCCTAGTATGCCTCAGAACTATAGATGCATTCCCTTGAATGGGATCTACCAGGTGCGTCTCAATCAACTCTTGAACGCTCATATCAATGAAAATACTGACGCCTTCAAAGTGGGGCTTTTCAAGTCAATGGCTCATGATCGCCGCTATCGTGAATAGCGTCTTCATTTTAGGTCTCTGGATTCTCTGGGTAGACTGCGATTTGAGGAGCGAGCTGTGCAAGAAGGGACGCAGGTTGGGACTTTGGCGAGCTGTGGCTGATATCTCGGAAGCGATGAGAGAAGAGCTTGGCCCGAATATTTGCGCGTATGACGAGTGGGACCTGGCTGAGGCGCTGAGAAGGAAGGATCCGATCAAGTACTACGCTGAACCAGGGGATGGTGTTGAACCTGGTCATATTGGGTTGAGCTCGAGGAGGAGTGGACCACTAAAGCTGGAATGGAATCATGAGTATGGAGGTGGGAAGTGATGGGCGAAGGCAGGGACTCGATCCTCGTACACTTGGGATGTATGATAAAGGTAAACAAATGTGTACGATTAAGCGAAGCGGACTCGACGAAGCATAGATGATCTGTTGTATATCAACTTGGTTCCACACCTCCATCTCACCTCCTCTTACGACACTCGATGAAAAATCTGATCCATTACTCCTTTATGAAGCAAGCTCTAACATTGAAATGGAAGGTTCACATCCAAAAGCTGGCTCGGCAGGCGAGGGCAAGACAAAGGCGTGAGTTCGCTTAACCCCTCCGCCCAAATATATGAAAAATGAAAAAAACTCCAACCACCTGAAAACTCAATATCTACATAGAACCAAAAGACAAAACGTTTAGGCTACCCGTAGGTAGTCTAAACGCCCAAGTGCGAAACTTGTCCGTCCGAACATGCACCCGGTCGGGGTCACCGGGATGGGGGAGCATGTTACAATCCAACCGACGCGCCAAGTCGACAAGGCGCTTGCTGGATTGATGGGAGAACAATGCTTATTTGTTATGATAAGGTAAAGTGGCTAAGTATGCGGGATCAGGCTTAGCGCAGATTGAGTTGTTGCTGAATTGATAGCTACGTAAGTATGTTTGGTTTGTTGAAAGTGATAATTTTTCCTAGCAAGAAATTTGCATCACGTGGCCGTGTCTGCCTCCTTCTCTTTTCAGCTCTTACCCTCGAAGGCAATTGCGTCTCTACCTCATCAACATCTCCATCCATCATTCCTGATCGTGAGGAGGAGACTTTCAACAGATCCTCAATCGGCCATCGCCTCAACGGAACAAATTTCTTATGGCTGAAGTCCCGCCTCATTTTTGATAACAAGAGATCAGAGCATCTTCGCAGTTCCGAGCAATGGATTAGCCAGATCTTGCACGACAATCCATCCTCTCAGCACCGTCCTTAGCGATATCATCTTCGAAGATCGGGATATAGTTTGTACACATTGTTTCCATGTTCTATCACACACTCTCCTTCGTGTCCGCAACCGCTGACGCGTCTTACTGAACGCGTCCAACTATGGTGCAGTCGTCGGGACGAAACCTCCATGATATACATCAGGGATAACCAGGTCCAGGAATTTCCGAGAATTCAACCAACTGAGGCAATCTCATATGCTCCTCATCAAGCTGAGAATGGTCATCCTCACGTTTTCAGCGCTTGATGCTCAACAAGTGGAAGTTCATCTGGAAAAATTGCCTTGCTCAACATTCCACCAAGATAGACAGATGATGGATAGATGATGGACAGATGGCCTTTGCTCTTGCGCAGACCATATCTGAGCTGTCAAAGCTTATGTCACTGATGAAGGACAACTTTGCACGGCTTGGTCATTGTGGAAGTACATCCGAAGAACCGGAGGACTGCCGAGTCCTACCCCTGGAAGCCATTGCGCTTCAAAGAACACATAGTGATTGGCAAGCACGTCGAGCGATGGTGTACGATTGCTCAAGCGCCAGTGCACGAATCTCAAGCACTTGCCTGTTCGATAGCAGGTGACGAAAGGGATCAGACGGCACCAAAGCAAAGATGACTGATACAAGAAATGGACTGCGTTCAGCAAGTCTGGAAGTGCGACTAGTCCTTCAACGAAGCCTCGAATCACAACTGGTGTCGAACAGAACAACTTACTGGGCACCAAGACAGCTCTCCGTAGAGCTGAGCATCGCCATCTACCGAAGTGAATCTTCTTGGTGATCGAGGACAACCGCTTCGGTCCGGAAAACCATCAAGCTGGACATCATCGAGGTCGTCTGGACAAGGTCTTGCGAAGTGTCAGCAATCATGCTGTCTTCTGCAAGTGGGAATTGGTCATGTGGATACAAGCAGATTTAACTTCACAATAGGGTCTGATAGGGATGGAAGCCAATACGCAGGGTCCAACGTTATCTCGGGCTTTCACTTACTTCTCAACGTTATTTCAATCCCGAAGATAAACCAGATCTTGGAATGACCCCACATGCCACGCTCTGTATTTCGGGGTAAGGTGCCCGTTCTGTCGGCTTTCAAGTGGGGTAGCGAGTAATAAGCGGCAATTTGTTTCCGATCACAACGGAAATAATGCAGAAGCTCTAGCTTATCATTTACTTTGCCATCGTCACCGCGCTATCCCGTACTTCTCAATTCAAAGGAAGGTCAACCCGCCGGAGGGCCGCCGGCGTAGGGTTGTTTTCTGGAGTGCTGGCTGCAGATGAACGTTACAACTCAACCGGCATCATGAACCATTTCAGAAGAGATCGACATGAAGCTATCGCCACGCACAACTCCGATCTTCACATTTTCACTGGGCAGTCGAATGAGACTGGCGTTGAATTTCGACGGATTCATTCTAGGTATTATTGCTACCCCAAATTACAGCATTAACATGTTCCTAATCCAAATGTCCTTCTGAAGGCCCCTTCCTGGGTCGGGTATGAACTTCCCCATTCTCTCTTACGCTCTTCAAAGGGATCATATTTCTCTTCTCGACATCTCGACATTAAAACTTGGCTGTTCCAGGCTTGCCAATCATACAAGCCAGTCTCTGGTTTGAATATATCATCGTAGGGCAACTCTGCCATTGCACCCATGAATGTTTGAAATGGCTGGGGACCCCAGGACGGGCTCGCTGGATATTCGGACTGACGACCGAGGACGGGGCTGTTGTTCACAATCTCAGGCAATCCATCATGCATGACGGGCCACGAGTCCTCGTAGAGCGTATCCAACTCATCCATCTCAGGTTCAGGGCTCTGTTTTGTTGATTGAGGCTCGGAAATTGGTGGTGAGGGTAGTGCTGACATGCCTAGCCAGGAACCCTCGGTTTTCTGGGGTTGATCCTTCTCTGGGTATCCCGGCGCACCGGTATCAACAACAATTGTGGAGGAAGAGGATCCACTTCTGGACATTGCGACGGGGGGTGTAGGAAGTGATGACATGAGTGAGTGTCCTTTGGTTGGTTGGTATTCGCCGTCGCTGTCGCTGGAGGATGTACTTGATGTCGACTTTTTGCGGTCTGCCTGACTCAATTGTCTTCTCTTGGCGCCTTCCTGGGTGTATGATGGTCGTCTGGCGTTCACAATGTTTCCGTCCGAGTCTCTCCAAAGTCTCTTTCTGGTTGCCAATATCCCCAATCCTTCTCCTCCGGCTTCATCGTCCTTCTCCTTGTGGCGAGCCATATGGCGGTCTGGAATGTCAGAACAAGCTACGTCAGGAATTGAGAAATAGCATACCTAGCAGGTCACGCCTACGGAAGTGGGCACTACATCTTAAGCACGTATTGTTGCCATCTTTGTGGTTCAAAGCATGTCGATGGAGATGTTCAGATCTAGAGAATGACTTGCCGCAACCTGGGTGGTTGCAACCGAATTTCTTCTTGATTGAAGTATATGAGCACTTGGAGCTCGAGGTCGATGCTGAGGATATCGAGGACGATCTGGTGTTGGGTGGAGCCATTGTGACGATTCTGAACTTTCAGGACGAGTGAAGACTGGGTTCGAAGCTCTGAGGATAGAGAATGGGGGAGAGGGGTCTAAATAAATTTGGAGGGGCACAAGTATATCTACTCAACGCAGCGGAACAATTTCCACCTAGCTTTGGAGCTCTCCCATGCCAGCCACCGATCATCGGGCGTGTACATCCATGGCGGCGCTCCATCTCTGGCCCGGGCACCTGTCATGAGGCGTCTAGCTTAGCATACATGACCGTTGAGGGTGGCTCTACGGCGTTGAACTCCGTCCTAAGCTGTACTGGTGCTGTCATGCACAATTTGGCTCCTGTATGTACGACACTGATCCCTACGGAGAGTGTGAACTCGCCTCGCTCGCCTACATGGTGCATGACACTTTTCCATGCTCATCCCACGAGCTTGCGCGATCAACGAACTTCCTAAGAGGGAATGTCTACACGCTGTCTTCGAATTGGCCTGCTATCATTGGAGGGGACTTTTTGAGACTGCTGTGTACAACAATCAGGGTCCTCCATAGGCCACTCAGACAACGCCCTCCCCATAATTCACGTAACGCAAGAGCCGACCCAAGCCAGGCAAATTACCCCTCCAACCCCTCGCGCCCCACCAAACGAGTCCACAAACGCGACACACAGTGAGCCGGTTTCCCCCATGGCGCACACCCTGAGCCATGCCAGCCATGCCCGCAGAACAAGCCAGCTTCTGCACCACAACGCATGTAACTCCACACTTGGCCGAAGAAACGGCGAACGCTCTTATCGACGGCTGCAACTGCTTATCGCGGCCTACGCTATCCAGTGTCCATTGCATCGGACCCGAGTCCAAGGAAGACTAAGCCGTCCCAGGCCTAGTAGCATCGTCTACGGCATTATATTCTACTATCGAGTAAGTATCAACTTTATCAAGCTATCGGGCACAGACCCCGACGGCGTTCTGCGCTCCCTAACGGCAAAAGCGACGAATCAGATCAGATTTTCGGCGGATGAGGGGCTTGCTGATAGGAAAACACCGGCCGGCAATTTGAAACTAATGTCTCTATCTGGCTTATTTCTGGAGAAACATTGCTACTGATTGCTTGGGACTCGGATTGCACCATTTGATGAGGAGATTAGATAATCCTGGCTCATGCGACGAGAGTTGTGGAGGCCTGAGACTAGAGAGCAGATGGTATTTCGAGAAGGGCAATCCGGGCGAGTTCTCTTCGCGAACGACGGCTATCGCAACTCGTCTAAGTCGGCTCTCGGCGAACCCAAAGGAGAGAAGTTTGCCGTCTCGTCATCAACAGATGCAAGACGTGAACGAACGGTTGAACAATGAGTCAAGTACGGTAGCAAGTACAGTGAACGTCCATTATCTAGGCTATCTAGCCGATCGTGGTAGTTGAACTTTATCCTAACTTCAGTCTCGAGTCAAGTCGCACCGAGACTCGAGGCAATTCACTGCCGTTGTTGGGACACAAGATTACCGTGGTTCAACCTATCTTCAACGACGTCGTTGGTACAACGCGAGTCTTTCATTCTGGATTGATCAGCATGCATCCTCGTTGATACTCGGACAAGTACCGAGTCCAATCAAGTCGAGTCACGCCCTTTACATTACCAGTTAATAGAGAAGAGGGGTCGGCGTTCCTCTTCAGGAAAGAGACCCCGATGTGTAATCGAAACAGCGACCTCGGACTGCGTATGCGAAATGCGGAGTGGAAATAGATTCGGCAGGTGAACCCGACGGTATGCGGATATGCGGTTTTCGGAAAACCTTCTGTGACTGTTGGTGCAAGAGATAGCTGCTCAACGTGCTGCTGGCGGGCAGCGATAGTGATTGATGCGATTTGACGATGCGTAGTCATGAATTCGTGAGACGTTACATGAGAGTCCAACTCGATGACTCGATGGCGTAAACCGAACAGTGGCTGGAAACGATGAGAGCGACGAGACCGCGCCGACTGCGGAGAAGGACATTGGAGGGGAAGATGGCTTCCGGCGACGCTGTGTCACGTGGAGCGGAATTAGGACTTACCTTTCCTCGAAGGTCTTTTGGGAGAGTATCATCTGTGATTATCAAACGTCGATGAACTTCTAAGTCGAATTGATAGAAGTGTTCGCGGACGGAATTTTTGTTCAAGCGAAATTTCTGTTCAGGGGGGGGGAATAGGAGCCTCGTTTATATAATCCCCAAGAATGGGATGATGTTGGGATGGAAAGACATGAGACGACAAAATGCCAGTTGTCATAGCCTGATCTGTCCTCTCATGTCAGCTCAGACCAAGCACTGTCATCATCATTTCTGCCTTCAACGCACCGATCATTGGTAGTTTCAAGACCAACAAGGTCCTAGCGAAGCCACTTGCCGACTTCTCCATCAGTCTTTTCTTGGACAAAGATGGGGTAAAGAGATGAGGTTGAATTAAACTCAAGAGGATCGAGATCTCGAAACCCAGTCAAAGACCTCCATTGATCGGTCCAAAGGCTAGGTTTAGGAGATTTTCCCCGGATTTGGCTATTGTGGTTTGGCGGAGACAAGGTGCAAACTTTCTCTTCGGTACCGAGATCCCAGTTCCCAAGAATGGGATACGAGACCAGACTTGCTGGTAGCGAGGAAGGTTCACACGAGCCGCATTCATTGGGTCTTCTGCCTAGTCTGATTTGGTACTTGATGAGGACAGAGAAGGCGGTGTTCAAGAATGGGATATGAGCCAAGTGTCTCAGCGTGCAGGAGCAAGAGCCTTTTCCCTCGACGGATGCTTCACCGTCTCGAGTTTCATTCGTTCGGAGATTTTATGCTGCGTGTTTATCAAAGATGGGATATATCTGCAAGGCACGTATATCTTCGGTTCCCGAGACGCGGGATACCCTCGTCTGGTATCCTGATACCTGGGTTTGCTGTTATTGGACATGTCTCACGCTTCCTTATCGATCGTGGGGAAGGATGGAAGATGGAGAGAAGGGGGTGCGAGCCGAGCCGTTGATGATGATTTGCTGCTCCGGATCTTCTGGTCTTCTTCTTTTAATATAGATGAGATCGTTGAGTATTGTTGCTCAGTGAAAAGTGGGATAGTGGCAACATTTCGGAGACCATTACTAGCTAGCAAGTGTGAAAGGCGTTGAGAAGTCTTGATAAGCACCTCACTACCACAACAGAACGGGAGACTAGGTCTGCGGATCTTTGAAAACCGTCTGGCAACCACATACTTAAGAAGGCTATCTAGTAAGATAGACTGAATGTACGTTCTTGTCCAAGAAGGTCCTTCCCAGAAAACGAGAACAAGTGTCTGAGAGGAGATTGGACATTCATACCTCCCACTCGCCAAGGAGTGGAGGGTGCTGCAAGGGCGGATTGCAGATTCAGTATTGGGAGGGAAGAGAGTACAAGGATGGTGCCGCTGACTCTTTCACACCAAAAATTTGGGACGAGAAAGCTTGAAGTTGTATGTCTTGAGTGGGGTGCTAGGTAGGTGATATATTCTGAAAACGGGACATTGTGGAGGCGAGAACGTTTGTTTTCGAGTATTTGTCAAAGACGAGTGAGTGCCTTGCGATATCTAATAGTAAATAGGGTGGAGTCACCCAAATAACAAGTGTTGTGAGCGTACCCTTTTCCTTAGTATGGATTGCATCGTCGTTTGTAGGTTCGAGCTGGGTTACGAGTTCAAAAGCTGCAAGATGATAGAATCGACAGCTTTCTTGGACTGCACCGTACTAACTCGAGACTCCCCAGCTCATGACTTTGTAAACATTGTTTCCTGTTTGTATCTGCTTGGGATCTGCGGTGGTCTGCGGTGGTCTGGACTATTCCAGCTTGGCTTGATATATTCCCAAATACTCTCAGACGAGATTGACATTTGAGGCTCTGTTTACGAGTCTACGTTGATCAACGGCCCATCGAAAACGACGCAACGGGACTGCTCATCAACAAAGCAGCTAGCGTAACGAGTTTCGGTATCCGGGGTGATTCATATCATTGACTCTATTCTCTCTCCTCTCCTTACTCTAGGAAACATCATTGCTCAAACCACCCCCGGTTTCCAAATTCGGGAAAGCTATGGAAATCAGCAAAGCGATGTCGGGGGCGTGGTGGCGGGGAAGCACCATCTTGATGTCAAAGGAATCTGCGATGGAGAGGCTTGGTGAAGAGTGTAATGGATTTGTGTTGTTCAGGGATAGGAAGAGATAATTGAGATCTCATATCATTCCATATACGACGCTTTATTATAATACTTTTTATCTGAAAGCACAGTGCCTGAGAAGAAACCGCGGCACAAGAATCAGACATGTATTAAGGAAGAAGATGATGATAAGACAAAAACAACTTCTCCAAAAGGGATGAGAGTGTTAACTCTATCAATCTTGCTCTAAGGGGGAGAAAAAGACGTGAATGCGGGGTCTTGTAGATATGGAGGTCGATCGCTGTGAGGATTGAGGGACGTGTGGTTTAGTTTCCAGTTGAAGGTTGGATGGCGGAAAATGGTGTTGTGCATCCACTTTGATGGCATGCTTGTTGTTGGACGAGGCAAACGTCGCGAGGAGAGGGTCATGGTTGATGTGTTGAAGGAATTGTTGAGGGGCTGTATGTATATTTGGGGTTTGGAGTCTATGGATGCTTCGTTGGCATGTGCAAACTTGCTGAGGAGAAAGGTTTGGACGCAAGGAAAGAGTGTATACTTTAACACAAGTAGATATTGGCAGAGGACTTTGTAAGAATAGAAGAAAATCATTCGGATAGGCGGTGGGAAAGCAATGGAAACACAGGAAATCGATGGACCAGTACATGTGTTGCAAAACATTGCCAAGATTGATCTCATATGATAAAGCTAGGAAGAGTAACATCCAAGCAAGAACAAGATTCTGTATTGCAATCCAATCATACCAAGAAATCTAACATCGCCATCTATTTTTCGCTAATCCAAATGCGTAAATGCTCCTCCTTGCGCCGAGTCCCAAAGTTATTCCCATACCGTCATATCGAGTCGTGCAATCGGTAATGTTGCCATTATCGTTCTCGGGATCTTTGGTCATTGCAACGTTGTACTGTGTTCCATCTCGCCACACCACACCGTAGGTAATCTCATTATGCTCATTATCGATTCTCCCGATGCTCAACCCTAATAGCGTTTTCTTCTCGCCAACTACAATCCATTCATTAGACAAGACCTACAATTGAAGAAGGTAGTTTTTACTTACACAGGACGCCCAGCATGGTCATAGGTCAATCCCGGTATGCCACTTGCAGTCTCGCGTCTTCCCAACAGCACGCCATTCGTATCCTTCTCCATCTGTTGCCGCTGTCGAGGCTCTCTAGGAGCATAAGCCTGTGGTCTTTGCGGTGCTAGACCCTCCCAATTACCACTGTTTGATGGAGGGGCAACCATTTCGGCTTTGAGTCTCGTCATGCATGATCCCATTGTGAAGTCGTGACTCGTCAAAAGCAAACCGAGGATGAGTTGAGAGATCAGTAAACAAGACGAATAACCGAGAAGGAGATGAGGATAATATGTCAAGAAGGCATAGTAAGCCCAGATTTTCACTGGAGGCCTAGGTACGACGATTTGGGGTGGGGCCTCGGACTCGGCTCATGGGAAGATCTGCACTAGTGTTCTGGGGGAAGCCGTTGCCCCGGATGTGGACTAAAAGGATTCAAACTTGTGGAAAGTAACCAATCAGGGACAAGAAAAATGGAGGGAATGTTTTCGTAGCAATTCTAAATTTGCAGTGGCGCCAAGCTATGATCGATGGCTCGGAGCTTGCTTGAGCCAATTCCGCTGCAGTGGAATGACTGGAAACAATATAAAGGCCGAACACCGACAAGAAGGATATGGACAACGGGTGTTGCGGACATGCGTCCGTGCTGTACTGTGTCTCGTGAACTCGAGATATCTGAGCATACTCGAGCCGTTCTCTAATTATTACAAATGAGCTTCTATGTTCCGATTTGACCGAAGTGTCAAGATATTTGACACCTTCGTAAGCTTAGAAAGACAAAGACAAAGGAATTGGAGGAACCAAGCCAACATAATGTTTCTGGAGCTTGCCACCTTGAGGTCAGGTAGCTTTGCCACTAAGCACGAATACTCCTCTGACAAGTATCCAAACTGCTGGGTATACAGTATGCCAGGATATGCGACACTTCTTCATGTCTTCGAGGCATCTAGGAGAGCCTTCCCTTGAGAGCTCCCAGGTATCTATTGCTTCAGAGGGATCGCCAAGTTCGTGTTATGGCATTGGGCTGCTTCCATGTTCCCAGGCTTTGGGTTTGTCTTCGCAGTGGTGCTTCTTGTCGCCAACCCCGAGTTATTATGATTTGAGGACTTCGTAGGACAATCGAGAAGTTTGGATTCCAGCGCTCTCGACCCAAAGCCTTCGATGCTGATAATTGTCCCTCGATGACCATAATACCGCTTGCGAAAGAACTATGCGAGCTTGTTTGTAGGCGAGCATCCTAGCTTAACATGGTATTCTATTAAATGCCAGTGTTCTCTGAGCTGAGTTCTGAGTCTGGGACGATTTCCGGCAGAGGATGGAAAATATTGGCCGAGCGTTCCAAGGATAGAGTAGGTCTTGCAGCGTCGTGCAGACATCTTATCGGTTTGCGAATATACGTTTGTTTGTTGTGAGAGTCTGCGAGGACATAAATATGCTGGGAGCCGTTCTGTTTCTCGGCCTCGAGTTCTCGTCGCAGAAAGATGAAGATCGCGGCCGCAAGAACATTCTTCCGAGCTGACCAAAGCCACGCTCTCTCTTCAGCACTGCCTGGGAAAGAATCGAAAAAGGGCAAACATGCTGGCCTTGCAGTAGCTTTCATTCTCTTATCTCGGACGAAGTCGTCTGCCTGATGTTCCTTGAAGTTCAACTTCACGTCTCACTTTACTTCTGCTCTTGCTGAACATTATGGCTTCGCCATTGAAAGCACATGTTCCTGCTCAATTACCAACTCTACCTCGCGATCTCGGATCTGACGAGCTTCATGTCTGCTTTATCCCCTCGAAACCAGACTTCCGGCGTAGCTGCTTGGAAGCCGTGGGACGCGATGAGTCAAAACTCCCGCCGCCTCTCATTTCATGCTCAGATTTTGTCCCTCGACGGTTGGTAGAGTTGCTGATGCGCAAAAAGAAGGACAGTGCACTTGGGGTTAAGTTTCTACACACTAAGAAGGGTGATCAGATCACGGATATGGAGGGTGCGATGCACACCTTTGTCACGCCTATTGTGCCAAGATGTGAGATGGTTGGCGATTACAGATATGATCCTCAACTCGGTGGTCATGGAGTCAATATGTTTGGAGAACAAACTTTGAGAGGCCTAGATGGTCATGACAAAGGCAAATGCCGTGTTACCCGATCTGTGGTCATGAGTGGTAGCATTCAGATGGATTTCGAGAACAGTAAAGTTATGCTCAGGGTCTGCAAGTTGGGCGACCATACAGTTGTGGGTCAGAATCTCCTAACGGACAAGGCATGGGAGATTCTAGATTCGAAGCCAAAGCAGGACGATACGCAGCGATACGAGTACGACGAAGAACTTCGAAGACATATGATATATCATCTGACAAAGGAGAAGAAACTCCCGCGAAGACGGGACATCGAACACGCCTTGGACGATGAGAAGACAATCAAGTTCTTGGAGACGTTGATCATGACACCAGGAAATACTACAGAGAAGGTTGTGGGAGTGTTCTCCAAACTCCACAATGACCAGATCGTCTCCTTGGAACTGCTTTTCAACACAGCTTTACACCAAGTTCGGAACGAATTCGCTGCCCTCGAAGCGTTGTGTCCACGAGGACATGTTTACACTTACGATCCAGCATCGATTTTTGCTCGAGAAATTGGTCCTGAGATCTTGAACCGGTTAATGCTGGCTGCTCTTCGCCATCTCTCAGATAATCACAAATTCGAGAATATGAGAGTCTTTGCTTTCAATGATTATGCTGACAGAGGGGCTTTGAACTTGGTCCGTTCGGCCCTGAAGAACCAGAAACGTGTCCAGGTAGTCAGTAAGCAAGAGTTGTTTCGTGGACCTGGTGGACCTGGTGGCCTGTACGATGTGACAGATATTCAAGGAGCTGAAGGAGCCATGTTGGTGATTCACAACAACAGTGACGGATTCGGACAGAATATCGAGACCGAACGCATGTATGGCAGTCTTGATGGTGCAATTGGCTCATGCTCGAGCGCAGCTGCAAGTCTGAGGAGAGATCGGAAAGACCTTTTAGATTTCATTTGGTAGTTAAGGTCCCGAAATGGAATCAGTTGTACAGAAGGATTTAGTTCTCTCTGTTGCAGTGTTTTGACCTTTCCTATGGCATCTCAATGGCAAACTTTTCGAGAATGAAACTTGAAACAGCCGCCCAACAGCAACAAGCAACATCCCTTTCTCTATACGAGTATATCCAACAATCACATCAAACAAATCAACAATGCGATTCGTTCGAAGTGAACAATTCCCAGGCAGTGCACATGGTTGGTCCAACACCCCTGTCTCACAGCACCCCACCACTGCAAGGCTGAGCATCATCACCTAAAATCCTACGCCTCGGCGCAGCACTCACCACCACCCATCTATTTTTGTCAATCGTACAATTCTGCCTATCCAACTATACTTTCTTACTCGTAATACAACAACCAAACATCCGCTCACGATACATAAGAACGCCATGTCCGTCTCACCCACTCCGGTTCCTCTGCTCCCGCATCACGACTCAGTACCTTAAATCCTCTCCGCATCAATTGAACCCCTCAATCAAGTCACAATGTTGTTCGAAGACTACGACGACGAGAAATTCTACTCCGTCCCCTCACCATCCTACACACCTTCGCATTCAAAACACTCCTCCTATTCCTCAACCAATACCTCGACCCTATCCCTCGCTCTCTCGTCCTATCCAGAGAAGTACGACGAATCGGATCCCCCGCCATACACATACGTTTTCTATAACACGATTGATGATAAACCATTACCTCCTCTGCCCACCTCAGGGAAAAGGGAGCGCAAAGTTCGGTTCGTGGCGGAGAAACCGCTGCCGCCATTGCCTCAGGGCAGCGATGCGGAGGCACAATTGAGGAGGAGGCCGAAGAAGCAAGGGAGTGGAGAGGGGGAGTATGCTTGGTGGGCGAAGCGGTGGAGTATGAGTGATGAGGAGTATGAGAAAGTCGCGAGGGAGAAGGAGATTGGTCATGGGAGTGGGTTTGCTGGGAAATTTAAGGAGGAGTTTTGAATTGCGCTTTTGGGACATTGGCGTACTAGAAAATGGGGATACTAGGAGGGAAAAGGCTTCATGGCTATGGCGTTATGGTGTTGCGATTTAGAGCTTCAGTATAGAAGGATTGGGATACCCACGATATATATGTCTTACGTACACGACCGATATGAGAAATGAAGCCGTAAAGGCATACATACGAACACGTCCTTAGTTCAGAGTACAGTCCACGATTTAGAGTTTCGAGTCACTAGCTACTCTCTTGCTGCATAAGCCCAAAGATCAGTACAGCTGCCCCAAGTTATCAGCGAGACACAAATGCTCAGGAGCAGTGATTCGAGACCACTCTTGCACGTTCGGTTGGAGCCATTTCTCTGGAAATGGGTGTGATGATGAGGAGAAACTTGAATAATGTGGAGAGTTTTGATAGGAAAGTTGGAAGCTAAATGGTATAAGTGGGTGAATCGGAGAAGGCAACGTGAATTTTTGTTTATAGAAACAACATGTGTGAGTAGAACTCTATATAAGCGGAAATTCTCACAACTTGATCTACTGCGACAACTGTGACAAGGTCAACAACTTCATTGCCAGAGGTCAATAAAGGCAATGACATACTGCGCACCCCTCAGGTGTTTGATGAACACTGCTTATACTCCTGCCTGAAGTCGACTTAAATCAAATGTTGTTTTTTGTTGTCAACTTCATTTTGTTGCCAAATCTTTTCAATACCGTCGTCAAAACTCCGAAATAAGACCAAAGCATTTCAAAATATTGACAACGAAAGCTCTAGCCCCCCTTTAAGCAACTGAAGTTCCTCACAAAATAAATCTCAGCACGCATGTTTACATATATGCAGGTCCCGGACACCGCTGGACTTGGCACGTCTGCTCGGATCCGATACTTTGGTGTCATTCCTGGGGTGATGGAATTGTTGCTGTGGGGTTGTATTTATCGAAATGCGTTCAGGCGCTCAGGCAGCCAGAAGCGTCAAGTTGAAGGCAATGGCTGACATGTTTGGGAGTGGTGAATAGAGAGAGCTCAAGCATTCGAATTGGTAGAGACGCTGTTCTGGATTGAGGCGTTCAGGCAGCTAGAAACGTCAAGTTGAAGACAGTCGCCGATATCTTTATCTTTGATGAATAGATTTCAAATATTCCAAGTCAAGAGAGATTCTCTGTTGAACCCAGCCCTCGAGCAATAAGAATGCTTTAAGCACATGTATGTTGGGCAGGAGCAACAGTCAAGGAGAAATAACAACTCATGCTTTGTAGACTAGTCTATGCGGGGATAAGGTGAAAACCGGTAAGGAAGTGTCATACATCTTCACTTGCGTCCTTGTCTTTCCAATGATCTGCCTCGCTCTTCTGTGGAGCTGACTTCTGTTCTGTCCTGGCTATGATCCGATGACCTCAAACTCTCTTGTTCCTCGGCTTGTTCGCCTTGCTTCTTTGCTTGCTCTTCTTGTTTCTTTCTGTCTCTCTGCTCTTGGATTTTATCGTAGAAGTATCCGGAACTCGGATATCGACCATTTTCGTTGATGTACCGTGCACTCCCACCGCAGAAAGTGATGAGGATATGAGCGGTTGCTTCAGTCATCACCTTCGTATCGTCTCCGAAGTATATAACACGGCCGTTTTCGTATTCCGCGACCGCGATACCTGAGGCCGAGCCACACATATAAAGGTTCTCTTTGGATTTGACATTCTCAAGAAGGGAGACCGAACTTTCGTAAAAGCATGGCAAGCTGTTCGAACCGTTTGATTGGAGGATTTCGCATTGCCTATTCAAAGACAACGTTTTCTTGATGCGTCTTTGGGGGGAGACTGTCCACTGATCAAGTGTTAGCCTGTGTACAAGTTTTCCGGCAGCGAATTTCAAGTCCTCGCAGCTAGAATGAAGACTTGTAGGACCATGAACAAGCAAGTGGAAATTCTGGCAAACTTACAGTAAGATCAAAATTCTTGAAGAACAGTTCCATTTGTGCTGCACTGGAATGCTTTACGAAGTTCTTCAGTAGGAAAAGATTGCCGCCACGCCCAACGAACCACACCAAGGCGGTAGCGAGTAACCTATGTTCATCTACGACACTAGTTGCCCTTTCTTTTTTTACATATAGTGTATAATGACCGTTCTGGGCTGTATGAATGCGGATCTTTCGGCCTTCTCTGAAAATGCCATCGTCGGCAAGCAAGATAATATCGTATTCGACGAGATTTTCATGTAGTGCTCGGATCACTTTCTCCGCATCGGTTTCTGATGTATAGACTTCATTGGCGTAGCCCCAACGGTAGAACTCAGCTATAGACAAATCAATATGTAAATTTGATAGAGTTCCTAGAGCCGAGAAGCACATCCGAGGAGCTGTGACACGTTTTCTTTGATGACCCGAAGATCTCGGCTCCCAGATTGAATACAAGACTAGGGCAGAATTTGACGCACTGTACAAGGGATGCTCCATCTCTGCCATCCAGGGGCTCAGCCGGAGCGAAAGTATCTTTGGTGCTGGTGATGGCAGTTCCATGGTTCGAGAGATGTCTGCAAGTGATTGGGGAAGAGCGAGTACTGAGAATGCGATAATGGTGTTGTTGATTTTGTTGTATTAAAAGGATATATTTCTCAAGAATTGTAGAATCGAAAGGGCCTCCTAGCTCTTGATAGATCTTATTACACTCAGATGGAAGGAGCGACGAGGAGCCTGTGTCACGTGCTCTCATGTCTTAGTCGATGGTTCCAGAGGATTGAGCACAAATCGAAGCTATAGCAGCTCAGAAGGTCTCAACTCATCTGTCATTTGTACGCCATAACTGCTTCGATATCCAAAGGTCGGAAAGCTGGGGATTACAGCTCTTGACCGTCGCAATTGCGGTACTTGATATGCTCCACCTCAGTAACGTCTTTCGGAAAGCACTCAGGCAAGCACGAAGGACAACAGAAGTACTCTTTTCAAGCAAGAGGCTAGAAAGTGCAGAGGCAGAAATCAAATCCAACATCGTCATTTGTTTGATAGCTACTTTCCAGGTTTGGACGACTCCCGTTGCACCAACAGACTGTGGGACAACACATGGAAAAATGTTCGCTACAAAACTTTCATGAGATAAAGCACTTGCTTACTCGTTGTAGAATCTCTCTACATCATGAAAGTGGCGTTTGCAAGACTTCGTAGTCTCAGCGCACTTCATTCCACGTTCCAGCCTAGGCCCATCACCAACAGCATGTTGGGGAAAACGCTATCGACCATTTATAGGAAAGGTACTAGAGCGACAAACTTCCAGAGACTCCGTGGAAGAGAAAGATACTGACGACAATATGTTGAATACCAAGTGGTTCAGAGCGTTGGTATGTCTGGTACTGTACGGCAGTGCGGGTGAGACGTACAGTCCTCCGTCATGAAGCGGGAGCTGCACAGTGTGTGAACATGCCACTTTTGCCTTCATCTCCCAATCAATACGAAATGCCGACAACTTCACCAAATGGAGACCACAATCGAAATGCAGCACGAATACGTGGTTGGAAATTCGAGTTGAGATTTTGAAGAAAGTGGCCTGACTATTTCAGCTTCCAGGAAGTTCGATGTCCACTGCAGGAGACGTGCTGGTCGGGTCACGGCGAAATCTGTCGGCAGCCACAGTCGCTTCTACAGGGCGTCTCCCGAGACCCTGGGATCATCATCCGAGTGGCGTGATTTCACCTCAAAATCATTGACATCTGACTTTGTACACACCAGAATCGAGCTCACGAAATCCGATTGTAACGCCACCATTTTCAAGCACCATATCTGGCTATGCCTCGCCGGGACGTCGTCATGATGTGGCTCGTCAACAATCCCCCTACCGTATTGCTTACTGTATACGAAGAGTATATAAAGGACGGGCTATGGTAGGCAATCATGTCTTCATCAAACAGAACCAGAGGTTCAAAAGCAAAACATCAATTACCACCTGAACATAGTTCACCACAGCAAACTCGAAACCCGCAGTTGATTCTTACCCACGACATTGTGCGGGATACCAAAACACTACATATCCAAATCAAAACAAAACAACCACCAAGTCCCGAAAGCGAATTCTCAAAAACAATGAGAGGATACTTTGGCATCATGGGGTCGACAGACTGCTCATGCAATCTGAACGGGAACGGAGAGAAGGTGCACATTGAAAACAAACATTGCCTATGGACACCACCAAGAACCGACAGTCCAAAGGCAGAACCAATGTGGCACCTGAATGTCAGTATCTTGAAGAATCAAGAAGCTCGAGGCGACGCTCCAAGCCGGTCATTTGTAAGTTCATAATAAAGCCATTATCTTGACGATGATTCACTGACGTCTGAATGCAGGCTTTCAAGTCAATGCATCACTTGACCCACGCAGCCAATCAACTCGAAGCCGCATTTCGAGACTCGTTTGAGATGAAGAAGTGCGGTGTTGAAACGCCGGATGCGATGGGAGGCAGAGTCAACGACGGCAGAACCGAGAATGTCACGATTGAATTTGATTCTGAGACTTCTAATGAGAGTTGGAGCGACTTTCTGGCAAGACTTAAGGTCTTGGAAGACGAATGGGATCACGAACTCCATCCAGAGCCGATAAGTGTTCTATAGGAGAGCGCATAGTGTTTTCGGAGTTATTCATCACATGCTACAGCTGGTGCTTGGGGCTGAGTTGCGGTTCGTCGTTGTAATGGAATGAGGACGCCGGTACGACATTGAACTTTCATTGCCATTGGAACACCAGAGGCATCAATTGTTAGTATCAAACGGCCTCGGAAACTCCTTTAGTGTTCTTTGAATGCGAGACCATAGTCGGAAAATGTTGGTAACGGATGGCATGGCATTGAATGGCAAGACGGCCTGGAGTTTTTGTGAGCATTTGACTGGCGTTCGGGGTCAACCTCTTATATAAACAGAAAAGCTTTTCATCATAGAGTTTAAAACATTAGCTCACCCGTGTTCATCCCGTCCAAGCGTCATTGGAAGCCAGGTGTCATTGTTCCATGTGCATCCAATATTCGCAGTGATCCCAGCTCTTGCGGGTTTCGGGAGCGTGCAGCTGGGACCCTGCCTGAGAAAAGCTGCATTGGGCAGTGTGTGAAACGTGTTGAACATGCTGTCATTATGCTCCAACTGGAGTTATGATAGCGACTTTTGCCATAGCATAGCATAGCATTGCTGAGATATTTTGATCACTGTTTCTTAAGCTTAGAAACTGACATGCTCTTGACATTTACCAATTCTTGACGATAAACACTCGCTAGCCTTTGGAACGGCCAGGTCAAGATTCGGGTGACCTCGCTTGCGACCAAATCTTCTTTCAACCATTCTCCATCCTCACCCCTTTTCATCAATTTATCCATCTGCATCATCTTCTGATGGTCATTCTCGATATCTGCATGCGCTCTGACTACGCAGCTATTCCATCTGATCTTCTTGATCTCAATTCGCCTGCGGACCCGCGCCGTCAAGTGGAGAGGCCGATGAATCGTCGCACAAACCGAACGCATGAATTCGGAGCTCGGATCTCATCTTGAAACCGTCACAACAACCAAACCACACAGACATTGGCTTTTCTCGGCCAAGCGTTGCCAGATGCGTTCGCCTGAAAGTTGACCAGTGCATATTCAGACGTGAGAACGGGTATGATCGACCAAATATGCTTCGACAAGGTGCATCAGATGGCGTGGGTCGGCAATGCCATAGCAAAACTTCACGATTCTGGAGGTACAGGCCGAAGGTCACGCTGCGAGAGAACGGAGGGCAGCAGTACCTCGCAAGCCTCGCAAGCCTAGTTTCTGGTTGGATTTCATCTCGTCTCTCATGTTCATCTTTTGTGGAATTGCTTCTTTCTCCACGATCCACATGTCGCAACCCACTCTCTTGCTGTAGCATCGCAGGTCATGATGCTCTTTTACGTTCTTTGCAAATACTTATAGAAAATTAATTTGTGCTACCTATCTAGAGCTTGCTGGAAACATGCTGCTCGATTCCTCGCTGGAAGAGGGCCTCAATTCTCTTTATCATCTGTACATGGACTCTCCTCCACCACCCAGCTCGTCCAGCCCTACCTTGCGACTCGCGCCCTCATCTACATTCAGCAGTCAGATCAGCAAAACTCAAAGTCAGGGCATACTCATAACAACACCTCCAGAACTTCGACTGCGAAACCCAGTACCGGAACCTCAGAATGCCGCCGATTGTTCTCAGGCCGATCAAAGTGCTTCTCAAGCAATCCAACAGGCAAGCCAACAAGCATCGCAGTCAATACAGCAGGCATCACAATCCGCCTCTCAGGCCTCACAACAAGCCGCTCAGTCAGCTTCCAACGCCATCCAACAATTCTCTAACTCTGCCTCGCAATCAATAGCAGCAGCTTCAAGAAGTGTTAGTAGTGCAGTATCGTCTGCTAGTGCTGCTGTGGCATCTGCAAGCTCACAGATTGCAAGTATACAGTCGTCTGCTTCGGCAGCTGTATCAAGGGCAAATGGATCTATGGTGAATGCGCAAGCCAGTGTGACTTTAGCCCAGGTATGCTTATGAACGGGTAGACTTGATAAGCGTAGACATCAGATGAATGAATCTAACTGCTACGAACAGGCACAAGCTTCTTCAGCAGTGATGCAAGCAGGAGCGGCAGTTGCAGCCGCAACAGGTACGTGATACTTTTTCAGTCCAACAGACCGTGCACCTTATACTTCATAAACTTATCAATGCAAACAGGTTCAGCAGCGGCAGCCGGCTCTTCGTTTCTTGCAGCGGCATCAAAAGCTACACAGAGTGCTCAAGCCTCTGTTTCAGCGATTGGCGTAAGTTTGTGAAATAAAAATGATTGACTGTTGCTGACGACCTCAGGCACAAGCCTCACAGCAAGTGTCACAGGCGAGTCAGCAAGTCACTGCCTCTCAAAATGCAGCTGTGACGGCAACTCAAGCTGCTCTGGCCATCGTTGGAAGCATCATTGCATCGGCTCTGATCACCATCTTGATCTTCTTCCTTGTTGCACGGCACAAGAAAGCCGCCAAACGGAAACGTGGTGACCCTGATGCTTCTCTTGGAAATGTCTACTTCTCAGACCCAAAATTTCCAATTTCAGAACAAGCCGCTACTACGGCTGTCCCATCTCAACCAGCTTATACTGGTAATCGGGATGTTGATCCCATGAGTGGCTCTCAAGTAACTTTCTCACTGTTCCCAAGAGCTGGAGATGAGAAGCCTACAGCTGCAGAGAAAAAGAAAAACGAAGAATTACGGAGATCGATCGTCAAAAGCACTACCGTACCCTGGAATCCTAACAAACCACCGAAAGCCCCAACACTCGGCTCCTGGCTCAAGCTCCAAGATGGGGTCTCACCATTCGGTCCCATCAAGCTTCCTCTCGACGATGAGAAATCCGGCTCACCTCTCGGAGGTCAACTCAAATCTCCCATGACCACCAAACCCATCGTCTCCCCTAGAATGTCCTCAAGAATGCCAATACCGATCCGAAGTCCTGGCCTCCCACCAAACCGCAGTCCCAAACTACCCGTCCTGATGAACGAACCAATCTCCGTAGCGGGGAACGCATCAACCATAACCGCGGTCCCTAAGAGTCCGCTCACACAAACAGTAGCAGCTACAAGTCCCAAGAAACCCGATACGCTACCTCAACACTCGACGCCTGGCCCTGAATATAGAGAGAGCAAAGCAAGTGTATGGACCGACGATATACCAGATCCCAGTCCATCGCCACCACTACAATCTCCGCCACCAGAATTGAGAGGAAAAAGATCACTGGATAGAAGGCCGATCAACTCGATGCAGAAAGTTACAAACATGGAGATCCCTACACCAGTAAACACCGTCCGGAACACAGCCGAATGGTTCGCGGAACGTAATCGCATGGACTTTGCGCAAAGGGATTCTCGAGTCTCGCAATCTCAATACCAACCTCAATATCAACCAAAATTTCGACCCCAGTACGGGAACCAATCTTCAGCCTACGTCGAAACTTCAAAGAACAATAGACCATCGTTCGGCTTGCCGAGGGGGCCGAGACTCGGTGCGGGAATGGGGTTACCGAGTCGTCCTGGCCCAAGTCGACAGATTCGAAGTTCAGAGGCTGAAGCTGGGTATGTGCAGGGTCTGAACAGGTTCTTGCCAGATGGGAGGTTGAATGATAGGGGAAGTCTGTTGAGTCGGATGGGAAGTGATAGGAGTGCTAATGCCAGCACGCCTGGAGGGAAGAGTGTATTGAATACTCCTGGTGTGGGGAAGGCACTGTAGGGGTGGATAGAAGAGAGCAAGAGTTGGACATATTAATAATCACCCATCTAGCATATACTTAGTAGTAGCGTCGGCATTGCGTATTAGCGTAGCATTTATAACAATATACCGAGACTGAAATTTACATCATTCTACTTCATTTCACCAGAGTGAGTTAGATACGTCTAACAATAGCGGTGTTCTTCTTCTTGAGCAGTGTCGACACAACCCTCTGCTCTAAATAAAGTAGCACTGCAGACTTAGCAGTACATCCATCCAATCCTTGCTCCCTCTGAACCATTCCCTACAGCTCCTGTCTTCCCTCGAACCCAGCTCTCCGGAAACTGGTTCCGTACCGAAATCCGGCCTCTCATCCCGACCTTCCCGTCTCCAAACTGTTCCTTCCATCGTCACCCACCACCCAACCTTCCTCTCGAACAAAATCAATGCACCACCACCTTTATCTCGGCCACCTTCCCGACTCCTCTTCTCAGCATCCTTCGTACCACGAACCGGGAAGGAATCGAGGATCCCTGCTGCCGATCGAACTCTAAGTGATGTTTGATCGGCGGCGGAAGATCGATCTTCCTGCTTGAGGTGTGGATGAGGCTGAGGAATGGAACGGTCGGGTGGGAGATTGGAGGGGCGGTGGTGGGGGTTGAAGTGGGGTGAGGAGTTTGGGAGGGAATTTGAGGAGCTTGGAGGTGGTGGAGACTAAGATGGCGAGGGGTCGGGTTGGGAAAGTAAGGTCGAGATTGGCAATGTCACTTCAGTTCTGGAATTGTCGTGGTTTGGTTTGAGGATTTTGAACTATTGTTTGTTGCTCCCGCCCCTTAATCGCTTCTTTCATGCTGAATCTTTGTGGAACCTTTGGCAAAGTTGGATAAAGTCATGACAGTAAGTCAAACGTTGAAGTCCAGACGAAGGCCTGAAGTTAGCAGCAAACCTCTTCCACAGAAACTGTCCGAATTGACAGCAAAGAAAGAGGAGGCAGCACCTTTCTGCAATAAAGCAAAGAGCCGGGGGTCATTGGCTGAGCCGCGCAAGAAGCTTGTTGTCAACTATTCACCCCACATTCACAGTCTTCAGACTTTCAACTATCGTCTTTTGATAAATTATATGGAACTGGTGAACCGCATGTACCGAAGCCCAAACATCGGTTGTCCCCGGCTCAACACGCCCAAGCTCAATCGTCAAGATGTTTTTGTTTGAGGAGTTCGCAAAGAGCGAAGAGGCGTTTATATCGACACTAGCGACGCACTAGCGACGAAGATTGTATTGATGAGTGAATCTAGATGGTGGTCAAGGCGAATGTTTGAACGATGACATGGCTGGAGGACCAAAAACTGGGCTGATCGAGGCAACCCAAATAAACCTTTGAGTCAGACTCATGAACATTACACCAAGCTTCTCTGTCTTTAGAACTTGTGACATAGACACGTGCAGATACATCGCAGTCCGCCATCCAATCTTTGAAGTCATGCCTGTCATGCTCAAAAAGGGGGGAGAACTCGCTACATCTCGCTTCGCGCAATACAACAAATACCAAAAAGTAACTGCTCGAAAAGATAGGAGACCGTCCGCCACTGAAGCTAGGTGTGGGGCCTAGCTTAGGTTGGATCCGTATAGAGGGTAGTAAAATGCGTATGTAATGCTGTACGGCAAAATCGTGTTGTGACGTGAGACTGTTGTGAGGACTTGTCATGGGAATTGTGTTGATTTCCAACGTCTGTCCCCAACATTGGACTTTGAAACATCAAAGAGAAACTATCGGAGGACTTCAATGTCAATGGGTTACTTGTGACTTTCAAGCGCCATGAGTACAGACAGAACAAGAGGATTTTGATTCGATACCGATGACTGGTTTCAACATAGCACTTGGCTGCCTACAAATCCAAAGCCCTAGTGATACACACAAAAAAGCTCACATTCATCAGAACAAACGACACAGGCATTGATTGGATGTTACAGGTGTTCTATCTCATATTCATGTGCCCAGGGTCGAAGAATCCAAAGACATCATCAGGATTTATGTGGCTTCCCCATCAAGCCCCGATGCTATTCCAAAGATGAAAATTTCCTTCTGTAATATTACACAAAGCACATATGACCAGTTATTCGAGTAGCCTAGAGAAGCTTAGGGGTAGAAAAACTTGGCAAAAAAATGTTTTGCTCAAGCTGTCGAGGTTTTTAAGAGAGAAATGACTTACTCCATGGTTTCTGTTGCGTCAGTAAATGCGATGTTCTCGTCAGAACATAAACATAACATTGGCGGGTTTCTTGTGGGCATTTTCCCCCGAAAATGCCCGTGGCTTTTTACTTGCAGGCTAGCACTACAAGATGGGTGTGGCTGTTTGACTCACTCCCAGGAGTCAGTTGATTCTTTACATGTATTTGAATACAAGTTGGAAGTCATGGTTTCTGTTGAGATCAGTTCATAAATGAATTGAACCTGTATCTTGTTACGAACATGGGGACAAAAGTCCGTGCGTTCAGGCTGTAGAACCTCGAAATTAAAACTCTTCACATTAGGACTAAACTATCAACAACTCCACCATTATGGATCCTTTTACCACTCCACCTATGTCTCCACGTCTCCCAGGTGCAGAGATCAGAACCAAGCACAAAGAGGGCATACGCCGGCTCTTCAAATTCGCTAAAATAGGCCTGCAACAGCTCCAGGGCTACTACCACCTAGGAGACAGCACAGTTAGGAAGATCCTACTATACGATGTGCCTGAAAGAGCGCG